ATTACCTCAATTTTCTGGTTCTTGACTCAGACAAAATTGTCTATCATCCAAATCTTAATGTACTTAAATCATGCTTTGACATAACTTAACTGACTTCTTTTTATCAAACTTCTTTGACAAGTTTAACTGAGAATCTTCTACTTATTATTGAAAAATTCTGCGGTATTATCTGCTGGTGTTACCTCCAAGTAAAAAAGTGTAATGTAACAGTCCTAGAACTGAACCTTGTGGCACTCCATGACGGACTAAAATGTTTCCTCTCGTTGTTTTCAAATGTGGCAGGCAGTAGTGGGGTTAAAGGGATATTCCAGCGTAAAATTAATTAAGGGTCAAACACACCGTAACACCAAGTTAGACACCCCCTCGAGAGATGAATGTTGCCGTCCACTTGCTTCTCTAGTTAAATCAACCCGCAGCAGTCTGTAATGGACTGGCCCGAGGTCTCGCTACAAACAAGCGGCTGCTGGAAGAGAGTAGGTGAGTTGAGTTTAGTCTCTTTGGCTAAAGAAATCAGGCAAAGTTAAAAAGATGTTTGGTGGTTATTGCTATGGCTGGGACCCTACATGTACTGTTGATGAAGTTAGGTGCTGTTCTGAGCATTATTTTGGCTATAGAGTGGCTTTATGGTTGAGGTTTGTTTATGGCTCCTCAGACCGCTGTGTATTGCGATCCTGAGGTCGTTACTAAAGTTGGTATAACAAGAGAAGAAAGCGGTCTGCAACATTCATCTCTCGAGGGGGTGTCTAACTCGGTGTTACGGTGTGTTTGACCCTAAATTACCCGGAAAATCCCTTTGAAAATATAGCCAGGTTGTCTTGTGTGTGTCTCTTTCTTACACCTGCAGAGCATGTTTCAGGTGTTGCAGGTCATGAGACACAAGTGCCAAAAAATGGCAAGAGATTGGCTAGTTCACTGACCATGGATATCAATCTCATAAAGTTGTGTAAAGCAGGTTAGCAATACACTTGGGTGGCCTGTCCAGGTATCGTCTTTGTGTGGTAACACAGACAGGAACTGTTGGGAGTAGCGGTTGAGGGGTGGACAACCAGCAAAAGCTTGGCCAAATTGGCTCCCCTGTTTCCTCATCACAGCATTTAATTCAGATTTGTTCCAAAAAAAAGTTGTGTAACTGTACTAATAAGTATTTGTGTCTCTGTTTACATCACAGACCTGTGCCGGCGTTGCCCTACAGACCACCAAAGACTCACAAGGACTGCTGAACTCTTGACATCATGGATGAGTACATCTCTTGCCAACAGATGGAGACTTTTTAATTTGCACTAAAAACTAAGACTCTGTAAGACATTTTGGACAGTTGAAAGAATGACAGAGTCTCTATTGAAGGGGCAAAGGTCACACCTTGGTGCTACGCCTGTCATAGGTGCTTTGTTGTCCACGCTCAGGTACCAATGAACTATTTATCTATTTAAGTATTTAACTTCGTTATTGACAATTTGTGCACAGAGCACTCAGATCAAGAGTGAGAAGTTCAGAAAAGGAGGAAAAAATGTGTTTTTGACTTTTTTTGCATTTCTGGTAGTTTTTATACTTTTTTTTTTCTTTTCTCAAATGAAATGCTGAAATATGTTTTTATAGCCAGTAAAGTTGCTTGAATAATTAAAGCACCAAAAAAGTTTGGTTTTGGGTTCAAGTTAGGAAAAGGGAAATGGAGTTTAACTCATCAAGTAGTCAGAGATGCTTCTGGGCTGTTGAGGAAAGTCGAGTTTTTGTATAAAGTATGTATTCAATACCAAATACATCTTTTCTATTCATGCTGCCAAGGTTCTACACAGCAGATCTTTAATCTTTTTGTTATTGTTTAAACACAGTGGACTCATAATAAAGCCGCTTAGTACATCTTTATTGTGGGATTAACCTGATCTGCTCGTTTCGCAGTGTCCCAGTGCGCTCTTTGATTTCCTTATAAGTTCATTTTTGCAGAACAGAAAAGAAAATCGTCTCACACATTTCAGCTTGGCTCTGACACACACACACAAAGCCCCGAGGCTCAGGGCACTTGTTGGATGCTCAACATGCTCTCCTGATAACTGGCAGAAGCTGCAGACTCTCCACAAACTGACTGACAGACTGATTGTGTTCCAGAGAATTACACCAACACCAAATATTTCAACAATAGCTGGTGTTTGTATGTTTTGCATTTACGCTCACTTCGTCCCTGAGTGTGCGAGCCAAGAAGAATGACTTCAGCGCTGCGAGCTTTGCCAAGCTCTCCCCCGACTGTCCGTCTAACAAGATGCTTCTGACCGTCCTGTCTTTGCTTTTTGCCTTCATGATATTCTGTATAGATTCTATGTTTTGTTTTTTAATTTGTGAACTCTGAGGTTATTTATATTTATCCACAGGACTGTCATTAGATTTAGAAATCGGAGCTGAACTTTCAGTTAATCTTAACCTGCTGTTAAAAAAAGGGATTTAACGGTTAAAAATCCAACATCCAAAATCCCTTTTTACCCATGTCTGCTTTCACTTTGGATGACATGTTTTATACTTTGGTGTATCCCAAACACAGCCCTTGTCCTCTCACAACTGCAGCGTCATTGGAGTCAGTGTGGCCCTGCAAACCTGTGTCGCGTTGACACTTTTGTACGAGAGTGTGTGATGTGTTTCGGAGATGTTCAACTGGAGTAACTGCGCTCTGTAAATTGGTAGTTAAATGTCTCTGCCATCTGTAAATCTTAAATGTATTGTGTTTATTTCCATCACTATGAAATGTTTATAAGCCATTGTAAAGTGTAAATATTGTACGTCAGTCGTCATTTATGTGTTTTTGTTATTTTTTACAAGTGCAGCAGTACAACTGCTTTGAGGGTTGACCCTATTAAATTAACCGGTTGATGAAAACATGTTGGGAAGTTCAAATCTATAACTATTAGGTTAAAAATTCAGAAAAACATTTTATTATTATAGTTTATGAGGGGGATGACATCAGAGCTGAATAAAAGTTTATTTATGGCTGCTTATAAAAAGTTGTTTCTGCTTTTATTATCACTTTGAAGATCTCTGAAGATGACGGAAATGTTTGAAACCACAAAAACTTGTTCAAAGGATCAGTGAGAGTTCATCTGGGCAAACATTTTGTATTATATGATGTAAATGAATAATTAACTTTGTTGTTGTTTTCTTGCCTTTGAGAGGATGGGGCCGCCTGAAGCTCCATCTTCAGAAATGCAACTCAGCCCATAACAAAACCACCAAGTAAGTTCTTTGATCATTCGGAAGATTTTGACTGGAGACAACTTTTATTGTAAGTCTTCTGTGGACAAACAACCAGCAATATACCGTATCATACTTTATTGTACAGTGAATTGAGAGATATAAAAAAAAAAACTTCAGAAAAATGAAAAAAAAAACAAAAACATTATTTCCTCTACTTTAGTTATTGGTTTTCCCCAAAGTGGTTTCATATCTTTTCTGCTTTAAGTGTTCATTAAAACTTAATTCATCTTTGACATGAGGGACATTTCGGCTGTTGAAACGGTAACAACAGCCTGTCAAGGTTGCTCAACACTGCTACCTGGTGGACAATTTTAGTCAATACAGGTAACACGCTGCCTCGCTGGTTCCTCATTGTTTGAACTTGTCTCAGTATGCTTCCTGTGACAATGATGTTCCCCACTGATTATGAACACTCATCTGGTCATGTCGTGCCAAAGCTAATCACAGCAGTGCTGAGTTTCAGTACAAGGTCACAACTTTCAGCACGACAGGAAAACAATTATACAAGCAGCAAACTTTAACAACAGATTAGTCCAAAGTGGAGCATGGCCAGGCAACCCAAACATTTCCCTTCACACTTGTTTTTCTGTTTATTGTTTCCAAATAGAAAAGCTACTTTGTGCCACGCCAAATTCCAGTGAGGAGGAATGTCTCTTGTTCCATAATATTACTTTGCTAGAACCAACCATTGTGCAATGAGACTGTGTATGAGAGAGAGAGAGAGAAAGGGATAGTGAGACAAGTAAAAAAACAACAATAAAATCTGCCATACTGTAGTAAAAAAAAAAAAAACATTTATTTTTAAAGATTTTCTTTTTCACTTTGGAAAGCCTTATCTTATCCGACTAAAAAAAGGATTAAAAGAAAATCAAGTTAGTCCACAATTCCAAAAAAAATACTTCTACTTGTTCTGAAGTCAAAAAAGAGAAGAGAAAATAACCAAAATCAGACTTTAAAAAGGTTTAACAGAATCTACATTTGTCTCTGAGTGTTCATTTTTATTATCATCCAAAAGCTTCTACTTGGCACTTGCATGTTTAGTCACATTTAATAAGCACACAACGCTAGTACTGTTTTGGCCACAAAGTTTTTTGGTTTGTTTTTTTCTGGAACCAGAATTGATTTTGGGCCAAAAGGAATAGGTACTGTTTTTTCTTGTTGAATGTTTGTTTTGTTTTGTTTTTGTTTTTGATATTGTTGTTGATGTTTGTTTGTTTTCGTTTGTTTGGTTGCTTGGTTGGTTTTTTGATTTGTTTTGTTTTTTGTTAAGCTCTGACTCAATCATTTTCCACATAACCTTATTTGACAATTTTTTTACAATGTCATTTAGCAGGTCACTTTTTTCCAAGCAAAGCAATACAAGCAAAGATCGAGACAAGAAACAAGATTAGGAAACCTTAATCAAAAATATAAAAGCATTGTAAAAGCTGTTTGTGGCCTTAATGCCCGAGTCAGTTCTCATTGTAAACACCAGAGGCCTGTGAGCGTCTGCCCATCATTCTCTCTCTCTCTCTCTCTCTCTCTCTCTCTCTCTCTCTCTCTCTCTCTCTCTCTCTGTCATCTGTTGATGACTGCACTTCTATGGGATTAGTGGCCACATGACAACACTGGGCTGGCCGCCTAGTGAGCCTTTCATTTGGCTTCACAAGCAGAGGCGCTCTGCGTGCTGTCCAACAGTTAACTGCGAGCCGGAGATTTGCACACTTCATTTCTGCGGATCTGTAAATGAAGTCTAAACCAGACGGACTAGGAACTCAGAGGAGATGGCGCAGGACATTACCAGCTTAACCGAAGAGGACTTTTTTGAGGGGAAATCAGCCTGTTACTCAGATACAGAAGCTTTGACTCAAGGAGACAAAGAATATGATGACATTTTGGAGCTTAATCAGTTTGATGGACTGCCCTATTCCTCGAGGTTTTACAAATTGCTTAGAGAGAGGAAAGAGCTGCCTGTGTGGAAAGCGAAATGTGAATTCATGGACACTTTGGCAAACGGACAGTTTGTTGTTGTCAGTGGCTGTGCTGAAACTGGCAGGAGTTCTCAAGTGAGTACTGAGCGGGATTTGACAAGATTGCACCTCCATGTGAAATAGTGTACACTAACTTCACACAACAACACAATTCATTCTGATTACTAGAGATACTTTGGACCTCTGAATATTTACAGAGGAGTATCTTAAAATCAAAGGTGGCACAACAAAATTTTTACAGACTGTGGAAAATATGAGTGGAACAAAAAAATAAAAGACAAACATTACTTAAAGAAAATGGTTTATTGTTGGGAGTATATTTGCTTAAGCAGAGTCCAGTTCCAGATGAGACAATTGTGTGTGAAAATCCAAAAATCCATGGAAGATCAAATATCCAAGACCATCTGAGCCTGTGTTTTTATGGTCACAAGATAATATTGTGATCAAAACAAAAGCATGAACAAAGTTGATAACTTTGAAAAGTGAGACATAAGATCAATCCAACTCGTCTGAGATATTACATAACCAAAAGGCGGGTAGAAAATTGTACTTGCAAGAGTTCAAGATTTGTCCCTGGAGTTTAAAAAGTTGGCTCTTGTAATTGTAAAGAGACTTATCCTGCTCTTTTTTTTTTTAAACAGATTCCTCAGTGGTGTGCTGAATTCTGCCTGTCAGTCCGGTTCCAGCACGGCATGGTGGTTTGTACCCAGATTCACTCTCAGCAGGCGGTAGATCTTGCTTTGAGAGTGGCTGATGAGATGGATGTCAACATTGGCCACGAAGTTGGGTACAACATCCCTCTGGAAATATGCTGCGCCAACGACACAGTCCTCAGGTAAACAAAAGCAGAAAGTGCTACCTCCAAACTCACATCCACTAAGTGTTCAACTATCTGGTTTCTCCCTCAAGGTTTTGAGACAGCACAGCCATGACACACAATGCTCCATCACCCCGCCTTTTTCAATCTCAAGAGAAAAGTGAACAATAGGCTCAAGGGGGCTCCTTTCAGGGGGCGCCTCCACAGCTGTCCAGCTCCCTGTCCATCCATATGTCTCCCCCACCTCATGTGGGTGTCTCATAAGTCAACAGGGGAACAAAGAAAACTCAGCACATAGAGGGGAGGGTGATAAGATGAACGGGCAGCCAGCTAGTGCCAGTGTATCCACTTCTGCCACAAATGACCAGAGTAAATTACTCTAATAGGACAGGGCTGATGTCTAGACAAAGTGTTTTTCATTAAGGTGCCATACTGAGTGTGGTGAATAGATGTCTTAAATTAAGTGTGCCACTTTATTGGCCTACGGTGAAAGAAATCTAAGGAGATGTGAAAGGGTTGATTTGGTGGTGTGTTCATGAGAAAATGAGGAGATGTACAACTACGGTGCAACAAATGAAAATGTAAAAAAAGAATGCAAAAAAAAAAGAAGAAGCCACAACAGAAGTTAGCGATGAAAAAAAGAAACCAAAGCCCACTGCTAATAAAAAAAAGAAACAGTGCAGATTTTTTTTTAAAAAGGCCACAACGGAAGTTAATGACGCAAAAAAAAATAGCGGTGCTAAAAAAAAAAAAAGCTACTGCAAAAATAAAAGGATGCAAATGAAAAATGCCACAACGGAAGTGAGCTGCCGAGGACCAATAATGACAAATAGCGAGGTGTCTTCATACTTACTTCTATGAGTAAAGCAACCGAACCGCACAGATACCGCACTGCATTCTCCTCTCGTGGGTGGTTTTTTCGAGGCATAGTGGGTTTCCCATATTAGCTAAAGCTAACACTACACCAGCATCTGCCAGTTCAACCTCATATTGACTCAGGCACAACATTGTATAACTAAATGACATTGAAAAGCACACAAAGCGAAATTAAACAATAACCTTTCCACTTGCTTCTTTGCTCGTCTTCTCGCCGTCGTCTTCTGTGGCTGGATCGTTAAACACCGGTGCATCATCACTAATGGTCCCCGGTAGCTCTTTTTTTTTTATTTGCATCCTTTTATTTTCGCAGTAAGTAACTTTTTTTTTGTCGCATCGGCAGTTTATTTTTTTTTATTTCATCGTTAACTTCAGTTGTGTTTTTTTTTTATCTGCACTGTCTTTTTTTATTTGCAGCAGGCTTTAATTTTTTTTTTTTTTGTTTTTTTTTGCATTGGTAACTTCTGTTGTTGCTTCTTTTTTTTTTTGCCTTCTTTTTTATTTGCAGCAGTGGCGGTTCTCAGCCACCGTAGTAGTACAACAGCTGAAAGGACATAACAGTGTAAACCATCTTTTCTTTTTTCTTTTTTTCCACCCCAGGTACTGCACAGACGACATGCTCCTGAGGGAAATGATGTCCGACCCTTTACTTGAGCGCTATGGTGTGGTTGTCGTGGACCAGGCCCACCAGAGGACTGTCGCCACTGATGTACTCCTGGGTCTCCTGAAGGACATCGCTCTGCAGAGGCCTGAGCTTCGTGTTGTCCTCCTCACTGCAGTTGAAGCCGGACCCAAGCAGCTGAAACACTTCACCGGGTCTGCAATGCCTTTAATCTGCCTGGAGAACCCGGGTGAAGGGGAAGTGGTGTACAGTAGCACTGGTGAAGGTTACTTCTGTGCCGCTCTTCGTCTTGTACTGGAGATCCACCGCTCTGAGGAGGAAGGAGATGTGGTTGTGTTTCTGGTGACAACACAGGTAAAAGAAGTGCCACGATTGATTAAACAAACAGCCACATACCACGTTCTGGTCTGATATTTTACTATATTGTATTATATGATACCAAATCCATAAATAACTGACTACATTTTCCCTTCTACAGGAGATAAATTTGGCCCATGACATCCTGTGTCATGAGGGGCACAGTGTACCCCCTGACCTTGGCGAGCTCCAGCCCATCGCCGTGCACCCTGGCCAGCCTGGTAATCTTCCAATTCGAGGGGACGAGGAGACGGAGCGAACCCGCCGAGTGTTCCTCACATCCAGCCCAAATGAGGACTTTTTCTGGGCTGTTAACTCGATTAGCTTTGTTATCGACGCAGGACTCGAGAAAAGATATGTGAGTTCATCACCCTGTGTTGTAATTAGAGAAACTATCAATATGGAAGTCAATCTGTGCCATCTGATTTTGAATTTGAATTTCTAAAGCTGAATTTTTTAGCATCAAAATCAGACTTTGAATTTCAAAACTATTGAATTTCAAGCATGCATTTTTATTTCTGACACTTATTTTTTCAGTTAAAAAAAAATCTCTCAAAATATTCATGTAGTAAAAATTCAACTGAAAAAAAAAGTGTAAAAAAAAAATTCAACATGAAAAATAATTCAGTGTCAAAAAATTCAGTGTAAAACAGCAAGAGCAATCAATTCCTCAATCTTCCACTGGGGTCAGTGTCATATGACCAATCTAGCATTATTTGATTGGCAGGACGATGGATGATTTAGCCAGGAATCGATTGCTCTACCTAATTAGCTGGATGTTGAGTTGGTCTGTTTTACATTAAATTTTTGGACACTGAATTTTTTGGCATTGAATTTTTTTTAACACATTTTTTTTTTAAGTTGAATTTTTACTGCTCTATACTTTTGAGAGACTGAGTTTTTACACTGAATTTATTTAATCATTGTGAAAAATATTAGCATCAGAAATAAAAATGAATGCTTGAAATAGTTTCAAAATTCAAAGTCTGATTTTTGATGCAAAACAATTTGATTTTAAAAATTCAAATTCAAAATCAGATGGCACAGATTTACTTCCATATGTCAACACCCTTTCACTTTAACAGGATGAGAAATATCATTACTTCCAATTAAGGACCATTTAAATTTAAGGTCTTTGTAGGATGTTGCCGTCACTGTTGTTCTTTTCAACAACTTTTTTTTTTTTCCTCCTTCTTTAATAAATGAATTTAATGTTCTGACCGAAATGATGTTGCAGGTTTACAACCCCAGGATCAGAACAAACTCAGTCATCATTCAGCCAATCAGCACAGGTCAAGCCCAGAGTCGCAGACAGCTGGCAGGTCCAACAGGTGAGAAGTAAAGAAAGTGTCTGGCTCATTATTTCCTTATTCACATGCTGTCTCGACTCCAATAACCATCTTTCTGTCCTGCAGGGAGGTGTTTTTGTCTGTACCCAGAGGACAGACAGCTACCTGCAGACATCCGCCCTCATATTGTGGAGTCTGACATCACCTCCACCGTGCTCTTCTTGAAGAGGATGGAGATTGCTGGACTGCATCAATGTGACTTTATTGACAGACCAGGTGAGGAGGCGACCAAACCAATAAAACAGACAGGCAGTCTGTATCGGCCATGTCCTGTGATAATGAGATGACATTTGGGTTCATTCAGTCCATTCAGTCAGTTGTACTCAGACAGACAGAGGATTTTTTATTAGAGGGTAGTGAGCCGTGCCTCAGCTGTTCTGACAGCTCCTGTTCTGACAGCATCCTTTTAGAGCTGACCTGCTTCCATGTGCCTTTGTTTCCCCGGATTTATTCACCCCCACTTACAAAAACACACACTCATACACACACCCACACACTGAGCCTAGTTGTTAGTGAGTTAGTTGAACAGAGTATAAACATAGTGCTGTTGTGTGGGAGTGTCCGTGCCTCTTTGTTTCCCTGTTGTTGTTCATTGAAAACATGTTTGCACCAAAGAGAGAACAGAAAATCTCATTTGTAGCATGAGGGGCTCTTCATTTTGCATAGTGACATAGTGATGCATGGCAGATGTTGGTGAGGATTATAAAATCCTAATCTTCTGCTGCCTTTTTCCTAGGAGTGTGCCCACCAGGGTGCCAGTATACTGTACAGGGGATTGTCCCAGTGGGTCACCATTTGGGATTATATTTTAAAAAGCATGGTAAAATAATCCCCAGCAGTGCAGTTTAATGTATTTTGAGTTTAATTAATAATCTAGTAAAAACATGAGACAGTCATTTAGACTCGTGCTTGATTCAGAATGGGTATGTTTGACATTTTTGTTCACAGATTTTTAATTTAATTTTGTGTAAAAATTACAAAAACAAATCTAATCCAACCCTTCATATCACAGATCCTGAAGGTCTCATGCAGGCTTTGGAAGAGCTGGACTACCTGGCAGCTTTGGATAATGATGGGAACCTGTCTGAGATGGGTATCATCATGTCTGAGTTCCCTCTGGAGCCTCAAATGGCCAAAACTCTGCTCGCCTCCTGTGAGTTTGACTGTGTCAGCGAGGTGGTCATCATTGCTGCAATGCTAACAGGTAAAACGCAAAACACTAAATATTGTGCAGTTCCATTATGTAACTTTTGGGGTATTTTGTTTTTGCAAAGACTTGACAGTTTGAAAAAAAAAAGGAAAAAAAAATGTCATAAATTATGTGGAAAACTTAAAGCTCCTGTGAGGAACTTTCAGTTTGTGTCAATTTTGGCGCCTCCTGTGGACAAAGTAGTATTTGCTCATCCAATCCTTCAGCTACAGGTTACATTTATTGTTAATATTTTAAGTGGAAAATTGTAAAAAATAAGACTGCTGTGCTGACACTTTCCCCCTCACGCCAGTTTTAGGCGTCAAAAATGAGGATATAAAAATCTCAAATCTTGTTCATGATGATCTTCTTTACTTTTGGATATTATTACAAGGTAGCAGTATACATTTCAGCCTATTTCACAAATGCCAAAAAAACCCATATAGGAGCTTTAAGTGTAAAAAATGAGACTACTGTGGAAGTGACAAAAACTGCAGTTCCTCAAGTATCCACTTGAGGCTGTAAAACACCTGTTTACAGTACAATTAAACATGTCTGTATTTCTGACAACTGTACATGGGAGCTCATTATTCCTGACTCAATCATTCTGGTTTTATTAAAGCCAATAGTTGGGCATAATGACACATAATTAGGGGCGTAACTGTTACATCTCTCTGCCTCTTTCTATGTTATTTGAAGTCATTAAAATCAGACTTGCTTTGGTCTCATAACCCTAGGGTCCAAAATCTGCCAACATCCCTGAAACTACGTCCATGAGTGTACAAATGGACGAAATTTACAGACATCACGCCTTAAGCACTCAGAGTTGCATTGGATTTAGGCGCAGGTTACTCAGAGATATTAGATACAACATTTTTCTGCTGAAAAGTTACGCATATGAGTCCTCCCAACTCAAACAAACAAACCAACAAGTTTTCTGTGTATGTCTCATGTGGTTAACTGTGTTTTATTGTGGATTTTTCAGCACCAACATGCTTCCTGGTTCCCTCTGTGGACCTGAAGCCCGAGGCGACACAGAGCCACATGAAGTTCCAGCACCCGGAGGGAGACCACTTCACCCTGATCAACATCTACAAAGCTTTTAAACAGTGCCAGCAAGATCCACGTGAGTTTGGACAGCATCACTCACATGGGAACGAACACACCCAGATGTTTCAGAGACCAGAATTACACATCCAGTAGTTTGTTAATTCTCTCATCCTCCGTCTTCATCACTAACTCTGGTCTCCCACATAATCCTCTTTGTCAGACTGTGATGCGGAGAAATGGTGTCAGGATTTCTATTTGAACCACTCGGCTCTTCTGATGGCTGACGCTCTTCGCACTGAGCTCACAGACACTCTGAAGAGGATCGAGCTGCCTGTCTCGGTGCCTGCCTTTGGTTCCCGTAGCAACACCCTCAACATAAAGAGAGCTCTGCTGGCAGGTTTCTTCATGCAGGTCGGGAAATAGAAATCTTTTACAGTACTGAACACGAAACACGTCTGGGCTTTTCTACACCTGCTTTTAACTTCAATTCAATCTATGACTGCCGTTGTTTGTAGTTCATGCTAATCAGTATTTTCTTTAGGACTATTTCTGCACCCAAAACTTAAAGCCAAGTCTATTACCTCAACTTTGAGTTGCATAAAAACTTCTTCTAATGCTTGAACTTCTACTGAATCTTAGCTACAACTTCATTGAATTCCCAACAAGTACAAGCTCTAGTATTTTGAACTCCATCATCCTCTTATTGTTCGTATTCCAGCTGGATCTGTCCCACTGAGAAATAGACGGCTATTAGATGTCTAGTTTATTTTAGACCTAATTTCAACCGTCTAGATTCTGTATATTTTTAGACGGAATTTAGACGTTGCACTTTAACCCATTTTTCGATAAAGGTTTATTTCAAAAAGCAATTGTGAGTTGCATAACTGATCTCCAAGTACTTAACCAAAATAACCCTTTATTGCCTTTTGTATCGTATTTGATACATACTCTTATATACTTCTATCAAATCAATATGATCAACAAATTACTAAAAAAAACACCTGAATACAGTCCAATAAATGATAAAACAGTTAACAGTTTCCAAAAACATCTAATGTACCAAACGAGATAAATAAATATATTTATTGAATTTGAAGGAAATTTCGATCATTTTGGTTTTAAGTAGTAAGTGAAATAAACATTTCAGTTCCAAAAAATGTGGAATTTACTGTCCATAATTTGTGGTTTCAGGCATTGAAGGGATAATTATGACAGCTGTTGAGCAATATACAGTGTAGTAAAGATAAAGCCCAGATTTTAAACTTGGTCTAAATTTAGACATCTAAAAACCTTTCATTTTTAGACCTGTGGTAGCCTTAATTTAGACCAGTTGTCTAGGCTACATTTAGACGTCTATTAACCTTTTTGAGACCAAAAAATGCTCAGTGGGGTTTCTTGTCCAGCATCCTTAAATGTCTTGTTTAAAATATTTAGAAAATGTTTATTTTTATCAGAGTTTTTAAGGAAATTTAGAAGAACAGTTATTCGTAAGTGACTCTAGTTCCCTCCGTGGATACCCAGCTGACTCTACCTCACTGTGATTTCCTTCAGGTGGCTCGGGATGTGGATGGATCTGGAAACTACTTCATTCTGACCCATAAGCACGTGGCACAGATCCATCCTCTGTCCGCATACAGATCAAGGAGTCCCAAACTGGGCCTGCCGGAGTGGGTGCTCTTCCACGAACACTCATTCTCTGAAGACAACTGCCTCCGCACCGTCTCCCACATAACACCGGGGCAGTGAGTCTCAGTCTTGTTCATAGTTTTGCTCCTTAACTGTTCACTTGTTTTGTGTTCGCATAACAGAGCACACAGTCTTTTCATCTTGACTGATTGGGCTTGAAAATAATCAGACAGACACATTCCCTCTCCCCTGTGGGCCATATGTAAAATCCCAGTTCATGCCAGTTGTGAGGGGAGGTATCATAATCCTGTCTGCGAGTATCAGCTGCTTGGAGAGGGGATTATGGGTTGCACAGATCCCTGGGAATGTGGGAGCTGCAGATTAATGGAGGAAGAGAAAGCTCTGCAGACTTTGTCATGCTCTCTTAAGTTCCACATGCTAAATTATGGGATCCCCTTTCACTGTAGTTTGAATAATGTAAGCAGAGGACACTGTAAATCTCTCTAAATGCTGTAAATCTTCTCTCAAACAAAAGAGGGTGTCAATCAAACACAATTCAAATCGGAATTAAATTTGCAAATGAAAATTAAATTTACTTCCGTTTTGCCACTGCTCTCTTGACCGATCTCATCCTTCCCTCCCCCCCGACTAGGTTCATTGAAATGGCGCCGCAGTATTTCTTCTACAATCTACCACCTAGTGAGAGCAAAGACATCCTCCAGAATATTTTGAACCACGGAGCAACTCGATACCGAGAGGAGAAACACCCGACCTCTAAAGAAGAACCCCGAGAGGACCAGAGTTATGACCGCTGTGTCGTACAGTGACTGAATGAACCACCGCTCCCTGTGGTGCAGAAGGACTTTTTGCACCGTATTTCACAAATAGCACATAGTTTGGATAGTTACAGATCTTAAAAATTCACATTTTAAGGAGTTATTCCTTTTCTTTAGTGCCCATTATCCCACCTTTAAACCACCATACTTTGTATTCATGTTTGTATAAAGAGCACTTTAGTATAAAATAAAATAAAAACATAACAGTGATTGTTGTTTGTGGATTCTCAGTGTCTAGTTGCTTATGTGTGTGTGCTTAATCCTCCTCCTCAACCCAAATGTGGTTAAAATAAAAAGTAAACCTCCCACTCCACTATCTCTAACACAAAAAGACAATTAAAAATAATAATGCAATGACAATAAAGAGGTTATTTGTTTCAAGAAAGTGCCTATGAGTATTCCTTGTGAGTTATATCTGCGTATGCCAAAAGACAGTGCTCCTTTTATTCGATTTAAGTTTTTCTAAGACTGCTCTCATAATTGACTCTTACCTCTATCCCTTGGAGGTTTTAAATTAAGTTTCATAGTCCCCTCTGACACAGTGTTTTAATGATAGTGTGGCCTCTGCTCCTCATTTCCACATCTTACCCTCAGTCACTGTCCAACAGTCAGTCACCCACAGCACAGAGGCTCCGGCCTGATTAATGAGGAGAAGTCTGCGCTTCGCCTGCAGCTCCATCTGGCGAGGATACAGCTCAGTGACAGCAGTCTGACCCAGTTCAACGATGCTGGATTGAAAACATTGTGTCCTCTTGTCAGGGACCAAACAGAGCGAAGCTGTGGGTACCAATGTCAGGACACAAAGGGTGCAGACTCACTTGACACAAATTAAGGTCTGCCATTTATTTTGAATGGAGAAAATGTTCACCTTTGTACAACACAGAAAAAATATACACGCATTTGATGCTGTTTGATTAGATCTTCTTAAACCAATGAGCTGATATGACTCAAAAATGAAAGTTTTTCCTCATTACATGTTTATTTTTTATGACGGAGTGTTAGGGCCACATTAAGAAAAAAAATAGAAAAACTAAAACTTCGAGATTAAAGTCATTAATTTACGAGAATAAAGTCATTACTAACATGAATAAAGTCATTACTTATGAGAATAAAGTTGTGGTAGAATCATTACTTACGAGAATAAAGTTGTAATAAAGTAATTACTTATGAGGGTAAAGTGGTATTAAATCATTATGATACTTACGATAATGTGGTGCTGATGTGCCAAAAGATTAAATATCTTCTTGTTTGAGAAACCTATATTGAAGTATATTTTCACAAAATACTCCATGGCTCTTGTTCTAAACAACTGTCGTCTTAAGCAACAGGTTAAAATATGAGGACTTTATTCTTGTAAGTAATTACTTCATTACGACTTTATTCTCGTAAGTAATTACTTTATGACTTTATTCTTGTAAGTAATTACTTTATTACGACTTTTTTCTTGTAATGATCCAATTACGACTTTATTCTTGTAATTACTTTATGACTTTATACTCGCAAGTTAACGACTTTAATCTCAAAGTCTTCCTTTTTTTTTCCTTAATGTGGCCCTGATACTCCGTCGTAATTTTTGGTCTTTTCCATAAGTGTACAAATTTACTCTCACATTGTCATTTTTTAATACTGACCAAAGAAAGACAATAACTATAAAAGTTGACCCCTCGAGGTCTTTTAGAGAAGTCATATTTTCAAGAGTTTCTAGATATAAGTTGGTTAAATCTGGAGGGTTTGAACGACTTCTTACAAATTAGTGGATGCTTTTTTTTTCTAACAGTATTGTATCTAACAGTATTTCAAGTTGACAGTCTTACATTAAGTAATTGATTAAAATGTTAAGATTGAAAATGTCTTTGAGGTTCCAACACTTAATATTTGTTATTCAAAAATCTGATTTGAAAGGGTTAACTTTGTTGATGCAGAAACATCCAAAGAGACAAAGTTCATAAAATTTACAAACCTTTTATTCCATGTCACAGCAAATCATGCCGATATAAACTCACATAAATACATACAGCATTGTGGACACACAAGCCGCCAAGTTTGCATTGGATGTTGCCGAACTATTGCACATTTTTGTTTTGGAAAGCAAATATGGTGTCCAAGCTCAGTTAAGCTTGTCAGCTGTCATCCACATCCACGTGTTTTATTCACAGCGTTACTGGTATCATTGAATATCAAAAACACCAATTATATCACTGAAATGCAAGATTTTCCGCATGTGCTAAATGATTTGTCTCTTTGAGCTCCTATGTGAAGAATTTCTATGTGATCTTACTGTTTTTCTTTTGTTGTATGTTTGTAGAAAAATGAGGCAACCCAGGTGATGTTTGGAGCAGTAAACACATCCTTCACAAAGGAGCTTCACATGTTTGAAGGAATAAGAAAATTAAATAATATCTTCTGAATTTACAAGTCTTTTTAACATAAATGTACAATTCAGAACATGTGATGCAAATGTTAGAAAATGATTCATTGGTTTAAAGGCGCAGAAGGTGAACTAGCTTTAAAACTGTTATTCAGAGTGTTGCCTGAGCATGAGCCCGTCAAAAATGATGGTGTCTGAGTGTTCCCCAGAGTGGGTGCAGAGTTCAGAGTTAAAGTCTTGAATGTATTCCTCCCCCTGTGGTTTGTGTTGTTATCAGGAATGGGCCCCAGTGTCGTCACTTTCTGTTTGTGGAGTCAGCTGCTGCAGGAGCTCGATGTGGAGCGAGACGCGGCTGAGGAGGGGAGCGTTTTTCTCAGCTCGCAGCAGCTTGGAGTAGACGTTCTTGTAGGTTTTTAACAGCTCTTCATCCTTATTGCTGCAATTAATATAAATAAAGTGATCAGGGGGGAAAACTGTTATACAAGTAGTTTAGAGGATAATACCTACTTACTGTATTAGAGAAATATACCATAGAAAAAGCCTGTTAAACTACTTTTTAAGGACCACCATTAAAAAAAAGGTCTGAAAGTTAGTCCCAAAGAGATGAAACGTATAGATCTTTCTGTATTGGGGTAGTAAGTGCATATTAATGTGTATCAATTGTGTAATCTGAATTTGAAATAGGCAATCAGGTTAGAAGTAAAGGTTTTAGATAGTCACTCACCTTGGTTTCCGTTTCATCGTCGTCATCAGTTTGATCACCTGCAGCAGCAGGAAAGAGAAACTCGGCTCGAACACGCCAATCAGCTTCATCACTTCCTGGAGGTTCAGTCCAGAGGCGGGGCCACTGACTATGTCAGGAGACGGTGCTGGTTCAGCAGGTTTTGGTTCATTCAACTGTGAAAGGAAAAGATGTTGAGCTGTTAAGAAAAAAAGAGTAGAAAAACCTGAGCTTTGTAGAGATGATGAGGTATGTGAGATAGTTACCTCCAGCTCTCCCTCCACAAGCTCTTTCTGAATCATCTGGAAAGCAAAGCGAGTTTCTGTCATGATCTCTATCGCTCCAGTCAGACTCTTGAGCTTCGCGGCACTGCTGCTCTGACCTAAGGAGACATCATGTAGATCATAACATACTTTTAAGGTAGATTCAAACTAAACATCACATTATTCATCACGATGAACAATTCCTGACCTGCCATAGTAAACTCAGCAAAGGCCACTCTCTCTAGTAAGGTGCGGAGCAGCTCACAGGGAGCGTCTTTAAGGCTGAGGAACAGACAGACAGCTTTGCTGTAGTGCAGCTCTGCTAGGCTGCGGTGCTGCTTCCTCAAGTGTTCATCCCCCACCTGAAAACAAACAAATACATACGCACCAGTCTAAGTGATCTCTGTAGGTTTCAACAAGTCAAATTAAAGACTTTTTGAAGACTGTAATTAATACAATTAAAGAGCCATTAAACATCGATACTGGCAAAAAAAAGACAAAAAAGATGAAGGGAAATTGGAACGTTTTCCATTACTTTTAATCAATCTACCCCAAGTAATTTATTTGTAAGTAGAGTTAATACATTTTAAGACCTTTTACAAAATCGTATTTAAGACATTTTATAAGATATTAATAGAATTTTAGACATTTTAAGGCCTTAAATTTAAATTATTGGATTTAAGACTTTTTAAAGACTGTAAAGAATACAAATAAAGACCCATTAAACATCAATACTGGCAAAAAGGGACAAAAAAGATGAAGAGAAATTGGAACATTTTACATTTTTTAATCAATCTACCCCAAGTAATTTATTTGTAAGTAGAGTTAATACATTAAGACCTTTTAGAAAATCGTATTTAAGACATTTCATAAGATTTTAAGAGAATTTTAGACATTTTAAGGCCATAAATTCAAATTATTGGTTTTGAGACGTTTTAAAAACTGTTTAAGACCCTGCGGATACCCTGAATAAATACATACATCCACTCACCACTTGTTGTTTTTCGGGCAGCCTGTACTCTTATTTTCTGATTAACAGTTGCTGTCTATGTCTAAGCAAAGACAAAGATGAAACACAAACAGTTTTGGTTTGAAGACTCGGCCTCTGACCTGGTTTCGAAAGCAGCTGTGGTACATGGAAGCCAAACGGTGGTGGATGGTGGCCGCTCTGTACTGGTAGAGCGGCTGTCGAGCTGATTCAGTCTGTAGGTCACAGTACCTCAGAGACTTCATCATCGCCTCAGTAACCTCACGCTCAATCTGAGAGCACACACACACAAAGGGACAATGGGTGCAAAGTTTGGTCAAATCTTTGATCATTACAGATACAAAAAAAGGCTGAAAATGCGGAAAAAGTTAACACTAAATGATAATTTTAAATTAGGATTTTGCCCTTTAAAGTTTTTAAAAAGTTAAATAATCAAACACACTGATGAGTTTAGATCCCAGTATATCGTGCGACCTACCTGTTCCTGGGCCTTCCTGGATAGCGGGGCGTAGTCCTGCAGAAGTGTAGCCAGAGTGAAGTAGGTGGTGGAGAGTTCCCAGTTCACACTGTCCCAAACTGCTGGGTGGCTGTCTCGACTTGCGAGTGCCTTCATAGCTCGCAGGTAGTAGTCAATGGCCTAGGTAGAACAAGAAAACATGTAAAAGGTTTCTTTTCCCCCCCCGAAACAAAGTCCAACAAGACAGACTTCAAGGTTTAGACACGACACCTTGTTGTAGTAAAGCGCCTCCTCAGGTGAGAACTCCCCTCTGCTCTGGTCGGTAGAAACGGCACAGTGAGCCTGAGCGCAGATTCTCATCAGCCTGCCGGTGTTACACAGCAACAAGGCCGTGTTTGTTCTGTCCCTGATGGCTTCAAAGTCTGTGATACCTTTCTCAAAAAAGGCAAAACTCTTCTTCCACATCTCCTGCTCCACTACTGACACCGACTTTTTCACTGGAGGGGGAAGTAAAGGGTGTTAATTTGAAAACTAATGGTAAAATATTTTATTTTTATTACATTCAACATTCCTTAAAGCATGTATGTTAAATAGATAACTACATAAAATCTAAGGGCTTGAATTCTCTTCGCTCCCTCTGTTTTATTTTTGGAACATACCTTCTTTCTCAGTCTGCAAGGCGGCTGCCTGGTTCATGTAATAGACTCCCATCTCATTACGGATGTTTCCCAATCTTTTGAGCACGCGAGCCAGCTGATCAGAGTCATGATCTGCCAAGGCCTCAGAGACCAGCAGCTCGTATGCCGCTTCATAGCACTTACTGCTAATAAACAGCTGATACTCCGGGTCCATGGCCAGGTCAGTCGCCATATTGAAGGCTTGACAGGAGAAAATAAAACACAGGTCAATTTCATGTGCAGTGATGGACTGTTCATTAAATAATCAAACCCCTCTTATTTCTGTCAATCAGGACAGAAAGCATCACTTCTTTAGTGGCTGACCCTGGCAGCTGCTCTCTCTGTGAAGGCTGTGCAGGATCTCCTGGTCCTCTTTGGTCTGGTAGCTGTACTCCTCCTGGTAGGCAGCTCTGTTGTTGGCATTCTGGGCTAACATCAGCTGGATGTCCCCACACAGAGACAGGCACTGGCTGTGAAACTGCAGCACCTGTGGGTGCAGAGTGCTGCTCACTGAACAGTAGGCATCTGAAGGGGACAAAAAAAAGAAGAGTTTACTTAATGTGTTGCTTCATGTTATGATTATTTTACAAGTAAAAAAAGTCTACACTTTTCAATTCAAGCATACAAAAGTTACTAAATATCTAAAATATGTCTTAAAGTTACTGTAGCACTACAGCAAGCTTACCGTAACACTGCAGCGATAGCTTGATGTATCGCAGAGCTCGCCCGTACTTGAGCAGGTTGGTGGCTGCGTCTGACAGGACATAATAGGCCTTGGAAGCTTTGAGAAAGAGCTGCAGTTTCATACGGTGCTGCCATGAGCCAGGGATCATCCCTGAACGTGTCGGGTGTTTTTGGTCTGCTTGCAATGGCCCAGCTGGAGACGCATACACACAAATATCAGAGTGAGCGAGTTTAAATGACAAAAAAAATGTTCTGGCAGTCAAGAGCAAAAACCACTTTGGACATACGGACCTCTTTCGAGGAGCAGAGAGATGCCCGTCTCAGCAGAGCAGGCTGCGCTTCTGTCCTCGTATTTTAATGGAATGGGTGTGTTTGGATCTGCAGCTGGGAGATCGCTCTCCTTCTTGATGCTGCCATCCACTGCCTTCAGCCCCTGTGTGGTGTATTGCAGCCATTACTAATACAGTTAATTACACCATATCATTTGCACTGTATGTACTCATTATGCGATCTTGCCTTTAGCACATAGCTCAGCACATGTCTACATTTCTCCTCCTTGTCTTGAGAAACAGGGAAAGGGCCACTTGGCTTCAGAAATAAGAGAAAATGGAAGATCAATTATCAAAGTCAGGGTCAGAGTGAAAATGGAACATCTATTAAAAAAAACTCTCACTCTGATCTGGTGGGTGGATTTGTATTTCTCTGGGACCGACAGCTCCCAGACAGAGCGAATCACCGCCACAGCTTTGCTGTCATCCTGAGATCTGGAGCAAGAGCTGTAGGAGTTGTTCTCATCGCTGTCCTCCAGCAGCTCCGCCTCCTCCTCTTCCTCATCTTCATCCTCCCTGTCTTCATCACTGTAGCTGTCCTCAGAGCCCCCGGCCCGAAGCGACTCCTCTTCATCTTCTTGGGGAGGCTCGTCCAGCTGGAACAGCTCCGACAGCATGTAGTGAGCTGACGCAATGATCTGAACAAACAGGAGATCCATAGGAGTCAGTATCAATCAAATCTGAACATCTACCTCAGATTCACTTATTATTTATTAATAAATAACAAATTGAACATTAGCACACAGCAAAATAAGTAAGACAATAAAAGAAAAATTTATTAAAAGGAGAAAAAAAGACTGGATCGGAACGCTGGTTTGGCATCATTCATCAGATATCCGATCCAGTTAATTTGTCAATATCCCTCATCTCCTTGCTTTCCAGTCGTGTCTTCCCCTCTATAATCTAATTGTGGCTTTGATTGAAGTGTGGGACTAACCTGAGGATGCCTCTCCTGGTCCAGAAGTTTGACGCAGTTTAGTAGCAGAGTTCGTACTGTGCCGTAGTGCTTTCTGTTTTGTCTCCCCTTTAGCATCAAGTTGCTGGCAACTCTGCACCAAGAAGAACAACAAGGTGTAACAGCTGCTTCCTTTTTGTGAATTATGTCTGATGTATATAAAACTCATCATAACAATACTCAAGATTACAAAACATACCAGTGACTTGTTGTTTGCTTTTCTACTCATACCAAACCACACTTTTTTTTAACTTATTCTTAATATTTTAGGGAGCTGACCAAACAGAATCAACCCTTTCAGATTTTGCATTTGGATTTTTTGACAGTCAGCAGTAACCCATAAACCTGCTCCTGCCCCGAGTCTTTCCCAGATACTCACTTGTAGAGTAACACAGCCACGGGCAGAGTGAAGGGATTCTGACATTTCTCCTCTTCGGCCTCTTCACACAGAGTGGTGAGATCATAAAGCTTCACTATGTCACTCCCACTAGCTGTGGATTAAAACAACATGATAGGAAACATCAAAACAACAAGAGCAAAACATACAAGAGCAAGGACTTCAAAAGTCGAGCCTGTTCCCTTGTGTCACCTTTGAAAAGCCAGTAGGTGTGACCCTCTTTGGTGCAGTTGGACTTGAGGAAAGAGAGGATATTTTGAGCGATATCTTTCACCACTCTTGTAGAGAAGGTGGAGTTCTCCAAGTGAGGGATTTCCTCTGTTTTTATCATTTCGTATTTCTAGAGGAGAGATTAAAAAAGGCAGATGAATTATAAACCTGCCATTTCATAAATCATAGCATATGATGATGGAATATAGTTATGACAAAAATGACAGTGTGATTTACCTGAACGATGCCGTTGACGTGAAAGCACATGACTAGCTCTGGGACATTACACATCAGATTGTCCAGCCAGTAGTCAATCCCTGTCAGGATGTTGATTGGTTTATTGTTGTCCCTGAAAACAGTGAGAAAGTCACACATTAGAATAAACAGGATAATGAAGAATAACAGGGTGTGTGTGTAACTGATGAGGCTGCAGAGGTGGAAGTTAGATTTGTGTTTCACATTTTAATTAAAAACTGACAAGCCATGAGCAATTTGTAACCATGTATAATCCCACTGAGCAATAGACAGCTGTTAGACGTCTAGTTTTTTTAGACCTGATTTCAATCGTCTAGATTCTTTATATTTTTAGACAGAATTTAGACGTTGCACTTTAACCCATTATTCGATAACTATTTATTTCAAAAAGCAACTGTGAGTTGTATAACTGATCTTCAAGTACTTAACTAAAATAACTATGATAGCTGTTGAGCAATATACAGTGCAGTATACACTCACCGGCCACTTTATTAGGTACACCATGCTAGTAACGGGTTGGACCCCCTTTTGCCTTCAGAACTGCCTCAATTCTTCGTGGCATAGATTCAACAAGGTGCTGGAATCATTCCTCAGAGAGCTTGGTCCATATTGACATGATGGCATCACACAGTTGCCGCAGATTTGTCAGCTGCACATCCATGATGCGAATCTCCCGTTCCACCACATCCCAAAGATGCTCTATTGGATTGAGATCTGGTGACTGTGGAGGCCATTTAAGTACAGTGAACTCATTGTCATGTTCAAGAAACCAGTCTGAGATGATTCCAGCTTTATGACATGGCGCATTATCCTGCTGAAAGTAGCCATCAGAAGTTGGGTACATTGTGGTCATAAAGGGATGGACATGGTCAGCAACAATACTCAGGTAGGCTGTGGCGTTGCAACAATGCTCAATTGGTACCAAGGGGCCCCAAAGAGTGCCAAGAAAATATTCCCCACACCATGACACCACCACCACCAGCCTGAACCGTTGATACAAGGCAGGATGGATCCATGCTTTCATGTTGTTGACGCCAAATTCTGACCCTACCATCCGAATGTCGCAGCAGAAATCGAGACTCATCAGACCAGGCAACGTTTTTCCAATCTTCTATTGTCCAATTTCGATGAGCTTGTGCAAATTGTAGCCTCAGTTTCCTGTTCTGAGGCTTCCTGTTCTTAGCTGAAAGGAGTGGCACCCGGTGTGGTCTTCTGCTGCTGTAGCCCATCTGCCTCAAAGTTCGATGTACTGTGTGTTCAGAGATGCTCTTCTGCCTACCTTGGTTGTAACGGGTGGTTATTTGAGTCACTGTTGCCTTTCTATCAGCTCGAACCAGTCTGGCCATTCTCCTCTGACCTCTGGCATCAACAAGGCATTTCCGCCCACAGAACTGCCGCTCACTGGATATTTTTTCTTTTTCGGACCATTCTTTGTAAACCCTAGAGATGGTTGTGCGTGAAAATCCCAGTAGATCAGCAGTTTCTGAAATACTCAGACCAGCCCTTCTGGCACCAACAACCATGCCACGTTCAAAGTCACTCAAATCACCTTTCTTCCCCATACTGATGCTCGGTTTGAACTGCAGGAGATTGTCTTGACCATGTCTACATGCCTAAATGCACTAAGTTGCTGCCATGTGATTGGCTGATGAGAAATTAAGTGTTAACGAGCAGTTGGACAGGTGTACCTAATAAAGTGGCCGGTGAGTGTAGATAAAACCCAGATTTAGACTTGGTCTAAATTTAGACATCTGAAAAAACTCTCATTTTAGACCTGTGGTAGCCTGATTTTAGACCAGTCATCTAGGCAACATTTAGACCTCTTTTAGACCAAAAACTGCTCAGTGGGAAACAACTGAATACTCCCTGAACACAAACTGTCACTCTAGGTGTTAATTCAAGATTAATTTGCATGAACTGTCTGACATGGGCACTGAAGGAAAGAAAAAAAACACTAGGAGACAACTGCATCACAAATGTGAAATGTGAAGTAAACCGACTGTATCAAGCCTAATTGATAGAGATAAAGAATCGAAAATTCAAACCTGAGTCTCAGACTGACGGCTGGATAGCGACCTCCTCCGAAAATAGGCATGTTGGACCCAACCAACATGTGGATATCCTCAAATGTCCACATGATGTTTCGCACAAAGTCGTTCTTTAAACCCTGTGAAAGACGTCAACAAAGTGTTAGAAAACCCTGCATTCAGGTTTACATTAAACATGACTTTATAGGAGATTAACATTGAGGAAAAGTTTTTTGCTTTTTTACCTGGCTGTTCTCTCCTTCGTTGAAGAGCATAGGCAGGTTTTGCTCTTTCGGTACTGACGTCACCTGTCCCAGAGCAAACTTGCTTTCCATGGGGACACTTTCCTGCACATTTAAGAGCAGAAATGTTACTGCATTCTGAACAAATAAAAATCTCATTTAATTAGTCCACACTCCTTTCTAAAATTTGGAATAGTTTTGGAGAGACTTGACCTTTATGACTAAACACTATGAAGCAACAGTCCAAAAGTCAGGATGCTCTACCTGCTTGGGAGCATCTCGTTCTTCTGCATCAGGCGATGGGCTTGTGAAGGTGGTCGGCCATGAAGAACTCAACTCCCCTGCACCATTCTCCTCTTCTCCTTCATTCAGGCTGTCTGGTACAGGCTCTGCAGCTCCATCACCATTTATACTGGAAATGAAACAATGGTTGTTAAGTAATAAGGCTGTCCAAGATGCACCTTAGCTCCCATGATGAGCCCACACTTGTACTCACCTGTAGTAGAGGAACTTGGACAGAATTGCTTTCTGATACCAGTGCTCTTTGCTCTTCTTCTTCCTCTGCCACTTCTGATCTATAAATCGCTGGTAAAACTCTTTGAGCCACGTCCAATCACCTGTCTATAAACACACAAGCAGCAATGAGAATACACCACTACAGCTACATACTTCAAACAATCAGGTACAGTACAAGTCTGAAGAAAGTCCTCATGTACCTGTGAGGAGCTCATGAAGAGCTCTTGGATGTCCAGCTCATCCATAAGCAAAGTCCTCCCCACCCGATGAACAGCCATACTGACGTGGGACTTGCTGTAAGGAATTTTCAGAAGCTTCTTGATGTTCTGAATGAGAGAAAAAAAAATATTTTGATCAAGTATTTGGACATTTTCTCCAGATCCAAGGACACAAATGTTCAAAAGTCTCATCTCCACAAACCTCCGAGTCTGATACGACGTCAACATCATCCCCAATGCAGTCAATGAAGTCATAAGCCATCCCGAAACTGCAGAAGAAAAAAAGTGATTCATCACAACTGTGTGGTGGGACAAGATTATAACAGCAAAAACTCACACTATTAGGGTGAAGGTTGAGAGGCCAAAAACAAGTTTGTATTTGTTAATCTAATGTCTGGGATCAGTAAGTCTTTTTCAAGTCTACCAAACCAAAACTGTACAAATTAAATGCACAACAATCAACAGGTTGGCCCCATTTATCTGATCAGGTTTTGTAAAAGACTGCATTCGACAATTTTTCCTTTAAAACGGACAGTGTCTTTTCTGTAACAAATAAAACTAAATTCTTCGATAGACCAACAAGTATTCACACCAGAGCAACAAAACAACTGGAAACTGTACTTCTCCTGATGTACCTGGAAAAAGGCTTGCTCTTGCTGCTGGACCCTAACACGGTGGTGCCGGCACTGCCCAGCTGGGGGTTTTCTCTCAGCCAGTTTGCGGGCGGCAGCTTCAGATCTGTCTTCTCCTGCAGCAGGGCATAACTGGTGGGAGGTGGAGCGGCTGAATATTTGACCACAGCGCGGCTCTTTATTTCGGTACTGCCTGTGCATACTGCAGAGTCCTGCAAGATAACAAAGCAAAGCATCATATTGATAGTTTAATTGACTCTTTCTAATGAAAGAGACAAAGGCTATAATTAATATAAAAAAAACACACCTGGACAACAATACCAGCTGTCATATTCAACAAAAATACACAGTACTTCTTGCCCAAAGTTGTATAAAAGGAACAAGATCAAGTTTTCACCATTTTATCAAACCCACTGACTACTTTTCAACAGCCATAATGCATTCAATCAGTGTCAATACCAAAGAAAAATGAATAGTCAGTGTCATCCTCAATATCATCATCCTCTCTCTCTCTCTCTCTTTGTTTTTGTTTTTCTATCAAACTTTTCCACGAACCTTTGACACATGTGATATCAAAAGCCTTGGGTTGGTTCCTGATATTCCTCATACCAGTCCTAGTTTCCATCCTTGGTCTTTTTCATAATAATATACATGATGGTTGTTTTTTTTTGTTTTTTTTTAACCCCAGCCCTGAACTCAATTGGTGAGGTGACACCAAACAAGTGAACAATACAGAGTGTTGTGTCTATATAGATTCTCTTTCATCTATGTCATGGTTCAGTGTGACATGTTTTACAAGGTGTCTTGAATTTTTGCCTTGAAAATGAGTTTGAACCGTAAAGGACTTAGGAGTTAAGTTAGGTTAAAGTTTGTTCAAGAGTCAGATTTGTTTTCTTCATCCCTGCTACAAATTTAACATTTGTTATCCTTAGATTGACACTTAAACACTGTGTCCGGTGAATCAAGAAATCAGGTAATGTTGAAATCAACAATACAACAAATATCTTAGCCACCAAACATCTTGTTAGCTTTGCTTAATTTCTTTTGCAAAGAGACTAACAACTCACCTACTTTCTTCCAGCAGTCGCTTGTTTGTAGCAAGATCCATTATGGACTACAGCGGGGTGACGCAGGTCAAGGAAGAACATTTATGATCATTACTTTATAATTTCCTTGAAGTAATAATCATCATATTTATCATTTTGCACTGCAGACGCGGCAGTTTTTCTGCCTTAGAGTCTTGGTTTGATTGCATTTCCATGAAGACATGATCATAAATGTTCTTCCTTGAGCTGCGTCACCCGGCTGTCGTCCGTAATGGACTGGCCTGAGGTCTCTCTACAAACAAGCAGCTGCTGGAAGAGAGTAGGTGAGTTGCAACATTCATCTCTCGAGGGGGTGTCTGACTCGGTATTACGGTGTGTTTGACCCTAAATTAATTTTATATATATAATATCCCTTTCAGTTGTCCGTTTCCCTGCTCAGTCTTGAACTTACTCGTTTGCAGGTGTCTCCTGTGCAGGTACCACTGAGATCTTCCTTGGCGTTATCCAGGAAAGTCCCAGGCTCCCCGTCCCCGGCTGCTGCACTCATACTGGACTCAAGTCTGTTCAGCTCACAGACAGTGATATTTTTTGATCAACCAGACTATCTATCCATGGTTTAGATATCTATCTGACGTTTTTAGATTAGCTACATATCCCACTGGACGCGTCGACTCTGCAGATAAAGTTAATGATGCCTCCAGTCTGCTAGCTCGACATGCTAGCTGCTCGGAGCATCAGAGCTGACTGTTTGAGCCATAAGATAAGTGTAACGACACGAAACCGCTATCTAACTAAAGCTAAACAAAACTCTGACAAAAAGCTGCTGTTGCTGTGTGTACCTTACAATAGCTCAGTTCTTACTTAGGTAATTAAAACCCTGCAGTTTCTTCCTTTCCCATCAGCACAGTCAGTATGTTGTTGTTAGGGCGCACGTTAGTTCGAGCTGTAATGTTCTGCAGGAGGTTTTAAATAAAGTTTAGCGAAAATAAAAAAAACAGCCTGTCATCCAACTAATATGTCCTGTTTACCTTCAACTTTCTCGTTAAATTTGTTCAGTCTATCAGAATTATGGGAGCAAAACCTAAATGCAACAACTCTAACGCAGATGTTATCTTCTTTCCCAGAAACAACTCATATCTCGACACTTCTCGAAAAAAAAAGTGTAAACCGGAAGTACTTCGGATGGAGGGCAGTACGTTTTCTAGAAAATTGGAGTAACTTCTGATTTGATCTAAAGAGTTTCATTCGGATATATATATATACTTACCTGTGTTTATCTCCGTTTAATGCTTATTAACTGGTAGAAAATACTCACTTTTATGACGATACGATATGATTCAAACTGTGTATTTTGTTGATGGCTTTAAATTTCTAGTAGGGGAGAGTGGGGTAAGTTGAGCCAAAGGGTAAGTTGAGCCACCCCCTGTTGCTTGGAAGTGGTCAAAGAAATTGACCAAATATTTAGGAGATGGGCATCGATTCATGGACTCTGTGAAGGTTAGAAGCACACGGGTGAAGGGGTTAGACATTTATTTCCAAAAAAACATTTTTCACTCTTGAAAGTGAATTAAGTCTGTCATAAGTTTTAATAGAATTGTGTTCAGACCATAGACTGTATATGGACAACCTGGTTCAGCCCTCCGCCAGTTTACAGATTTGAAGCCAAAAAGCTCTCGGTAATTCCCCGTTGTTTCTCTATTTCCTGAAACCAACATTGCGCAGTAGCATTGTGCGCATTCGACGAGAGAGTCGCTGTGATGACGCTCGGATCAAACAGCGTATCCCCCCGGTGAGCTATGCAATCCTTGTACCCCAATTGCCTGTATCAAGTGTCAATCATAGAAAACATGAACCCCCTAATAACTTTTAAAAACCGAGCTGTACCAAAAAAAGAGGACTTGAGTACAAACCAGTCTGACAATAACTACATTCAAACATCGCAAGTAAGGGGAAAAATATATATTTTGTGTAATAAATTTCTAATGTTTGTCCACAGGCCCGCAAAGCTTTGCTGGTGGAGTCGGGACTTCTGACCTATACTGCAGCCCATCAACAGAGGGTGCTGTTCTCTGAGTGGCTTTGTCCAGCAAGGAGGCAGATGCTGTCCATTCTATATACAGTCTATGGGAGATGGGCATCAATTCATGGAGTCTGTGAAGGTTAGAAGCACATGGGTGAAGGGGTTAGACATTTATTTACAAAAAAAAAAAACATTTTTCACTCTTGAAAGTGAATTTAGTCTGTCATAAGTTTTTTTAGAATTGTGTTCAGACCAAAAAAGATCATTTTAAATTTGTTTTATACATCAATTGTGGTATCTAGGAGCTACAACATGAGGTCAAAAACTTGGCATAACAGTCCACCATTTTAGCTTAGAGGACTGATAAAGTCATTATAGTAGTTCAGGGGTCAGCTGAGAAAGTAAAGGGGTCTGATGAGAGGATCAGAGTTTCAGTTCAGATTGTTGAAATGTTTTCTTTTCAGAAATACAGCTGTGAATGTTCTGAATCGCTTAAAGGCATTCTCATGTTAAAATGGATTTTTACAAAACAGCTTTTTAGCAGTTATATGCAATAACAATAAAAAGAATTATTGTACATGTTGAATAGTGTATAATAGATAAAAATACACATGAATGTGAAGAAGTGACTGTTATTTAGGAATCGAGAAGGTGAGGGAGTGCTGGGGTGGAGAGTGGGGGGTAGTAAGGGTACAGCTCAACTTACCCTGCTCCTATGGTCAACTTACCCCATACACAGGGTAAGTTGACCATAGGAGACCACTTTTTTTGGCATGCTATATTATCGAGACAGTTATGTTTACACTCATTCTGTTGGTTTGCAGGGATGCACAACATCTTGAAATCTATGCAGATACACTAGTTAGAAACAAAACTATGATTGACTTGATGTAGTGATCCGAAATATGAAAAATGGCTCATCTTACCCCACTCTCCCCTTATGATTTCACAATATCAATAATCAATAATCAGACTGCATCAATCACAGATAGTTTTCCAGACGCTAATTTCCTCTTCAAACACATTTTCCCTTGCACTTCCAGTCCCTGTGTGCTTTTAATGTTGGTCATTTTCCCGTTTAATCCCGTAGACCCTCCCCTCGCGGTGTTTTAAAGCTTGTGGTGCCTTTGGCGTCCAGACTCCCTTTCTGTATTATCTAGCGTCATGCGTCTCAAATAACAATCCTCTACACGTGGCTCACGTGCAGTGAAAAGTGAATTGCGAGTTAAAAATACAAATTCAAACTTTCTGCAAAGAAACTCAATTAAGGGAGAGACAGAAAGAGGATTAGATCAGGTGCATGAGAGGTGCGTGATCTGACTGAAATTGCGATTTCACACTTTCTAACACAAAGAGGGTTGTATAATTAAAATGTGGAAGTTGTATATGATCTAAAGGCCCTTGAAGTCCACCTTACATATCTAACATGGAGTCCTATAGTAGGCTAATAATTAAAATTGACATAGGGGGCGCCTTCAAGCCAATAAACCTGAGATTGGATCTGAGGTATTATGCAGCCTACAGCAGCTGACTGACCATACAGGGGGGAGGAGGAGGAGGAGCTGGGAAACTTTGTTCCAGACCGGTAATTCTTTTTCTCATAACAATGTTTTAACAATTATTTTATCCTCGACACGCTACAACAAGTGCAAGGGGGACCACTCTTCGACCTGGAACACTTTGGACCAAAAAACAGGAGACGACTCAGTGTTTACTAGAATGTCAAGCTGGAGGAATCACGTGCGCACAAGCCTTCACCAGAGAGACAAAGTGGAGAAAGTCCCATACGCCGGCGTTTTTACATGCTGTAAGGGGAATTATTTCATATTTAACTTTTTGCAGAGGTTCATTTGAAGTGCCTCAGATTTGGACTTTTGTTTTCTTTTAGTGTCTCAGCTGGAGGAGCGGTATGAAATCCGCAAACAAATTTTGGATGATCTTCTGTGCAAAAGGTTAGACCTACACAACGACACTAAACTTGCACACTCGACTCTGAGATTTTGAAAACTGAAATGTTCTTAATTTGCAGTTTGGGACGAAGTGGAGTCGACAAAGGAAAAGACCCCAGACTACTTCAGCTCCAACTAAGAGAGAGTGAACACATGCAAGAAAAGGTGGGTCAAATAAAGTCACTGATAAACAACTTAGCATCAACCCCAGACCATTGGGAAGACAGAAACTACTATTTAGCACAACATGAACACATGTTAATACAGGGGTTTTAAAGGTTTAGACTGTTGGCCTCCCCTTTGACAATTTTGGGGATTGGATGCCACCTAGTTCATTCTTTTGGTTTTTTCCTGTTCCTGCATGCTCAGAGGATTAAGATTATTTCTAAAGCTGTTGGAACTAGAAAAGAAAAATTAAAATAGCCCTCTATTGCAGTTTGAAGGACCTCAAGACCTCCTAACACCAAGATAGAATTTGTTCAAATGCATCTGTTGGTTTTGTCTGTACAGCGGTGAGATAAACAGATCAAAGACCCTAAACTTTTTTTAATCATAAAATCTTATATAATTTTTCATTCCCATTTGTCCTATGCCTCCCCTGACTCAGGTTAAGACTCCTGTGAAAGTCTTAACATTATAGAAAAGGTGCCTGTAAAAGTGTTTTAAAAAAACCTATTAAACTACATCTTGTGTGATCCTCTGGTCATCTAATCTATTCATCCTCTCCTTTTCTTTCTCCTCAGCTGTCTCAGACAGTCTCAGACCTGACCACCGTCTTGTATCTGAAAGAAGCTGAACTGCAGTACAGGCAGGCACGGTAATTAAAGTTAAAATATGGGCTTAAAAAATTGCTCTGTCTTCTCTATCTTCCCAGTGTTAGCCTAGGGGATAAATCAGCATTAGGTGCAAGACCTCTTTATGAAATAATTGGGAATTTATTTATTTATTTTTAGAAATATAGGTCACTCTACTTAATTAAATACTTCTGCGTATGCCGTTTTCTCTCATTTGCCATAAATGTACTGCCTTTTTTTATAGATAGATTTTATAGATCAGGATCTGAATCTTCATAGGTCAGATTCTGTCCAACCCCACAACCCGCTGACTTGCATTACTCGCACAAATCCACTTTTAAGGCATTTAAAGTACCCTGTATTTGTGATCCAGAAAAGTTTTTGACACAAATTCTCCTTGTATTCCAGAGGGTAGCTAATATATAAATGTTGTATAAGTCTTGAGGGGAATCATGCTCAGCAGGATTTTGCATGAGGTGGTCTTGCCAACAGACTGTGCTCACTGGGTCATAAAGTTCAGAATCTAATGACACAGGAGTGTGTTGAGGCCCCAGGAGGGTGAGTTTTCGCACTCCTCTCTGTAGGACGACGATGTTAAATGCTTGGCTGAAGTCGGTTTACAGGATCCTGACATACATGATTTTCAGATGAGTCAGCACCTCATGCAGCGTCATAGATGTGCCCCCTTTTGTTGACCAATTAGGGTTGTGAGCAAATTGTAGAGGGTGTGGCTATGAAGGGAGACTGGTGATGTTGTGAAGTTTGACCAGACATTCTAGACTTGAGGAAAACAAAACATTGAATATAATGTGACACACCAAACAACTGTGGCAGTAGTGTTACTGTATTAGAAAATGAAAGGTTTAAATCATAATCAGGTCTGAAAATAAGCCCAAACATCTGGTAATCCAGTAAGATCTTGTTGCTGAGTATGTGCTGATTAATCTGCTTAGTATTAGTATCAACTCATAGTCTCCCTGTTGATGGGTGTTGGCCTGTTGATGAATAATTCCAATAAAATGGCAGTAGCCAGGATACCCTGATCACGTAATTCAACATGACGACCCCCCTGTACAATCTAATTTTACCCAAAATGCAGCTCTGTCTTAAGTTGTATTTTTACAGTATAAAGCTTATAAATGTTCAAGTTTGTTGACATTGTCAGGAACTGTTCCTCTGTTGACATACACGAAGGGAACTAAATATTGGGAATATCTTTTAACAAAATGCAGTCTGTGCCCTTGTGCAGTATGTTAATGTATACATGACAGTTAGCAAACTCTTACAGTATCAGTTTTGATTGGCTTGGAGGTGATAAGCTTGTAGCACTGTTGAGTTGCCATTGAAGCCCAGTTTGCCTTGAGCTTGTCTGTATTTTTGCGTTTGGTGTTACCTATCTTCCTCCTGACAAATTTCATAGATTTGCTATGATGTTCAGGGCACAGTAATATGACTTTAAATTACTTAAAAATGTTTACCTTTGTTTTTACTTCAAGATTTCTTTGGCCCCTGAACAAAATAGGAGATATAAAAACAAAATTTAAAACAGCAATAATAGATTTGAAAACATTGGTATTGGCTCTTTTTTGTCATGGAGCTTCTCTGCTTCATTGTAAATTAGTTCAACATCTTTGGAAATTTTCACTTGTCTTTTTCAGTGTGTCTCTATACCGCCAAGAGGCTCTTACACTAGCGAGGAGAAGTAACTCCCAAAGGGCGACCCTTTCAGAATTACAGCACACTATAGAGTGTCAGTCCAAAGAGTTGGCAGATCTACAGGCAGAGGTGAGAGGCCTTAAAAAAGCGCTGGCACAGGCTCGGAGAGAGAAGGAAGAACTCTTACAACGATGGATGGACGAGAAGAGAGTGGAGGCAGACCGGTTGAATAAGTACAATGACACACAAGAAAGGTGAGCGGTGAACCTCAAGAATAACATTGTCCTGGCTTAGATTAAAAGGATAACCACATATTTTGAGTCTTATAGTTATTGGTTGTTGATTTGTTTCACCAGGTGGCAACGTTTGGCAAAGCAGCTGAAGAAGCAACTCCGTATTGAAATTGGGAAAGAGTATGTCGTGACGAACACTTGGAGTGGTCAGACCGAAATGCTTCCTACTGCCATTCACTGTGAGCATCTCCTCTAAATATTACTACAAAATATAATCAGTGCAAACAGTGACAGCTTCTTAATTCAACACCAGCACTTCCCTTTAATACTGCATCCACTGACTCTCATGGGCACCAACAACCTTCATCAAGACCATCAAAAAGGGTCTAGTTGATGAGGCCAAACAAAAGGGCAAAAGCGCTGATGAAGGCCCATAAAACCTTGATCAAACTAGGATTATCACCTTACAGCTCATTCCTCAACAAACCAGGGAAATCTAAATCCATCAGAGCAGCTATAAAATTCAAAAACTGAGTAATATGCAATATAAGCTGTCTAGATGCTGCAGGAGGATTGTTCAGATTGTGATTGGTCAGAATAACCTTGACCTTCTGAGAGACGTGACAAGACTAATAGTTTTCAGTGACTGTTTGTACCTTTTGCTTGTTTTGTTATGATTGAATATGCTACAGGAAAAGACTGCACAGCTCTACAACTTGTTTTTTGTATTACTGCCAAAAGTGGCCACTTCTGGCTCAGTGGCCAAAAAGCTGATCTGGTATTTTGTGTGGTATTTTGTACAAGGCTTGACCTCAGTGTTTCATAGATCCTGACGAGTCCTCCAGTCAAGAACAAAGCAAGATCTCAACCCTGAAATGACTTTTTTGATTGGTGGAATGTGTAGTAAATCCTTCAGGAGGATGTTGAACATCACATGACGTGTTGTCTGACCTTTATTTATTCTCTTCTTGCCCTCAGGGATCAACAGTACAACAGAGATTCGGCGGGTGCACTCAGAGAGGGAGCACGTTTCAACTGTGACACAAGTCTAATGTTTCCATTGGATTGTGGACGTGTGAGCTCTTGGTACAAAGATGAATTCTTTGTCTGTTTTATCCGGTGCTTGTAGGTGAAGAACTATTTGCTCACATAAAACACCAGAACTGTGACCAAGTAGCAAACCTGATAACTTGAAGTATTATGACGAATGTTGGTTTAACTGTTCCTGTTTTTGCATTTGCCAAAAAAATTAATTTGAAGACCTGACATTTTCTCTGTGTAAGCAGTTGCAGGAGTGCCTAATTTACCAATTGTGGCTTTAGCTCTAGCCACCCTCTTCTCACGTACAGTCAGTAACACTCCAGCTTATTTCTGGACTTTGTCCTCTTCAATTCCCCTTATAGAAGAATTTTTTTAATAACTGCTCCAAATCAACAGCTGAAGGTGCTAAACTACTGAATCTGTCTCTGTCCACATCTGTTTGATTTTAGGAGTTGGTGAAGTCTTTGTAACTGTAACTGTTCATCTCTTATGTTGTAGGATAGAAATAGTGCTTGAAATGATTAAAAAAACATCTTTAAAGCTTTGTTTTAAACACATTTTTAATGATCTTTGATAATTAGCATGTATTATTAAAATGGAAAACACAAACCCTATGCCAGATAAATGTTATTGTTCACGAGTAGTATGATTGTTTTCTTTCTATGTAGGATTACTATGACAATAAAGCCCCTTATAATCTGATTTTATTTGTAAGTGAATTGGCTCTTAGTCACTGAATGAAAAAAATGTAATGGATTAAAAAAATAAGATATTCTCATATATTTAAACTTGACCATACCAGTGGAAGTATAACATTTAAAAAGTCTGTAACAAACCCTGTGATGTAAAACAATTGTCTGTAATGTAATAAAAATAAAAGAAGTGCTTTGTTTGGTTACTTTTCTCATATGTGTTTAACTGCCAAGAGTTCTAGTTCCCCAGTTTGGGATCACCTCATGTTGTTTAGAGCATGTTGCTATGGTAACCAGTGTTTGCATTAGTTGTTTAGTTGGACAGTGAATGCACCGTACTCCACTCAATGTGCTGCTCAAACTGTATCACAATGTTAAAAGGTGGAAAGAGACATTATTCAATGAGCAACGGTGGCAAATGGGTAAGAAATTTATCATTATATCATAATATCTGTTTTATTTGTTTATTTTACAGATCACAGCATTCAAAACAGACCTTACAATGAGCCTCTCCTTTCATTTTCCTTTCAGTTTGCTCATCCTGCTCTACCAGAAAATGCGCCAAAGAATCGTGAGACTTCCACAAGCACTGGGATCATGCTGAGTCAGGTTAAATCATCATTGCCCCAAGCTTTGTACTCGGAGCGTTATCCCAAACGGAAAAGTCAGCAGGTGAGAACGCAAAAAAAAGATGATCTGTTGTTTAGTGTGGCCTGTTTTTCTCTGTGAAGTCATGGCCGAGAGCTGTGGAAAATTTCAGAGAACTAAAGCAAAGTAAGAAACCGCTTCCTCATTTTATTTCCCACCACTGTATTCAGGTTGTATTAAGCTGGATTGTCCTAACATTATGGGTTTCTTTGTAGGAGTCAAGAGAGTTTCCATATTCAGACCATGACAACAAGCACTCATTAAATGATAGCATCTCTGTTTTTGCTCAAGTAAGTATAAAATGAAGATGATTCAGTACATGAAGAAGTACTTCCATCTCCACATTACTCTTGAAATAAATTCAGTTTCTATGTCATCTTGGAATATTTCAGGGTGTGGGTCGCAGAAAAGACTCTGATGATTGCAGACAGACCAAGTCCCACTTCTGCCTGTGCCATGATGGTTCGACACTGACTGAAAGCAACATCACAATCTACAAGATGGACTTCATGGAGAAGCAGAGTGATGTTAGTGCTACCAGCAAAAGGAGGTTTCCAAAAAACTACAAGCAGAGGTCTGTAGAGGCAGCTTTGGCACAGACAGGGAATCCTTTTATGTGGTTTGGGAGGTACGACCCTGGTGCCCCAGAGACCTTACAAGTCCTGGGAGAGACCAACCACTCGGTACCCTCCATTCCCAAAGGTACTCTTTAATTTAATACTTTATGCCATCATGGTGACGACATTAAACACAGAGGATATGGGGATTTTTCTGGAGGGAAATAAAGGATCGAATTGGATCTGTTTTGAGTCTTTTGGTGTATTTTAAGAGTTGGAAATCCAGGTTTCATTAACACAATAACACTAACAGTACATATACCATTTAATGCACTAAAATTAATCTGGCAAATTTAATTATACTCTTGACCATATTTTTGGTACACTTGTGGATTATGTTAGAAAAATTATTTTAACAGTGAAATACTTAAATGCAGGTCTATGTCCGTTGAACGGTGATGGTTTGTAACAGGGTATAAACAGGATACAGTCAAAGACATTAAAGGTTTGGGTTTCGCTTCCACAATCGCTGCTTTGAACATTTCCCCTCAAAAAGGAATTTTTTTGGACATTACTCAATTGAATATCCATGCCCTTTGAACTCCATGTCTTAGATTTGTAACACAGGCCTCTGTTCATAGTTTTTAGTCAGAAAGTCAATCTTAAGAACTGCATCAAGGTGACTTTTTGAACTCGATGCAACTTCCTGTGGAAACCTAGACACAAGACAGCCTTATCCAACCTGAGACTGGCTATAGCAGGTTAGACGAACCTTTAGATTTTGAGAAGACTCCTGTGAAAGTAGAGTGTCAAACAACAATTTTAGTAGAACAGGATGAAAAAAAATTGCCCGTCTTGTAATAACTTAAATCCACACAAGACACATTTTAAAAAACTCAACAAAGACAACAAACAACTTTCATTTTCCTCAAATGAAAGTACAAGTTCTCCCAAGACGTTATAAACTAATTCACTTTAAATGTATTTTAACATAGCATGACTGGTTGAACTTAAGTGTCGCAGATTTTAAATTATGTTTACATGTAGCATAATGTTGGTACAACAAAAATAAAATTTGAACCTAATAATCATCAGTGGGTGAACATCACTTTAATTCTCAGAGGTAGCCCATAAAACAGGAGAAATAAGAAAGCTGGATCAAAACAGCTGAAGAGCTTGAATCATTATATTTATACCTCAAACTTAAGGGATCCAGGAGGACTGTATGGTAAACAATTTTGCCAGCAGAGGGCAGCAAGTCTTCATAAGTTATCAGTTGGCCTCATGCTTCACTAAGATGCTCAGTGGCCAAGTTGTGTGAGTAATTTAATAACTAAAACAAATCTTTGAAATGCATGCTGTATATATGGTGTGAGGTTAAATAAGTGGCTAGAATCTCGTGTTATTTTCATGCTATGCATTTCAACATATCAACTAGAGCATATGGAATGAATTTTGAATTTTGAATGAATTTGAGTCATTTGGCATGGAGATTTAAAAGAGATAGATCACATTTATTCTGCAGAAAAGGAAAAAGCATGGGAACAAATAAATCAGAACAGTGCTCTGTGAAAAGATACATGGAGAAGAGTATCCCCAACCATTTTTTCCCAATAGCTGATTATTCCTCCAGAGTGTGCTCCGACCAGCTGCTTTCTTCCTTTAAGTACTCACTGGGGAGATGGGTTTTCTCAAAAGCTTTACTTTCAGCTGTAGTAATGAGCTGATCCACCGTTCTAACCTTGTAGGAGTTTGTTTCACTTTTAAAAGATAATGTACATCTCACAGTAAGAAAGTGAGACGAGACATCAATCTGAAGCAGCTGCCCTTTGTAATTTTACTTTGATTGTCTGGCACATTTCTGTCTGCAGGTGCACGCCTGACACCCAGCTGCAGGGCTGAGGGGTTTGTTATGACCGTGCCTTTGATAAAACTGAAAAAAAGAGGGAGCAGCTGCAGAAAAGAGACAAGCAGGTAACCAGCTTTTTTGAGCCCTGTCTTTGCCATGTCACTGGACAAAAAAAAAAGCCCAAATAATGAAGTAAAAGGACAGTTTTGGTTTTCTCTGGACCAGATTTTTTGTAAAACCCTCTGTTGAGATACAAGGGTGTTGAGAAGCAAGAGGGAGGTGTTTATTAATGACAAAAGCATCTGGGCTTGTGACTGACAGTAGGTTTCATCTAATCAGGACTAGTTGTCTGCCACCTCTGTCCCTGCTGCAGTCTACAGACAGTAGCAACAGCTTCAACAGTTCTGCGTAAATCAGTAGTTTTACATTTAACCATTATCTGCAGCAACCTCTGATGTTACAGGTGAAGCCAATGCATGAAAAGAAACTGCAGTTTGAGGTTTGCTCCCAAACCCCATCAGAGCCCATTTTAAGATGTCACTTTTTGCATTTTAACTTCTTTCATTTTCATACATGCTATGACAACCATGCTGGGAGAAGGGGGTTAAGGCTTGGAGCTAGTTTACTGGTTGCTTAAGAGATGGTAGGAGTATGAGGTTATTTAACTAAAGGGATGGTGTAGCTGTTTTCCAGGGGGCCAGACCTCATTTTAAATAAATCCTGTGAGCCCGCCCCGAGCTCCCCCTGTCACCTGGCTGCAGTATAAGTCATAAACCCTACTTTCTTCCTGTTAACAGATAGAACTTGAGTCAAAGTAGACAATCAAAATACATGTCTTATAAATGTGAGAAATAGCACATACAATCGGTTCATATCATGCCGATTTATATTCTATTTTTTCTAGTTCCAATTAGTTATTTTACATTAAAGGATGATTGATTGACATCTCCATTTGCAAATGAGAGCTCCTGCAGTGTTCTGTACTGGATTATCTGACAGGAGAAAATGTAACCAGCACTCACACAAGAGTCATTGAACTTTCTATAGCTGCAAGTGTTGGCTTGGAATCAACACAAGATTCTGTTCTGCTGGGGACTGTACCAACCTGAGGGACCCTAATATCAGACCCTTGGTTCTACCAGCCAGATAGCCCCTGCACGTGCCTTTGCTCCACAAACACGGTGTTCATTAGGGATGGGAGAAAAAAATGGATACGGCATAGCATTGCGATATTTTGTCTGAGGATATATCGTATTGTCTTATTCACCAAGTATTGAATTTTTTTCAAATCAATTGTTAGTGTGAAGTCAAATCTATGATAATGGAAAAATAAAATCACCTGTTTGTCCAGTGAGGTTGGCAGAGGTGACATCAGAGAGCAGGGAAAAGACATTAGGCACAAATGAGATGGACCTGACATAAGGTCTGCAAGATGTGCTACATGAAAATAAAATACTGTGTAAATGAGGCAAACATAAAGGAAAGACAAATGCTCAACAGTTGAAAATATTGTATAAATTGCAATATATTGTATCACAATACTCACTGTACTGTAAAATGTTAAAAATAATATCGGATCGTGGCCCAAGTATCGTGACAATATTGTATCGTGAGGCCACTGGTGATTCCCATCCCTAGTGTTTGTACTAATAAACAGTCACTGATTAATTGTATTTTTACTTGGACTTGAACATTTTTAACGTGCTCACAATCCTGTTTAGTTTCTTTTTTTATTAGTCAATAAAGATAAACTGCCATAACAAGCAGCCCAGCAGAAAGCAGACTGCAGGAGAGCATCAATCCTTATGTATGTGGTACTTTATGTGCCATGCAAAGCAGGATACACATACATCATGAAAAGGTAAACCGCTGGCATATTTGAACAGAGTCACTAGAATATCAAACCTTCTCCCAAGGACAAAAGACACTACTCAGTAAACAAGCGTTCAACCACCAAAGCCCTGCACTTCATGAATATTAAATCAGACACTTTGAATCCTACCTCTTTGGTGTTAGGAGGCCCTCGTCTGGATTCTTACCGTTTGCTGTGATTTATTCGCAGGTGCATGTGTCTCTTTGATGTGTTGTGTTGAGAGGTTTTGCACCTGTTAGAGGGAAAAAAATGCTTTGAAAACAAGAGGTGGATTTGCCAGACAGTCAAACTGACAGCAGCAGGAGGAAGATTTGTGTTGCTGTAGCACATTGTATCTGCTCATTTTTGTGCATGCGTGTGATCCCTTTTCAAAGGGCTGCTGCATTGTTATGACATACTCTGTTGTATGAACGGAAAATACACTTTTTAGTCAAAACCGAATCAACTTGTTTTCCTCTTTTTTTCCTCAAGACAGTTTTGGCATCTGTTCTGATGTTGTGAAGTTGGGCATCTTGCATCTTGTCCATTACCTATTCATTAAGGATGTGACTTGAAAAGAGAGTTGCCATGGAGATGATGCAGTTAAAATATACATCTCAACACTTTTTTTTCACTCTGTTTATCCTCCTGCCAATTATAATTAATTCCCTTAGTCTTTTTTCCATCATCCTCGTCTTATATGCTTTTTAATAAGATGTCAAGGCTCACAGTATGACTTTTCCTCATACTTAATATTTTGTTTTGTTCAAATATTCTGTTTTATCGACTGTGGAGTCCAACTCTACTTTCTACTCTGGTCCAAACTATGTAACAGTAAGACCCCTGCTAATCCCCTGTCAGTCATTACCCTCACACTACTTATAATTCCCTGGAAGTCTCTCTTTTTTCAGACTGACAGTCAGTTCGTGTCCCCTGGCAGCCTAGTGGTCCTTGTTCCAGTAATGGTCAGGGGCCCTCCAGAGTCTGAGAGTGGTGATAAAGGTGGCCAGCTATCTCATTTCCACAGAGGACAAGATAACATCCTGAGAACATTCCCCATCACTCGAGGAGTTTGTTCAGTGCCGATAAGAGCTCCCATACTAAAGCTCAGCTACACAGAGCTCTGTAAGTGTGTTTTTTTTTTGTGAGCCATTTGCACTGCACATGTGTGTTTTAAATGGAGTCAGGCCTGCATGGTGCAATGTCCGTTGGCTCGGCATCATGGCACTGAGGGAGCAGTATGCTGCAGAAACACTGCCTCGGAGGATCAGACCTATCCTTGCTCTAAATCACATTCCTCCCAGTGTTTTGCAAACCTCCGACACAGTTTGCATGCTAATTTGTGTGTAGGTGGTGAGTATAATTACATTAGGACGGTTCTAAACAAAGACCTACAAGCAGCAGTCTGTTCAAGTATCCCACCCAGGAGAGGATGCAGTTTAAACAAGGATAGATGGATTTAACATGCAGAGTTTATGGAAAAAAACTGTGTTCCAAATCTTATATCAAAAATTAATAGATGTGCTAGATTTTTATTTTCATTTTCTTCACTTTTTGATATAGATACTTGCTAAATGTAATTTTAATTATGTGTATTTATGTTTTTATATGTGTATTTTTAGAATTTGAAGGAAACAATGTGGAGGAAATCTTGACATAAAAATGGACACCTCTATGCTCCTCACACTTCAAAAACTTCTTGGTTCAGCTGTCAAACTATTGGCTCAGTTTGGCTTGCCATATTTGCTCAAGATTACCAAGTATTTCATCACTACTTAAGTGGCTCCACCTCTTAGTTTCATACAGTCTCATCCTTCATAACCGGAGCATCACAGCGCTTTAATCTCATTAGGTAAGAGAGATAAATCCATTCCAATTCTCAGAGCAGAAGCTGGACCACACATCCTACAGATTCTGCGTTTTTATGCTGCTGATTTATACTTGACCAAGAGGGTGTTGTTATTTCACAAACCGAATGTAAATGTGCCAAAAAGTGAAGTTAGCTGCACTGGTATTGGCCCTTTAATAGGAAGAGACAAGTGCAGGAAAACAATGTGACACTTAAGCTTAATTTGATTTCCTTCAGTGTGTTTTTTTTCCACACTCACAGTATAGCAACTCCTCTTGTTTACAGATGTAATGCCACAACTTCCAGTTTCAGCTCCATTATATACTGTCTATACAGCTCCTGTCATGAGCCTTGAAAACTAAACTGCGAGCACATCTCACGTAAACACTAAGTTTTTCATTTCCTGCAGTAGGAGGAAAGAAAAACATCCAGAAACCTCACAAACAAGTCTAATTAACTGTTTTCACACTTATTCTCAAGTCAAAGGGGTAAATCTGCCTCATTTGCATTCTATTGGACCCATAAATAAAAGCCAATGGATGTCTTTTAAAGGCTGCAATGAATGTGTCACAGTCCTTTATGCAGTGGAATATAATTAGATGTGAGTGTGGTCAGAGTGGTATCATTGTGTGGCTTTGTTTGGATCATTTTTGCCATCTCAAACGCAGAAGAAAAAGAAATTCTGCAGCTGGACTGTATGCACATTGAGCGGAGGAGGTATGCAGTACAATGAAAAACACTGTTAACAGTCTGACATTATTATCAAATGTAAATTACACCTCCATGAGCTTCTCATTACAATATCCCACATGTACCGTGTGTCCTAACTTGTTAAATTCTCAATTTAACAGGATCTCTTTTTTGCTGCTGATCATCATAAGTTAGTTAAATGAGCCACATTTCCCTTTCTTGCAAGGAAGGAAGGATGTGTAGTGACGTGTAACACTAATCTCAAATCACAAGTGAGGTCATATTAAAGGTAAGTTGGTTACCCGCAGTGACATATCTAAGGTTATTTGAAAGCAAATGTAATGATGAAAAAAAGGATAAATGGTTTGAGTGAATATGGATTAATCATAGTATATTTTGATATCATGCTTAATAGTACATGTGCTGGTCTAAGTTAAAGGAAACGCTATGCAATAAGGTGATTCAAGCATGAGAGACTGACTCAAGGTTGCAGTGAAATATTCATTCAAATGAGGTAAAAAAGAGTGGAGCAGCATAAGAATAACCCGTCTTTAAAGATTAACATAACCCTCAGAGATGTTATTGTATCCCCGTAACCAAGTCTCGACTTCAGCAGGTGCAGAACAGCTCTCCCTCTGTGTGAGTTACTGCATTAAGTCCCTCAAATTTAGTGGCACAATCATGAGCCTGCCGTTCACTCTCTGGAGTAGAAGAATCGCTTTGCATTTTAAAAAGGTCAAACACTCAGATCTCTGCCAGGAGGAATTGAGGGAAGAAATAATGTCTCTCTGCAGAAATATGCAGTCGCACACTACTGATCCGCTCAAATACCCAGTGTACAGTGAAGAGATTAGAGGTGTGTGTGCATTTACTGTCATCCTCTAACAGCTAGTATGTAAACAAAACACAGGAGTAAGGGTATGAATTTCCAAAGTAATACATATTTGAATTAGTTTCACTTTGATGCTAATTTGGCACGGTCTGATTCATATGCTAGTGGGTTGGGTTTTAGGAAAAGGAGAGCACAGGACATGATCCTGCTTTTATAGGTGAGCCATTGTACGCACTTTTTCTGGAAAAAAATAGTGTTCTGTAGGACTGCATCTGTACCAACAAAGCAGATTTTGTATTTATGTGTGAAGGTGTTTGAACTATAGGAAAAAATAATCATACCTAATAGGACTATCAAATTAAATTACATGGTATATCCAAACTTTCAATTACCATCATTAAATTTTGCTGCACTACTGATAGGCTGGTTTTTCATTGACTTTTGATTGATTACCTTGATAGTAGTTTAAGTGTCAATATATTTGCTGACCTATTCATTTTGAAATTATGGATGCTTTTATCAAAATTAAATCGAAGCTATAATCTCACAGCGGTGATTTCTCTGCCTATTACTCCTCAGCTATCCATCCCCTCGGCTGCTACTGCAAACATATGCTTCAGTTGGTGTCCCCAGTTGGCTGGTGTTGGTCTTTGGAGAGTTTGGGTTCATGCCCGGTTGTTACATTGTGCTGATGACAAAATGACCACAGGGGAAGATGTAGTGGACTGGGCCAAGAACCCCCAGGCCTGGGACCACACACACAGGGTCCATGTACAGACAAGATAGAAAGAGAAGATATGTAAATTATTCTTCTGTCATTAAAAGTGATCTCTTTTTCCTTGAAACGACAACGGTTTTCCGGGATTGCTGGAAAAGTATGCAGAGACTCAAGTGACCAGGAAATCCAAAGATACCATCTGCCATCTGGCCAGCACTACTGTGTGAATTAAAGGGGGTGAATATAGATTGCATGTTTTAGGCATGACACCAGAGCACAGCTGCAGTTGTTGCTATGTGCACCTGTGGCTGTAGAGCGAGTAAACACGAAGTTTGGCGCGGAGTCTCTTAGACTGTTTAGTATGGAGGAACTCTAGTCAGGGCTGAAAGCAGTATTTTACCTTCCTAGTCTTTACAAAACGACACGTTGCAAGTTATGGTAACCACAAACCCACTTGAATATTTTCAATCTGTTTAACAGTTGGCATTGATTTGTTCACTTATTGATTTAAATATTTGTGTAGCCTTATTGTTTGACTATTTTTTTCTCCAATCATCATGGCTGAAACCACTTAAGACTACTCTAAAACATCTGAGATACATCTGTTATCTTCATTTGTTTCCCTAGAGGTAGTAAATTTTAAAAAGAGTAAAGAAATATGGAAGTCAGTTTACAAAATACCCAGATTTGGTTACAGTGCAAAAGTAGAAACCTCTCTGATGACTGTGGTGCAATACAATAAGTGAGGTGAAACTGGAATTTCTGTTCATTTAAAAAACTCATTAAAATTCCTATTGGGCTGTCTTTTATGACTTAGTATTTCAAGCAGGCACATTATTTCTTCCTAAATGAATGTTAAGGGGCATCTGATGCATCTAGAATGAGAGAGTAAGAGAAAAGTAAAAGCTTCAAGTAGATGTGATTCATAGTACCGGACACTATTAAGAGATTTCTGGTCAGCAGGATTAAAAGAAAATGCAACTAATAGTTTTTTTTTTTTTTTTCAAGTAAAAGGTGCGTATTTCTGTCTTTCCTCCCATCCATAGGTTCCCTAAGGGAGTAAAAAGTTGCTTTAACCTACATACTCTACTACAGTTATGTAAAAAAAAAAAAAGAAAAAGTAGTGTTTGTAAATTTCAATGTGTCTACTCTGGACTGAAGCTGGTTGAGTTGCAGACACAAAGCTCTGGAAACTTCAAAATGTGGTTGACTTTAGTTTTTAAATGTACAGTAGAAATTAATCTGAATCGGATTGGAAGATTTAGGAGTAGCTGGTTCCCAAAAAATCACCAAGAAGCCAAGTCTTTCGCCTTGCATTGTTGTCTCTACATGACACCATGTAGGCTACGCTATTTATGCAGAAAGTTATCAATTAAAAGAAATAAAGTTTATGTTCATAACACAGCCCAGAGGCTGTATCAGGTGTCAATCACAGAAAACTTGAGGTGAACTTGGAGCTGTATAGAAAAAAGAGGACTTGAGCACAAACCAGTCTTACAATAACTACATGTCAACATCACAAGCAGGGGGGAAAAATGTTTTATCTGTGTAATAAATTTCTAACGTTTGTCCACAACCCCATAAGCTTTGCAAGGGGAGGCGGGATTTATGACCTATACTGCAGCCCGTCACCAGAGGGTGCTGTTCTCGGAGTGCCTTCACCCAGCAAGGAGGCGGACGGCGTCCATTCTATATACAGTCTATGGCTGTGTGCGAAATGAATCACTCAATCCCTATCCCGTAACCCCTATATGGGGTTTCACTATATAGCTGACTATGTAGTGAACACAATCACCGGATGGGATGCCCACCACCGGTGAGTGACCATCAGATGGTCACTACATTTTGCAATGCTCTATGGGAAATTCTGAGTCGTCTATATGTATAGGGGTTAGGGATCCATTTCGGACACAGCCTATATGTCTGACCTACTGTTTGGCATTAGCTTGCCTTATGCTAGCCTAGTTTAACACTTTTGACTGAAAGGATTTGTGGCAGCGTTTAGCCTACATCTGAACAGTTTTGACTGGGCAATGATTGTGCAACTTGATTGTCTAAATCACCATAAACAGGAAGTTACAGAATTCAGGTTGCTGGTTTATAAAGTAACAAAATGCAAAGATCTTCAACATGACTGGAACAACTCTGAAGTTTGACTGAAAAACAACACCTCCAAATATGAGGAAGTTTATGAACACAACGTAGGCTAAGACGAGAAATGTCAAGCTCACAAATAGTCTTTCTCGAAAATTCCCACCATCCTATCTCTATCAAAGTCTCTCTCCTCTGTTCAACGTGCGCGCGCGGCCCCGCGTGTCAGTGTGCGCGTGTGCTAAGTGTGTGTGTATGTGTATGTGTATGTGTGTGTGTTAAGGAGAAGTGGGCAAAGGCTCCGCCTCACTCAAAAAGCGAGAGAAAAAAAGGAAAAGCAAACTGATACACACCTCTCAATTCTGGCAGGAGGAAAAGAATAGGAGTGTTTATGAAGCGTATAAGTAAACAGCAGGATAACCAGACACACCGAGAGCCGGGGCTACTTTCCCCGCTAAAACCGACACCAGGCACCGTTTCCCAGCACCGGAGATTGTCCCGTTGCGTTCAGGATTAAGTTTTTATGTCATCCAAAGGTGGATCATTATCTAAATCCGAGATAACAAGCGAATTTGAAATGCGTAGCCTGCGATGCTATTTCTGGAGCCCCTAAAGCCGACGTTTGAACTCTCAGTAAACATCCAGTCGAGGTAGGATTCAAGATTATTGCAAAAGGTGGTTAAAAAATGTGAAAGTGTGTGCTCCACTGGGGTGTAGTTTTGAAAGCTATACTCGAGTCGCTGTCCATGTGTCCCTGCGCCATCAGCTAGGAGGGACAAGAAGGGTGGGAGTAGGCATTAGCCGATACTCCACTTCACAGTGATATGGGATCAGATTTTTTTTAAAGTTACTCATGGACCAAGTTATTCTGAGATAGCGAAACATCATGAAACATCAATTCAAACCAATTGTGATTATTTTCTACAACTGTTCTCTACTACTGATGGGCTAGTTCTTCTGAAATACATTCATGCATGTTTGTTTTTGCTGAATGAGTTTGATAAAAAGTTTTTGTGCACTTGCTTTTTCTCTGCAGTTTCACATTTCTTTCTGGCCTGTTTGCAACCAAACATCCAGTTTCAACTTCACTCATTGTCTGTAGCCTACTAATTAATGAGAGCTTAATTAGTGATCCAATCAGGCTTCCATATTAGCACCTGCACATTTTCAGACAGGAGGATAATCCCTTTCACAGAATTGACAGGCAGAAGGGGAATTGCTTCTCAAAAAGGCAACTCTCTCTCTCCTTCCCTCTCTCTGTCTTTCTCTCTCTCTCTTTTACTGCATTTTGAGGAAAGCTCCAAGTGGTAGTGGAAGAGGAGGAGGAGGGCGGCTCCATTGTCTGGCCAGCGAAGGGGTGGGGATTGAGGCTGTATGCAGATGTGCTGCTGGCGGACATCTGCTCTCCCCCCGTGGGCATTGTCACAACAGGCAGGGGAACTTAGAGTGGAGCTTGCCCACAGAGAAAAGGCCTTTGTGAGAGGATATGGAGGCCATGGCCTGCACCCTTAAACGCCATGTATATTAAAATATCTGATCATCTCAAGGGGTCCACTTTGAACCCCAAAATATAACACATTTGAGTGATTACGATTTATTTAGTTGTCTCTTTCTTAGATTGTTTTTTTTTCTACCTGGAACACCACCCTCCCTGTTTCTTCTTCCTCTCTCTCATCTCCCACCACCAACTCCCCCGGGAGGTTGAACTTCCCTTCATGTCTTTGTGGCCCGCATGTGTTCAGATGTGAAAGCCAGCCTCCAAAGGCAAAGACAATCATGAGCAGTATCACATTGTACATGGCAGCTCCTATCAGGCCTTTTGATTTATCACCGAGGAGGGAAATGCCAAGAAAATGCAAAAAAAAAAAAAGGAAGAGGGAAAAAAACTGCTTTAATATTTCTGATATAGCATATTGTTCAGTTTGTGCTTGATGGTAGAAGCTATTAGTGTTGATGTGTGTGTTGGTATCGGACATCAGGAGTCTTATTTGCCTCAACAGATATTCCCTGGTGAGTGCTTGAGTCAGTGTGCGGTGATTACAAACATGATTTGTTCTTGTAGAAGGCACTGTTGTACATGGCTGATCTGCTGTGCAACAAGCTTGTGGAGGGACTCATTTGTGTGTTTCTGCTGTGTTATGACACACTGGATAGTTGTGAGAAGCGAGCAAGGGAGCGAGTTCATCGATGCAGGGAGAGATGATGGGTTTTGAAAGCACAGGTGCCGTTTCCTTTCACAGTTTATTCTGAGGGACTACTGTCTTTATTTTCTACCATGTGGGCTTTGTTTCTTTCTTTTCGTTAACACACTTTACAAGACACGCAACAGCTGAAAAACTGACTAGTGCGTCGCCTGCCTGTTTTGAAGTCACAGAAGCAAAGTAATTACAATTGGTTAATCATATTCTCAGAGCCTAATACTCCATTTAACACAGTAATTTGGACGCTGCTGAAATAGCTCTTGTGAACTCTTCTGAGAATTCCCATAATGGCCGGGCCGCTAACGTCTTCTAAGAGCTCCCATAGGAGTAGGTTTGAGAGGATTGTACTGTCATGTGATTGTGCTATGCATTGTGGAGAGGAGGTAATGGGTGTGAAATTACACTGTGCCATCTGCAGAGAGGCCGAAAAACGCACAGCCTGATGTCACTTAGACACACTGCCTTGTGAAATGACACAGCAAGGAGAGCGACGGATTCACACCGCAGGTCCCTGACATGCCCGAATATCATCATTCTGAAATCTTTAGTTTCATTTTAGGTTTTTGTTTTGCTTCAACCAAAGCGCTGGTTAGGTTTTTAGATTAGTCCAGAAAGACTGTGGCATAAGTGCTCTTTGTTTCCAAAAGGCTTAATTTTAGATTGTAGTAAGGCTTTGATGATGAAAAGAAAGATTGTGCTGTGAAGTTTTATTGCGGTCTGTAAATAGGGAACTGTGCGCTTCAGAGCGTTTCAATTTATGACGGAACACTTGTACTTCAGTGACTCCTTCAGCAATCGTTGGTTTGTATCTAATGCTGTTTGGTAATAGTTTTGTCTCAATGAACAGACGTCTAAAACCCACTGTGTGTTTACTGTAATTGGAACACTACAAATTTCCTGCACCTGTTTCTCGCCTGTTCAGACTTGCTTTGTTGCGTCTGAGTCGGTGGATTTTGTTTGCAGTTGTGAAGGATAGTTTTGGGAGAGAGGATGTGGACAGCAGCAGGTGTCTGATTCTTTTCACTGATAAGTTGTATTTGCACTAAAAGAGACGGCACGCTCTGAAGCTCTCTGTTTCTTCGCTCTCATCTATCTTCCTTGACGTGATTTACCAGTAAACTGCTCTGAGAAATGGATACTTCCTAAGTTGTTTTTTTCTTAAGTGCAGCAGAAGTCATTTCTTAAACTCTCACAGCCTCTTTGTAGTTTGCCACATTGGCATCCGACAGGCTTGTTTGTGAGCTCTGCCAATCCTAAATTATGTATTTAAGAGGTTCAGCTGGCATGCTGACCAGAAAACAAGCAAATTATAGTCCAAGGTTTTAAAACGGAGTAAATCAAACATAAAAACCGAAGAATCCTATCCACACTTTGTCGCCAAGTCTACTAATACTGTAGTAAACTACTGTATCCAGCGTGATAAACAAAGTAATTTGCTCTGTTGTATTAGGTTTTCATTATTGCTGTTGTATCATTTCCCTGCAAATCATCTCTCTCAGTGTTTATGTGTATAATTCCCTGTGTTGTGTATGGTGTTTAGTTCCTGGGTAGAAATTGAGATAGAGCTTTGATTTTGAATTTTTCAAGGTCTTCAGAAGTCTCTTTTTATTTGAGCTAAAATGCTCAGAAATCAAATAATATGTCAAGAAATTACACGGATAATTATTTTTGAAAGTGGCCTTGTAAATTTTGGAATTGTAAATAATAAAAAACCTAATTCAAGATCCTCTTTCTGTGCTGAAATCTTCCGATTTCCTGAGTTTGTCAGCCCTGTAATTTAAACCATACAGAGATATAGCATGAAAAAACTACAGCAGGATACAAAATGGTAAATGAGTCAAACATTTGATCATTAATTCCCAATAATTCATCTATGAACACTGTTGCCAGTGTGATCTGGAACTAATACAACCACCTGTTTCCTGAGGTGTAAAAAATGGCTGCACACGAATGCTCAAAAATTTAAATCTCACTAATCTGATTCAGACATGCTGTATAGGCCCCTTAAATGTTGTTGCATCATTAACAAACAAGACCCCATCAACAGCCTGCAGCCAGATGTATAGCTGTGCATAGAGTCAATTGACCCTCGAGCAGCAACAAAAACAGGATCAATGAATCAATCAATAATACAACTTTATTCACACACTAGGAGCAATTGATTCAGAGAAGCTTGCCAATAAAAACACTGCAACATATAGACAACAAATACATTATTCATAAGAACTAAACATGGAGTAATCTAAACTGAAGGCAGATAATGAGGTAGAGTTACAAACTCGGGAAAGAAAGAAAGAAAGAAAGAAAGAAAGAAAGAAAGAAAGAGAGGATGAGTCATGATAAAAGCAGCAAAAAGAGAACCAAATTCTCCTGCTTGTTGTGAAGTGAGTGGCCGAAGAAGAGCTGGATATCACATTATAAAACATGAGTGAGCAGAAGTGTGTCTTAGAGCTGCGTTTGTGTTTGAAACATGTTTTAAGCCCTTGTGTAAACAGGGTCTTACAGGGACACTTGAACTAGATTAGGGCCATTGTTAATGTAATTAGTACACCTGTGCAGGTGTGCTGTAAACAAGGCCACTCATTTAAATGACTGGAGCTTACAGTACAGTTAGTGTGCATGCAGTGTGTTGTGGAGACTATAATGAGCATTTCTCTAAATTATTAACTCATTATATGGTTGCAGGAGCAGCAGCGGGGGTCCAGTGGAGGATGTTTACTGTTCCCTGTATTTATGACCAGGGGAGTTGGCTGTCTAATAGCCTCCCACCTGGCGTAAACCATCACACTTGGAGTCCCTGCTCTTCCTTAATGAGCGTCCGTTTTCATCCAAATTGCTCTCAACTGCATGCACGGACCTGATGCCAGAGATGCGGTTGAGTAAAGAGGGGGAAGGGTGATACTGGATAGTTAGGAGATCTAAAAGGGACGTTAAACACTATTTTTTTTGACGTAGAAAAGTGTGTGTGCCAACGTGGAAGTAAAAAGAATTGATCTCCCTCTCACCTCCCGTCTTTCGTTTGGCACAGCCGGAGCTGCAGTTGAATTTCATGCAAACCACAGAGGATTAAGGAATGAATAGTGGCCCCTTCTTCCAACTCTGTGTGTGCATGTTCGTCATGTGTGCTCGTGCTTGAGTCTGCGTGTCACTTTTTGCAGGAACTAGTAGAGACAAAGCACCATCTGCACGCAGCAGGCTGTCCTGACTGCCTGCTTCTCTCGCTGGGGCCGAGAAGAGGCTTTCTGTGAGCATTGTTATGAAATTGACTCTGCTGCTGCTGCTGCTGTTGCTGCTGTTGCTGGTTGTTAATGCTGACAGCTAATAATGTCCCCCTGGATGGCTGTGCTTTGCTGTAGCCATAGAGAAGAGACAGACTAATGAAGAGAGGCAGGAAGTGAAGGAGAAAAAAAGAGAGACAGATAGAGATGGAGATACAAGTGGGGCAATCAAATTTTTCTTTCCAGGCGAGGGGAAGTTTCCTGAAGAGGGATTACACACAAACCGAAAGCACGGGCATATGTATTGTGTTTTATTTCCTCTTATTTGTTCTTTCCTTCCTGTTCACTCTCTCCTGTCTGAGCGTCTCAGGAGGGAGGTGGCAAAAGGAGAGGAAGAAGGAGGAGGAGGAGGAGGAGGAAGGGCTCCATTGTGTCTCAGCAGAGCCCCTTTCCAGTCCAGCTGACATAGTCTTGTGTCAGGAGGATCCATCCTGCTGATGTGAGGCAAGCTGTAAAGTGAAAGAGATGTCTAAAATGCTGAAGTGTGTCCTGGCCAGCAGAGAGATGGCTCTGTTTGTTTGCCATTCTGCTGAGCACCACTTCGCAGAGAAAACTTTTCTGTCCAAATTTGCTGACAGAGAGAAAGAGGGTGAAAAAAAAAAAACGATGGAGTTGGGGTTTTGGGAGTAACTTGTAGGCACACAGAGCTTTACCCCATTGTTGGTCTGTGACATTGACATTTGGAAATGGTGAGGAGGGAGAGAAAAGAGTTAAAAGCCCACCTTTTTTTGCTGTCTCTTAGCACACAAACTGTTTTGCCTCTGCTCACAATTCTCCGAGACGACAGTCATTGAACCTTCCAACCACATGAATATGCATGATAAGTCCGCTCTTATTCTCTGCCCTCTGAGCTATTTTTTTTCCCACCCAGAGACCTGTCGTGTTGTGTTTGATTGGCCCTGACATTTGAAAAGGTCCTTGAATAAATAAAAAAAAAAGTTGTTTATGACAACTGAAGAACTCTCCTTGCAGCAGAGTAAAAATGGCATTTTGAAAGGAGCACAGCTCCTGCATATTTAAATGCTAATGGCTCTGTGAATGTGCAGGCTAATAGGATGTTTCAGTCTGGAGCAGTGCAGTATGTACACTTTCAGTATGCAGGCACACTGTCTGAGTGCTACATCTAATAGCTCTGGAAGGTGCATCAGCTCATTTTATTAGCTGATTATGTGGAGTCTGAGGAGAATTTTTTCTTTTTTTCAAATAAATGATCGCTTTCTTTTTTATGGCAGCTCGGAGATGATCTCAACATGTTCAGAAAGAAAAGCCTTTTCTTCCTCTTAAAAACAATACCCTGAGGGAAATCTGTTTTTGTGAAATTTCTGCGGCGTTTCATCACGATGGTTATGATGCAGATAAAGTTTAACAGCATGTTTTATAAGCTTTCTGATGCTGTTTGGCAAAGTAAGGCTCCTAGGCTCACTCAGCCCCTGGGGTTCTGACTGGGCAGCCCTGTAGTGAAGCGTGGTGGTTCTTGATGTATTATGAGCTGTTTTGTCAGCAGCAGCCAGCCACAAGTGCCCTGGATATCACTGGACTTTGACCTGCTTGTGGAGTATTTGGTCTCAGAGCCCTGCTTGCTCACTTAGTTTCTCTTAACACATATAACACATAAAGAAAGAAAGAAGTTATGAGCTCTGTTCAAAGGTATCACAATTATCGCTCATGACCATGGTTGAAAGCTGTTGAGTGACTTACCAAAGAGTTGATCGCTAATATTTTTGCTTCTGCCGGATGTGGATCTTAAACCATTTAAGTATGAGTGTGTTTGTACACTAATGTTTGTAGCTTTGTTTCCCCTGACTGCAAACTCATCTAAAAATGAGAACTGTTGTGTTTCCAAGAGCTCTGAATGGCTCCTTTATATTTACAGAGAGGGCAGGTCCTTTTTCTGTCATGTTGAGTTGTTTGGTCAGATGAGACAAACCAAACACGAGTTATAAAAAAAGCCCTTTTACGGTCGGCAGAGGTTCATCTTCACACTCCTTCATACTAGTCTGTTAATACCAGAACAGTGATTATTCGTGCTGTTCTCAGAGTGGCTTCACCCAGCGAGGAGGCAGTCGGCGTCCATTCTATATACAGCTACACATTATTCTAGTTAGGTGGTTGCATGCCATTTAAACCAGAAACAGGATACATACAAATTTGCCTCCATTATGCAAAACCCAGTGCTTGTTTGTTGTGGACCATTAGAGAAGAAGTGGCTGTAGCCATTAAAGCTCCTATGAGGAATTTTCAGATGTTGATAAAACAGACTAAAATTAATATTGGTGCCTTTTCATGATTTCCAAAAAAAAAAGAGAAAAAAAGACCACTATTGGGAAGATTGACTGTTTTATGACCAGCATATCAGACCAAAGATCATCCTGATAAAAGTTTGACTGACTAGTTATTTAGTGCCTACAAGCAAAGGCGGTGCTGTTTGTTTAAGTCATCTGAATGTGTACGCCCCTAGGGGGATAAAGCATTTCTTTCATCACAGTACAACATTGTACTTTTGAAATCAGTTCAATCTGTACTGGTGTAGCAGAGAGTATGTGACGAGACAAAAAGATTTGATTATGTTTCAATTTAATGTCAAGGCAAGGCTTTTCAGTCACATTTAAATGCCTTTTTACTGTCATGCTACTCTATAAAGCCTCCTTTTATGTTATTCCCAGTATAAATCAGTTCAAATAGGGGAAGGAAGGAAGGATGGATAGGGCAAATTAGCATCAGAAAGAAGCTATTTTTTGACTAGACTACCTCTCCCTCAAATTTCTGCCTCTTCAATTTGGCCTGCTATTTTTAATTTACATACCACCGTTGATCAACAGGAAAATCTTACCTTGAATTTTTTTTTTTACATCTTGGCTCTGTCCTTTTTAAACTGCCTGCATACACCGCTTTCATGCAGCTAACAGCCTCTTTGCTTGCATAAATACTGGCAGGAGTCCAAATAGGAAAACCTGGCAGATGTCCATGAAACCATTTGACTCCTAAACCACACTGTTAAGTGAGAGGCTGCACTTCACATTGATTTGAATGAGCAGTGGACATTGACATGGTTGCTGCGTACACACACCGGCTCTTGCTTGCACAGTGTTACACAAAGGCAGTTATGTACTTGTTGCTGTGGAGAGAGCTAAACAGGGTGAGCTGTCATCCTGCTTCTCATCACTCATGTGTGGTGAAAAGTGGCGTATTACCGACTCATTCCTCGCAGTTATGGAAGTGTTGACACAGTGAGTGTTGGAGCTGAGCGATGGAGTCTTTATCACCTCAGCTATCTCCATTATGAATATGGATATTACCAATGTTTTGGGAGCCCGAGGCTATCTCTTTGATTCTCGGCTGCTGAGAAGCTCAGTGGGATGGTTGGCTTTTTTACCTCGTCATGTTGTTCGCACAAAGACATGTTTGATTTTCAGCCGTATGGAGATGTTTGATTCCTGATCCTGAACAAAAAGGATTTACTGTGGGTTAATGTTTCACTGAGCCATAGAGAAGCCACAGACTCTCAGTCCCTCCCACTCAGTCCTCTGTGAATACTCCCCTCGGGACTCTGTGTGAGGTTAGAAATCTGCATCTCAGGGGCTTTCAGACAGCTCTGGCAAGTGAAAAATGTATAAGTGATTATACACGGTGCAATTATTCAGTATTTTTTTACTCGGTACCACGCATACAAACAGCAAAGACATAACTTCTTATAATAAATGTATGGAGTATACTAAACAGGATTAGTATTGCAGACTACAAGTGCATGCTGTGTTTTATTTATAGCTTCCAACATCCTTAAACTGAAGGTGAACATTTTCCTATTACGAAGTTTGGTGGCAGGAGGAGTTCGGGCAGAGCATGAGCGCAATATCAAAGCTACAGTTCACTGCTAGTGCCTTGTCAGGGGGTTTTGCTGATGCATGAGCTCTGTGTTTTACCTACAGCTATACTGAACTCACTCTTTCACAAAAACGCAGCACTGCCAACTTTGAAAATGAGGAAAGGGAGAAGTCCTATTATCTCGCTCCGACATGCAGTCAATTCAGCACTGCTGGAACGATCTTTAAAACGATGCACCGAGGGAAATGTATGAATTCTACGCACCAGTCACTTTATCCCTCACTTTTATAAGCTTTTTACACCAGTTTCCCTTCCTTGTATTGGGTTTCTTTGTTTAAATCTTGTCTAGAATGTGCCACAAGATGAGCGCTCTCATTTCACCGTACACAGAAGGCTGAAATAATGATGATGATAAACTCGAGCAGAGGTTATATGCTCTCCGGTCTTTTCAGCCTCAAGGGAAGTTTGAACCGCTGAATATTTTTACTAACTCAAAGAACATTTTTTTGTTCCACTTTTCACCCACTTGTCCGTGTCTTTTCTCCCATGGTTAAACCTCAGCCCTGACCTTTCTTTTCTCTCGTTTTTTCCTGCCAATAAGCTCTCCTTCCCTTATTTTTCTCTGCATATCAGTTGTGCCTCCTAATCTGTCTGTGCCCTTATCTTGTCTGCTTTTTTTTTTCTTTCTCCTCCCTCCCTCAGTTTCATCTCTGTGTTTTCGCTCACAGGTGGCTGAAGGATGTGCTGGCTCTTCTGTTTTTTTTTTTGCTTGCTGTCTGTGTTTCTCCTGTTTGGTATCTTTTGAATACTTGCTGCTGTCCTTGGTCGGGGAAGCGTGCAAGTGTAATAAAACCTGCCGGGAAGATGTGTACGCATGCTGAAAAGCAGCAAAACACATATGCAGTATATCTGCGTGTAGACAAAAGACCTGCACACCTATGAGCACAATGATAAATTGGTGGTATTATAGGCAGGCTATTAAATCACTGAGGAGGCTGAAAGAGACTCCCACAAGTTTGGAGTTGGAGGGAAGAGGCAGAACTTGCTGTCATTGAACTGAGGTCTTTTCATGTTGCACAGTAACAAAATGTTCTGGGAAGTTAGTTTCCATTGCTAGTTTTCAAAGCCTGGTAATGAATGCTGCTTTGTGCATCGGTGTGCCGTGTAGCATCATGGCCACAGTCTCTACCTCCTGTCTCGCTCCCCATCTTTGAGTCTTTCATGCTGGGCAGACTCCTTTAGATCCTCCCTGGAGGTTTGATGCAGCCAGACACCCACCTTGGCCCCAGTTCTCAGCCGACACGTCTGTGTTTTTTGGTGTCTGTCTGCATACATTTGACTGTGTGTGTGTGTGTGTGTGTGTGTGTGTGTGTGTGTGGGCAGCAGTGTTCAGCAGTGTTCTCACAGCCCAGCTGAGACTGACAGATGGAATCATTTCACACACGGACAGAAAGGCAGGATACAGGAAACCGGGGTGTGTTTAATAGTTGTGCCGTTGCTGCGCTTGGTTGGTATTAATCTAGGTCAGTGGCGTTCAGCTGCAGGGGTGTGGGCCTCCGGGGCAATCTTGGCCTTTTCTTAACCTCATTTACTTCACTAACTTTCAGCCCACTCACCTCAGACTGTATTTAGGTTGCTTATTAAACCCCCCCCCTGACAGGTGTAGTGTTAGGCACATTACAACGGTACCTTTTTCAGCCGGCCTTTTGCAGAGAACCACGACCAATGGAGGGGCGCTTAAACCTTGCACACATCAAGATGTTGACTCACAGCAAAGTGAGCTAAGAGGTTGTGTTTTCTTCTCTTTTATTCACTGAGAGGTGATGGTTTTGATTATTAAAATCAAAAGCAGCATCAACCAGTTCCAGTGTGTTTTGTCTCGCCACCCGCTGCATTAATTTTCATCCAAAAAAAAAAAAAAGGAGAAAAGAAAAAAAACTCAAAGATGAAACACAGTGCAGCTTATTTGTGGCCTTCAAACTAGCATTCTGCACAATTTTACATATGGCTTATGTTAAGTACACCCACAGCTCTGAGAAACAAACTGAGCTCTAGAGACCTGTGTGAAATCGACATATTCTGATATTTTAACATAACCACTGCAGAGCTGTGCTCAAAAAATAAAACCAAATACATGATTTGAGAAATCAGAGGAATCACTACTTGTATGATTAAACCCCCCAAGAGACAAGGGTAGTTTTATGCATTAGCATCTTTTAGCTAATATTTTTTGTAAACCAAAGAAACATGACCTGTTGGACTGGATGTTAAGTGATGGTAATTGTTTAGCACTAACACTGCAGTCCTCATTGACTTATTATTTAGGTTATTGGAGATGAGGCACATGATAAAAAACTGTAGAACAGATTTAGAAATAACAAACATAGCAGACAAAGACAGGCTATCAAATAAATGCATCAGAACTTAGCATTGACACGTACAGGTAGCCACATATACGAGAGAGCTAACAGTAAGGCCAGCATACTACAAATGCAAGTCAATGTTCACAGATTTACTTTTGTTTCCGCCATAAATTTGTTTTAATCTTGAAAACTTTAGAGTCAGTTAGTGATTTTATTTCTGATGGTAGGATCTTCCAAATCTGTGGCCCTTAAACAGAAAAAAAGGACAGAAAAGCTGACTTCTGGTTTTCTGGTGTACAGTCTCCACTAACTACACCTCTTGTAGTCGCCTCTTTATTTGAGTATGTCTAATATTTTCACTAAGTCCATGGCAAAGTCATTCACACACTTGAAAACCACTTTGATGAAAGAGAATTTTCTGAAATTGCCCAAACTCAATTTATCATACTGTTGATGAATTTTGCAATGGTACAGTTTCATTGGCTTTTGATCCAATGTTTTAGGGTTTGTTTGTATAATGAAAGCATGGGCTTCATTGCCGATTGGTTGACCAGGCCGTAGACAGTTACAAAATAGGAGAGGTGTAATAAAATCATCAACTGGTAAACAGGATCTTATAATTCAAAAGCGATTTAGATCAGTCTTGATGGTTTTCAATACTTTTCTGAATCGTGCCTCAAATTTTATCTGAGAATCCAACACTTTGATACTTAAACTCATTTAGTTTCTGTATTTCCCATTGATAAATAGTTATCTTGAAAGTATTACATGGTTTTCCCTTGTGGAAAAAAAACTTTTTTCACAGTTCAAGGTTAGTAAGTTGTTTTTTAGCCACTGCCAACCGTACATTCGAGGAATGTTTGAAATTAAAAGCTTAAGTGAAAAGTATTTGCCTGGGTATAAAAATGACTGAAGGACAAGATATATTATTTCTTTATCCTAATTTTATGGGCCTGTTATCCCCGCTATAAGCAAGGTGTCAGATAAGGTCACTGAAATGTGCTGCCTTAACTTCTTTTCTAAATATTTTTACTGAAGATTTCTCTGGAGCTGCATTTAGAAACATAATGTGAATAGTTTTTATTCCTCACTGGAAGTTGATAAAAAATGATAAAGTGGCTCTGCACTCAAACTAAATTGCAGCAAAAAACCCTGACATGTTTAATTAATTCAATGCATGCTAGAACAAAGTCTTTGAATCAGACAGTTTAAGGCTAAACATCTTTTCATGCTTGAGATCATAAACCAAAAGACGATGTGAAACAAACACATACTATTGTTCTTCCGCCTCAAATGAAAGAAGAATTCGCAATTCTTCAGATTCTTGTCACTTGAACATTCGCTCACCCTTTGAATGACACAGATTCAGACATCCAGAGAAGCAAGAGTGAAATAGTGGTATTTGAATAAAGAAAGACTGTCTCTTCCTTCATTAAGTGCTCAGTGCTGAAAAATTCAAAAGTATAAAGTCTGGTGTTCTGTGAAAAAAACATATAAAATTGAGATGAGTTAAACTGACAAAGATAAGGCTTTATGTGGCATTAGCTTCATCAATAAGAGGTACTTATTGTGATCCAGGGGTCAGGGAGCTCTCTCACAGTCAGAATCACATTTCAGTATCTGCTCGATATGTAAAATCATGAACCAGAGCACATTGAAAATATGCACGTTTGCACTCATATCTTGAACTCATCTCCACAGTTAATTTGCAGTTTAATTGCTTTTACAGTTGTTGCATATGCATCAGGTGCTCAGCAGTTAATTGGGAGGAAAAGACAGATCATCAAGTTCAACAATTAGCACCAGCACTTGCTAACCTCAACACACAAAAATATGTACCTAATTAGACTAGAACTACTCCGAGGGGACACGGTGGAAATGATTTAGAAGTATTCATCGCACTAGGATTACATTTTCCCAGTAATAATGCCATCCAGTGAGAGATATTTCAATAGGCAGTAATCTTAACTATGAATAGATATTACAGTGATGTGCGAAAGAAAATATTTGCAGTTATCCGTCTTTATTTTTTTGCCGTCTGAACCCTCGTTTTCTTCTTTAGGTTTTGAAGTAGTCATTATTTTAGTCTCTCCTTATTCATCATGCTCTGTGTTACTCCGTAAATCCTAAATTTACTCTAAAAATGGGTCTGTGGCTTCGTCTTTCCTCCATCAGGCATTGGTTGAGGAGGTTTTTCCGAGATTGGCTCTGTTCCAACACATTAATTTAATTTTTTTCGAAGGTCCATCTCCCTGATGCATAATTATTTCATTGCCCCTAAAATATAATTGCATTTTTGTCGCTCATCTTTGCCCTCTCTGTGGGGTTTCTATCATGTTACAGTTAAATGGTTTTTTAACATTTTACTCTGGAGAGATGTAAGAAATCAGCAAGCATAGGGTTGGACATTTGCAGTCAATGGAAACGAAGTGTGTAGACATGCCAAAGTAATGCATTTTGTGTGTTGGCCTGGTGTTAATGAACTGTAAGCTGCAGCCAGACGTGGAAAGGTGCCAAAGAGCTGAGAGAAACAAGGTGAAATGGCGAGTGATTACTCTTTCACCAGAGGACTGATAAGACTTGATGGATAACACAAAACATTGAGAGAAATAGTTTTTTATTACTGTCTGAGACATTGTTATACTGTTGGAGTAAGACTTTGTGACAACATCACTGGCTCTGCTTCATAGAGATTTTGAGAGATGGGCCGATCACACTGGAACCAAAGGCTTAGGTGTGTCATGATGATTTATCAATGTGGACTTCTGTTTTGATTGCATGAACAATAATATCAGGAAAAGTAAAAGCAGCCATTCATATCACTTCTATATCTCCATTTCAGCCGTCTTATTTTGGTTCTGTCTCAGCAAAATAGAAAATCAGTCTTTTATTTAAATGTCTGACAGTTGAGTGAAAAAAAATCAAAAATGTTTTGATGGTTTTTTTTTTTGTATGTAGATATCAATATAAATGAGCACAAATAGCAAATGAATTTATTTCAATATGCTTACAGGACTCTAGGATGAAAAAAGTTATAAAATGCCAAAAGAAACGATATGGTTTGATACCTCAGGATACAATACGATACAATACAAACGATACAGTGTGATATGTCACGATACAGTACGATACCTGAAGATACGATATGATACAATATGACATGACAATATACAATACAATATGACGCGAACCGATATGATCTGATATGTCACGATACAGTATGATACCTGAAGATATGATACGTTACAACATGAAACAATAGGATACAACATGACACAACAATATATGATATTACATGATGTGATATGATATGACATAACAAGATACAATATATGACCCGATACGATACAGTACATCACGATATGATACAATACGTTATGAAACTATATAATAAGTGTGATATAGTTTCTGCTTTCTAGACATGAACTCTTCCTTTGGCCAGTTAACTGTCATTGACGCTCCTCTCACTGCTTTAAATCATGAAGTATCAATGTGGTGGGTCAGTTTGGTGCCACATTTTCTAAATTAGACTATTAATATTCAGTCCTGGCAATTTGATAACTGTATCGCACAGGCCTGGGCAACGATATATCGCTGTGTTGATATCAGCAAGCTTTCTACCGATGTCCAGGGAATGAGTTAAAGTTTGTTTCATGAAGGATCGTGTTTCACACCGCACCAACATTGATAAGGTCGGTTTTAGCAACCCAAACGTGGTTTACATTTGCTGCCAAACAATAACTATGAATATGTTCCCCATTGAGATGCTTATGAGTTCACAGTTGATCAACAGGAGATCAATTTAGTAGTTGCAGAAAGACACTTACTGGTATTGTTATTTTATATAAATCTTTGAATGATTTAAGTTAAAGTTGTACAGCTGAGCGTGGAAATTGCTGATATTTATTCAGTTAACTTTAATCTTATCTTTCAAATTTGTGCCTTTAGATAGGAGCTGAAGGGAGACAGAAATGTAAAGAGTAGTGAAAATATACAATGGAGTTGTAGTCTGGAGTTGAGCAATTTGAACCCCTTTGTCTATTAGTAATGTGTTTTAACTGCTTCGACACCTGTTGCCCCCCATTTTGCTGTTCTTGCGCTCAGGGTGAATCTCATTTTGTTGGACTAACTGACCAAAATGATTAACAGCCAAATAGGAAATTGGAGCCTGGATATATTTTTGCCATTATGTGTAAATTGAATTAAAAGAAAACGAAGTTCTCCATGTTGTAGCTGATTAACAGACTTAATAAATGGCTGGCCTTTTGCTTTCTTACTAAAATTACATTTCGCATGTTATGAAAGAATTAAAAAATCAATCAAACAAGGTCAATTAAAAATGGATTTGAAATATTGTTCAAAGCAGACGTGTTTCTTTAGTTTGCATCACATTTGCATCAACATGCTTGAAAACCAAATGAACCGGACAAGCTCTACGATTAAGAAAGCAAAACTACACAAATTTATTCAAAACAGAGTTAAAATGTCAACAGTCTTTATTTTTAATGTTTCTATGTGTTTAAAAAACCAGAAAGCCTTTCAGTTTGAGGAGTTAGTTTCAGAAAACCAGCTTAGTCTTCATCTTGATTATCACTGAACATCATATTGTGTCTTTAATTTGCTGTAAGAATCACGTCTATCTCTCACCACCAAGGTCTGATCTCACAGTAACCCTGACGTTGAGTTGGTCCACCTCTCTTGTGTGTGTTTCTCCTTGATGTTGCGTTTGTACATCAGCCTTAAGTGCTGCTCGTTGTCACTCAGAGAAGGAAGGTCTGAGGTCACCCTTGTCATGTTGAATGTCAACAAGGAAGAGTAAAAGACAGATTTATAGCTGCAATAAAAGCATCGTGGACACAACCTTTTACCTGTCAGCTTAAGTACCGCAGGTTTTTGTGCGGTTGCTGGTGTGTGTGTGTGTCCACATGTTGCTTTTAACGTTCCAGTGTGCTTTATGAAAAAAAGAAAAACATTCCAGCGTAACATTATGACATTAGCTGAGCTTTTACGTCTTAAACGTTGACTCTGTTAGTCACCAATGGCTAGTTTTGTTTCAAAACTTGACCGCCAATCATCCAAGCGGCGAAGTCATGGTAGACTTAGTTTGAGTTCATTAGCTGTAAGGAGCTGGCATAAGCCATAACAGTCTGCAGAGTAAGTGTACATTAGTATCACCATTATGCATTTCCTGGGTGACTTAAATGGATACGCGTTGTTTCGAAATCGTGCTTTAGCACAAGTCAGCAGTTAGAGCTGCTGCAGAGAAAGATGACCAGACTGTGAGAGGAGGAAGGGAGGGATATTTCAGAGGAAAGGTAAAGGAGAAATAAAAAGACAGATTTTTGCCAACTTATAAGACTTGCAAAAGTAGGTAGATGCAGATGGACCGTCAGAGTCATGGGACTGTGACGATGATGGAGAAGTAGAAAATGCAAAGCTGTAATTGTCAGTAACTGTTGTATTTAGACAGTGAGGATTGGAGGAAGAAAAAGGCTGGCAGGGAGGAGGAAGGTGTAAATCAGCAGTGTGAGTGACGGCTTTACGTGCCCCTCGGAGCCCCAACTATCCGATTAATGAGAGGAGGGAAACCTTAACCACCTCTCCCTTGATGCCTCTGCTTTTCCTGCTATCTTGCACTTTCTGGAACATAAATCATAGACTCTTAAGCAGTCACTTTAGGGAGCTGCTACACAGTTCTTCCTCAAAATGTTGACTGGAAGATTCCCCTGTCTTATGACATGCTGCAGTAATGAGATTTCACTGCAACCAGTGTCCATTGAAGTGCATTAATTACATCTAAAACTAACAGCAGGCAGTGCACCTAGAGTAAAAACATCCGCCTCTCTGCACCTCTGAAGCTCACTTTTTAACACATGGTATTTTGTTTTACTTGTATAAGTAAAATGTGTTAAAACAACAAGTTGGGGTTTACAGGAAGCCATTTGCCAGACTGTTTCTTGGACTGGCACATTGACTTATTTTCTTTAAACCTTTTTTAAGTAACATTCACACTTTGGTTTTTGTGTAAATTTGTCAAATATGATATGGTACTTAATTTAATAAGCTTTAGAGGCACTAGTATATAAATCAAGGTATTAACAAGCTGTTATGGGCCTTTTACAATCATAGGCTATTGGTGCATATGAATATATATATATATTTTTTATATTTACGTTTTCCAACAGCAGAGGTCATTAGAAAAAAACACTTGAGTCTTTCTAACACATAGGACTCTCACTATACGGGTGGGTTTTCTCCCCACATAGGCTGTTGTCTTTCCACTGTGGAAACATGGTGGAAAAACTTGATGCTGTACATGTTTCTGTGTTTAGTGGTTGCAAAATGCTCTGATTGGAAGACATGGGAGAAAGTAGTGATTGTGCGCAAAATAATTTGTATCAGTTGATGTATTTTGATGGCGAAACTTGACAATTGGTCGATTAATTATTGAATTCATAAAGGTATTGATGTTTCGAGGAGACTCACTCTTCGTTAGATACCTCACAGATTCTGCGAAACACATCAGACTCATCTGCAGTGTATATTGACATGATATACTCTGTTATGCTGTAGTTCAAAAATTCTCTTTTATTGAGTGTCACATCTGTTATCAATGATTTCTTCTTGCCTGACATCAGTTTCGGTATCACTCTAAAATACTTCAAGTATCTGTCAGGTTGTATTTGAGTGTACCATGCCTCATGAGCTTGTTGCAGGTTGTATCATCATACTGACTGTACAGACATGAGTTGTTTCAATCTTCTCATCTTACTCCCAGAAAGAAAATGAATAAATGTATTTCCCAAAATGTCAAGCTATTTCCTCAAAGTGATAGTGTGTGAAGTGCGGGGCTGTCACATGTAGAGATGAGGCTGCACTTAAAAAGAAGATATTTAAAAGTAAAAGATGTGGAAAGAAAGCAAACGGAGAGATTTTTAGATTAGTGCCAGAGGGAGGAAATTGGAATTTTTTTATGCTCTTCTCAAGTTAAAAAAAAGTTATTTCCAGTTTATCTGAAGGGCACTGGGTTTCTCGTCAGCTCGAGTCTTGTTCAGCCTCTTTTGTATGAGGGTGTGTGTGCGTGTGTGTGTGTTTGAGCTGGTCTTAGAGTTCACATAGTTTAACCAGTTCACTGAGGTCAAGTGCTGGAAGCTGGGTTGATGATCTAAAACAAGAAAGAGTCAGACATGCCTTTTTTCTAAAGATAAACCTCCCCCTTGTAGTAAACGCCTCCAAAGATATTTCAGTCCAACACGTGTTGTGACAGAGACAAAGCAGGCTTTACTTCATTCGTGCCTTTTTACCCTGAAAGCCACAGGTTTCTTAATCTGCCGCGACGGCTCCTTCGAGAGATGGCCTCACTCAGAAAAAAAAAAAAACCCTCTCTCTTTCTCTGTTTCACTTTCCCCGCCCTTCCCTCTGCGTCTTCAGTGCTATTAAAACCTAAACAAGATCTCCTGGGCTGCCTGCCTTGTCATGCACTTTCATCCCAAAAGGAGCAGAAAAGAAAGAGATGTAAGACAATAAGCCGAAAGACAGATACGCTTTGAAAGTGAAGAACTGGCTCCCTGGGCTTGTTAAACTTCTTGATGTTGAAGGTGTCAGATGGAGACGCACTGTAAGGATTTATAACCCCAGTGAGTGATGCAACACCTGCAACATGCTTTAGCAGCATCTGGATAAAATGTCACTTGTGTTTCTGTCTCTATTGAGACACCTCAGAGGAGCTGTGGAGGCACATCAGTGGTGCACATCTGCTCGAATGCATCCCTACTCTGAGCAAATCTGGGGAATCTTATTCATGGAAATGAAGTTATTCATTAAAACTAACAGAAATCAAAGCTTCTCAGTATACTCCACTCTTCTGTATCTCAATTATGCAACGGTGTGAAAACAGTGAGATTGTCTTGCAAGTTTTATCGGCTGTAGCACTAACTAAATCTTGCAGTATGATTGTTTCATGACTTTCTCAGACATGAATTATTTTGTCAGTGGTTAGTAGAGCATGTTTTTAGTGTTGGGGAAAATGTTTTGATTGAAACTTCAGCCTTCACGATTTGAGTTGAGCATTCGCCCTTACAGTGATGACAAGACACTTTCTCTGTTTCGCCTCTGAGTTTGAGTTTTATTCTTTTTCACTTCATGTAACATCAGCGGTTGTCACGCACAGTATGAGTAAAATATGTAATAGGTTATGAAATTGTTTAGCATTGCAATGGGAGGTATGAGTAAATAAGTGTGTAATGAAATGTGTGCTTAACAGTAATACGGTTTCTCTGTTTGTTGCACTCGGCACCTTTCTGTTAAACTCATAATCTCTCCTTCACGTACAATAAGTACAATTTCAAATAGCAAGTGTGATGATCAGAGAGTTGTTAAAGTCCAGCGCATGATTTGTTGGATAACTTATCTTTTTTTTTTTTACAACATAATCTTGAAACGCAACTCAAAGAAAACCAAAACACCAAACAGAGAGAGTTAGAAGATGGGAAGTCCTTCCCTCCTTAAAAAAGAAAAGAGATGCAGATACACACAGGCATGTTTTAAATTATCTTCACATTTCAATACAAAAAAAAAAAAAAAGGATTTGGAAAATTAATGATTTTTCACTACTTCTATATTCCCTCATATTTGGTTTTCTGCAGCCCAAGGGGATAAAGAAGGTTATCCTCTCCTTTATAAATGATTGCTAAGAGTTTGGATGCATAGCCTCTGCAGGAATGTGCTTTTTTTATAATTATTAATCAGGGATTTTTTCATTTTTCCAATAATACTACAGTTATTTCTTCTTTCGATTGATCAGTCATTTAACCCCAAGGGTATTTACATGCAGAAAAGCTTCAAATCCACTCAGCTGAAAAACCATGCCTGGTTACTGTATTTAGAAGTAACTTAAAATATCAATAAAAGGCCTGTCAATCATCTCAGCACCTTACTGTTGTAATTTTTCCTGTCAGGTGTTAATTTGTTTGATTCACAGTTTGGGACTGGGCTGACAAAATAGATTCAGCTTTTATTTTTTACATTGTTTTACAATAAAGACTGAACTGGTGCATGTAATGCAATAACACAGAGAAAAATCCACAAATTAACGGTTCACATTTAAAATATACAATCATACTTTTTAGTCACACTCAAGTCCAAAAGTACATGAACTATATCCAAGAAGAAAGGTAAGATGTAATTGAAAACCTGGCTTTTCTTCTCAATTGCCGTCAAGACACAGAAAACTTAAAAGAAATGAAATAGTATTCATGACTCAGATCAAGGTTTGACTTCACAGCATTCACAACTTGTCAGGAAACATGTTAACATACTTCAGTTTGTGAGTGTAAGTGTGTGGGTTTGTGGAGGAACAATATGTCTGACCTCTTCATGTTGAGCAGTAAGCAGTACCTTGAGATGTGTATGTCTTTGAATGTGTTTAAGTGTGACTCTCTCTTCTTCTTCCTTTTTTTCCCCCTCTCTCTCTCTCTCTCTCTCTATCTCAGGTCAATCTCCTCATTGTTAAGTTACATAACGGCACTAACAGTCAAGTAACAATCCAGCAGCGTTCGTGCTGAGGGTGGTTCTCTCCAGCTGAGAGCTCTTCTCTAAGTTGTTGTTGACTTTTCAACCCGACTGCTGGAGTAGACTGTTATTTTTTACTTTATTTTTTTTATCTGCAAATAGAGTTGATCTCTGCAGTCAAATCTCTGGAGTTAATTTATGAAAATGAAGTCACACACACCACAGATTTTGGACTTTGGTGAAATTTAACTCTTTAAATGCTGAGCACACCATCAACGAAAAGTTGTATTTTAATATCAAACTGTACAGCATGAGTTTTTTTAGTGTTGTAGCAGATACAGTAATTGCTGTCGTGGTAAACTGCTCTGAGTGTAACCAAAACAGTTCTTTTTCTAGACTTGCATAGAAAAGTAAACAATTGAAATATCACTCAGTGTTGAGATATTTGAGTTGACACTTAGTCGAGTGTCTTTGTCTCAAAAACAGCTTTAAGTAATGTTTTAAGGATACAGCTAAAAAGACATTCAGTTTGCTGTACTGCTTTATGGAACTATAATTACGTGTTATTTTGTCTCCCTATGGATTGAGGGTAATTTTGATCACTTGAGTTGTCTAAAGTTTCTCTTTTTTGACAGAATAGTTATTCATGCTGGTTTCTCTTAACGACTTTTACACATGGAGAATTTTTGTTGAGGAAAATTAAAAAAAAAGACTAGAAACAAGACTCTGAAACAAGACTCTAAAAAGACTCTGAAAAGACTCTAAAAAATGACTGACTAACTTAATCTGGCACCTACTTCCAGCAAGTGTTTTCAGGTATTCATAGTATGTAGAAATCCTAGCTGTTTGAGTTAAAGTCTTGTAAACTTAAGTAAATCATTTCAAACCATCAGTATTAATTTTTTGTCTTTTCTTTTTTGTAACCAGTCAAAAACTCCTTACGAGACCTTTAACATTTAGATATTAATCATGGATCAAGATGAGATGTACCTTATTGTAGGGTCCAGCGACGTAATTGTATTTCTATTAATACTTTTAGAGCTTCGTGCCAAAATAAATCAAATCAGTTTTGGATTGTAAACTCAAAGTTTACTTGAGTTTGATTGTTTCCATCTGTACACATAATGTATAATTAGAACCAAAAAAAATGTAATACATACAGTTTGGCTTAAATACATCATTGGCATAAAAGTCTGAAAATGAAAAACAGATGAAAACAATACTGCTTTTGGACGATATACAAACCACAATGGATGATTGCGTCTAATTGCTTAAGTGTATGTTTAGGTATAATCATGAATTTTATAATCATGAATATTTAATCCTGATCCTGTCGCTCCCTAACAGTCCTCCTAAAATAATACAGAGTTATTAATAAGCCTTTAATTCAATTTAAGTCATTCCTTACAGATAAAACTGATTTTAGATGCAGTTATCATGAAAATGAGTAACTTTAAGGAGCTAGTTTTGATTCAAGTGTTGTATCAGGACAAGTGTCTTTTAATTCCTGTTCACCCAGTTTAGCCAGTGATGATTTAGATTTGTTACACTGCCATTGAGGAACTGACGAAAGTGTATTTTGATTAAGAAAAGATCTTTGTGACATCGGCCTTGTGAGGGCTGATGCCAATTTGGTGCCGATCATTTCACAAATTTGCCCAATTAACCTGCCAGCTGATTGATCGATCTGTCTCTTGCCAGTAGATTAGCAACTTTCTAAGATTATATCAGTTACATGTGGACAGGAGAAATAGGATTGGGTCCAGTTTAAGCTCAGTTACAAACATCCTCTGCATCTCATAAAGAAGGACAGAAGGCATGAGGTTACTTGTGTTTATTTTGCATTGAGGGCACAAAGAAGAGAGAGCACAGGGTGAAACTTGGAGGGGTGATCAGGTGAGTGGTGTACTCTGTGAGACGCTTCTCCCAGGTCTGCCTGTGCTCCTGAGAGCCAACAGCACAATAGTCCTTCAGAATATTATGTCTTAACTGGTGTTACAGGATGTCCCAGTATCTGAATATCTGATTTTCTTTATCAGAGACATCAAAGTTAGTCATTGAAATCTTCTTTAGAAACTGTTTTTTTCTCCCTCCTGAGTCTGCATGACCAGCACGTGTTCTTAAAAATGTCTTGCAGACACCTGTGCACCTCAGTCGTCTGTGTTACAACCCTGCCTCTGAAGCAGCTGCAGTGAAGTGAAGTCCACATCAGGAGAGTTTATTATGGCTAAATGACCAGATGCACTCCTGACCTGTAGTGTAGCCGGCTGCTCATGCAGTGTGGAGCAGAAGATGCCCGTGATCGTCTCCGCTGGTCTATTCATAGCTGTGGCAGTGTGACTCTCCCACCTCTCACTGGCTGTTTCCTGCTTTCCCTCTTTGCTCAATTACTTCTCCTCTGACTCCCACATGTGGGTCTCGAGCTCTTTGGCAGGAAAGCTTACCTTGTGGAGGAGGAGGAGAGCTGGTGAAGAAAGGCATGCAGAAAAGACTGGAATGTATAGTGCTTTGGAAACAGGACAGATTTAGCACCTATAGTGGTATTTCTTCTAAATTCACTGATCTGTAGTGCATCATCACCTTCTTCTTACCCCCCTAATCCCCTGACAGCTGGCGAACTTAAACATCAATTCAGTATTTAGCCATATTCCTACGAGCCTGGTCCATACTTAAAAGGGAAAAAAAAGTACAGCTATAATTGCAGCGTGAACCAAATATCCATAAATTATCATATAAAAAGTCAAATAAGAGCCATTCTCAAAATGCAGCTCTCGAGGATCGGGCCCAGAGGCGGAAATGAAAAGAAACAGAAGCAGGGTTATAAAGAGTGCTGAAAGAGATACAGTAAAAAATGTAGGAGGAGGATGGTGTACTCATCCTGTCAGACAATGTTTTTCTAGTACTTTCCTCTCTCTCCCTCCCACCGACCCCTTTTATCCTTCTTTTTTTTTCTGCTGATACAACCTCCTCCTGTCTGCTGACTAACTGACCCACATTCCTCACTGTGACTCGCTGCCCTTAGAGCTAGCGTGCGTGTGTGTCTGTGTGTGTGTGTGTGCTAGAGCTTACACTTCTGCTTGTCATCTTTTTGTGAGTGTGTGTGTGTGGGTGTATGTGCTTGTCTATCTCTGCCTGTGCCTCTCCCCTGCATAAAAAAAAAGAAAGAAAAAACTGTGCCGTGTCCCTCAGGCTCCAGCAGGAACCAATTAGAAGATTGCTCTTTAGAGGAGCATCAGTCACTGAACATAAATGATTGGGTAAAACGCCTCATTTACTCGCTCACTTCATGTTTGTCTGCTTCTGCCCGGTCACACTCAGTCGGGGTCTCTGGTTGGAGTAGTCATGTCTCTTCATTAAATAGATAGGCAGGGCCGAGGGAGATAAAGCTCCCTCCAGTGGAGGGCGGGGTCTCTGCAAGTATGACAAAATATAATTTTGCAAGCCAAGTGAGTGTTTCTGGCAAAATTTAGAGATAGTAACAACTGTTCATCATTGGTCTAGGATTAAAGATATCTCACATTTGTAAACAATGCACTGAGGCATTTTTAACCCTAGAACACTATCGCTGGGTGATTTCCCCCGACCAAACATGTTTACGTGATTTTCATTATGTTGCGTTTGTCTGAGTATCATGGGTCCCTGGGTAGCTTCAGCATTGCTTTTGACATCTTTGAAGGCATATTTGTTTCCCTGATCCAAAACCTGCTTTTTCCTACAGGCACGTGTTTGTGTGATTTTCACGTGGCAATAGTGATAGAGGGTAAAGTAGATTTGGGTTAATTTGATAGGTGCATGTAGGGAATAAGGTCAGCAAGTGGATATGAATAACGATCACAAAGTAGTTATTTCAAGGGAATTCATATGGTGATAAGAACTATTTTTAGTCAGCTGGTCATTTTTACTCACTCAAAATCGGCCATATTTTGGTTCTCTCTCCTGCAGTTGTTATTGTGCAAAGGACCCTGGAGTTTTCACCAGGGAAGACCTACATGTCCCAGGTCCCCTCATGGCACTTTTTTTCCTCCCTTTGGACATTACACAGTTAAAAATAAAAGAAAACTGCTTTAATTTGTCATGTATTGTCCTATTTTGATATATTTTGATGACAAGTACTTTTGGGTAGAAATAACCCGGCAATAGTGATGGTGTTACTAATTTTAGCCATAGTGTTCCAGGGTTAAGAGAGGCATAATGACTTACAATAACAAACTTGTGTAGCGAGTATGCAGTTGCTCAGGCGAATTCCCCAGTGTTGCTGGTGCTTTTAAATTTTTATTTTTATTCTTTTACCAGGAAAGGCTTTAAGCAATAAAAACATACTTTAAAGGGATAATGTATGGTGAGCAGTTGGTTATGTGAATAAGAGTCCTGCTCACCCTAAAAGGAGTTTGACTTATGTGCACCTGCTCATCATAGTTAAAACCATTTCTTATTGGCTACCAAACAAAAACAAAAGCAAGTCGACACAAAATATAACCTTAAAGATGATTTATTAACCTTAAAATACTATACAGCTAAAAAAAACATAGTTCCTCCGATTATGCTTCAGAAGTGTTTCCATGGCAACAGATTCTTGTAAACCTAGTTGCAGTACAAATGAACGATACATTGAACTTTTATAACAAGGGTAAATCTTTATTTTGCTTATTTATTATAATTTTGAACATAATAAAGGCAAATTTCACAACTTTAACTTTGTAGCTGTTATCCCTTATGATCAAGGTTCCTTTACGGTGATCGGCTGTTGCCTGAATTGCAGTACAGGATCTTGCTCCAGTTCTCCCTATCAGATTATTTGGTCCCAGTTACTCCTCAGGCTGCTCTTACATCAGTGCTTGATAACCATCATTATTTTAGGAACTATTGTTTGTGCCAAGGGGTTTTGACCAATCAGAATCAAGCATTTAACTGAGAATATCTGGGTTATAACCCATGTTAGGGTATGAAATTGAGTATATTCAAAGGCTTTTATCCCTGCTTGTTTAGCTGAACAAACATCAGATTTATGTTTGTGATCAAAGTGTGAACTGTTGGGGTCAGCTATATGCTTTCTACCGCAATTTTTTACTGATAGGCTGAGATTTACAGCAACACTGCATGCCCAGCTCTTTATGTCTCATGTCATGGGAGGTATTCCTTAGGGTGGGGATGAGTTATGAGTGTATCCCAAGAAGCCTTTCTGTCTTGTATTGAAGAAGATACACATCTTGTAAAAAGAATCAAACTGGGAACGTGAGATAGATTGACTTCATTTTGTGTGTAGATTACAGTAAATAAAAATGCATGACATAAAAAAAAATTCTGGAGTTGTCACCATCAACTTGGCCTGAAAAAGTGTCTTTGTCTCATCTTTCTTAATTTCAGGTAAAACAGGTCAGTTTAACTCTGGGAGGGCTGCTGAATTTAAGAAGATAAGGAGGAGAGGAGGACCCCAAAAATCAAGGCTGGACAGAGTGTTTCAATCTGTGAGACGGGATGGCTCTGGTTGACAAACATAAAGTGAAACGCCAGCGGCTGGACAGGATCTGTGAAGGTGAGATACACTCTTTCCCTCCTTGCTTTTTCTCTGTTCTTTGTGTTCATGTAAATTTGCGATGCCAGCTCCACATCTGCAGGTCACTGGGAGCTGTGATTCAAGTCGTGGGATGTTTTCCCCTTTGTGTGTGTGCGCATGTAACTTTGAGCTTGTGCCGGTTTATGCCGTAGCTCAAGAGAAAGATCCCCTCCCCTGTTTTATGGAAATGAAGTTTCCACCAGTGTTTAAGCCTTTCAGCCTTCTGCTACAAATTTGTTGAAAAGCCAGTGGGATCGTTTGCATAAGTGTGTTTGTGAGTGTCAAAAGGGAGCCTTGGGACCGGCCGTGGCTCCAAACTTGGGCTTTGAAGGCTGTGTGAGAGGGAGAGGAGAGTGTGTTTTGGGGTTTGTGTGTGTATTTTCGAAAAGTTTGAGTTGTTGGTGGCTGAATGAGAACGAGTTCGATGTTTTTAGATTGCTGGAGAGATGAAGTAGGGAGTTTGTTAAAAGAGAGGAACTCCTCAGAGTCCTGGTATTGATTATAGCTCGGGTTGATTTGTATGTGTGCACTTAAGAGTGTGTGTCTAAGTGAAAGACAAAGCAAGAACATTTTTCATCCATTTTTCCACAACCCTTTTTTTTTAACTCCAGATAGAGTCACTAAATGTCTCATGACTTGATTCATGAAAAAATGAAATATGCAGAGAGTCTACTGCAAGACTTGATTTGATACTTTGAACTTGAACAAATGAAACCCCAACAAGATTTATTCGTCAGTACTCAGAATTACATCTCTATCCTTGCAGCTGAAGAGACGTGAATGTGCACAACACTTGTATAAGAGCATGAGATGATTATCTCTGTAATTTCCATAAATAGTGCAGTTATAACCAGATGTATGGTGAGATTACAGCTGCATATGAGGGGCGTGTTGGGCGTAGCCTCCTTTACTGCAGCTGCTTCAGGTGAGTCTGCAAATTTGCGTGCAAAACAGCCGCTTTGTACAAAGTCGACATACATCCCTGTTCTTGTCTTTTATTTTCCATCTATGGTGTAGATCCTTAAATACTTTGACACCACTCTCTCAGATGCTTTGGTATCATGATTACGACACACAGCGACTATTTCCAAGCCTTTATCTACCAGTGGTAAACTGTATTCCTATGAGTTTGGACAGCTCATTACAGTTTGAGTCTGAACTTTTCCCAAGAGGTCAAATGAAGGTTTGAATTTGGGATTAATCGTGACAGCCCTAGTCCACAGGGGGTGCCAAAACTGACACAAACAAAACCTTTTTCACAGGAGCTTTAACAGGATTTAAAGGGAAATAAAAATATCTGTTGATGCTGAAATGAGATTAAAAAATTTGTGAAAAATGTACTTCTTGGCTTTCTTGAAAATCAACAGCCTTCAGTGAGAAAGTTTCTTCCTGAGTTAATGTCATCCCCCTTTACTGTAATTTTTTTAAGATGATGTTATTTGCAAATGTGGCAAATAACATTTCAAAACATTTAAAAAGTCGAGACAAATTGCCCTCATCTTTGTGAGTTTTTCACTCAGCCTTTCAGTGCAGCTGTTTAGAGGTGCTTTTAACACTCTGGACTGACTGCAGACATCTCTTTATTCTTAACCGTTTCCCTCTTTATGTCCATTAAACACGCCCAGGCTCTTATCTGATGCAATCCTCTCTACTTTCCTCAAAGACGGTCACAGTCCTCACTGTCTCAGTCCATTTTAAACCCTTTATTACACTGTGCAAGAAGCAACATTTAAACTTGTCTAAAAAGGAAATCATGTGAGATAATATTTTTTTTTAAATGGCAACATAGTAAATAATTATTTTTGTTTATTTTTATTCTTTTTAAATATTGTTGTGGTTTAAATTCTAACGTCTGTAAAAGAAAACCAATATCCCAGCATCTCCTCAGTCCTCTGAACGTGAAACCATTGGATTGTCTTTGAATCACTTTTAAATGAAAACTGCAGCATATCAGCATTCCTCATTTCTCAGGAAAATACTTTTTAGATTTGAAACAGTGTAATAGATTCCTAAATGAAGCTGTGATTCTGTGTGTTTCCACCCTCAGATTAGAGCCACATGTGGCGTCTCAAACCTCTCCAAACCACCAGCCCTGCTCTCTTGGAATCACTTTCTCCCTCTTTTTTTTTTTCCAACTTGGAAAATGACTGCTCTCTCTCTATCTCTCTCTAAAGAGGTAAAAATGTTCGACATCAAATAACAATATTTTCTGATCTGCCCCATTAGTCCCACAGACATCTTTAGCAGTGTCTGCATCTCTTCTGCTTATCAACAATGCAGCTATTCTGCAACAAAAAAAAAAAAAAAAAAAGAGGAAAAGGGAATTTTTTTTTCTTGATGCAGTTAGTCACCGCAGCTGCTCTTAAAAATGTGTAGAAAAGGGTGATTCACATCCAGGAAGTTAAAAGATCAAAGGATGGTGAATCACGTTGTTTTTCACGGTAGCGTTAAATGTGCTCAACCGTAGAGAAAGGGTATTTCAAAACCAGAGGCATGGGGTGTTCTGCACTATAATGTCAGAGCCACCCACTATTATCTAAAAACAGAGTGTTTGGACTGAGGCGTGAAATAGAAATCAAAGTTTGCATCATGTGTATTGACAAAAATAGGAACGTTATGGAGTGGCTGTGATTGCGTTGCCGTTGTGGGTTGCACTTTGGCGAGACAGCCAGAGAAGCTTCCCTAATCTCCATTCATCTTCTGGGATAACTGTGTCAATCCAATACTTGTTTCACAGCAGCGTGCATTGATTACATCTTTGCTCATTGTGATGAGTGGCTAACTGAGCCATGCCCGTGGCCCAAATTGAATTGGAAATGGCTGATCCAGTGTCGCCATTTACTCCCATCAAGAGCAGTCACGGTGCTGGAATGTAGTTTTCACTCTGGTGGATGTTTCACTATTGAAGATAACTAATGTGTTTTATTATCGTCGCCGCTTTTATCTAGGATTTTTGCGGGTTTCAAATTTGACATGCAAGTTCGAAACTTTCTATTTTTCAATTTTTCCACCATCAATCAGAAAATAGTGATCTCATTTTCCAAGAGCTCGACATGACATCTCGATATGCCTCATTTATTTCCAAACAATTGTCACAAATACTCAAGAATTCGAGTAACAGTGACATAAAACAGAGAAGTCACACAGCCTCAGTTTAAATCTGGAAACAGTCATTTTGTCTTGGGTTTTTCCCTGATATTACCGCTGAACTTGTAAACTATTCAGATCCAGACACATAATGTCTTGTGATTAGCTTTTATTGCATGACCTCAGAAACAAGAACTGGTATCAAGTACACACGCTGTGTAAAATGCTTCTTTTCTCTTACGGCTGTCCACCAGTGAGTCTGACTCTGCTTGAGGTTTCTGCCTGTTGAAAGGAAATTTCCCCCCTCACCACTGCTGCGCTGTGCTTACTCACAGTTGGATTAAAGTGGGGTATTATTAAATGGGATTGCAAAGAGTATGGAAAGACTTACCCTTGATAAGCACATCCATATTTTGTAGCAAGGCTGTAGTAGTCCAATCGTCAGTAGAGCTTGTTAGTTGATTCAACAAGATGAAGTGAAATGTGATCATCTTTACAATCTTAATTTTACGTTATATTGAAGAAGTTCCTGTCAAAAGCAACACCAGCCTTATTAAAATATATTGTGATGTATGACTTTTAATAGACACTAAAAGGAAAGACTTGATTGTGTAGTGTTGTATCAGTGGGGAGGTTCAGTGATAAATCAGTCAGGATCAACAATCCTGAGCCCTGCTCAAAGTATAACTCAGTGTGTTTCTGTATGTTAGCATATATCAGTCTCCATGCTTTTAAAACACTGTCTGTCATTATAATTTCTCTGTCTATGTGTGGTTTAGTTGATGTACTGATGGTGTCTTGTCTTGGGTTTTTACCTGATATTACCGCTGGACTTGTAAACTATTCAGATCCAGACACATAATGTCTTGTGATTAGCTTTTATTGCATGGCCTTAGAAACAAGAACGCAGTGTGAAATGCTTCTTTTCTCTTACGGCTGTCCACCAGTGAGTCTGGCTCTGCTTGAGGTTTCTGCCTGTTGAAAGGAAATTTCCCCCCTCACCACTGCTGCACTGTGCTTACTCACAGTTGGATTAAAGTGGGGCATTATTAAATGGGATTACAAAGAGTATGGAAAGACTTACCCTTGATAAGCACATCCATATTTTGTAGCAAGGCTGTAGTAGTCCAATCGTCAGTAAAGCTTGTTAGTTAATTCAACAAGATGAAGTGAAATGTGATCATCTTTACTATCTTAATTATGTTATATTGAAGAGGTTCCTGTCGAAAGCTACACCAGTTTAATTAAAATGTATTGTCTACTATTACGTTTGATAGACACTAAAAGGAAAGACTTGATTGTGTAGAGTTGTATGGAGGTTCGGTGATAAATCAGTCAGGATCAAATATAACTCAGCGTGTTTCAGTGTGTTAGCATACATCAGTCTCTGTGCTTAAAAAAACACAGTCTGGCATTTTAATTTCTCTGTATTTGTGTGGTTTAGTTGATATACTGATGGTATCTACACTTGTCAGGATTTCATTTGAGTTGTAAAAACAATAAAAGTCTGTTTTAATTGTTACAAACTGTGACTCTTATTTTTCCCGCTGAGCCGAACAGCATTGTTTAGTTTAGTTATCAGCTTTCAGAATGTATACGCTACAACTGTTCCTTCTGTTGTGGGTTTGTTAAAGTGCCAAGAAGAGTGTTACTGCAATATGGGAACTGTGGCAAACATCTGTTGCGAGCATCAGTTCCCATACTCACTCATTCCCCCCCTTTTTTTCTCCCTCCCCACCTCTCTCTCCCTCTCTCTCTCTTTCACTCTCCCTTTCTGTCTCTCCGTCTGTCCACTCCATCTGTGTACCCAGCATGCATTGGCTCGGGCGGGAATGCAAGTCGTTGCCATTGCCATTTAGCCAGAGCTAACTGACTGATCTGGGCAGAGATGGGATGTGAGCGGCACTGCGACGTGAACTAGGTCACAGTGACAACATGTTCCTGAATGTTGATTTACAAGTTGTAAATCTGTGCTTGGATGCAAACACCACAAGGTGGGGTAGTGTAATTTGTCATGGCTATTCCAAGTGTTGTGGTTGGCAGTTCACTAAATATGTAAATGCTTGATAATGCATCTTGTTCTGTCATGTGTAAAACATAAGGAAATGTTAAAAATGTAGCAGTGGGTAAAGTGGCCAGTCAGGCTAAAAAAGCATGAAACTTAGCTCGTGAATTATTCATTTTCTCACATTTAATGGACAAGGGAGCTTTTTTTTTGTCGTGAATTGCCTCATATTAAAGAGAGGGAGAAAGAGTACATAGGAGGAGGGGGGGTCCTGATGTCATCCCCCTGAGCGGGCTGGAGTAGGGGGCCTCTGTGTCCTAAGTTCTTTAGCACAGGGCTTTATCCACCTCTCTGCTTTCATCCCTCCCTCTCCTCCGTCTCCCCACGCTCTGGCATCCAGCTATGGGTATGAAGTCATCGGAGCGGTCTCTGGGTTTGACCCCCCCTCGGGCTTGTTCCAGGCTCCTCACCAAAACCCGCGACCCCTTTATGGGCTTTGTGGGGAGGCAGGGAGGGGCAGGGGAAAGAAAAGAGGGAAGGAGAGGGGGAAGCAGATAGTAAAATGGTACAAAGTGTTGTTTTTGGAAGGAAATTCTTCCAGATATTTGCAGCAAACCTGCTATTATGTGCTATTATTATCATTGGAGTGAGACCATTTTTTTGTGCACTCTTTGAATGAAGTCCCCTGGTTTGTTTTCCTTTCAAGTGTCTTCATTTGTCTTTGTTTGAGCTGGCATGGAATTTAGTGGTAGTTGAAAGTTGGAAATGAGTTCTTGGACGTTTTTAATATAAAAATAAACCCGTCTGCAGTTGCAGTATGTAAACAATGACATGTGAATCTGGGAGACAGGGTGATAGGATGCACCTGAAAATATGGTTCAGGGATATTGTTTAAAGGTGGGGTAGGAAGGATCTGAGGAAGTGCCAGTTTTTGAGAGACATCTTGAATGTAAACTCTACCCCTCCCACCAGTTTTCCCCTCAGCTCCTTCTCTCCTCTCCCCCTCTGCTCCAGCAAGCTCCGCCCACAAACAGACACTCCTGCTCGCTCGTATCGTTTTAATTAAATTCAGATATAATGCAGATAAACACTTAAGATAATTACAAATGGGGCCCAGTCAACGTGAAAGTAAAAAGCACTGGTGCTACTGTAGATGCCAACAGACTACCAGCAAACACAATGTTTGCAGGACTTCTACAACTAGGATAAAGTGACATAGTCCAGGACCCGAAGTAAACAGTTTAACGGCGCTAAAGGTCCCGAAACACCTCTGTTACACTTGGCTTACTTTGTTAAAGCGGTTTACTTGTCCAGCAGAAAGGATACAGGGTCCGTAAGATGAGATCCTGAAGTGTCCTCCATTGTCTGTGTTGACGTTGACCCGGCTTCTTAGCTCTTGTCCGGTCTACCTCAGTTTTAAGCGCCTGTTATTCTGCCAGAGTTTCCGGTATTTACTTCGTTTTCTTGCTTGTGTTTTCTGATTGGTTTCTACTGTCCAATATTGTAGCACGCTAACTTCGTTTGGGCTCGTGCACGTTATTGGAGAACATGGAGAGTGCCTCACAACATGAGGGAGCCGCGTCCGCCTCACAACCAATCAGGTTGGGGGAGGTGGAGAATGTGTTTGTTTTGACTACACAGACATAACAAAACACAGCGATATTGTTATATTACCAAATGTCATCAATAACTAATAGCTATTGTCTGATATTAAAAGCTTTTTTGTATATATTCACCATAAAAAAAGATGCTTCTTTAACAGAATCCTGCCTACCTCACCTTTAACACTACTGGTAGAAAAAATCTAGGGTAATTTGTGCCTTTACTGCTGCGAGTGTTTGCTTAAGAAAAAAGAAGCTGTGTGTCAATGAATGTAACATTAACTAAGTATGATATTATTCAGATAAGCACCAGCTTCATTGCTATTGACCTCCATTTTACAGTCCATTTAGCCCCTATGGAGATGCTCTCAGAGACAAATAATCCCACTGGAATCACACTCAAGGCAGCCATGTACATAATGTCTGTAAAGTGTGCATTACAATTCATCTGACAGCATTGTTCTTCGCAGCATTGTAATCCCATTTCCAGTTAGTGCCTCCTGCCCCACGCTCATGCATAAGTCAATGTGTGTTTAACATTCAAATCATGCATTAAATACGTGACGTGTCACACAGTAGGAGACAGTTGTTTTTATTTCTGTTGCCGCGCCGCGTTCACTTTGAGTTAGCGTGCGGTTTTATATTCATGTATGCGCATCAGAGCAAGGCCAAGGCTTCGCGTGTGTGAATGAAAAGGGACATTAACGAAGCTCTGCGGTCGCTGCTGTCTTTGCTGCACGTCAGAAGACAAACACAGCAGGGTCAGAAGGCTGGGTGGGGATCTGGGATCATGCAAACCCTGTGTGTGTGTGTGCGAGTGTTATATGTGTGTGTGACTGAGTGGGTGGCTGGATGGAGGAGTGAGTGTGAATGACAGATAATTTTCTAAATGGGCTTGTTGCATGAGAATCGCTCTGATTCTGACATTTGGTAAAGCGTACATGCATTTTATTCTTATGGTTGCTTAACTGTGAAATTAAAGGGACAGTTAGGATTTTCTGAAGTGGGACATTTTAATTATCTTTGATCGTGTGGTTAGTAAACTTCATTCATTGGGTGACATTTAGAAGTTGTCGCAACCCCTGTTAAAGCTCCTATGAGGAGTTTTCTTTCTTTGTGACTTTGGCGCTTTATGAAACCGGCGGATCAGGAAGGGGATGCATTAAGTCATGTGCAGTGTTCCTGTACTCATGATGCTAGGTCTCAGCCCTCACTCTCATGCCCTGGTTACGTTTCAGGACTTTTACCGTGCATGATTACTGTATTTTCGGGCTATAAGGCACACCGGATTATAAAGCGCACTATGAATTAACGCATCTTTGTTCACACATAAGGCACAACGGATTGTAAGGCACATTAAGTAAAACAACACAGTCGGGTAAATCAAACTTTCTTTAACTCAGTTGTAACAACAAATACCGGTACAGAAACATACGCTCACTTATTGATCCATTCCTCTTCCACAAATCCACTGAAATCTTCATCTTCAGTGTCTGAGTTAAACAGCTGTGCGATTTCGGCATCAAGCATGCCCGGATCCCTCTCGTCATTATCCAAGTTAGTCTCATTGCTGTTATCGGTGCTTGGCTGTTCATCGATGATTCCAGCTTTCATGAAAGCTCAGCCGACAGTCACTGTAATGCTCCAAATATCCATTGAGCGGAGCAGCTTTGTTGCTTACCGAAATTGTTCTTACACATTTCGGCAGATTCTTGAGCGCATTGTACCGCATAAAATCGGTCAGTAAGCACAACAAGTAATCATACATAAGGCGCGCTGGATTATAAGGCGCACTCTCAATTTTTGAGATCATTTAACAATTTTAAGTGCGCCTTATTATCCGAAAAATACAGTAGGCTTCCTTCTCTGGTTGTTTTTCTAGTTTGTTTGCATGAGTGACGTTTTTTTTTTCTGGAACCTTGAAGGACAACAAGATCAATAAGATGCAGTGTCTCTTTATGTAAGTAAATAGTTTACAAGTGCCCCCCTCAGCGTAAACTGTGCAGGCTTCACATTACTGCTGTTGTTGTTTTTCCCCAAGGAGACATGATTACAATAACCTCTGTAAGTGCAGCAACATGCAGTTATCTGTCCTGAGTTGCTTGTTAAACCTGAACCCTGCTCCCCTGTCTCCCCTCAAACACACTCAGGTGATGCAATGGCGGAGCTAGCATTGACAGACTAGCATCTCATGCTTGTGTTAAGCAGCTGCGAGTGCTTAAAGAAACAGTAAAAGCTTGTTGTAGGTTGCCATGATTCAGGTTGATAAAAAGCTATCGTTTTGGATGTTCTGAATTGATCATGGACCAATTGTGATAAGTTCTGATACTGTCGATAATGCCAAAGTGCTTACTTACCTGTGAAGTATGGTTTTAGCTTATTTGAAATGACATGGAAAAGGACTGTATGACTGTTTGTGTCTGCTTTAAACCAGAGCCAACTACTGGAAGGACCTTGGTATATGCTTTTTACGATTCATGTTGTGATACTTAAAATTTGTTCTTTACTGCACTTGCTCGCTTAACTTCCCTCTAACTTTACTTTGCTCGTGGCAGCTTTAGGCTCAAATAGCTCTTCTACATGCTGAACAGCCACATCTCTAAGCACAGAGGTCATAATTACAGAAATTTAAGGTACAGCAAAGAACATTTTCAAAGTCAGTTTTGCGAGGGGCAAGAAAATTGATGCACTGTTGTGAAATGAATGTTGCATCATTATGCTGTATCTACATTTTTGCACAGACCTACTGCAGATTGGCACAAGCAGCTGTGACCCAGTTCAGACTGCTCTGAGATGCAGGCATTAAATCTCCAATGAATCACATGTATATTTTTCATAAAATACTAAACTTTTTGAGTTGTTTACTGTTTTATGAAAAATACACAACTTTTTAAATTGTTGTCTTTGCACTATTTCCAATGAAACACCATCTTAAACAGCTTTCTAACTTCCTGGTATTGGGCTTGTGTAGTAGGAGGAAAAGGTGGAGAAGCCATGCCAATCTTTAAATGCAGTGAATAAGTCCTACATTCAGATTCACGCAGTTGTTTAAGTTTACACTGTTATCTTTGTATATGATTTGACCCCTTCACTTTGAAGATCGAGAGCTTTTCGCTTTAGTTCTTGGTAAGTGCCCCAGACACGGCACTTCAGAAAACTGTAACAACTCCTTTATGGTGAATAGAAGGTGCTTTCAGAGAAAAGCAGACGTCTGTAGCGATGGCAAGCCTCTTTAGTGACTGATAAACTACTGATCTAACAGATGTAATCATATCTGTCTTGTTATTTAATGCAGTTTTCTTGAACGCTGAGAGAAATGCGGGTCTTGTCGAAGTCCACTGTACCACACTACATCAGGAGAGTCTTCTGAAATCAGTTAGGAGCTAAAATTAATAGATAATTGCATCAAGATTTCTCAATATTTCCCTCATTTTGATGTTTCCACTAGTCAAGTCTTATTCAGTGTAAGGTCTTTATAAGCCTCTGCTGGGGTGGTATTATATTTGTTCCAAAATCCCCGGCTTAATTCCATAAATCCCTCTGTTACAGTGAAACTGACGTTGTGTGCACAGTCTGGCAAGTATGGCAAATGGAGGGGCATTAGAATTTGAAAGTCAAACATTGTTTAGTTGGAGACAAACAGAACTCTGCGATTTACTTTCCTGTCAGGATTAGAGCGGCAAACCCTGAGTACACACCTCTGCCCCCGTCTCTGTGTTTGAAGTTGACTTTATGGGGATGAGTGATCTGCTGCAGCGAGAGCCAGAGTCTCTTGAGAGCTGGGCTAGAAGTAGTAATGAGAGCAGTGGATGAGGATGGGGAAAGAAGCCAGAGGATCACATATACTCTGTAGGGCCATTGCTCTCGACAGGGATATGTGTGTGTTTGGGGTGTGTGTATTAGCTCTGAACATTTTCTTCTAATTCCAGACATCCCTCAAGTCCCAGAAAGAGACTGATAACTTTGCAAGGACACTTGTGGACGAGCTTAAGAATTAGAAATGAAATGTGTGATTTTCAGATTTTGGAATAGGAAAATAGTTTATAACAGCTGAACTGTGTGCCCTCAGGTGATGAATGACGCCCACCCCTGTAAGCCTAGAAACACATTTTTACAGAAAACTCTAAAACACAGTCAAAAGAGGCTTTATAATTAGTATTTTTTTGGCCAGCAGCTTTGATTCAATAAATCATCTATATAGTCTGCTTTTACCTCCATCCTTCCCATTTTAATTTCAGTTTTGCATAAAGCTGACTAATGTTCCTCTGACCTTACTAAAAGCGAAAAAAGTCCCCAGTCATCTGCAGAATTGGTTTTTTGGAACCACCGTCATCAGCTTTTTTCCCGTCATCTTGTGAAAACAGCCGAGCACTGTGCTCCCTCTCTGATCTTACCCTACTCTTATTACACAACTGTGATTAAACAAGATATTAGCGCAGACGGTGACAGACATCCCTGCGCATTTTCAACAGGCCCTTTGTGTGACATTCAGAACCTTTAATATGGTAATTTTAACGAGGATTTCCTCTCAGCCTTAAAATATGTATTGCTCCCCCTCCTCATGTTTGGCTTTGAGAGTAGATTTTGGACACTTCCTCACCTTACACCTGTTTTCATGCATTAATTAGCAGGGAGGGAGTCAGGTTTCAGTGACATGATATGAGATATGCAGGTAGCCAGGTAGTTAGATTCACCCTTGGAGCCATCTATTGAACATCACCATGGTTGAACAAATTGATTAATGGTGTTGACATCATTTTGGGACTTATGGTTCGAGTAAAACACTACTAATACTAAAATAATACTCATAATGAATATAGATATGCCATCTATTGGTTCCCGGAGAGATGTTGTGATGTCAGATTGTGGTCAACATATTGGAAATACTCCATCAAGATTACAGTTAATCTAGAAACATGCTAAGAGGGGGAGTGGAGTCCATAGCCTGCTGTCTGAAAAACAGCTCGAAGTGACTCAGCTGTCAGGGAAATCAGTCACGCCCCTATTCATGCGAAACTCTTAGCTTTAGTACATTCATTACAGATGAATCATAAGCCCCCCTGTATAGTTGTATCATATAAGGAAATGGTGATGTAAATGGGCCAAAACCATGTTTAGACCAGGCTGTCAACACATTGATGTCAGCTTTGACTGGGTTCTGTTGGCTCTTGGAGCTAGCCTCAAATAGATACTCAGGAAACTGCACTTCTGCACATCTGTATTGGTTTCATTTTCAACACTTGTGGTCTGCTTGAGAGTCATTCAATGAAAAGTTTTCAGAGGTGGCTCAGGTTGGATTCTAGCCTGCTGCCTTTTCCCCACATATGACACCTCACTCTCTCTTCATGGTGTGTTGCTTTATCCACAGTCCCAGCCTCTAATTAAAGGTATGAAGGTCTAATAAAAATATTTTTAAAAAATTCATGCAACGCAGTCTGTTGGCAATAAAAGTGTAAAATTGCACAGCTGATTCATAGAAGCGTGTGCCCTCCATGGGCTGTGAAGTTATAGTTGTCAGTAGAAGTCTAGATAAGCTGAGAACCAGTAGATGAAGCAGTATTTGCTGCACTTGGTGAATGAGGCAAAATTTAAAAAAGACACTTTACTGGGCTGGAGAAGAGAGAAAAGAAAATAACATATTAACATGTATTTTTCAAAGAGCAAAGAAAATAAGATCATGAAGTTTTATTTGATATTTTTTCCAGCAGATATTTTGACTAATAGTATCACACCCTACTGACATACACTCCCTACGTGCACTCACACTAGCTGTGATATACACTAATCCAATACGGGAGGTATATTTGAATTGATGGCAGTAAACAGGGTCAGCAGGTGAAGGGCATAGTGAATAATCATAGTATGAATATCAAATCCACAAAATAATTAAATGGGCATTAGCCAGTCTGGCGAAGGCCTTGTAATATGACAAGTTGAGAGAATCTTTCATTGCTCGTATTGTAGTGTTTGCATACCGGAGTAAAGACAACAATACATTTATTAAAAAAAAAATACTGACCATACAACATTTCTCACCCTTTATCACCAGAATAATCAATAGAATAATTGTTCTGAATAGCCCTAATCTTAATAAAGATCATAAAACATGCAAATGTGATGGTGAGGAGTCATCCAGCAATATCTTCAACTTTTTTTCAAATGTAAAGAAGTGGAATTAGCTCTTGTGTTTTCTCAACAAGCGTTTTTTAAGGCAAAGGTTGTAGGTGGTTTTGGATTGCAAACACGGATGCACACACCACACTCCCCTTGTGTTTTACTTTTCTTAGCAAAGGGGCAAATCCAGATTACAGAGCTTGTGTAAGAGGAGGGGATCACAGGAGCTTTAGGAAAAGGGGGGGAAGGTGTTGTAATTTACTGACAGTAAGATGTAGAAAATTTCAATTTTCTGTAAGGATGTAAATGCACAAATGAAAACTGTCTTGAGATTGAGTGATGTATTTTACACTGTGGCTTTTCATTCCGCAGGACAGACAGTAACAATAAAATTCAGTGGATTATTACTTGAGATGACAACCATTGGAGGGGTTAATAGGACAAACATTGCAGGTGGATTTCATTATGCACTCTGAAATCTCCACGCAATCCATGTCTTGCAATATTCAGAGTCCTCTAGTCCACACAGAGACAGCCGGTCTCAGTGATCACAAATTTAGGAGAGTAGTGCAGTGACAACAAGAATACCGAGGCATCAAGGACATTTCAGTATGAGTTGGGCAGCAGTTGTTTGGTGGCTCTGCTGCAGGCATGGGGCCTGGAGGATTAGTGTCCAATCAGAGTGGATTTGATGTTTACTGACAGCACATGGGACTTAGCAGAGAGAACTGTATTTCATTTGTATTCAATGGAGCAGTGTGCCCGACCTCCCCTCCCCGCGCTGTGAATCTGGCAAACTGTAAAACTGAAACCTGTTGACGACAGTACATCACCAGCAGCTCCAGGTAGGTGACTTTTCATGCAAGGGTAAAGGGTTTGTGGGAGGACTCTTTTCGTAGGCATCATCATCATCACCATAATCATCATCATCAACATCATCATCTCCAGATCCGCTTGAATCTGGTTCACATGACGTCACAGTGGGAAGTGGAATTAAACAGGCTTTATTTGGATGTAATCCTTCATAGCAATCGGCAGAGCGAGTAAAACGTCCCAGAGAAGGAGGGAGATAAACCCTGCTGGATTAGTACAAGCCCCAGCCCATCCCAACCTATAACCCAACCTATCCCCCTCTTCCGTTTTTTTTATCTTTTTTTTTTTTCATGTTCGGTGGCCAACTCAAGCATGCACCCTGTTACTATGTCTCTCATGGAGTAGCTGTGCGTTCTCTGCGGTATCCAGTGTTTGTGTGGTTTGGTGTGATGTGTTTGTGTGTGGTGTCCTTTTACCTCACACACAACAAGCCAGCATGACCAGAGATTAATTATTCAAGGACCACAGCCAAAGGAGGAGTCACCCGATAGTACGGACTTACAATATTACAACCTGATATCAGGTGAAACGGTAGACCCTGCTTCATCTTCTTTTCTGCCTGTTCTCCTCCTCTCTCTCTCACCTTCGCAGCTAGAAAACTTGAAAGCAAACTTAATAAGACCTTTAAACAGAGGATCTCTTTTTGGTTTGTGCTTTTTTATTCTTCTCTTAACGCTTTCTTTGGCTTTTTGCTTTTTTGCCAATGCTCGTCCCCAACAAACAGTTGAGTCTCGGTCGCTCCCACAGTTGGGACACATTAGGGGGGAATGAAGGTCAGTGGGACAGGGCTGAGAGTGTCTACGAGCAGCAGGCAAGAGTAGCTGGCCGACGGAGCTCTCTGTCATACGGAGAGGGAGGAGGGTGGTACGAGCCTCCACCAGGAGTACAGCACCCTGAACTGGATTTAAAACGTGACCCATATTCCTATCAAGACTCTCTTTACGGACAGGTTTACGCAGAGCGGCACGACCCACGGGCGCTGAGAAAGAGCTCTGTCCCTGATCTAAACCACTACGAACGTGCATCCATGGCTCACCGAGGATCCATTCCTCATCCGGACTACTACACCCATGACCAAGCCATGACTCCTCGTGCACCCGAGGGATTTTACCGGCAAGAGCAGCAGCCCTCACCGTCTCATCCTCATCCACTGAGCAGGTCGGGTTCTCGTTTTGGGATGACACCGGGGGCTCGTGCTGTGTGGGATCAAGGTCAAGGAGGGAGAGCTGGACCTCAAGGTCCCTCATCACCTCTACCTGCTCCACCTCCTCCGGCTCATGAACTGAGTCGGGCTTACAGGGAACCTGGTGCTGTAGCTGCTGCCAAAATGACTCCAGATGGTCAACAGCGGATTCCCTCCCGAGATCCGTCTCCTGCTCATTACAGTGTGGAACATGCATCTCCCCGGTATGCTGCTGAGCCTCCACCTCTGACTGGTCAGTCTGTCTATACTGATGTCAATGGTCGCCCAGTGGATCCTCAACAACAGGCTGCTACCTGTCTGGTAGTAGATCCTGCCAGTCAAGGTATAATAATGAGGCAAGAGACGGCCTCACCCTACACTGTGCAACAGCAGCAACAGTTACAGCAACAACAACAAATACAGCAGCAACAATTACAACAGCAGCAGCTGCAGCAGCAACAATTGCAACAGCAGCAACTTCAGCAGCAGCAATTGCAACAGCAGCAGCAGATGCAGCAACAGCAAATACAACAGCAGCAGCTTCAGCAGCAGTTGCAGCAGCAACAGCTTCAGCAGCAGCAAATCCAGCAGCAACAGATACAACAACAGCAACTACAGCAACACCAGATGCAGCAAGATCAGTTGCAACAACAATTGCAAATGCAACAACCTCCACCAGTTCTGCCAGTCGCTGATCCTAACCTGGCAGTGGCAGCTCCGCTTCCTGCACCACCTGCTCCAGTGCAGACCACAGCAATTGTCGCAGCTGCTCCTGTACCAGTGCAGGCCCCAACTTCCCTCCCTCCTCCCCCAGTTACACCACTTCCTGCTGCTCTTCCTGCTCCTCCCCCAACAGCCCCACAGACACCATTGCCTATAGACCCCAAGAAGACAGTTGATCCTGAGTTTCTTGCTTTGCTGCGAAATGAGGGCCTCTCTGAGAGCACCATCTCCTCAGTTATCCAGCAGGGTTTTGACTCCACTAGCATGCTGGCTGTAATGGAAGAAAATGATGTTCGCACCGTTGCCCCAAATCTTGGCCAAGCTCGTGTGCTGTCTCGCTTGGTCCATAACTGCAAACGGCCTGTTGAAGCTACGCCAGCCCCATCCCAACCTCAAACACCCATGCGAGGCCGCTCTAATAGCTTTAGCCATCGTTCAGATGTCTACCATCAGCAGCAGCCATCACACCATCCAACACACCCTCCACAGGCTTTGACCGTGGACCCCCAAATGATGCACCCACAGACCCCTGGGGCCATGCAGACCATCTCCCCAAGAATGGGGGAGGCAATGGGTAGACGGCCAAGCAGTGCTCCTTCACAGCACCTCCTGGAAGCCACTGGAGCATACCCAGGCCAACCACCTCGCTCCCCAGGGCCATATGCTGGAGCCATTGTGCCTGTTCAACAAAGACCCATGTCTGCCTACTCATCTGGAATGGCAATGCCAGGGATGCCCATGCAGGGTATGCAGATAATGCCACAGCAGATGACTGGGTCAATGCCTGCCATACCAGGGTCCATGCACCCCATGCCAGGTATGCCACAGCAGATGCCTGTGTCCATGCCAGCGTTGCAACAGCCACCCCAACAGGTACCGAAAGCTTACTCTACCAACTACACAGTGCCCATGGAGCTGATGAAGAGGGACAGGAATTTACTGCCGTTGTCACCCATGCACAGCCCTCACCCGAGTCCTCAGCTGATACGTAAGAGTGGGGGACCTGCACCTGACAACACCCTTGTCCCTATAGGACCACCTGGCCCCAGTCAAAGCGCCCTGGTTGCAAACCAGAAGCTGAGCCGACGCACAGGTCCGCCTGTCATTGTGTCCACTATGGCATCTCCAGATACAAGTAAATCATTTTTATTCTCCTCATATTCTCATGATCTGTTTTTGTCAGATTTCTTGATACGTTTGCTCTTCCTTTTTCTTGGCTGTCTTACATGTTTTTTAAAAGATAACAGAGAGGATTTGGGCTGCTGCATTTTTGGCATTCTTGTTGAAAGACACCATTTTTTTTCTCTGCTTTCATTTAGTTGACAAGCTCCACAAAGCAGTGCTGCTTAGTTTTGTGGAATCACATCACCTCTTCACAATTTGCGTGACATTTCTTTATTGGAAACAACTTCAGTTAAAATGGTTGCAGTCCTGTCTTTAAAAAAACAACACAAATAGATTGGCCTTTTATTATGATGGATGATTTGTATTTGCAGAGCGTCTGTGTCAAGATAAAAGTGTTTTGTCACTGTGGTCAGTAAAAAAATCATTCAGCAGAGTGGTATGTGTGATATATATGTGGCTGTATGTTGTCACTGATGTTTGATGCAACATGCAGAACCTCAAGAAGGTCGATAATGATAAAGTTTTACTTTAAATTGTCTTACCTTCCTGGTCAGAGCTGCTATTGTGTTTGCTATTCTGTGGTTGTTCTGATTACATCAACAATAGATAAATGATGCCTATTCTCTTCTTATCTAGGCCAGTGGAACGAAACCCAAATGCTGCAGCCGATTGCTTTTTCAGATCTGTATTAGGGATTAGATTAAACCAGTAAAAGAATAACTTTCCAAACCTGTCCTACTTTTGGATTCTGCTTTTGATCCTTAAATTATACTTGTATCCATTCCTTGTCTGCTTATGAGAGCCAGATTCATAAGAATCCCAAACACTTGGTGTGAAGTCTTTTATTATTTTAGTAATATCACATGCTTTCTCTTGTCAGAATGACACATTACCCCATTAAACACAGCACAAAACGTCATTGAAGAGGTGCAGTATTGAGGCTTTGGGGGGAACAGCTGTCTGCACCGTTTCCTAAAACCCTTTATAGTTTAACAACTTGACACGGTCTTCCTGTATCAGTTTATCAGTCGTAGGATTCTTGTTTGAACAGTTCACATTAAGACTGATGTGACCAAAAAAAGCCTGACATTGTGTGCAGTACTGCTTGGAACATGAGGTGCCCAGGCGTGAATGTGTATTGCAGTGCTTTGAATCTGTGCACAATATGCATGATTGCCCTTGCAAGTAGTTTTTTCCCCCATCAAGCTGTTATTGGCTGTTTGTTACATCTTTTAGTAAATGATGGGAGCCAAGCCTAAGGTGTTTGCCACTTTTCTAAATCATAATCTGCTCCAGCTATAAAGCATTCATAAATGTGCGTAATGGTGATTGCAGCATTGTACGTAGCTCTTTCTTCTTTTGTCACTGTTAGCGCAGCTGCTTTTAATGAAGTCCTCTCTGTTTTGCCACGCACCATCTCCCCTCAGCCCCTCAGCCCCTGTTGTTGTAAACATGGATGTCTTATTGCATTATGATAATAAGGGTGCATCAGAGTTGCCGGGAAAGGCCTCACAGCAACTCAGGCTGCATGTGATACAGCAAGGTGGACCGCTGACCTGCATTAAATAGCAATGAGAGGAGTGTAGTTGTCCTTTGAACAGGTTTTCTCACCAGGTTAGGATACATTTAAGGTGGTGTATGAATGATTTAAGGATATTGATTTGATGAATGTTGAATGTCCGAGTTTGTAAACTGAATGTGATGAATTTTGATTTGTGTCCTAGAGTCATACTTATGTTCCTCATCAAAATGAAATGGATTCAGTCAGTGTAGCTTGTTGTATAATCACGTAAATCAATGAGGAATGTAAGACTCCAGTTTAGTTCAGCGTAATTAAAGCTGCCACATAACATTACTTACTTTCTTTTGAAACCTTGACCTGAGTCTCAGAAACAAAGTTACCTGCTCACCGCAGACTGACTAGCAGAATCACTGGACAGATAAAATGGAATTATAGTGCTGATGGCTGACGTGTGATTGTGTCATTTTCTCTGTGCAGGTTGTAATGGGGAAGGGGGGGTTGATAATCCATCAGATCCTCCGTTTCCACTTATGCACTAATCCACAGTTATTCTCATTCTGTCCAGACCAGCCTCCATGCTTTCTGCAAGCCTCTAAAACTACCAGTAGGTCGAAATAGACTTCAATGGCAGTGTCGCAGACTGAAAACAAATGAGCTTGGGAGGCATTTTTGTTGTCTCTATAATTTTTAGACCCAAGAGAGCAGACAGTAAAAGATCCCCATTGCTTGGCTGTCAAAACACACTGCTGCTCTAAGCGAACATACACACACACTCACACAAAAGCTTTGGAAAAGATTTGCCACATACACAAGCATCACAATGTTGGTACATACACACAGTCAGCAGAGTAGACCTTATTTGCATGAGGCTGACATTTGTTGCTTAGGTAATTTCATCTGTTAATGGACACAGGCGCAAAGCTGCTCTGAAAGCATATTCCTAAATTGTATGTTGCTAGGCAACGTGGGTTTTGGTAATGGTAGGCAGATTTGCTTGTGGTTAAAGGGTCAGCCCATTGTCAGAAAACACAGCAAATTAACATGCTCGCTCTTTTTAACAAATGCTCGGCTAATCTAATACATCTGGAAGACAGTATTACATATCCTTTCACTTACATCAATGTGCAGTTAATAAAGTCAGGTGGCCTTTATTCAAGAAGAGATTTGGGCATGTTACCCCAAATTTCACATTGATGTTTTGTCAGATAGACAAATAATATTGTCACAGCAGCAAATCCTTTAAATCCAATTACTTTTGAGCTTAGAAATTGTCTGACAACCCTGGAGAATTCATTAGCTACATCTGTGAGTAAATTTAGTTTCTAGCGCAACATAGTATTTGATTTTTCATGGAATACCCTTGAGCAAGACCCCGCCTTTACATGACTAACTAGGACTCACTTCCCATCCCCCACACCGGCATAGTCACCCTGGATGGTATTGCCAGATCTCCACTATTTTACCTCCACCCCGCAGAGAAGGCTCTAAGCTTCCATTCGTGGACTCTTGCCAGGCGACGTGATGCCAGCTAAGGTCAGTTTTTACCCTGCGTGACACACTAGCCGCAATTTCCTTTCCAGCTATAAGTCTGGCGTGATGATGGGGGTGGGTTATGCCATATTAGTTCTGGAGATAGCAGATTATGTATTAACGGGCCCAGGTCAAAGCTACAGGCAGTTGTTACATTGAGTGAAGGATTAAGGAGGAGAGAGAGAAAGAGAGAGGGGGGTGGGGGGAAACATAGTCCTACTACTGATGGATGATGATTGCTGCTTTCTATGGGGGGGAGGGGAAACGTGGTGTTTGCAGCTGTCAGTCAACCTTGGACTGTCCATGGACGTGACACAAGCAGCGGGTGTTGCATCCTAGACTTTGACGGTCAAACTTTGGCCGCAATCTGGGATGTCTGCTGAAAATTGCCCTTTGTTGTGCCAGTTGTCACACACACAGAGGTACATATATCATTTCCCTCTGACCTGAAAGGATCTACATTGTGCCACGACCCAGAGTTATCCAGCCATAGGATTAAATTATGATGTTATCAGAGCAACAAGCAATAAACATGAACATAAAATGAACTGTGCCTTTGGATGTTTTAAGCCTCTGATGTTTCAAGCTGTAAAACACCTTTCTGGAAGCTAAATTAATTTCGTGCATGAGAGTAATGATCGCCTAGTATTTGGAGGACTTTCAAGGCCTGGATGAATATGAAACTCTCTTTGTTAAATCCCCTGTGCAAAATATGAGCAACTATGTTGGAAATAGTTAGAGGCGGTAAAAATAACTTTCTGTCTCTGAGTCTAAGAATTACAGCTTCAAGAGGCCTGACAATGTTCTGAGCAGTTTTAATCAACTGAAATCCTTAAGCAATGTCAAATGAATTTAAGAACTGTAGTACGGGTTTGTGCACAGGAACAATAATACACCATTTGTTTTAATTTTCCTCAACTCTGATAGGTGCATTTGTCCCATTTATTTACCCTGTACTTGGTGTGGTTTGGCAGTGAATCTTGGAAATGTAGATGAAACTTCCAAAGCCAGCTCATCTGAACACACCACAAATAAATGCTTCTTGTGTGTGTGTGTGTGTGTGTGTGTGTGTGTGTGTGTGTGTGCGCACGTTAGGGCTGTACATTATACCAGTGTTCCACTGCAATTGCGATGTATGCATGCAAAAAAGTCAGGATAGACAGGATGTCCGATGTCCAGTTACTTCGGAAGTCAGATGTCAGAGCTGGGAATGACTTTACACCCAAGTTGACGCCATTTCAGTAAACAAGTTAGAAAACCAAGATGGACGCCTACTGTTAGCCATTGTTAACTGTTGATAACAATTGTCAGCTGTCGTTAGCTATTGTCAGTTGTTGTTAGTTGTTGTTAGCTCTACCAGTTGTAAACAACGCATAACACAGTATTTTACTCTTACAAACACCATAGCACCGTGTTCACAGTTAGACGTTGGGCAGTACAACATATACCACTTATTTTATTTTACAAAAACATATACAGGAGTGCTAATAAATAAAACATTACGTGAGCTTTCACTGTTACTGTTTAGTGTCGATGCACATGCCAACTTGGATTGTGACGTTGTCGTCAAGTCGGGGTTGGTGTGGGTTGTCCGACTTTCTGAGTTGAAAAATCCGACTTCAGGGGGGCATTCCAGATGAATTTTCGACTCGGAGCTCGGAAATTCCGACTTCCAAGTGCAACTTGAATGCAGCATATGATCTGAAACACATTGTCACCAGTTTTTTGTTTCCCTAAACAGTCTACAGAAAGTCCGCCTGATATCCCTTGATTGCAGGCCCTCACTTGACTGCTGAACATGCAGTGTATGTATCTGTGTGTCACATGACTGCAAAAATTAATATACATACAGTGCTGTTACAGGTACAGTCGCAGTCAGACCAGCAAGACCGATTTCTAGTGTTGTTACAGTGCCGGCTCGCTCAGGTGCTTGTTGACGTTGAGGGCACACAGACAGACTGGGAATAAGACCATGGTGTGTATACTTGAAACAAGTGCACTTGTAGCGCACGTATAGTGTAGATGTACAGTACATATCCAAAAGGAAATATTGCAATATGTTTTTTACCCAACATTGTGCAGCCCTAATGCATGTGCAATCTTCTGTTGGCACATGTGGTGGCTATTGGGTCCCAGTGCAAGAGGAAGATGATTATGACGAGTAAATAACAGGTCTGGTCTCTTGTTTTCTTCTCATCTTGTTTTATTTTTCCATGCGTAAATTGATAACAGTCCCTCTGTCTCTCTTTGTTGAAACTTCTTGGTAGGAAATGGTTTGACTTTGACACTCTCCTAACTCAAGAGAGTTGGAGTGGGGGGAAAAAGAAATCGGAGGTAATGGGAGAAATATGTTTTTAAACAAACGTCATACTTAGCTCAGCACATTCATTCATGACTGTGGTTGTGGCTTACAGGGCCTGTCTGCAGGAAAAAGAAGGGAATGAGGAAAGACGGGAGGTGATAGGACTCAACCAAAGACAACAGAAAGAGAAGATTTAACAAGAGATACCAAGGAACAGCGTTTAAAGCACGCAGAGCTTTTTTGAAAGTAGATTGACTGCGGTGGAAGCAGTTATTAAGACTTGGAAATGAATTCAGTGGGAAAACAGGAGATTACATGATGTTACACTATCATGGGATGATTGTAATTACATGCTCTAGTACTAAGAAATAAGGAAAACATTTAAATTTACTTCAATTCTACTAGGAAACTATAAGAAGTCTTCATGTGCTTTTTTGGAGCTTGTGTTCATAGTTTTGTGAGCACAGGAAATGGCAGACACAGTTTAGGACGTGGATTCAGAGCTATAGGGTTGTTGAGTCAGCATTGGTCATCAGCTTGTATTACCGCCAGAATACCTTGTTTTTTCAGCTATGGTGGTGATATATTCATGGATGTACTTTTCCTGAGTTGAGGTGTCCACTGAGTAAAATACCGCACAGGTGTCATCAAATGGAAAAACTGGACCTCGGAGTGTGAGGTCTGACCGTGCCGGCAGAAAGCTCTTTGTGGTCAGTTTGCTGCATCCTTTCAGACATGACTTGAAGTGATTTACTGCTGCCGGTGAGAGCAGAGAGGCAAGGGAAGGACATACACAAGAGGTCACTCACTCAGATATTTACAGCTCAAAAAAATACAGAGGATAAATTGAGAAGCTGAAAAACTCAGACTCAGACTCAGACTCAAAAAAGTCCTGCACTCCTTACATTTCTCTCACCTTTCCCTTTTACCCACTTTTTCATTTTAAACTTCTTTTTTTGTCTATTTCTTCTGCCTTTTTGCCCCCCATCATTAAATTGTCATCCATCCCTCTTCACCTTCCTTATTTCCTTTTTAATTTTCCTCATCTCCTCCTCCTGTTTTCTTCTCTTATTTATCTTCCTCATGTTTCATTCTTCTCCTTTAGTCCCTTTTTCCTTTGTTCCTTTGTCTCTTTGTCTTATCATTTTCCTTTCCTGATTTCAGTCCCTTTATTTTCTTTTCTTTTATTCCTCCAACTCGTTCCCTATCCCCTTTGTTTTTTTACCTCTTCTCTTCATTCTGTCTTACTCATCCCTTGTTTTTTCTCTTTTATTTTTACTTTTATTTTGATTTCTTTCCCTGTTCCATCCTTTTCTTTTATTCCCTTCCTTTCCTAATCTTTTTCCTTCTCCTCTTTTCTCCCCCTGATCTTGCTTTTTCTTTTTCTTTCTCTCTACCTTCCTTTCCTCCAACCAGGGATTCACTCTGAATTATTCATTTTGTGAAAATGAAATCTTCAAGAGCGTTAACCCAAAATAAAGAAGAGGTAGGGCTGACCATGTTCAGTATGTCTGTGTGGAAGAGTGGGTATGTGTGTGTGTTTGTATGTTGTTGACCAGGCGTCGCAGACCTCAACACTTGGCCAGGCCGTCTTAACAATGGGGGTGGAGATATGTTTAGAGGTGCAGATGAATCTCATTTGCACTTGAGGAAAATATTATACATTTCTCAGCGGGCATGTAGCGTGTGTTGATGGAGGCTCACACACAATGCTGTAAATTGGATTGTATTTCACAGTGTTTGACAGTGTTTTTAGTGTCACAAAGGAAAGACCATTTTTATGTATGTTGGTCTTCATGAGTGTGATTCTAGATATATATTTGTTTTTGAGACTCACATTTCTGAACTGACAGAGCTTCAAGAAGCCCCACTCCTGACTGTGTGTGTGAGTGTGTTCACTGTATATTTGTTCATATCAGGAGAAAGGAAGAGTGATTGTAATAAGACATTGTATAAGTATTGTTTTTTTTTCTTTATGTATTTATAAGGGATGCTTCTAAGTAACTGATTCCATTGTCACTGACTAAATAAAATGGAAAAAAAGTTAAAAATTAGCTTTTTATCAGAATAATTGGATTACAGAGTCAAATAGGTTTGCAGAGTATGTCTTAAATTAGATTGCACCATCAGCCTTTGGATAACATCCACATGACTATGCTAGTTAAATTGTTTTGATGAAGTGGTCATGTGCCAGTTTGACAAAACACAGTCTACGTAAAACTTTATCTTTATTTTGCAGATCCAAATACTGCCGAACTTTGCTGAAGTAGCATCATGTGTCTAGTTCTGTCTTGTGTTCTGTCGCAGGGCTGCATTAGAGTTTAGACAAAACTTATAACCTGCATTATGGGCCGTTGATAATAAAAAGTCTTGTATTTGTCATTTGGATGATTATTTCTTTCAGCCTTGTATTTCACAGATGAAATAAACGAATTAGGAATGAGTCACGAATAATCAGCATGTGGATCGGCCCTGAAAAAAATGGTCTAGCCCTAATAAAAACGTTGACATGTCTAACTGACTAGTATTTCTGGTGGCCACACATGAAGGCTGGGATGTTACATTATTTAGTTGACTAAATGTGTTTGTTCAGTGTTTTATTCTTTATTTATTTGAGACAGACCACTGCCTGTAGTATAAAGATCAAGTCTCCTCTTTGATAGGTGAATTCCAGCTGGAAAGTCCCGTCTTTGTATTTAATTAGAAAAACAACAACACACATGTGAAGTATTTTAATATTTAATACCTGTAATGTTAATCTTATTCTAGTTTTCTATTTTTTTTTCCAAATGACTAGAAACAGACGTCCTCATTTGGTCAGTGTAGCGTTTGAGTCCCCTGTTAGTAATACAGATAAGTATATGTGTGTGCTCATATTTCCCTACATATTTGTTCACTGTTTCACTCTCTATGGATGCCTGTTCACATGTAATCAGACTAAGCCTGAAGGATACGTAGGGAGTGTAAGAAGCTGCCCCCCCCCCACCACCACCACCACCTTTATCACCCATGCTCTCTCTCTCTCTCTCTCTCTCTCTCTCTCTCTCTCTCTCTCTCCTGAACACATCTTCACACACATCCTCTTTACATCTCTATCTCTCTAATCAGGCCACTTGGCTCAAGTCACAGAGAAAGAAAAGAGGTGGAGAGGGAGAACAATGGTGCAAAAGAGGTGTAGTGATGCACAGACGGGGCCCGAATAGGAGAACAAGCATTTATGTGTAGAAATCACATCCCTTTAAAAAACTCAACATCTGTCGTCCACCTGCAGCTGTGCCATCTCTTTCTTCCTTTTTTCGTCACTCTTCCTCTCGTTTCGCCCCCCTCGCCACAAGCTCGTCCAGGCCTCAATCATTTGGCAGCAGCACGCGCTGTGGATCACAGGAGGCAGATGGGACGGTGAATTTTAGAGGTCAAATTATACTGTAGGTCCTTTTCTCCCTCCAGTGCTCTTTTTAATGAATGAGGCTTTTTTACTCCGGGCCTGGTTTGAGGGCTCCGGTTACATGTTGTAACCAGACCTCTTCAATGGGGCCCTGTAAACTCTCCGTATACTCATATAAGCTTACAGTAAATACACACAGTACACTACAAAACACTAAGCGTGTTTTTTTAATTTGATTAAAATCTTAACGCCAATTCACAATGTGGCTGAGTCAAATACAACTTATCTATATACCTATTCAGTCCTGAAGTCATCAGATGGTTGCAACAAACAGTCTCTGATTATTGATGATCATCTCATTTATTTGCCTCTCTATGATTAATCTATTATTTTTCCTTTAACATCCAGAGTTGGCTTTTTCAGGTCTTATATCTTGTCTAACTAACAACTCAAACACGTAGACTTTCAGTTCACTTGGATGCAAGGCATAAAAAAAGATGCACATCTTTAATTTAATTGGCATAAAAAATCAAAAGTTTGAAGCTTTGCTGTTTGAAAACTTTCAAACATGATTTTACAGTCCTGACAGCAGCTGCATACATATTCCTGCCAGTGTACTTATTAGCGGCTAATTATTTCACCTCTGAAAAACAAAAACATAGCACTGTTACCAGCAGATGGCTCATTCTCAGTACACCGTCGACAATAGTGCTGTTGTGTCTGGGTTTGTTGCCCTGACAGCCTGGGCAGACGACTTAACCTTATTATGAAAATCCTTTTTAAGGGGTCTGTCCGAGTCAAACAGCCTCAGCCCTGACAGACTAGTGTGGTAGTAAACAGGCTAATCTGTCAGAAATCTGCCGGCCTTTAAATCTCTACATGAACTCTTGCTTGTGTCGGCAAGTTCACACAAAACCCCCACCATCATTTGTATTAAACACATCTCAGAAGACTGAATTTATCACGGAAAATAACAATAAAATATATTGATTCTGTTAATAAACAAATGCAGGGCGACTCTCAACGTGATACATAAAGCAACTTTGCATTAAGGGATAAATTGCAGGATAGCTATATAGCTCCATCAGGATACCTGATTAAGGGGATACTCCAGCATAAAATTAAGTAAGGGTCAAACACACCATAACACCGAGTTAGACACCCCCTCCAGGGATGAATGTTGCCGACCGCTTGCTTCTCTAGTAATACCAACTTTAGTAACGACCGCACAATAGCAATACACAGCGGTCTATGTCTCCACGTGCAAACCTCAATGAAAACGCCACTCTATAGCCACAAATAATGTTCAGAATAGCTTTGCACTTCATCAGCAGTACATACAGGGTCCCAGCCATAGCACTAGCCACCAAACATCTTTTTCGCTTTGCGTGGTTCCCTAAACAAAGAGACCAAACACAACTCAACCACTCTCCTCCAGCAGCCCCTTGTTTGTGGAGGAGACCCATCGAGTCGATCACCGAGTGCAGCAGATTATCTCCAAGTAGCAATAATCATCATAACCATTTTGCACTGCAGGCATGGTAGTTCTTCTGCCTTAGCGTCTTGGTCTGATTGCATTTCCTTGAAGAAATTAATGTTCTTCCTTGAGCTGCGAAAGTCCACTGCACTCAGTGATCGACTCGTCAGGGGTCCCCCCACAAACAAGCAGCTGCTGGAGGAGAGTGGGTGAGTTGTGTTTGGTGTTTTGCTAAAGTATGATGTTATGATGTGAAATTGGTATTTTGTCTCAACCTAATAAACATGCTTTTGTGACTCTTTGATCAGAGATGAACAGATTAAGTGGCTTCATATCAGCATCATTATGCGACATCTTTCCTCCTATCACCAATGGCAGAAAATTAAATCTAAAACAGTCCTTTGCTCGTGTTGAATATAAATTATGTTTAAAATGATACGGTTAAACACTACAACTGTAAGACGTATTGGCCTTGCTCTGAAAACTTCAGCATAACTCAACGTATGTCCTGTTCATCAACTCATTACAAACCCATATTACATAAGTTACTGCCAACGATAACCATGGGTACTTCATTTTAATGTGCTTGGAATAGTGATCGTAAACATGATGTTATTTTTTGTGCTTTGATATAACCCAAATATTTACCAAGTTTTGTTTTTCTTAATGATTTTGGATAGCTTGATCCAAATCCAAAAGTCCCTTTGTGGCAATATTCACTGAGCTAGATATTTTTTAGTAAAATATTCACCCAAGTGGCTGGCTTGTTGTCAGAATATCAGTATCAGCTGTTGAAAAACTGATATCAGTGCACCACTAATTTTAATGCAGTCTGATCAAAAATAACTATCTAACTATCTGCTATCCTCTGATTATTTGCTGCCTGTTCAGTGCTGAAAAAACAGTTTTTTCGATCTATTTGGACATATTTGCAAACAGGTATTGTGTAAGACATAAACCCTAACTTTATGACAAGTCTGTAACATAGTTCTGCTGTAATCATGCCTTCTTACTTGAAGATTGTCCAACCAATGTTGCGACATGTTCATGCATAATTTCACATTGCTTTTTGGCGTTTTAAACTTAGTGATCCCCTTTTGCCTCTGTAACCCCTGCTAATACTTCAAGTGCTGACACAGCGGTGAGGTAACACGCCTCTGTCGCATTTGTATTTGAGGAGACAATTGTGGATATTATACCTAAAGGGAACTGTGAAAGGGCTTGAAAGAACAGCAGACAGTTTTTTTAGTGAGAGGAAAAGCGGAGTTGTATGCGCAAATATTTGTCTTTCACACTTTTACAGTATTTAAGAATGTAATTACACTTTTACACAATTACACTTCAAATACGTGTGACTTGGTTCTTTGTGCAAGCGTGACAAGTATCAATGTTCCCTTGTTGAATCCCCAAAATGAGCCACTCAACAGCACCCTGATCAACACAAACCAATCAACTCATGCTCACGTTTAAAGAGCGAGGATCGAAATCACAAACTGGAATCGTGAATAGAGAGTTTTTGAGCGAGAGAGTGAGACTGAGAAGAGGGGGGGGCCGGAGAAAGAGAAAAGGGCTGGCACTCTTGAAGAACCGTGAGGGCCAGATCACAAATAATAAAACAGAAAAAGGCAGCGATGGATGGAGGAAGGGGGAGGGGAAAAAAAAGAGGGAGGAAAATATGTTGAGTGAAGGGGAAGGTCGGAGAGAATGGGAGTCGAACATGTGCCAGCAGCGCTGCACCTCTCGCTGTGACTGGTGCTCTTCAAGGATCTTTCCTCTCCCTCCCTCTTTCGTCTCTTTTATTTACCTCCCTCTTTTCCTTTCTCCTGCGTAGCTGCAGCTAGTCTTTTTTTCCCGTCTTTCCCATTTTTCTTTCCCCCCACCCCTTCCTCTCTCTTTCCCTCTCACTCTCTCTCTCTCTGTCTCTCTGTCTTTCTGTGACTTGCAACAAAAGGCTGACGGAGTGAGCCTGACGTCTGAATGAATCGCCCAAACCTGCCGTGAAGGGAGAGAAGAGGGTGACGGAGGGAGCGCGGAAGGAGAGAAGATACAAGTGATCTGGCTTGAGAGGCGGAAAAAAAAAGAAGAGCGCGCACAAGAAGAGTAGAGATCCTTTTTTTTTTACCTCCCCTTCTTTGGAGATTAAAGGAGTTGAAGGCATTGCGTTGACCGTGCTGAGGGGGGGCAGTGACGATCGTACTTCTCGCTGCTGTCCTCCCCTTCACCCACTGCCCTCCTGTGCCACCTTCCATTTTCCCCCTCTTCCATCAGAGTATCAGTCATCTGAAAAAAAAAGAAAAGAAAAATGGAGGTTTTAGGGGTGAGGTGACGAAGGAGGACAGATTTGGAAATAAGAAGTGTTGGAGAGTGAGAGCAAGCGGGAGCGAGGGAGACTCTCTCCACATCCCAAAGCCACTTCTTCTTCTTCTTTTTAATTTTTTCGTGAAAATCTCTCTGCTATATTTCCTCTGTCATGTGCTGCTCCTGATTTGAAGAATGTGGAGACAACATTTCCCAGGCAAGGAGCATGCTTCGCACCGTCTTATGCATACGTGTTCGTCTCTCTGCATGAATTCATCAAGGGTCGTAATAAAAACTGTGCTGTGTGTTTGATGGTGATGGGTTGGGGGGTAGGGGAGAGGAGTCGGGGGGTTGGGAGTTGGATTTGGCTTTAAGGCTAATGAGCCTCTTATGTTTTTGCAATGGAGTGTGTCATGAAAACAGTGTGTGTGCGCACGAGGGGCGAGCGCCCATGTGAGTGCATGTGTCAGTGTTTCCTCGTTCGGCGGTTAGAAAACCACGGAGCTGTGCTGCACAGTAGAAGGAGGAAGCTGAGAGCGGAGTGGTTGACATTTGAAGGGTCAGAGGTCACTGGAACATCAGCATTGAGTGGCTGTGTGTGAGATTGTTAATGGTTGTTGTTGCATGTTAATGCTGTGTGTTACAGAGTGTGTATCAGGCACTAAATCTGGGTGTAGAGATGTAGTTGAGGTTTGTTATTTCAGATTTTTTATCTCAAATATACATAAATCTGCAGATATTTGGGTGAAAATTGCTCAGACAGTGTGATTTGGATGAAAAACACTCGAGAATAATCATAGTGGGAGTTGTAATCATAATCAGAAACTAATTTGCACTTTTTCTCAGAGCTGTCAAACCACAAAATCACCTTAGGAAAAACCGCCATCAAAGTTGTTTTTATTTCATAGCTGTAAGCATAACTTTGTAGTCCAGCACAAGGCGAAACCTGCCAAAAGTCATCAGCCAAGTTTACAAAATCTGATCATTTTCCTGCAGGATGAGAATTTCTCTTTTTCACAGCTCTTACATTTGGTGTTTATGATTTGTTACCATCAGCTTGTGTAGATGCTACAGATTCCTTTTCTCCTGCTGTGTTTGGTGTGTACATGCAACCAGCCGGCGCACACACACTCACTTGTCTGTGTATCCAAGTGCATGCGCGTGCACGTGTGTGTACTTGTGTGTGAAGTGAAAGCTGGGTCCGCTGTTCATCAGCTCTGACAGCTGCTTTTGTCTCAGGACCCTGATTGCTTTTAGGCCGTGCTGGCAAAGCACAAAAGACAACGTTTAAAGAGGAGCTGGTGATGGATGGATGCTCCCCTCTCTCACTCTGTGTTGTATTTACCGCTGACACCACCTGTGATATCTTTATGTCAGCGTGTGTTTCCCCCACTCTCTTTCTTCCTATCCCCCCGCCCTCCTACATTTTAATATGTAATTTCTCCCGTCTTTTCTTCTCTCTCATCTCCACCCTCGCCCCCTTTTGGCTCGGTGTTTTGGTGGTGATAAGTTTTGGAGGAGGGCAGGCGGTGGGAGGACAAACAAGGTCTTTGTGTGTCCACATAGTGGAATAAGAGACAGGCCGGGGTGGTGACGGTGTAGCCAGGCTCAGATAGGGTCCGGTGGGGGCCCGGAGAAGGCAAGTCTGCCAAAGAAAAGATTACACCTCCCCTGTTTTTCTACAGATGCCAGGGGATCGTAAACATACTGGAGAAAGTAGACACTCCCAAGAATGAAGGCGCCGGATCCTTATTAACGTGCATGTACGGTGAAACATAGTTCTTTATATGAGGGGCATGGAAGTGGACGGACTAAAAGAGCACTGGCATTGAGAGCTGTGAATGCCCTTGGACATTTTATTTAACACAATATTCCTGATAATCACTGATCATTACTGGCTATCATCTGTGGGTGTGTGTGAAGATGAGTGCAGCCAAATCTCTGCATGTGTGTGTGTGTGTGTTCACAATAAATTCAGGGTTCATTGCGTTCACGATATGAGCACTCGCAGAAAGCACATTGCAAAAGTATGAATTTATCCCAATAAACGAGAAGCAGGACTTTTTTATTCTTAGAAATAAAGGCATTGCTTTCTCTCCCACCATTAACACTCTCGCCCCATTTTGGTGCAGTCAGATAAACCCAAGCTGGCTGTTAGCCACCCTCAGATTAATTGATGCCAATTAAGTGGCGAAAAAAGCTTTTTGGATTTACTCTGGAGTCAGGGGACATGCGGCAAACGCAGGTGTTTTGTAAAACATGGAAAGCAGGAGATAAAACGTGTGAGTTATAGCTAATACGAACAATTTAATGTATCACATGGAACCCTGGCATCGCACATCACGCATTTTTCCTCCGATCATTCAGGCCAAGTTTGAGTTTCCAGGTTGAGTGTCCATGTGGGATGTTGCCTTCTGGGGGCAAATTGGATGAAATGAGGCTTTTCCTCTTCTCATCTTTCTGACTCACTGTTGCACTTGCCACAAAATCATCAGCTCACACCCCCTCCTCCTTTTAACTCTCAGACCATCCCATCGCTGAGACCCCCCAGCTTGGGAGTTGCTAGGTAACCAGAACCAGCTGTTGGTCCTAAGCCCGTTGAGCCCATCTTGGCTCTGCCTCAGCTGCAGTGTAGTATTTTCTCTGAAAGTGCGCTGTGAACTCAGCGACCGCCGCTGTGGCCCTGACATCATCGTGCCATGGAAAATCTTCCTCACTTCCTTTTGTTTTTGCAGATTTTTATTGTTCCACTGCTGCGGGAACCGGCGTGGGAGCCCTGTCTGTGGCATGTATCACATCAGTTTGAGTAATTGAGCAGAATTTCATCACCTCGGGGAAATGAGCAGAGGAATAATGAGTCAGTGGGTGGTGAGGGTTTTTCTAGAAGTTGTCACCTGAAAATGTAGAGCGAGATGACAAAGATTATAAAAGAGGGAGTAGAGTGACTGTCCTCCATGAGGTGAGGATGGTTAAGCATCTCAGAGACATGGGATGGCGAAGTACACTGTGTCACTTTTCACATGAGCGCAGGTCAGCTAATGCAGTTCGGACCGTTTAACTTTTTACACAGTGAGTAAGAGCCTCGCAAACAAACCGCGAGCAAATCCGAGGGGAGTGCGCTACCTTCCAAATAAAACAGTCTCTGCAAACCAACAGAGACACATCAGAGATCCATGAAACCACAAAACCAGAAACACAATCTGTCAGAAAATAGAGCCTGAGGAGTTAAGATAACCAACGCAGTGATATTAAATGTTAGTTTAAAGAAACCCACAGATTTGAGCTAAGGTTTATTTCTCTTATTGATTGTTTGCACTCTATTTAGGAAAAGATCCTTCTTCTTAAATCTCTGACTCACAGCGCCTGGCATGGGATTTTTCGAGGCTGCTTTTCCAAGATTGCCGCTTCCAAATGAGCGAATTACACATCAGATCGTACACACCAGCGAGAGACTTTTTTTCTCTATGAGCTCCGTCTTTCTTTCCCTCTCATGTTTGAAAAGATTACTTCTGTTTCTGTTGTCCGAATCCAAAAAGTTGTTTTAGTTTTAACATCTGTAATCCATTTGTGGTTGAAAGTACACTCCTACCAGCTCTGCCAGAAGTTTTCATACTTCCTGAAGAATGATTCAGTTAGTGATTAGCAGTGGCTAAAGGATGATATCAACTTTTTTGTCCCATCAAGCTTCCCTTGAGGGGCATAACAAAACATGACCTCAGCTGTGTATGTGTTGCCACACTGAACACAGATCAGATTTAGTTAGTCGAGCTGTTGGCGTCGCTCCTGTGTTTCTGGCTTTTAGACAATGCTGGCCGCTGTTCTTTGATAAATACTTTGGGAACAACAACAGGAAATTGACACATGCAATTTGCATTTTTTAATTCCAGAGACTACCAGCCAAAGTATTTGGCCGTTAATATAAACTTTTTTCAGCCGTGTTGTTTCTGCTGCTCACTGAAGTTTACATAACAGCGAGAAGGCTCTTAAAAAATGCCTCTGCGGTGCATTAAGAGTGGCTCTGGGTTGTTCTGTCTGGTACTGGGTGGGTCTCTGTGTTTGGACAAGGAGAGTTCTGGCTTTGATGGGCCTGCATGCTGGGTGGGGTGGCTGGCTAGCTGCTGCCAAACTCTCCAGGCTGGTACCGACCCAACTGGGGAGGGAGACAGAGGGGGGACGAGAGAGGGAGAGGTGAATATAAACAGAAAGAAAACAGCAAGACAAGAGTTTAGTAAAGAAAAGAAAAATAACTTTAAATTTTAATGTTAAACCGACTTTTGATTATATTTTTTCAGTTCACAACACTACAGGACATCAGTGATTATACTTAGATTATCTGCAAATTAAATCCATTTAGCAGAAATGTGATTGCTATTATAATCACCTATCAATGCAAAAGCTCTATACAGCAAATTACAATAACACATGATGAATCTGCAGATTATTAACGCCTAACAAGTTATTCCTTATGATACAATATAGTACATTATGATATGATTTTATACAGTATAGTACAAAACATTATATTTTGGTAGGATATGATACAAAGCAATACATGACATATGATGCAATGCTGTGCAAAATAGCATGACACAATATAATATGGTATGATACAATGCATTTTCATACTATCTTGTTTGACACATTGTGATATATGTTATTATGTAATCTGTATGATACAATTAAATGTGATATTGATTTATGACAATGCATTATTACTTCATTTTATTCAGATGTGGTATGATACAATCAGATGCAATACTGTGTGATCCAAGATGGAAATGAAACAATATGATCTGGTATGATTTTGGGCTGACGTCATATACCAGTAACGACAGGAACTGTCTTAAATGAAATTTGACATAATCATATTGTGCTAAAAACAGGCAAACAATGACATAGAGTTCATAGCTGAAGTTCTTATGCTGCTCATAGTTTAAATTTCAAAATAAAAGCATAGTTTTAGAAGATAAATTTACCAAAGAAATACAGAAAGTGTTTAGAATTAAAGTATGCCAAACATTTTTTGTATGATGCAGTGTCTAAAGAGGTGACACAGCCAGTGATGTGCATAAAACAGAAATCGAAGTTAACATGTAGGTTAACTGTATATTTCAGTAAAATATGTGGACTTATTATATTCATGAGCATATGTTGCTGTGTTGTTTTAAATATGAAATTCTTCAAAAAACATTGCAATAATATTGTTATCATGATATTTTATAGTCATGATAACTATGAGTTGAATATCTGATATTGTGACAGACCTTATATGATACAAAAATCTGCATTGTTTTGTTAACTTGTATGCTGTACATAGTTTTCTGTCACCACAGCACACTGCCAGAAGAGCCTTTGTTACATCTGTTAGTGTTAAATATCACAGTACTGCATAAAGGACACTAGATGTTGAATCATTGAATCTGGATCGATGGATAAAGACTCGACTCTGATATCCTTTTTGGGCTCTTTACCCGCTTGAAAAATCCATAACTTGTCAGCTAAATGCACTCAAGGCTCTTGTGAGTGTAATGGTTTGTTTTATTATGGTTTCAGAGTCGCTTTTTTCCTAGTCTTCTTCTCATACATCATTTGATAGAAAACGCTTCATTTTGTGAAGTTAATCATCTGAAATAGACCGACATAAGGTAAGCATTACTAGTTATGTTAGTGCTTAGACATTAGACGAGCAGATGACTTGTTATTGCAGTCCTCTGCAGCTGCAAGCTTATTCAGAGTCTATAATATTCCATAAAGACCGATAAACGCCCCGCGGCAATCAGACATAGACTCAATACACAGTCAATGTAATTAACATTGAGTTCAGAGAAGCCTGGATTTTCAAAATAAAACATAAAATAAAACTGTTCATATTGCATCACTACCAGAACTGATGATTCGTGTCTGTGGTCACTTTATCACTCTGTGCTTTTTATCTATTAACACAGGACAGAGGTTGTAGGGTTTATTAACCGTCTGGCTGTTTTGGAGACTTAAGTGTAGGAAGTCGAGCACAAAAGACCTTGGAAAATTTCCTGCTCACATTCAGCAGAGCTTTTTTTTCTGAGCATGTAATTCAATATACTTTTAAGGAATCAAGTGTGTTGGTGGCAAAGCTTCTTCTACCCACTGCTCATCTAGAAAACGACGGAGGAAGTAAAAGATTCCTCAGAGGACAAAGTGCACCTAGATCTGAAAATCCTACCCTCCAAATTTGCCTTGAACACAGCATCTGTATCAGGATTGATAATCCTCCGGAGACTGATCTGCCCACATTTACCGCCTGACTTAAACCAGCAGGAGAAAATGTCATGAAGTGTCCTTCTGATGGCATAAGAGTAGAGACTAAAGCCTCCAAACTCATTAACTTTGATGAGACAGTCAGTCCCTGAAGGGGCGCTGAGGAGAGGCTATTACAGAGACTCAGTCAACAACACATTTCTATCAGAGTGTGTGTGTGTGTGTATTTCTTTATCAATAAGCAGTATGGTTTATTTATTATTCAAATATTAACTTTATTAAGATAAGACACAAAAAAACACATAGTTGCTCATGTATGATAAACATATTGTCTTTGCAGTTTTTCTTTTCACCGAGGGGAGCTTCAGTCCTTAATAAAACCAACCAGCTCCAACAAATCACTGCCCAGGTATCCGAGTCATTAAGACCCTCATTAAGAGGCTTGTTAGGCGTTAATTATCCGCAGATTCATCATGTGTTAAATGCGGTGCCGTTCTGCCTTATTAGTCCAGGGAAAGGCTAATAACCACCAGGAAATAATTAATCATCAGCATTTTGACCTACTTCCTACAAGTGACGCTGCCTTTTCCACCAGCTGGATCTTGTCTAAGTGTGTATTGAGCGAGAGTGCGTCGGTCTGCGTCCAGTGTGTGTGTGTGTGAGTGTGTGTGCCCGTCTGAAAAGCAGTGTGTTTCCTCCGTGTGCCACTGTTGGAGATGATGGAAGTAGTTTCTTCCTCAGTCAGTCAGAGCTGTGATAATGAACTCTGCAGGAGTGTGATGAGGGGGCACAGGGAGAGCTGAGGAGCCACAGGTGTGTTTGGCAGGCAGCCTGTCTCCTCTCCTCATTGCTAGCATACACTAAGCACACACACACACACACACACTTTTACACACAGTGATTCCCCCAGTGAGAATAATGAACACTTTCAGCTTCTGCTAGAAAAATGGAACAGAAAGATCGGGGTCATTTCTTCTTTTAACCTTTTTTTCTCTTTATATGCACCTTTGTTCTTTTCTCTTTTAACATGCAGTTAAGGCTTTTTAAGGCTCCTCTTGTTAGAAAGAGAGCTGCAATAAAGTAATATTGTTAATAGCTGTCATAAAATAAAATACAGCACACTTTTGTACACTGTGATAGAGCAGCTCTTAAACTCCTACCTTATAAAATTGACAAAGAAAGAGAAATAAAGCTACATATAACAGATAAAGTTCGTATAAATTCAAAGAACGATTTTATTAGGACAAGTTTCGGGCATGAATTTAAAGATCTTCAAAATATCTCTCTTAAATTGAAGAGGTTTGGTCAAACTCCAATAAGGTGGTTTACTACATTTCCTTTGATGCAGTCAAGACAAAACAAGTTTTCACTAGCAACATGGTACCTTTCTGCTACGAGCATAGTTGTACTCCAGTAATGCGTAAAGTCAGTGTTCAAAAAGCTCTTCAAAGTCTTTGAAAGTAAAAAGAATAACGTCTCTTTGTTCTGTCGAAGAGAAACCACTTCAGGGATGAGACGGTCTAAGCACACTCAAGGTTTCCTCCAAACATCACCAGACTGTTCTCCTGCTCTTCTCATTCTCTCTCTCTCGGTGAGAGATTAACTTCACTCCTTAAGTCATCTTTGCTTGTCGAGATATTCTGCCGCACATTCAGTTTCCTCTTGAGTTCAGCGGAACTCAGTGCTTCAGTTTTTTAAAAAGATTTCCAACTGAAGTGAACTGAATAAGAAGAAATGTGATTGAGGAAATACCCCTGGTTATCAGATGAATGAGTAAGAAACATGAGTTATCAAATTATGAAACCACGGCTCATCTGCAATTTTAGGTGGTTTCTTGTGAGCGGCTCTTTATCCAACTGGTCAGAACAGAGGTTAGTGTGCTGTTAATAATACAATGTCAATATACAGTTTGTCGACTGAAGTTAGGGGTGAATTTTTTTGTAACTTTCATGACTTAATATGCACCCATTTCAGTCGTATTTAGGGTTCCCAACCGTATTGTAAAAAACTGGATCCTACCGTATTTGAAAACAAAAAGACATGTCCTGTAATGAACTAAAACGGGACGCTCCTTTTCCTGTATTTTCTGACAGCGTCTCTCCGCCTAACACACTGTCACAGGCTCACATTTTTCGGCCCCAGCCTGAAAGAAGGGACACCCAAATTTTATAAGGGACACCAAAAATTTTTCAAAGGCGGCAGGCCAGATTAACTGTCCCTTATTTCAATCTCTTGGAGTTGGCAACCCTATTCGTATCTCAAACAACACTAAATATAACTCAAAGTAAGAGTGAAGCAACCACAAATGTCTGCTATTCTGCTTTATATACAATTATGAGGGGATATTTGTGATGCTCCTTTTTTTGGAAGAGCCCTGTCCCGTTTTAAAACTAAAGAAAAAGCCACAATAAATCCCACTGATAAAGAAACCACCATGACATTAACAAGACTGCTCAGAAAATAGTTCAAGGATCCCCTTTTCTCTTCAAATTTAAAACCTGCACCAGTTAATCAAAAGCAAACCCAGATCAATAGTCAATGCAACCATTTTCTATTTATTCACCACACCAGAAAAAAAAAAAGCCTGAGGCTGCAGAATGAAAGCACAGTTAGCCAAAACACTGCAACATTAAAACGCTCCCTTTGTTGCTGTCCCTATTTTGTTTTCTCCATTAAAAGCATGTGATCATATTTAAACTACATATGTTTGCATGTTGTAGTTGTGTAGGTCACAAACACCATCCTTGCCTCCCAAATGAGCGAGACTTCTAAGACAGACACAGAGCGCACAGGCTTGGATGTCCTCTCCAGCAGCGCAGATGTCACTAAATAAAATATTTCATAATCCTGCCCAAATCCTCTAATCACCATGACAACAGGCAGCAGGGAGCCAGAGAGTGGTGGAGTGTGGACCCCCACTTCCTCCTTTTCTCCTCCCTCTTTTTTTCCCTCATTTTAGAGGAATTTGGGTCCACTCCGTCAGAGTTTTGCTTTTGGTATTACACTGTTGTCCATCCCCTTAGGAAAGGTTTGAACAGATTTCAGGGAAAGTATCAGACACAGACCGACACCATCAGCTGAATTAGTCAGTACAGAAATGTTCCTGTTTCCTGTATTGACAGGTAAAGATGAATGGTGCACCGTTACCCTTCCTTGTTGTAAAAAGGGAGTCCAAGATATTCCCTCTGATGAGCTCTGACACCTTGTTTGAAGCAGACGCTGACAGTAATGGAAGTTTGATGGTTCTTGGGTTAGTATCAGTCATTTTTAGGGCCACGGGGCAAACACACCAAGGCACTATTTATTGTGGATTTTTTCTTATTCCACTTCTGGACAAATTTCGATTCACTACCAGTCCTACAGCTCGAAGGGTTGAAGAACAAATGATGTAAGTCGTGAAAAACTTTGGAAGAATTTTCCATTGAAGTCAGTGGGACAAGTAAAAAAAAAAGAGCAATTATTGGAGTTTTTTAAACACCTACCAGCTCTTCATACTTTCCCTTAAAGACTCCATTTAAACTTAAAAATGTAGACACAAGTCTAATCTATCTATGTCATAATCTTAATTTTGTTAGGCATTGTAGTTTTTGATAGCTCACTGTTTAATGACCATGATCATTTCTGGAGAAATTTTGAGATTATAATGGGTGGGTATTGCATGGGATATCAGTTTAAGTGAGAGACTTTGCATGAAATTGTCTGAAACTTTTCTCTTTCTCTGCTCCTCCTGGACATAAACTACACTCTAAATGCATTTTCTTTTTTCCACAATTGTAGACACACTTGTTCTGTTCCTAACTATGTGTTCACCTAGGCAAAAAGACTTGCAGATTTTAAACACTGAGTCTCTAAGTGTGGCAGTGTCTCTCTCTGCTCCTCATTGACACCAATATAAAAATTTTCGTGCAACTATTGCTGCGTTCAAGTTAAATCGGAAGTCAGATGTCGGAGCTGAAAATGACGTCACACATAAGTTACTAGCGTTTCAGTTACCAAGTCGGAAAAAAACAAAATCGGAAGCCTGAAACAAGACGGCTACATCTACGAAAGTTATTTTAGCGCTTGCTTTATATTTGGACAAGACAAGCGCTAAAATAACTTTGCTTTTTTCCGACTTGGTAACTGAAACACTGGTAACTCGGGTGTGACGTTGTTTTCAGCCCAGACTTCTGACTTCCAAGGAAACTCAAACGCAGCATATTAAAGTCATATCAAAGCATTCAGGAAGTCCTTACGATGACCGTCGAGCTACAGTTTTGTCAGAATTGACCCAAATGTGAGTCCAGCGCTGAGGCAAGAAATCGCTCTTGTTCTCGATGTTTTGGGTGCCTTAGCCCGCAGTGAGTCTATTGTCGTGGCACTCAATTTGGTCACTTGAATAAGGGCTTTGATGATGTGATGTGTGAAGCCAAATCATTAAACTGTTAGATGATGCAGGGAGAGTCACTGAAGATGGGCTTTATGACTTAAACTGCAACCAGGCTGTTGGAGAGGTTCTTGGATTTGCTTTTGTGGAGGCTGTCTTGCCGTCCATCGTTTAAACAGCTCAAGTTTCTAGTACCTTGTGTCTCTTCTTTCCACAAGGCCAATCTCATTACAACCCAGTATGACATGGGGTTAAAGATAGTGAACTAAAATACTCTCAGTTAAAGCACAAACCTTGAGATGATGTAAAGTTTGAATGTGATCATTAAACACCCGCTGATCCACAGTGTGGGTTCGAATAAAGCCGGGTCTCTTAAGGGTTTTAAACTATGTGCGCACACAGAGATACAGTAGCACACACTGAAGGCCTACAGATTTCTGTACAATGATAGGATAATGGAGGGGATGACCTCATGGGGTGAAAGGACCTGTTGCCTGGTAACAGTGTGGTTAGCAGCAAGAGAGGGGGGTATTCATACCAGTGTGTATTTGTGTGTGTGTGTGTGTAGTATTGACCAGTGTTGCCAGGTGAGGGAGATTATGATGGTATTTAAAAATAGAGATCTGCACATCTTCAGGTGTGAGTGTGTGTGTGAGTGTGTGTCGCACATGAACAAAACACACAGTTGTGATCTGTACAAACACTTCCTGCTGCTATTTATTTTCTTACATTTTTAGAGCCTCTTCTGCAGCTCACTTGACTGTGTGTGTGTGTGTGTGCAAGACATAAATAATTAACTCTCTCCCCTCTCTCTTTCTGTGTCTCTGCAGGTATTCGGCCCCAGATTATGAATGGGCCTATGCACCCGCGCCCCCTGGTGGCGCTGCTGGATGGGCGCGATTGCACTGTGGAGATGCCCATCCTCAAAGACCTGGCGACCGTAGCTTTCTGCGATGCCCAGTCTACACAGGAGATACACGAGAAGGTACAAAATAACTGTTCAGGATTGTATCACCCATAAACGTAAAGAATATCCATCCACCCGTAGCACTCACATTTAAAACTCGTGAAAATACAAAGCAATCCTGGATGACTTCCTGAGTTTTTATCTCAGATCTTTAATGTCTCTTTATGACTGTTCCTGGATGTGTCAGGCTCGTTTTAGTGCCTTTTGTTTATGTGTGTAATTAACTTTAATTATTTCCTGTTGATTTGCAATTAACTTTATTTACTTTCAGGATGGAGAGTAAGACAGATAAGAGAAGAAACACTTCTTATTGACCTCTCTTAAGACCAAAAGCAAAATTATAGTTTTTATGACTTGGGTGATAAAGTGGTATAACTTATTATATTACATAAAAAGTCTACACACCGCTGTTCAACTGCCAGGTTTTTGTCATGTAAAAAAAATAAATCAAAATAAATAATTTCACAACTTCTTCCACCTTTTAATGTGACTTATATCCTGTAAAACACAATTGAAGAACAAACAGAAATCTTTCAGGGAGATGAAGTAAAAATAAACAACTGAGATCATGTGGTTGCATAAGTGTGCACACCCTCTAATAACTGGGGATGTGGCTGTGTTCAGATTCAACCAAAAACATTCAAACTCAGGTTAAATTGGAGTCAGCACACACCTGTCACCAATTAAAGTGCCTCTAATCAACCCCAAATTAAGTTCAGCTGTTCTAGTAGCTTTTCCTGACATTTTTGTAGCCACATCTTCCAGCACAAGCCATGGTCCGCAGAGAGCTTCCAAAGCATCAGGGGGATCTCATTATTCAAAGATATCAGTCAGGTGAGGGCTACAAAAGAATTTTCAAGGAATCAAATATACTATGGAACACAGTGAAGTGGAGAAAATATGGCAGAACAGTGACATTACCAAGAACAGGACGTCCGTCCAAAATTGATGATAAGACAAGATGATAACTGGTCAGGGAGGTTAACCAAGAGGCCGACAGCAACACTGAAGGAGCTGCAGGAATTTCTGGCGAGTACTGGCTGTGTAGTACATGTGACAACAATCTCCCACTGTCTTCATATGTCTGGGCTATGGGGTAAGGTGGCAAGACGGAAGCCTTATCTTACAAAGTAAAACATCAAAGCCCAGGCAACCAGGTTATTTTAACTGTTTTATTTTTTATTTTTCCCCTTAAAGGTTTCAGTTTGTTTTTCAATTGCGTTGTACAGGTTATAGGTCAAATTAAAGGTGGAAAAAGTTGTGAAAATATTTATCTTGCTGTCATTTTCTTACATCACGAAAACCTGGCAGTTGAACAGAGGTGTGTAGACTGTTTATATTCACTGTAATGTAGTGACATCACATTTCTGAGCCTCATCTTGTAATGTCAGACCCACTCCCAGCTTATCTTCAGCCATTAATTTTAATATGGGGTAGGGGGAAAAATGGACAGAAATGAGACTGATGCAACCAAAAGCCAAATTTATTCATAGGAACGAAAGTCATCACCAAATTAAACACTGCTTTTTAAAATATAGTAAAAATATATATACGTGTTCGAAAAAATAACTAATAATTTAATCAGAAATATTTTTTGCCAATTATATGAAACTGTTACATCTATTGTTTTTACTCCTGAGCTGAGTGTAACAGATATTCTCTATGAATGCACTTAAACAGGAGTTAAATAGGAGAAGTTCCAAAGGTCAGACCACACTATATCCTCGTGTGTTTGCTGTAACATTCATAATTGTAATAGTATCGGCTGTCTCTGCACAAACTTAAAGGCAGGCCCACACACTCTGTGATACTGACATATCTCGAGCTAAAAGGATCCTCTCTTTCCTCCTACTGTGGCTTGTCCTCTGTGATGTTTTAATCATATTTCAGCCCACTGGCTTGTTCCACTCTCCCAGTTCAACTCTTAATGGTTTCATCACTGACTCTAATCCCGCTGGGTGCTGAAGTGCTGCTTTGTTAAATAAGGAGGAGGAGGAGGCTGCTAATAGAAATGCAGTATAATTGTTCCCAGCCAGAGTGGGTGAAACATTTGTCTTATTTTACTGCCTTTACACCGGAGCCAAGCTGAAGCAGTCTTAAAATACTGACTGGAGGTTTTGTGTCTTTACACTTAAACGAAGGATGGAAAGGGCTTTTGCTTTACACAGCTGAAAACACCGCCTTCCACGGGCCCTCGATTTAATCTGTTTTTAAATTTATATTATAAAGCAGTCCATTTCTCCATATACTTTTCAATTTGTCTTTTCCGTACTACCCTAATCACACACACACATTTAACACAATCACATTCTTCTACCAGTAAACTGCACTCATACTTACACATTTCACATACTGAAGACCCATCTGGGAGAATAGATATTGGCAGCATTCCCATAACTATAACTGCACAGCAGAGGGTACAGATGGGGCACACTGCACACACAAACACACTCGCCAGCAGCAGCAGTGAAAGTTTCAGAAGTGAAGAACTGTTCACACAAAACTGTATCGTCAAAAAACTCGAGCAAACACAGCCACGCTGCTGTCTTTTTTTTGCACTTAGTGTCTGTAAGTGAGCAGACGCAGTGGTTAAAGTGGTCTGTAATGTAAGATATTACTGTAAACTGCATAACATGCATCACTTTAAGCTAGTGGCGACTTAGAAAAGAGCTGCAGTCTCTGTTTTACTGCATGATAAAGGAAATAGATAAGACACTGCTCAAGGTCTGTCAAAGAAGACAATAATGTCGTTGAGAGATCACAGAAGACTTGTTGAACTGCTGGAAAGGATAAGTGAAGTGTTTTCAAGTGTCTTCAAATGACGCTGAATGGTCATCCCCTGATTTAATGTTTTAAGTGCAGCTGTTTTAGTGCCAAGTAAAAAGATGCTCTAAAAATGTCAACCACGATTAAGCGCGCAAATGAAAACAAAATTACCTGCTACCTTCCTCACTGATCAGGACATAAGCGTATTTTCAAGACAAATGGAGCATGTCGTGTTTGTCACAGAAGAATGGCAGCAGTTTTTCAGATTTATTATTTTTCCTTTGGCATCTGGGACTCAGCTCAGTTGTTGACAGCTGAGTGATGGACAGAGAAATATTTAATGAAGATCTACAGGCACAACTGTTCAGACATAAGATACCCCTGATTAAAGGTGGGGTGGGCAGGATCTGAGGAAGTGCCAGTTTTGGGGAGAAATCCTGAATGTAAACTCTACCCCTCCCAAACAGTTTTCCCCTCAGCTCCTCCTCTCCCCTCCATCTTTGCTCCAGCAAGCCCCGCCCACAAACAGACGCTCCTTCTCACTTGTATCATTTCAATTAAATTCAGATGTAATGCAGATAAATACGTCAGATAATTACAAATCCGGCCCAGTCAACGTGAAAGTAAAAAGCATTGGTGCTACTGTAGATGCCAACAGACTATCAGCAAACACAATGTTTGTAGGACTTCTACAACTAGGATAAAGTGACATACTCCAGGAGCTAAACAGTTTAGCAAGAAACACTTCTTTTACAAAGACTTGGCTTACTATGTTAAAGCGGTTTACCTGTCCAGCAGAAAGGTTACAGGGTCCGTAAGATCCCAAAGTGTCCCCCATCGTTTAAGCTGAAGTTGACCCGGCTTTTTTAGCTCTTGCCAGGCTTTTTAAGCACCTGTTATTCCGCCAGAGTCTCCGGTATTTACTTTCTTTTCTTGCTTGTGTTGACAGTCGTGGCCAAAGGAGGATTCTGACAATTTTCCGTACTTTCTAGTTGGTTTCTACCGCCCGATTTTGTAGCACACTAACTTTGTTTGGGCTCGTGAACGACTGGGGGGAGCAGCGTCTGCCTCACAACCAATCAGCATTAAGGAGTAGCATTCGCCTCACAACCAGTCAGGTTGGGGGAGGCGGAGAATGGCTTTGTTTACAGTCAGAAAGAGCGGGCTGCTCAAAAATTGAACACAGTGATATTGTTATATTACCAAATGTCATCAATAACAAATAGCTATTGACTGATACTAAAATCTTTTTTGTTTATACACCACAAAAAAAGCTGCTTCTTTAACCGATTGTTGCCTACCCCACTTTAAGTATTAAGTATTCTCAAGTCTTTGGAGTGACCTCTTAGTTACAGAAATTAAAAGCACACCATGGTCAAATCAACATTTTTTTTTGCAAGAGTTGATTAACAGTCTAGCCGGTCTACTCTCTGAGCCAAATACTCAGCAAACCTTGCAGGTGGTTGGCTTTGCATAGAAATCGTAAGTATCTTACCAGCTTGCCGGCTTCACTACAACACCAAAATTATGTCTCCCAAGGCTTTTAAAGGTCAGTAATTAGTACAGCTAGTACTTATCCTCTCGGAGTTTGCCTTTTGGGCTTTTTGCTTATTCATTTACGGGGCTCTTGCAACCAAGAGCCATGTATTATAAGCAACCACAAGCATATAATAGTGGAGCTTTTTAAAACATCTAGTGTCAAATCTGTTTTCTTTCTACTGTAGCCCACACCATCTTCTTTTTCTAAGTTAAATTGTGACTGTTTCACAATGGCCTTTTTTACATACCCAGTTAGAGGTGTGATATTTCTGCCCTTGTAATCTCTCACCTTCTGTATGAATGTCTACATGGTATAATGGTGGGACCGAGGGATCTTTTTGCATGTCTAAGTGTGTGAATATGGGTCTCCTACTGAGTCTTTACCTCTCGTGCTTTTATGAAGCCACAATGTAATATGAAATCACATACAAAATGGTTAAGCACAGTAGAGTTGACCAATTATTAAGCCAATTAAACTCTTAATGTGAAAATATACATTGAATCGATAAGGTTTAATTTTTTACTAAGGTGGCAAATACTTAGCTTATCTTAGTTTGTCAAAAACTAAAGTAACAACATCTAAAAGACTAATTTTTTATGCTTCCAAATGAATTCTGTGGCTGTAATACTTAAAAACTCTCAACATGAGCTTTTACGCTCGCAGTGCTGTATGTTTCCACATTAATAGGCTTTACGTGATTTGCAACATTCATGATTATTGGCTGTAAAAGTGCGTAAATAACCCTCTCGCTCACTTGCACTTAATGTGATCCTGCTCCCCTCTATTTTTAATCAAGCTTGTGCTGTGATTCTGTCATTTTTCCAGCATCTTCTCCAGCCCTGCTTTCTGCTGGCCTGCTTCTCTAAAGTAATGAGATTAATGCATGAGGGGAGCTTCAACCTTGAATTCAGTGGAAAAAAAAAAAAAAAGGAAAAGAAGTTAAAAGAAAATTCCTGGCTATGCTAATCTGGCTGGATTAGTTTAATTCAGTTAGGGAGTTGTGAATAGAAACCTGTTATTTAGCAGCTGCAGCTTGCGGCAGCTACTTGCTTATGCTTTCTGAGTTTCTCAGCACCTGTCAGTCTACTTTATGGCCTTGCCTGCAATCACTTCAAACCTTGTTTGCATTGAGTCTGAGTGACAGTGTGACAGAAATGAGCTTTGGCAAACACTCATTATAAACATACAGACAACCACTCATAGTTGAGAGAATAAACAATCAATTTGCATTTAGATGAAGAACAGCAGGCTTGAACTTAAGTTGAAGAGATAGTGGAAGTGTAATTACTTGTTTTGGTTTTTAAAAAGTTGCTTAAAAAATATGGTAACCCTTTCTTTTATGCTACACTTATTACCAGGTAATTAACAGGTAATTACCTAGTAAAAATCTGGTAATTACACAATAACTACTAAGTCAATACTGTCTAGCTACCAGGTAGGTAACCTTCCATCATCATACAAATTTGAAGCCGAATTGCTCTGGTATTTCCAGGATTTTCTCTGCTTCCTGGAACCACCACTTGCGTAGCAGCATTTTACGCATTCGGCGGGTGAGTCGCTGTGATAATGCTCGACTCAAACAGCGTAATGCTACGCAATCTTCGCACGCCCATAGGCTGTATCAAGTGTCAATCATAGAAAAAAAGAACCCCAAAAAGCTTTTGAAAATGGAGCTGTACAGAAAAAAGAAAAACTAGACAGTACTGACTTAGTAGTTATCATGTTATTACCAGATAATCTCATGTTCTTACTAGGTAATTACCTCTTAATTACCTGGTAATAAGCGTACAGTAAAAGAAAGGGTTACCAAAAATATATATCTGAACATAAATGTAGAATGAAATTGATTAAGAGCAGTAATGGTGTTATGCTCACAGCAGAAAAGTGGTTATCATTTTCTACCATCAGATATATGGTGAGGCATCTTTTTATTATTACGGCCCCAGTCTATGGAACAGCTTACCTGAAGACCTGAGGACTGCACCTAATCTTAATGATTTTAAAAGCAAACTCAAAACAAACCTTTTTAGTCTTGCTTTTAACCGAATTTTATATCATTAACTTTAAGTGTTTTAGTATTTATCTCTTCTAGTTTTTATGACAGGATCATCTTTTATTGATCTATCTTGGTGCACTTATTTTATTATCTTTTACTGCTGTTGTTATTTCATTTTATTTATTATTTCTTACTTTCTCACCTTATCTTACTTTGTCTTTAGATTTTATCCCTCCAGTGTTTCCATATCTTGAATTTTGAAATGGCGTTTCCTCACTGCGCACATTCCTGTTTATGAAATCGACGCTCTTTTTTAAGTTTATGCATTTTAATACATGTTTCTATTGTGCTTATATTGCGGGGTGGGAATGAGGGGTCCGGTTGGAGTAGATTAGGTATGAAAAGTGCCATACAATAAAGACTGTTCGATTGATCGATCTGTAACACAGTGATGATGACTCCTGTTCCTCTCGGTTGTCTCTCAGGTGTTGAATGAAGCAGTGGGAGCCATGATGTACCACACCATCACCCTTACCAGAGAGGACCTGGAGAAGTTCAAGGCTCTGCGCATCATCATCCGCATCGGCAGCGGTTACGACAACATCGACATCAAGGCTGCAGGGGAGCTCGGTGAGACTGCAGGAAGATTGTAGGAAAAACACCAGCTCAGAGCAGTTTCCTCTTCAGCTTATTCATCCTCATCTGACTAAAAAAAAAAAACAGACATCTTTCATTACTGGGAAGATATTTGCACCTTTGGATGGGTGCCAAACCAAACTCTGCGAGGTCTATTGACTTAGCATAAACAACATATGTAAGAGGAATGATCACACACTGTAAACAGAATATGTAATGAGTCTGTTTGTATATGCAGAGCAGATGCTTGAACAGATATGAAACTCTCCCTCAGATTCCCGTTCGGCCCCTTCGGCATATGTTTGGTTTGAGAGCAGGATTTAGTGTGATATCCTAATTATTGTTGTTTGTTGTAACACATTTCATCGCTGACATATATGAGCTTAATTAGCAGTTATAATTATCCTCTCACACTTCACAGTTCATTTAGTAAACGGAGTGCTTTTATTTAGTCGAAGGTCTTGGAGAGAGAAATCCCTGGTGTTGTTGTGAATTGAAAAATCTACCCATGAAACAGCTGCAGTAATTATACCCGGGTCTTGTCTCTCTATAATCTGTGTGAAAGTATTCCTACTTTTCATTTGAAGTGTCTTTGTCGCCGTCATCAGCTGAATTTGCACTCTCGCTGTCCTCTTCGCAGGTATCGCGGTGTGTAATATCCCCTCAGCAGCTGTAGAAGAAACAGCAGACTCAACACTTTGTCACATCCTCAACCTCTATCGGCGAAACACCTGGTTGTACCAGGCTCTCCGGGAGGGGACGCGGGTCCAGAGCGTAGAGCAGATCCGGGAGGTGGCATCAGGGGCGGCCAGGATCCGAGGAGAGACGCTCGGCCTCATCGGATTCGGTGAGCTGCTTCTTTGAGATTAAGTGCAGGAGCTGATGCAACACAAGTGGACTGCCAGTTTATCGGAGAGAGAATATACTGACAGCCGTGTGAGTGTCTGAGCTCTTGGGGAAAAAAAAAGATTTGCCCAAAGTTGGATCATTTAATTGGCCTAAATTGAAAACAGAGTGGTGATGAGTCATTTTTCTTTTCCATTAACATAAAAAAAAACGTCCTTTTAAATGTGTCTTTTCAAACTTATCATTTCCAAATTATGTGATAATGATTTTACTTTCAACCTTTTTATGCAAAGATGCAGCCAGAAAATGTCTACCCACACAAAATCTGATGAAAAAACATTGAGCGAAAAAAATAGCAATAATCAAATCAAAGCAGTTTCATTACGGAGTTAAGACAGCAAGTCATGAGCAAGACTGAGTTTAAAGGAGACGCCCAAAGAAAGGTCTTAAATTTGTAAAATCTTTAAGTATAAGATCATGAAAGACTTTGTCGATCAGTAAAACATCTTTTTTAAGATTATTCAAAATTTAATAGAGCAGCCAGTTAAAACATCTAACAGAGAGGAATTATGATCTCTAATTTTGTGTTTGGTAAAAATCTAGACTACTGCTTTAATAGATAAATCTCTAAAACCAAGGAGATGTTTTATAACACTTTAGTGACTGATGACTGATAACTTGAACTCCTACCAGAATCTGGACCGGATCTTAGTTCGGGCTTTGTTTCCTTCCTATGATACAAAAAAAATATATGATACACTTAATTTTCCACTTCAGGTGCTGCACATGCTCAGCTGCATCCACAGTAGTACCGATAAATAATCCAAACGAGTAAACAATGTTAAAAACTAGCAATAACCCACATCCAGACGACCAAGATGACCGATTACTTGTTTATACCCCCATCAGGTCGCTCTGGCCAGGCAGTGGCGATGCGGGCGAAGGCGTTTGGCTTCAACGTCATCTTCTACGACCCCTACCTCCAGGACGGCTTGGAGCGCTCGCTGGGCGTTCAGCGAGTCTACACGCTCCAGGACCTGCTCTACCAGAGCGACTGCGTGTCCCTACACTGCAACCTGAACGAACACAACCACCACCTCATCAACGACTTCACCATCAAACAGGTAGGAGACTTTGAGAGAGATGTGGAAGCCATTGGAGAAGATGACAGAGACAGGAACGTTTCTCAAACTTTTAAAGGATGGTATGAAAAATCGTGTTTCCTCCAAATCAGGCGGCAGGTTCTTCTTAGTAAACTAATGATCTCTGGAGGTTGGTTGCGCAGCTTTTACCCCACAAAATGTTAAGTAACTTGGGCAAGATACCTAGAACAAGTAACTGAGGGGAAACCCAGAAGTTTGGAGAATCTTTACAGAACTGGATTAAGAAGAAGGTGGATGCCAAATGGCGATGGCATCATTTTCGATTTCGTTTGTCTGATAAAGTTGGAATCAAACTTAAATCTGTCTCAACACACAGATCTCAGGGTGAAAAAGATGAACCATTTCGAGCAGTAAACCGTTCTTATTGTTAGTTGCCAACAAAACAATCAGTGGCGAGCCATGAAATGCGGTTGACCAGCCAAGTCGCTGTGCCTGCGTGGGCGAGGGTTGCCAGACCAGGCCAGAGGGGCTAGTTAACCAGCCGTTGTGAAACAGTCGCTAATCCAACTGCAGAATTAAAGTGTTTGCATTCAAATTAGTTGTACTTTTGCGTCCAGAATCCCTCATTCCTCTATAACAGAGCAGATTTGTCCTCCTAATATTCTGAGGACAAGAGATATTTGTAATCTGCTAAAGTCTTCTCTTTGTCACTGCTGACACCTGGAGGACATAAAGTGAACTGCATGTTGTATAAACTCAATGCTTAAATGACTGTTTAAAATTGTTATTTTTTCACCATATATATATTTTTAGCCTTTAAACATGACGTATTTTCCTCTGCATCAGCATTGACATTATGTTTTCTTCCATACTGTGATTTAATTCTGTGAGGATGAAAGGATTAGTGTCGTCAAATTGTCCCCCGTCTTTGAAAAGCCTTTTGTTTTCATGTCATTTTTTTGTTGTTAAAGGATTTGTACGTGTTTATTTTTTTTTAAGAAAAGCCACCCCCGCAGTGTGGAGTCCATGACAGCTCTCCTGGATGTGCTCTTGATAAATTTGACAGGATGGAGCAAATATTCATTGTTGTGCTGTGTTGTTTTTGTAGATGCGTCAGGGTGCGTTCCTGGTCAACTCAGCGCGAGGAGGCCTGGTGGATGAGAAAGCGTTGGCTCAGGCCCTAAAAGAAGGAAGGATACGGGGGGCTGCCCTGGACGTCCACGAGTCCGAGCCTTTCAGGTGAGTTGTTCACGGATTCAGGATCTTATCAAACATCTTTTAACTAAATTTTGTACTATTTATTGAATGAAGAACCTCAAATATACGTATGTACACAAGGGAAGATGTAAAACTGCAAAGTCATGCTTAGAAATGGAAACTCAATGGCACTGATATCACAAAAATCAGCTGTATCTTCACTCTTGTGCTTCTCTGTCTTCATTTCATTTGAACAGTTTCTCCCAAGGTCCCCTGAAAGACGCCCCCAACCTAATCTGCACCCCCCACACCGCCTGGTACAGTGAGCAGGCTTCTCTGGAGATGAGAGAGGCTGCTGCCACAGAAATCCGCAGAGCCATCACCGGTACAGAGACGTTTCTTTCTCTATCGTATTCATGCAGCAGGAGTTTTCGACTGAGCACAGAGCGGAAAGCTCAAATGTTGTCATCCTGTTAAGTTCTAGGTTGTATTTCACAATCATTTTGACTTTTTTTTGTTGGAGCTTCTGAATTTAAACACAGTGACACACATTTTAGCCGACACATCTAGGCTGGTTCACAAACCGAAGTAGGAAAGCTTTTCCGAGCTTTACGCAGAGCAGGCTGTTTCAAATTTAAACTGACATCTTAAATCATGACTCTCCTCTCTAACGGCAAACATCTTTTGACTCTTGCCAGCTTATCAGATATTTATGACCACATACATAACTTGGGCAGTTTTAAATTTGCCAAAGTCAATAAATTATAAAGTATATGATTTAAAGAACAGCAAACAAGCTCTCAAAATCAAGGATGATTTATTTTCTTTACAGCTATATTATTTTGCAGTTGAAACATCTTTTCGTAGATCGCTTCTTTAAGAGTTAGAGCACAGTATAAAGTGTGCTGTGCCTTTGGATGTAAGATATATCTGGCTGCCCATGCTTGGTGAGGCCTTTGAGCTCAGGTAATCTTTGTATGGTTTCCAGAAGAGCCTGTGTTCAACTTCAGCGATGGCTCATTGGTGCCAAACCAGTTATTTTCATTTGTACAATTTCTTCTCGACCACCTCCGAAAGCTGCTGCAGATCAGGCCAAGAACATAGAATATTTGTGTTGTCTGCAAATGCATGCAAATTAGAAAATCAGACACTTTTCTGGGCTATAAGTCGCACCAGAGTATAAGTTGCACCAGCCAAAAAATGCAGAATGAAGAAGAAAAAAACATATACCGGTATAAGTCACATTTTTGGGGGGAAATTTATTTTACAAAATCCATGAACAAGAACAGACATTTTATCTTGAAAGGCAAGTTATAATTAGGGCTGCAACTAACGATTATTTTGATAATCGATTAATCTGCCGACTATTTTAATAACGAATCGATTAATCGGATAAACAGGCTAAATTCATTAATGCAGCTGTTAATAGCAATAGCATAGGGCTTTAGTTTATCATATGAGTTTATCTGCCATGAGGTGTTGAGGTCTCTGCATGTGTAGGTTACTGACTTACTGTAATCATCGGGTCTTTCTCGTCCTTATAAAAACCTGCTCTATTTCGGCGAGTGTCTGTCTTCTTCTGTAGTCGAACCGCAAGATATCAAAATCTACCCGGATACAGCAATGCTGCTTTTTTATTGGCTGTTAAGTAGATATACTTTATTTGATTGGCTTGCGCGTGGCACGCAACTTCTGAACTCTCAGAGGAACTCAGTTGATTTCCCCCTGTTCCATAGTTAAAGAAGTGCAACTTGGTGGACATCACCGTGTTCATTTAAATGCGTGAGAAAAACAATGTGTGGTGTGTGAGCGTGTGAACGAGTGGGAATGCGTGTGTCATACGCTGAATGGGTGAGACTTGAGAGCCCTGTGCTCACGCATCATCGATGTACTCCCGTGCCATGCAAAACGGGCTTTGCAAATGTTGCACTGAACGCCTTCCTTTTCAGTCTTGGTAAAGTTTTCCCACACCATGGGTTGTGTCCATGTTTTTCTCAGCCGCTGCCTCGGCCATGGCTGTTTCTTTTCTGTGTGTCCTGCTGATGTTTACACACCGGTGTCCATGGACATATGTAAAGACCCGACGAATCGATTACAGAATTAGTTGGCAACGAATTTTTTCGTCACGACGAATCGACTTAATCGATTCGTTGTTGCAGCCTTAGTTATAATAATAACAATAGAATAGAGAACAACAGGCTGAATAGGTGTACAGTATGCTAATGTATATTTTACTACTTGCAGCTTGTAATCTCTACTATATGACTTTCTTTTTGGCAGCATTTGTGCTCAGTCTTTCTCAGTTGTCTATATGGGTTAATGTTAATTTTTAAAATTTTTAGTGGTACAGGATTAGCAGATACTGGTACACCAGCCTAGAGTGCCCTCTAGCTGCTGTCAGTGTGGAGATAACAAACATGTGAAATCATATATTTGAATATATGTAAGTTGCACCTGAGTATAAGTCGCAAACCTAGCCAAACTATGAAAAGTATATCAGTATATACAGTACAGTATATCATTTATGAACCAAAAATAAAAAGCTCTCTTTTCCATTTGTGTTGTCAAGCATCAGTTAATGGGGACCTTATCTAGCAATTATGCAAGCTAGGAAGTAGTCAAGGTGATTTGTTCGTTTCTCACTTAAGTTGAGCTGTCAGCAGTGCAGCTGCTATAGCACGCAGCAATGCTGAGCGAGCAGTCGGTGAACGAGGGAGCGCATGCATCGATGCCTGAATCACTTGGTAAACAAATCACACGGTAAACTGCACTCTCCGTAATCATTTTTGTCAGACAAAACAAACTTTTTTTCTTTTTTACTGCTAAATTGTCACCAGAACAACTTGCATACAATAGGACACAGCATGTTACAAGTAGTGCATTATACCTGCAGCAACGGTTTGCGAGGGAACGCAAATTCTTTAGAATTCTTCTAAACGGTCAGTGAACGAATCACTCACTGAGCCCAATTTACCGAACATGATAAATAGCATACCATTGGACAGTACACTTAAAATATTATGACGTATAAACAAGTTCATTTCTTCAAATGTGTTTGTCAAAGCAACACAGCCAAACTCTCTCATCTCCCAGAAGCTATGATCTGAACTGAATCCTGAACCGTTCAGCTGTGTATCAGTTCAGGAAGTCGGAGTCGCAGGCCCCTCCCGCCAAGAGCTGAATGATTCGGTGATTCAGTGAACGAATCTTTTGAATGAATCTTTTTACTGAGCTGATTCTAGTGGTTCAGTACATCTAAAAGAACTGCTGTGCTCATCACTACCCAATGAATATCTGAATATTGCCATTTCATTGGCCAATCATTCACAAAAATGATTTCTCATCTTGCTCACTTTTATCAAGTCAGAAAATCAGGAACACTTCACAACATTATGACAGCGTTTGAGTTTTCAACCTCTAATGAGATGTTGAAGAAAAATGGCTGCACTGATATAAAAGTCAACGGGACACTTTCCTAAACTGACAATTATCTGTAATCAATCATTCCCCCTCACTTCACAGGCCGTATTCCTGACAGTCTCCGAAACTGCGTCAACAAAGAGTTCTTCATCACCACAGCACCCTGGGGGATGATGGAGCAGCAGCAGCCTCAAGTGCACCCTGAGATCAACGGTGCCGCCTACAGGTAGGAGGTGGAATTATTTGACCTCGGCACATCGCATCACACGGATGTCACCTGTGCCATCTCAATACCTGCAGTAAATGAGGCCAAAACACTGGGTTAGAGGGTTGATTTAGATGTTCAAATGTATGTTTGTCACAGTTTCGGATATTTTTTTACAAAGTATTTGGGCCAAATTTATCAATTTCATGTGAAGTTTAGCCTCTTCATTTCTCAGTTTTCTCAACCAGAATGAACTGCTTTTCTCACACAGCCGAGTGAACCAAACCATGGTACAGGCCATAGCAACGGGGGGAATGCAGGACAAATTATATACCTAATTCTCAACCAGGTAAATGACGACCACTACTTCTGGCTCACATGCCGGGGCGAATGAAAAAACATGACCAATAAAAGCCCGCTGAAATCTCTAGTCCTTTTTCTCTGCCCCCGCACTCCTAACTCACATGTCCTGAAACTGTTCCCACTTTAACCCAGCATCTCATCCAATCCTTAAACCTCCCCTCACCTCGAAGTCACAGCTCAGTAGGACGCAAAGAAAACAGTTTAGATTGAGAAGCTTAAAAGACTGAAAAACACGGATTTAATACATAAGGAGCATAAAAGAGTCCTGAACTGTAAACACATCTCTAGCAGTAATCCCGGGTTATTATCAGCTGTGTATTTAAGATAGCAATCCCATTGTGTATATACTCACACGCACACACTTACACAATTGCATTTCTGTTTTAAAGGATCATTTCAGTCAAAATTTAAAAAAGAAATACCTTTTCTTCTTACTGGGCGCACACGATCTTAGAGAAGTGTTGTTTTTTTGATAGTTTTGCCATCTTAAGTGAGTTTTTGAGTTTCATAGAAACATGTTTTAACCTGCTGATTATTAGCTGTTGTTTGCACATTGATTCAATTAGTAAACCGAAAGGGTAAAGTGAAATATTTGATGTTGTTTTATGTAGTTTTGTAATTTGGGTGTGTGATATTCCAAGTCCTTTCCTACATCAGATTAAGACCCTGTCATGTTGAGCCTCAACCATCTCTGGGTGTTTAGTTTCTAAGATAATTCATGACCACTTGAATGCAAATTATGTGTCAATATCTGTCAAAGAACATGATTATATTTACTTTATTCATAGAAATTTTAATGTTTTTTTTTTTCTCTGATATCATTTAGTTGATTTGAGATTTTCTTTTTGCTTTCACTGTGACGAGAAGCAACAAATATAAGTCTTAGCTTTGTGAAATAAATCACTGATCAGATTCTGCGTCTTTGACAAAATTGCCTGTTTTTTACTCTCGTCACTCCTCCTCATCACTTCCTTTTCTCCTCCAGATTCCCTCCCGGTGTGGTGGGCGTCGCCCCTGGCGGGATTCCCGGGCCTATGGAGGGGTTGGTGCCCGGGGGAGTGCCCATTGCCCACACCATGCCCCCCGGTACCCATCCGTCACAGGCCATCTCCCCCAACCAACCCCCCAAACATGGCGACCCCATGAGAGAGCACATGAGCGAGCCGTAGCTGCTGTGACCGATCAGCGGGGACAAGAAAGAGAGCAAGATTTCACAAAAAAAAAAGAAGAAAAAAACAATATAACTCTAAACCCAGAAACCAACCATCAGAACCATCCAACTTTATGCTTGACTTCAGCCATCTGAACCCACCAGCAGACTGCCTGAAGGGCAACGTTTCACACATCTTCTTTTTGTATGAAACCACTAAGCCTGAGTGAGGACGGGGACGTAAACGCACAGATGAGCTGCCACGCTGAGATGGGACTGACCGCCGAACTCTGACACCTTTCTGCTCCCTTCTCTGTTTTTTCTTCTTCATTTATGGTTTTGTCTTTACTTTTTGGGTATCCTCTCTTTGACTTCTGGGACACGTTGATGATACCGCGTGCAGGATGGAAATCTTACCCTCCCTCCCTCCTGTTAAAGGACGAACTTGAAGGGATAGTGACTCTATAAACTATCCACTGATCCCCTCATTACTCCTTCTTTGTCACCCACCTAATTGCAAAGATGTCTTGTGTTATTTTTCTATTTTTTTTTCTTTCTTCAGTTTATCCTGAATTCTGTGTTTCTGTTGCAAGTGAAAACCTATTTTTTTGTTCTTCAGTGTGTGATCATGAATGGATTTACAGTTACATATATGTCAAGCAGACGAGAAAAGTCAGCATCTGCTGCCTCAGTCAGAAACATGGACTACATCTTAGTTTTGATTTTCCAGTAGTTAAGGCTGGTGGCCCCTGAATGTAAAGACAAGATGTGGGGCAGTAAATGTGGTTTTTAGTTCCAGGAGGAGTATTTCGGCTCATGAGGTTACAAAAAAAAAGGACTAATTTAAACCAAAAAAGGAAAGATGAAGACCTCGGCCATTTGTAGGTTAGCTAATGTGCATTGAGTGTGTCACCTTGATTAAATATTACTGTTGTGACTTTTCCAACTCTGCTGAACTGAGGTAGCTACAATATTTGACAAGTGTCCAAAATATTACCTGTTTGCACCCAAAGGACCTACAGCGTATTGCAGCTCCAGCTAAAGACGTAGGGGGAAAGAAGAGCAGTTACTCACTCAGGAAAAGAAACAACCATCAAATATGTCCAAATCTGAACCATGAAGAAGCTAGTCTGGATTATTGCTTTTCATGTCTCCAGTTTTTTCTCCATTGTGGTCATTTTTTTTTTTTTTTGATATATCAAATATGTGTTTTTTGATGGTCAAGGTTTTCTGTCCTGTTAGATTTGTATTTGCCTCTTTCAATGTTCTTATGATCATAGTCTTATGTGAATGACCCCCGCCCTCTCCTCTGTATAGTTTCTTTGTTTTTCTGCTCTAATGAAAGCCAGCTGAGGCTCTCGGAGGCATCGCGCCCTCTGTGAGCAGCAGCAGCCACATCCATTTCTTTTGGTCCCGTGATGTTAGCAAGAGACGGCTGCTAGCAAGGTTGTTTGGTTTTTAGTGAGTATTTGTATTTGTTTCTTGTACAAGGTGAACATATAGCAAACAGTGCAGCTGGAAACAATAAATAAAATTTACTGTTCTGATTGATGGCGACTGATTGGCTCCGTGAAACATTTTTGATATGTTATGAAGACGCTTTAAAAAGGATTTTAGAGTCACTGATGACAATAACGTTTGAATAGGAAACACTCTTCATCCAAAAGCAGGTATTTGGAGGTTGATGGATGAATGACTGAATGAATGGAAACTTTCCTGCTGTGGTGTAACTGCAGCAGGTTCAACTCTTTGTCATTTAACGAGAAACTTTTGGAAAAGATACAGGTGTAAAGTCCATTTTCCCCATAATTTATTTTCAGAAAGTAAAACTTATTTTATTCTTAATCGATCACACACAGAGTAATATATTGTCAGTTCTCTAGTTAGAGGTCTAATCAGCTGATTAACTCTGAACACCTGTGAAGGGTTTACTGAGCCTTTATTCTGTCACTCTGGATCAGCACACACACCCAAATCAACCAGCAACAACGTCTTAAAGGGATATTCCGACGTAGAATTAGGTTAGGGTCAAACACACCGTAACACCCCATCGAGAGATGAATGTTGATTGCTTGCTTGTCTAGTTATACCAACTTTAGTAATGACCGCAGATAGCAATACAGAGAGCCACGCGCTCAACCAAAACACCACTCTATAAATGCAATCAGACCGAGATGCTAAGGCAGAAGAACTACCGCATCTGCAGTACAAAATGATTAATATGATGATTATTACTTCAAGGAAATGATAAAGTTATGATCATAAATGTTCTTCCTTGAGCTACGTCGCCCCGCTGCAGTCAATAATGGACTCGCCCGGAGATTTCCGTTCAAGCGGCTGCTGGAAGAGAGAAGGTGAGTTGTGTTTAGTCTCTTTGCTAAAGAAATTAGGCAAAGTTAAAAAGATGTTTGGTGGCTAGTGCTATGGCTGGAACCCTATATGTACTGTTGTTGAAGTTAGGTGCTGTTCTGAGCATTATTTGTGGTTATAAAGTGGCTTTTTGGTTGAGCGTGTGGCTCTCTGTATTGCTATCTGCGGTCGTTACTAAAGTTGGTTTAACTAGAGAAACAAGCGTTCGACAACATTCATCTCTTGAAGGGGTGTCTAACTCGATGTTAGTGTGTTTGACCCTAACTTGATTTTACGCCAGAATATCCCTTTAAGTGTCTCACCTGGGCTAAGAGGAAAAAGAACTGGACTATTGCTCAGTGGTCCGAAGTCCTGTTTTCAGATGGAAGTAAATTTTGCATCTTATTTTGAAATTAAGGTCCTAGATTATGAAGGAAGATCAGAGAGACATAGAGTCAAAAGTGATTGAAGTCCAATATTCAGTTTCCACAGCCTGTAGTGATGTCATCTGTTGGTGTTGGTCTACTGTACTCGATCAAGTCCCGAACTAAAGTCTACCAGAAGATTTTAGAGCACTTCATGCTTCTGTCTGCTGAGGATCTTTATGGAGATACAGGTTTCCTTTTCCAGCAGGACCTGGTACCTGTCCACAGCATCAAAACAACCAGAAACTGGTTTGGTATTAATGTGCTTGACTGGCCATCCATCTCACCTGACCTGAACCCAGAGAGAATCTCTGGAGTCTTGTCAAGAGAAAGATGGGAGACATAGGAGCAACAACACAGACAAGCTGAGGAAGCTTTTTATGGAACCTGAACTTCCATTACAGCAGAGCCACAGACTGATTAACTCCATGCCACGTCACACGCGTGCAATAAAGGAGTCTTAACCAAAAACATTTGTAAGACTTAAATCACAAACTGAAGTAATTTACTAAAACAACTTACACTTCAGTCACTGTGTGTTATTAAATGTACTTAAAAAATAGATTTTGGATTACAGAAAATGACCATCTGAATATTTGAATTTATATGATTTTGATTCATGGGTGAAACAAAGTCGATGTATCAAACCACTGCACATTTTTTTAAGATGAGATATGAATAAATATGTATACCTGTAAGGCCAACAGTCTTCAGTATGGTAGAGTTAAGTGCCTGCTGTAAAAGTTGAGAGTAATTTTCGGCTAAAACATCACAGCTGGGCATGAATCATCCATGCTAACACCACCTGTACTCTCTCCAAGCCACCATGTCCCATAAACTGCATGAAAGTTACACTCCTCTTTTTGTACTAGTCATACATTCCTGCTTTTGACTGACCTGCTTGCACAAGGAAGTGTAGCAAATTTACGGCCACTAGAGGGCGCCAGAGGGTGGATTTGTGGGACTTGTGTCAAAATATCAGACAGGAAACAGTTTAGTTGGACATTCAAAAAGGTTTTCCTTTATTTTTTTTTCCTTATTTTGCCTGCTCTTTGCGTTACACTCTGTATAGTGAAGTCAGGCCTAAATCCACAAACCATCATAGTCACAACTGCAACTATTGCATAAATACAAAGCAACATACAGGTGATGCTCAAAAACGTGTATGACTCAGATGACACACAAAAGAGGTTACAGTACACAATGGCCAAGGGGAAAAAAAACAAAACAAAATGCAAACATTCACAGCAAAAAAGGTAACGACATCTTGTGTTTTTTATATTTTTTTTCTGTCAGCTTTGGTTTAATATGTTGTAGTCTTTCACAACGACCTTAAATCAAAAAGATGCTTTCACATAATGACAACAAACAGGCATTACAGAGGTGAACGGATGTGTATCATGAGGGTGACCTGGATAACAAATGCTAGAAGGAAAAAATAAAAACAGGACAAAGAAGTATGAAACAACAATGAGATTAAGTGTACTCTTGGTCTCACTCCCATGCTTGCCTGCCCAAAAAACAAAAGCACCAGATTTTAGGCAATCAGATGAGGTACTGAATCGCACGCAACAACGTAAGTAAACTTTTCACTGATGGTCATTGTTGGTTTCCTCACAGCAACAGTGTTTCTGTGCAACGTGTCTTCATCAAGATCGAAAGAATCATTTAACAAAACCACAAAAAAAGGAGAGAAAAAAAATATACAGAAAGCTTTTAGTAGCTCAAAATATTTTTTTCCAAACAATAAATATGTCGAGTAAGTTCAGAGAAGATAAACCAAACACACACGCACACACACACACAACTTCTCAGCTCAATCAGCCTGAAAAAAAGGTAAACCAAAGATCCAACATGAATGTTCGTGTGCTAAACCTTAATGAGTGTAGGTTTGACTTGTAAAAGAGACAAATCTCCCTTTTCAAGAGCTTCATATATGTCCTTAATTCAAGCAATGTTACTGTATTTATATAGAAATGTTTTAATAAATGTGCAGTGCTTAGTAATAAGGATTAAAGTCATTTATTATTATTATTATAACACAATCTCTGGTTGTCTAAAGATAATGATATTTATTGGCTTTGTCCCTGCCCATTCAAAAACAAAATGCTAACTGTTATACAACTGGAAAAGAACGAGTCAGAAAGATCAATTTGGAAGTGTGCTTTTTGTCAGTGCCCACACTGAACGGATATAAAGTGTTGATTTCAATCATTGCTGGTATATTTCCTTATACTCTTTTTCAACAACCACATGCATTTACATTGATGGATAAAGATTCCTTTTTTCCTTTACATTTGAAAATCAAAACAAGTCAAAAGATCGTTTGCATTTGTGAACCTTTATTCTCTCCCCAGGTCTGTGCTGTGCAGCGGTGGAGTTTTGTCAGTCTCAGGTTTAGTCAGGAGTGGGTGTGTCTAAAGTGTTATGCCTGCCTGTGCTAGAACAGTAGCAGTGACGTCTGTCAGAGGTGAAGGGTGGGTGGGGGAGCTTGTGGTTCCCGGTCCTCTCCTGAAGGCTTTCACAGTTTGTCCGTGTCAGGAAAGGAAAAAAAGAAAAGAAAGTGACAGAGAGGAGGGAGAGGAGTCCTGCCCCCCTCGCTTCAGTTTTGTCACTCGTCGTCGTCGTCTTCCTCTTCCTCGCCGTCTGATAAAGAGGCGCAAGGACGGATCTGCCTGTAGCCATCGAGCCACTTCTCCACCATCTGGGTGACGAGCGGGTGGTTGCGTCTACGGGAGCTCTTCTGCAGAGCCACCAGGACGCCGCCCTCCGTCACACAGCAGTCCAACCATTCCCGCAGAAGTTTCTCCTGCTGCTCTTCATTACCCATCTGAGGAACAAGAGAAACACACACGGCCTTTAGAGGGAGCAGTGACACAGCTCTGTTTGAGGATAACCTGCTGCTGAAGCCCATCATCTTTGGAGCTGGTGAGATTAAAGCTGTAGGATAAATTGAATACAGGGAAGCTGAAGGTCCTTACCTCCTGCGCTGAAAGGAAGTGAATATGTAGCAGCTTCCTTTCACTGTCCACCAGCGGTAGAAACGTGACCGTCACGTCGTCATCTGTGTTGAGGTTGGCGCCTGCGCCGCGATTGTCAAAGCCGTCGTTCTCCATGGCCACAAGTGCTGAGAAGTGGCCTCGTGTGTAGCCCAGAGCGATGGGGCTCTTCCAGCAGAAACTCTGCTCCCACAGAAGAGGCAAGTACACACCTAAAAAGAGAGAGAGAGAGCAGAGATTTTCATTGCATGTTCAGGAATACTTGGTTACTTCATGTGATTCTACAGTTTCAAGAAGAGTTTTGGTTAATATATTTCACCTGTTGATATTACTGTACGTGTTTTAGAGTTTGCAAACTTTAAACATCATTTTTTGTAGGGCCAGGACAATTCGATTTTTCTACGATTTTTTGGACGCCGATTCGATTTAAATTGCGGTTCTACGATATTGACGATTTTCTCGATTTTTAAGGTGCTTACCCACCGGGAGCATTTTTTTCATGCGATTATTTCGAACGTCAATATTTTTTTTCGAACCTGTATCCTGTCAATACAGGTGTTCACATCAGCGACATTTTCCCGTCTTCAGTATGCTGCATTTATTTTTTCATATCATGGTCCAATTTTCTAAAGTTTCACACACTGTGTGTCTACTTCTGACCAATCAGATTGCATGTTGTTGCGACGTCAAATTCACCGGTACATTCAACATGGCTGACCGGCTGATTGTATACGTGTCGGAGAACAGAGTGCTTTTTGATAAAAGACACAAATATTACAAAGATAACGACCTGAAGGACAACTTGTGGAGAGTCATAGTCAGTTTTCAAGATTTATTCTTACATTTGAAAAAAAAAACAAATGTTTTTTTGGGCATAAAAATCGATTTAAAAATTGTAAAACAAAAAAATCGCAATACTTATGTGAATCAATTTTTTCTCCCACCCCTAATTTTTCGCACAACAAGGTTTGAGAGTCTCTGGTCATATGTTGTTAAATCTTAACCTGCACTTTAACCGACAAATCTACATGACATGACAATAAGGTGTTGGTTACACACAGAACAATGCAGAGAACAGAGCAAAGACGGTATCTGTGTCAAATATTCCTCAAGTTCGTTGATAAACAAAGCAGCTCTGACACCTCATGAATTCCTCTGTAACTGAAACCACCATTAAGAAGCCTGTGTTTGGCCACTCTGCTCTCCCAGTAACCGTTTTGTTTTTACTGGGTTCACTTGGTCACCACTTTACACTCCCCCTCCCATCCCTATAGGCGCCCATATGCGCGCCGCTCTCTCTCTCTCTGTTTTACATTGGCTCCTGGCAACTGTAAATCACAGATCCATCAGACTTTACCACAAGCAGTTGGCCATCGCGGAGCACTTTCATCATCCCCTGTATAGCATCGCTCAGCAGGCGAACTGAGTCCAGGCTGTTTTAACTACGAGCCATAAACGTCCACCCTGCTCCGCACACTCACTGGATTGTTTGACTCAGGTTCTGATGGGTTACATATGTTGGAATGTACCCAAAGTGCATGTGTGTGCATGTGTGTAAATGTGTGTAATACTGCCTGGCATTCCAAAACAGTTCTAAATATGCCCCTATATTAGGCGGGCTGTTTTGTTATGTTGCTCATGTTATTTTGAGTCACGCAGGACTAAAATACCCCTTAAATGAAAGACATAACACAGATACATGATGTAAATAGCAATTACTGACAGATCAGAGGGGCAGTTATGTCAGCTATGTAAGCTATGCAGACACATGTAGGCCGGAGCGATTTCACAGAGGAAGTCTAGAGCTCCTACTCCCACTGGACTGCAGCTGCTCGCAACATTTTAATCACCAAAACTTCAGTCAGGAGATTTAATTTTATACCCACCTTGAAATCGAGTGTACCCGAGTGTTTCGCCACGGAAACTTTTGTAATACTTCACTCCGTAGACGATAATGGGCCTACGAAGTATGTGTGCAAGAACGAAAATGTGGGTCTGCTCCAGGCTGGATCCCGGCTGTGAAAGAAAAACACAACGAGAGGGGAAAAAGCTGTTACAGGGCCGATCTGAGTGAAACTACAAAGAGCCTCGCATACTGTACTTTCCCCCGCCAAGTATTAAAACATTAAAACACACAATTAGCATGCTCTCACGCCCAGAGATAATAACAACCCGCCTAAATACTTGGTCTATGAGGTCACGCAGAGCGGTGAGAGGAAGTGCTGATGATAGACAGGATGCACTTTCACTGGGCATTACAGATCAAGTATACTGCAGGAGGAGCAGTAAAGCTGCTTGAATTATTCATACACCGACAGTGTGTCACACTTTAAGAACATCCTGCTCCCTGCCTCCACGCGTGTGTGTGAGTGTGTTGGCTTTCATGCTCGCTGTATACCTGACTGGCCAGGGAGAGGATGAAGGCCCAGTCCTCCTGCCACTGTTCCTCCTGCAGTGAAAAGTGTAGGCCGAAGCTCTGAGAATACCACGACTCCCACTCCTTCCAGCGTGTATAAAACCTGTGGACACACAAACACAAATGCTCTTTTTGTCTGTGACATTTTATGACCTCTCTGTGGAGAAGGGTGGTGACTACTTGTCACGGCAGAACTCCATGACTGTTGTGGTTTAGGCAGGGTTGCAATTAGTCATGATACTTGAATGGTCTTTTTCCCACTAGAATACACATCTTGCAAATAGATACAGGCTTTTATGTTCGTGTTGTGAAAGCAGATACTAGGGCTGGGCGATTTGGCCTCAAATCAATATCACGATACATTGAGCAGTTCACCTCGATAATGATAAATGGACAATAACTACTCCACAAGCTGCTTAACCCCTCCCTCATTAACTTTATCTACTTCAGCTGCCGCTACAACTTTTGAACTGTCCTCCATCTCCTCTTTCCCTCTTCGTTACAGACTGGATGGGGTGGAGTCACGTTTCCGATGTAGGACAGTATCTTAAAGGGACATGAGACCAAAGCCTACCTACACACATCCAAAAACAACTTTTATTTGTTTATTTTTTCGACACTAAACATGGGCAAAGTGACATCGGCCATTGTCATAAATTTTGATATCGGTAAATTTTCAGTTTATCGCCCAGCCCTATCCTGCACTTTCAGACTTTATCGGTGTTACAATCTCCTCTCAAAATTTGCATCTTAATAAAGTGGTTTAAAGTCTCTCACACCTCAAGACTGGACTTTTTTTTCAACCTCTAAACTGTGAGCAACAACTTAAAGATGGTAATATAATATTTTAGGACAAGCATATTTAGCATCAAGTGATCAAGAAATTAATAAAAAACACCACACTCATTAATTCTGTGGTATAAATATGTTAAATTTAAAGCATTATTCAAACCCCATTCCTGATAATAACTATCTGCATCTCTAGTCCCTGGTCTGGCAGGCCTCACCAGTGAGAGCAGTCGTGCAGGCTGTCGTGGAGGGTCTTGCGGAGCACTGAGTCTTTGTCGTAGATGCCCCACGTCGCTTGCAGCACAGAGTCAAGGAGACAGTCGCCAGCGGTGCGGTTCCACAGAGCGTACAGACGACTGTCCAACCTCGTCCCAAGCTCCAAAGACCAGTTGATGATGGGAGACTCCTCTTCAAGTTCTGAAAAAGAAGTGATTTTAAAAATAAAACTACTAGTGATTGAAGAGTTGAACAAAATAATGCAAGTATGGGAGGCTGCAGTGTTGAACGGGACAGGATGACATTTAAAAGAACTGTTCTTGACAATATTTATCACTGCTACCTTTGGCAAGAGATTTGTCTAAATAATGTTTTACATGAGTCTGTATGAACACCAGAGAAATTACTCTCATTGCCAGGAGCCGGTTGTCAAATGGATTGAAATTGATAAAATTACAGCATTCAGTCAAGTTTTAAAAATCTGTGACAAAATCATAAGTGCAAGGGACACCATTAACTTCTGCTGTTTATGGGGTGCATATCAAAAACACAACAGTCAGTGCTCTGAGCTGCATTGTGAGGCTCTTTCAGCCTCTTGGTAAACAGTGGAAACATTGATGATTTTCTTCAGTGCAGTGTCATGGCACAGCAACAACCCAGCAGGAGACAAAACAGACTGTTGTTTTTAATATTCAAGTGGAAGTCTGTGATGGCTGAATGCTTTGAAATCGAATTATGCTGGGTTTGCCCGTGGTCAGTGATGAGGTATGACCATGATAACTTTCCTGAGGGTTGAGTTATGGACTGATGGTGCATTGACAGAAGTAGCTTTGTAATAGAGGAGCACACAGTCTTCTATTAAGAACATCTCATTGATCTGAGTACACTGGTGTTCTGTATTTTGCAGTCAAGCATGAAACAAATTAAACATATGAAACACCCTTAAAAACAATATATCCTTTCATTAAAATACTTAACTATAGAAGTTCTTTTCCTGCTTTGTTATTTTCTGTAAACTCACACTCACTAAATCCTCCTATATTTGCTCCAGGTGATTAGATTTTTAGCAGAAACTGACCTTGTTGTACTCCCATAGCCTCACAACAATAAGGTTTTTTACCTCTGCAAAAACTCATCAATGAAGTGCAAACACACACAGACGGATCTTGAAGGTGAAATTAGGGTTTCTGTTTCTCTGTATCTATACTGCAGCAAGAAAAAAGAAACTAGACTTGTAACTAGACGCACTAATAAGGGTGTTGAGGGTTCAGACAAAGTACTATCATCGAACAGGGATCAGAGAAATCCCTAAAACTCAATTAGGCTGATTAGGATGGCAGCAACTGGCAGACGTGATAGAGACCGACTGCCTGGCAGGGTGTGACACAGACCAGTGGAACACTGTGTTCAAGAGGGAAAAACACAAACAACATGAATCTGTTGTTGTTTTTTTATTATGGTATACATCTGTGATAGTCTCCCTCTCTGTTGGCAGAGCAGCCAGACTATCTCCTCCATCTTTTATCTGATGTATTTTTTCTTCTTCGAAAAAGCGATTGCATTTAAGTTTGCACACGATGTGAGACGTTGCTGCAAGTTATTGAAGAATAATTAAGTCACCTTTTTGTACGTCTCTATCCAGCACCTCATCAAACAGTTTTTCTTGAACTGCTGGGGGCAAGTCTTCAATGTCTGAAAGATGAAAAAAAAGGGAAAAGTGAATGACAGAAAACTGAAGAGGGTTCACAAGTGTTTTATCAGTTACATACTAGCTTTTCTTGTCTTGTATTAAATGTATTAATTCTAATGAAGCTAGCGATAACACTCAGCTGAAACAAGTGAAAAGACAGACTAGAGGTGTTTTCTCTTGTGGCTCAAGCCATCATGTTTTGTTCTGTCCACAATAGCCACGGGCTTTCTCTGCATGCTGGGAGCTCTCCACAAAACAGAAGCTTATTCTTTGGCTAAATTAAATGAATGCATTGACTTTGTGGAACTGAACAGAGTGGCTTTCTATAGTGGCCAGAAGCCAATGTCTGCATTGTCCTGAAAACACTGCATAACAAAAATCCTTAGCTTAGCTACCAGCAACAAACTGAGCCTCAACGACGATTCCACACAAAGAAATTCAACAGGAGCAGCATTAGGTGCATGGATTTTCACAAAGACTAACTGGGAAAAAAGCTAAATATATATATTTATAATAAATGAGACACATGGATTGTTGGCGGGCTGGTATACTTGGTATGCAAGAACAATACTCGAACAGTGAGCCAGAGGTGGCCTCTGTCTTCTGGCAGTTGGAAACAGACAACCGTAGCATTATGTCCCCTCAGCATTTGAACAACAAGCAATTTCATATGCCACAAGTAAACAAAACAAGCATTCTATCACACACTTGGCAAGCCAGAGGGGACAGCAAGACTTGGCAGCAGCAGCAACAGAGCTTTAAGTTTCTCTTATACAAAACACAAAAAGTACACTCTGACAGCTTCTGGAATTTCGGCTTTTGGAACTTGTGACATGAGAGTTGTTTTTGAGCCACAAGGCGCACTTGTTTTTGGTTAGGCTTGATCAGGTGCTGACCTGCAGGCAGGGTGAAGGTTACCAAGTCGGTGAGGAAGTAACAGGTGAAATCCCCCTTGCGTTGGTGAAGAGAGGCTGCAACCTCACGGCGTATTTGCTCCGTTAGCTCAGGACAAACCATAGCTGGGATACACTTGGCTGCCTGCTGGGACACCTGCAGGAAGGGGAGGATACCGGGAAAGAAGCATGATCTAAATGTGTGAAACTGACAATCTATGCTCATAAGACGTGCTGAGGATTTCACAAACAACTATTAAAATAAACATGATGCAAATGTACAGCATGCAGCATTCTGGTGATTCAGCTGCACTCTGTCACTGTATCAGATGCTGCTTAAGGGCGTTAGCTGCCTCGAATTTTTCACACCACACTTTGATAAAACTTGAACATCGTCTCTCTGAGTAGAATAATTTCTCTATCACGACAGACTGATAGGCTCCAAAAGCCATTAATTTTTTTTTGTTGTTGTCTAGAGGGTTGACTTTGAAACCTGAGCTAATTTTACTTCCACTAATCTAATCTAAATTACCTTGAGGACAAGAGGAGGGAAAGAAGTGTTCCTGTACTTGATGTTCAAGCAGATCTGATTCATTTTGGGGTATGATCCAGTGGTTACTCACTGACCCCCCCCTTTGTAAGAGAAACTAGGACAGAGCCTCGGAGTGGGAGGAGAGGTGTGTGCGTGTGTGTGTGTGTGTGTGTGTGGATAATCTGGGATCACAGTGCTGACGGCAAGCAGGCTGCAGTGCAACTCAGTGCCTGAACACTGCGGACACACATTTATATTAGCTCTGAGCCTCTGTGTTGTAACTATCTGGAAAAGAAAAATCTGTAACGACACAAAATATTTGAACAGCTATAGTATCAGAGATGATGACAATGATAATGTTCTGTGCAAGAGGCCTCTTTGGATCAGATCTCTGTGCTGCTGATTTTCAGCCTCTTTTTTCACTCAAATCTCTTCGCTCCTGTGATTTCTCCCCCTGGTTGATCTCATCTGAAGTTGAGATCAAGACACTCTACCAGTAAAAGGTGAAACATATCAGAAGTGAAGGCAAACCACTGCAGCAACTTGACTATAATTTAGTTTTTACCCTCTTATTTTGAAGATCCAAATGAAGATACAATCATACCTCAACATAACATCAACATGTTCTCAAATCAAAGTACAGCTATCTAAATGTGCAGTGTGTAGAATATAGAAGAACAGGCTTGGTGGAAATGGGTTATTATGCTCCTAAGTATGTTTGAATTAGTGTATTACCGGCTGAATATGAAATTATTATAATGTGTATTTAATACCATGGTTGTATAATTGGGGTGGGAATCACTAGTGGCCCCAAGATACATTATTATCACGATACTTGGGCAACAATACAATATTATTGTGATTCTTTATATTTGGCAGTAAAGCAAGTATTGGAATTCATAAATATTTTTCAACAGTTTAGCTAGTTTAGCATTTGTCCTTCTTTTATGTTTGTCTTATTTACCTTGTATTTTATTTTCATGTAGCACATCTTGCAAACGTTATATATTTGTTGTACTAACTTTCTGCTGCTCTATGATGTCACCTCTGCCAACCTCACTGGACAAACAGTTGATTTTAATTTTACATTATCATATTAGCAATTAATTTGAAAAATCGATACTTGGTCAATGATATATCACCAGACAAAATATTGCGGTACTATGCTGTATCGATTTTTTCTCCCACCCCTATTGTATTAGTGTACTGGCTGAGTGAAGCATATAAAACAAAATTCAGTTAAAACTGAATTCGTACAATTTGATCAACACTCACCTGTGAGTGACAACATTTATTAGAAGTGGTGGCATCCAATATGTGGTCATTGTATAATATGTGACTGCACTGTTTCTGTTGTCTCCACTGACCTCAGTAAGTAACACCGCCAGCATGTCCTGTCTCTGGAAGCGGATGGCGAGGTGGACCAACGTGAAGCCATCGTCAAATGCTGAGGGCCGGTTTAATAGTCGCACCTCGTCTGATGTTAGCTGCCGTGCGATGTCACCTCCTGATGACTTGTAGGCCTCCACAGCTGCCAGGTCGCCTTCCACGACACCTTTCAGACAAAGAGGAACAGAGAAAGGTCACATAAATGATGACACTTACAAATGACACCTGTTTTTCAGGCTTTTAATTATTTTTTTACGTTATAGATGGGGTCAAATCAACGGTAAGAGAGCAGTTTGAATGTGCACTTACAATCCAAGTCATAGCTGTTAATTACAAAATGAACTGTGCTACTTGAAATCAAATTATCTTATTAGTACAAAACAGGAGTTTCTGAGTTAACTTGGTGTTTGAAGAAAATGCAAAAACACACTCAACATGGTGGTTATAAACAAAACACAACTGTGCACAGATGCAAAACTCACTTATCAATAGAATAACCTTGTGGAAAGGACTCTCTGTGCTCAACCAGAATAAATTGTTAGAGATCAGAATGTGCTTTATCTCTGTCACAGCTGTAACAGCTCTGAGACTTCGCTGACTTTGAAGTCAAGGGGAGAAGACAATAGCAGGCCACATTGTAGTCCGTCAGTTATTTTTCCCCTCGTAATCTTCAGGCTCAGATCTCTCAGGCATGAAGCCTGCAGGAAATGTTTGATCAGACAGATGTAGGTGTTTGCTTTTATGAGGATTTCTGGCACCAAGTCTGACAGAAGCAGTTTATATCAACCACTGGCACACAACCTCAAATTACAGACTTCTCAAACCAGTCAAACTACAAACCTTCTTACAAGCAGAGGAGGAAAAAAGCCGACAAAATCAATATTATCTGACTTTGAAGTTAGGATGCTGAGCAGGATATGATTATAGAGATCTAACAAGGGCCCGACCAATTTAATGGCGAGTCGATCAAATCGGCCAATTTTAGCCCGCTTGAGACTAATCAGTAATCGGCCAAAACTCACCGATTTTCGCCAATATTTTCAGAAATAAAAGGCAGAGAATAAGGTTCGGTTTCACGGTTTTCAAGATTCGGAAAATGTCCTGCCATTTGAAAAGTTCCCCGACTTATCCTGTAGATGGCGCAGCGACCTCATGACAACCTTCATCCACTAACTACCTCACAGCACAGTCAACAAGTTTAGTCAACAAGTTTCACTTCAACCCACTTCACAATGTTCCCCGCTGTGCTGGTCTCGGTCACGCCGAGTTAATGGCGAAGCACCATGTAGTATGCAAGCTAAAGTTAGAGTTAGCCACCTGCTATTAGCCTTGCTATACTGTTAGCCGTGCCAGTAACGGTAGAATAGACAACAGTACACATTACATGATCGAGCTACTTCTCTTACTGAGGCAGCTGGTAAGGCAGCCGGTAATCATATTTTTTTTTCTCCTAGTAATTGGCCCCCAAAAATCCATATTGGTCGGGCCCTGGATCTATTACATGACCTTATTTTAAAAGACAAACTGGCTCCCGGGATCGAGTTGGTATTTTTGTAGTGTATCGATACACATTGGATGCTGTTATGGTACAATATTTCATCTTTCCGAATTCTCTATGATCTTATGTGCATGATAAGTGTTGAGCAGTCCTATAACACTAGATTATGGAACAAAGCACCAGGAAAAAAAAAGAGGGAAAAATGACCTGTATAAAAAGCCAGACACGATAAAAGCCATCTGCTTTTGTTTTCAGTATTGATGCTAGCCATTGAAATCATGATAGAACTGCTGTCTCAGCGAGTTATGGCTTATAATGGTCCCAGTACAAGAAGAGTGAAAGGTGTGCTTTTGTGACAGAATCAAATGGCATCAAAACCTCATGGTGTGAATTCATTTTGACGCTCCTCTAAATCTCTTTCCATTTCTAGCATGTACAGTAAAGGCCCATCCATGCAGTATTCTCTGGTACATTTGACAGCATTAAAACACTGCTGAGCTTTTGTTCTCACGTCAAAAGGACCACACACAATGCTCGGCAACATAATCTGTATGTGAGTAAGACCGAGAGCGAGAGAGACGTGGAGTGGGTGGAAGGACTAGCTGTGCCATGTGGAGTTGGCTGGCACTGTGCGAGATGAGGAGAGAAACTACACAATAGCAGCGCAGTGAGATAGAGAGGGATCACAACCACTTTCCACAAAACACTCCATTAGTGTGGGCGTGCCTGCAGCCCTACAGTCAGTACTGTACCTACTGATCTTTTAGAAAGCACAAAAGGTGCAAATACGCAAACAGGCGTGCTCTTTAAGACAGACTGATGAGACAGCATGGATCAAACAAAGTGCTGCTGGTCTTTCCCCTCCAAGCAGTTCATGTTCCCTTTTTTGGTGGAAAAAAAGAACAGTCAGACAAATAGTAATAGTCTGAAGGCTTCTTGTGATCGGTGCTTGTTAAACTAGCCACTTCAGTGAGTAATAAACCGACATGTGAAGTTCTTTCTCGGGGTCAAAAAACAAGTTATGTGTTAGCTAAGTGGAAAAGGCTGACTTATTTTGGCAAGTACAACAAAATTTGAGTATTCTTTGTTTTTTCCAATGATAGACTATGAGAGTATACACATAACACTTTAAGAGTGTATTGGCATTTAACTGTGTTTATGCATAACATTAGCATATTTAACCAGGTAAACCATGTTGCTCACTAGAAGTGCTATGAGTGTTAAATATCTTACTCAAGCAAAAGAGAAGCTCTTTTAATCACATAGCTGTGATGCAGTTTATGGAAAGGTTGTCTATTTTTGGCATTTTTTAACTCAGCAAAATTTAGTTCAGTACAATACTTTCCACAGAAAAAAATTAGTTCAAGCACTCATTTTAAAAACTATTCAAAGTACAAGTACACAAAAAGCTCCTCACTCAAGTAACATGAGTAAATGTGAACTGTTGCTTTTCACCCCTGCACCTCACAAGATCCTCACATCAAACTACTAATTTTTTTTCACTCTACTTATAAGACATTATTAAAAGATCATTTCACCAGATCCAACACACACACACAAAGTAATTTTGTTGCTTTTGTGGTGTGGATAAAGGTATCAGGACTTGGGGAAAAAGTCCTCTCATCCTTTACACAGATATAATTGTTCACTATTTGCCTCTAGTTAAGAAGATGCAGTTTGCATCAGTGTTTATACTGTCTGTCAAAAACTATTAAAATCGAGATTTATAAACCTGGTCGTGGTCTGAGCCAAACAAATGCATTTTTGTATATTTTATTGCAAATAGAGAACAAGATTGAAAGACATTGAGGCATCCTTACTGATATATGGTATTCATTTGTAATTTGGTAATAATTTGATTTATAATGTAGTACGAGTGTGGACAGCATCTCCTTCATGCATCACTTTGTCTCTTGTTTATAGAAACTTACTCTTTGCCCTATTTGATTGCACTGGTATTACTAGAGGTCAACATGGGATTAAGCCAATTGTGACTATGGCTGTTATTCTAGTGTTTCTATTACCAAAGCAAACAAAGTATTGTCCTGAAAGTACACGGTATTATCCCCAGACATGATTTCAAGGCTTTGCATGACGGTACAATAGTTCATACTGATGGCTGAACCTGGTAATATGAGGTATCACAGGCAATCAATGTCATCTGTGTGTAGCAGGATGTGTTCCCTGAATATCCATCTACAATTCTGTTGAAGCTATCACTTTACAATTGAATGTGGCTGATACATTCAAGTATGTAACATTTCTGAATTATTATCATCATCATCATCATCATTATCATCTCCGGTCTCTGACGACAGTAAGGCAAAGAAATTATTGTGTCTTGCCCGTCAAAAATGCCAGAATAAAGATAAATAATTGCATAATGAACTCTTAGTCAATAAACAATCATATACTTTCTGATTATCAATCTATTATTAAAGTGTCTTGTTTGACCAAAAAGGGTGTCTTTCCCTTAGTGTTTATATGCCTCTTATTTTCTATGGCAGTCAAGTAAATATTTTCAGGTCTGGAATTGTTGGTCGGAAAAAACAAACATACACGTCTACTTGCAGTCTGGGAAACTGTTACTGGTATTTTCCCAAGACTAAGTGATTAATGGTGTAACCAAGGAAAAAAACAGAGAGATGTCACTCAGGGAAAAATAATTTGACTGCAGACCTTTACACAGAACATGAATTTGGTTAGAGAAAGGGGAACAATATCCAGCCATTTCTTTTAAGGAAGCATAGAAAAGGTAGGGCCTTTCAGATAAGATAATGTCAGCTAATGCTTTAATATGCTGAAAGAAAACATACCCACTCACATCAGGTTTTTAGACCACACTAGACTAGGTCCTGAGGGGAGAAGCAGCTCAGGCAAGAGGGAATTCACTGTGTCACTTGGAGTAAGCGACCCAGACTAGGGCCAGACAAGCCACACTGATGCTTCTTTGACATTAGCACCCTGTATTTCCTTTGCTCTAGGGACATACAAACCATATACCTATTCATCACACCACAGACTTTAGTGGAATATCAAAAGAAAAGAAATTGCTGCTTCAGTGGGTGTGCAGAACAAACTCTATGTGGGCATGGCAAAGGCCAGAGAAAGACAGAGATAGTGGTGTGAGAGAGTGAGAAAAAGCCAACAGTACTTGTTCTTTAAATGTTCATCCTTCCTCCCACATCCATCGGTCGACAGTGTGGGTGGCCGGACACAGAGTTTGTGTAGTGAAGTTCTACAACAGCTGAATGCAGGGGATTTCTAAGCATATACTTGTAATATCAAATCTGACTCATCTGGACCACGCTATATCAACTGAATCGCAACTCAATTCCTAGCAGATGGTTAAATACGCATTTATCCACAAAAATCATGTAGATCCTCTTTCACAGTCACTCAGTCCTCTTTTAGACAGCCTCACATCATTCATTTGACTCACTGCACGGGAAAAAAGAGCAACTTCACGAAGCGTACATGTTTTTAAACTCACCAACACAGGCATTGAGGAACAGCCAATCAATTCTTCTCATCCTGTTTTTGATCTGCTTCAGTTTTTTGAAATCCACCTCCAGCTCCTCTTTGCTCCCAATACCTGCTCCCGACGCAAGTTCAATCCGTTGAAAGTCCATGTTTACCTCTGACTCTCGCTTGGATGTTGGGGGTGACCTCCTCTGGCTGCTGCTACAACCCCCCAGCCCACCTACCCCGCTCCCGACTCCCTGCCCTACCACATGTCCAACAACGCCCCTCCTGTTGTCCCTGTCCTGTTCGTTAAGTTTGGAGGAGGGTTGTTGGCTCTCAGGCTCTGATGCCAGTTCAATGGGTTCGGCTAGCAGACTATTTGGCCTTGGGTGGTCACAAACCACACACTTTAGTGCCTTGGCCCAGTTCTCATAAGTGCAGGCAGTGCAGGTCCAGTGCTGTGTATGAGTGTTGAGCCTGTTACGGTCATTGTATTCCTCACAGGGGTCTGTAGTCGTGGCTGGGGGAGCAGGGCGGCATCCAGAGCTTGAGGTCTGGGGTGATTCTGTGGGGCTGCGTGGCTGCTGGGTATGAAGTCCTTGATGGGTTGTATGTTGCCCATGCTGCTGCTGTTGTTGTTGTTGGGCCTGTTGCCTCTGGCACAGGCACTGAGTGCAACGAATGGCCCGAGGCCAGTTCAGGTAGGTGCACATGTGGCATGACCACTTGCTACTAGTCTCGGGTACATCAGCAATGCGAACACGGGGTCGTGCACTGGAGTCTGGACAAATAAGTAAGCTGGAGCCCCCTTGGGACGGGCTGTTGCTGAGGCCTGCAGGGTCCCACTGGTGCAGACTGGCATCCAGAGCAGGGCTGCTCTTGAAGGGCTCCTCAGTAATGATGGCACTCCCGCTGGGCCTCTGAGCGCGGCACATGGTGCACTTGATGGCTGACGGCCAGTTCTCGTATGTGCAGTATTCACAGGCCCACTTGGCAACCAGCTCGGTCATCGTCGCACCACCGCTGAGGGGGGCTTCCTGCCGTTCAGAGGGGTTCTCAGCTCGGCAGATCCACTCTCAAGGAGATAACACAGCAAGCAGTCCACTGGGGTCAAACAGAAATAAAGGGTGTTTTAGCAGGACATCTGGATATTATACCAAGTAAATTCACACTAAATCATGAGCAAAAAACACTTTGCAAAAGTTGAAATAACGAAGAGTAAAATGTGCATATCTTCCCATGTTTAAGGTGGTAAAGCTCTTTCTTTAAAGCCACCTGTGTCACTTAGGCATTGAATGTTTACAGGCAAACCCTTGGACTGCAAAGAAATGCAGTCCTGTCAATTCCTAATCTGGCACTAATTCGCAGTAAATGTTCAAAGGAAGCGATGTTTACAGTCCCACAAAGCAAACAACTGGAAGGTAACACTCCAGCTACATCTGAAACCCACCTCTGAACTGTAACACATACAGTAAGTTACGCAAATGTACCCTACAACCGAGCTGGGTAACAAGAGACAAGGACATATGAAACCAAATACCCAGCAGGGAAGCGCGTGACTAGTTAAGACACTTACAGATGCACTGAAACTAAATTCACCCTAAAACCTACATATGAAACTTGAGGATTCAAACCACATGTGCCCTTGTTCTGAACCCTAAAAGTAATAAGACAACGTTAACCTTGCAAGGGGCCGCTCAGGCAAGAGTTGGTTGTAAGTTGCTGTGTTTACACCACGCCTCCAAGTTTACAAACACACATCTGAGAGATAGCTGCGCGAAAACAAGAGCGTATGCATATTTAATAGCGAGCTAAGGTAGTCCGACCTGTTTATTAGCGACAAGCGAATTGTTAAGTGAGTTAGAACAGTGGGAATTGAGCGAAAAACAAACAGCAAGCTAGGGTTGATTCAAAAGAGTAGTCGGGTAGCTTTGTCTGCATTTACAGCGAACATTATTTAACTTAGAGATTAACTATTAACACTGTGTCGCGTGTTAACAGACGCAGCACGAGCTCACTAGCTGGTAGTTATCCTCCATGACAACCAGGCAACGTTCGTTCGGTTGCCAGCCAGGAATTAAAAACCGAGCTAGCAGACTGCTCGCTAACATTACGGGATTATGTAGCCGTTTGAGAGGCCCTTATCAACTCCACAAGCCGACGTTGAAGCGCTTACCTTTGCTTTGCTGTGTTTACTCTCCTCGGTTTCCCACTGCAGCCAAAACAAATGGGATATCCCCCCTCCACCACCACCACCGCCGCCACCCCCCGAAACCCACTCCAATCTGAGCTCGGGCTCTACTTGGCCGACACTAACCGCATTTTTACTTCTTTGGGGTGCCGTTTAGGTGGCAACTGAGGGTCCATACATACCGCAGAGCGAGAACCCCCCCAAGACCCGTCCCTCTGCCGTTTGCTTGAGTGCATTAAATCATTTTCATCCTCTTCCCGATTCCCCCTACCACAAAACTGACAGGCTTTAATGGCGGCACAGGGGGAAGGAAAGCAGCCGAGGCAGGGCTAAAATATACACTACGAGGAGAGAGCGCTGAGAGGAGCTCTCTGGGCCGTGTTACAGTCAGGGGCAGGCTCAGGATTTACCACCTGAATCTGCTAAGCGAGCTGATTGGTTGATTTTCGTCTATCCCTTGACACTAACCAATCAGATTCTACGTCTCTTATTCCAACTGTTAAAAGGCTCAGTTAAAGCAAAACAGGCTCGGATGTCACAGTAATAACAATAGTTATTCCGTTTAGGCATGAATTTCAATGAGTCGACGATTGGCGAGTAACTTAATGGGGGAAAATGTGTTTGTTTTCAATTCGTGCATCGTAATATGTTGCTCCTCCGGCAAGGCAACCACGTGGTATCCCCTCAAAAGGGATAAAAGGATGATGTCATCGTAAAAATACTGCAGCAAGCAGTCTGCAGCAATGCATGACAGCTTGAGCAACAGTTTCCAGCGCTCAGTTGTCACCATCAGCCGGCATCTTTCCTATTACTCGAACCCCAAATTGAGTTTGCAGCATGATTATCAATTAACTGAAGAATTTCTTTACTTAAAAAAACATTTACGCATGATTATAACTCTTGTTTACATCACAGCCCGTCCCACCACAAAGTGATGTCATCGGCACAAGCACCAGTAGGTTTTGCGCATAGAAAGACATCTGAAACAAATGTATGCCATTTGATTTTGCACAAGTCTGAACTTTGTTGGCTTGCAAACACATTTCGTCTAGACTTGGATGTAAATATATGCATTTTATAGTATGAAGCATCACCAGAGTAAGAAAACAAAGGCACATCATGTAACATATGCATGTTTTGTTTATTATCCCCCACTTTGAGAACCATATTTCTCTGTGCTTGTCCAAGAAAGTCCTTGGTCTGCTTTTGTCAAGTTCACATGTCCTGCTCTAAGCTCAGGAGATCTAAGCTGTGCCCTGGACTTTGTGCTTTCAGGGAGGTGTTGATGTTGCAATGACCCATCAGGGGTAGGAAGGGAAGGGTCAACCCATACAGTGAGAATACTTGTGTGTATATTTGTATTATTTTGGAACTTGGACAATATAGGATCTTAACAATCTAAGTCCTGTCATGCTTTGTGCCTGTGGTCTTCTGCTGGTTTCCCATCTGCCCAGAGTTACACACAGGGACTTGTAAGCAAGGGTCTGAGGACCTGGATAAAAAAGTGAGGACTAAGAACTGCTGCTCTATACCACCACAACACTCAACTGAGACAAGCTCATACAGTCAGTGCTGTTAAAATGCTACCCCCACCTTTGTCTACTATACATTCATTGAACATTTCTTTATTATATTCCAGTACTCAAAGGGAACCACACTCCCAACAAACTGATTTTGTTATTTCCTTTAACATTTTTGTGATTGCGTTACTCTCTGTGATTAATAAGTAACATCATGAGTGCCAGTTCCTGATAAGTGATACATTGGCATTACACATCAGGGCAAAGAAAATGACTCTAAGGCAGAAAACATGATACACAAACAGGCTGTGTATGTAAAGCAGAGCTTGTTCACAAGGCAGTATCTTCACCCAACAAAAACAGGTCTTCATTTTCAAACCGATGTGAGACGTCTTCCATGTACAGTGCAAATGTCTGTCCATGCAGTGTCAAAACCAGCTCATGCAAGGAGGGCGTCCTACATTCAGCACCAGACCGACCGACCCCTTGGTACTTATTTGTTTTCAAATGGTTGAGGTGATAACAAAAAATCCCAATTTCAGTCAAACCAATCATTACCCACTCTACTTTGCTGGAAGTAACTGTTACGATGCAGATTGCTGCTGACTTTAAAGTTAAACTTCCAGTTTCAGATGTTTATGCAAGCAAAGCCACAGCTGCAACCAGGTCCACCTAGAAGTCATCAGTGACATTTATAAAAAAAAAAGGAAAAAAGGCTTTGGGAAGTATCGTTCAGGTAGATAAAACAGGACAACTTGAGAAAAGAGGCATACAACTGATAATCAAAAAAGCTAGGACATTTTGTTATGATTCTACCCCTTCATTAAAATAGATCTGTGGATGTGTGCCATTTGCAGATAGAAACTGCCCAGAATTAAAGGCACTGTATGATGAAGCAAGGTTAGAATACTTTCATCGTACTTTCACCGTAATATCCAGATCTCTACACATGACAATGTCCCGACAAGGCCAGAACATGAGGTCTGCTTCGAGCTATAACAAGACAGAGAGGTGTTTGCACACTCTGTTCCCGAGGTTGAAATTCACACACTACAGGGGGTATCAGCCTTACAATTTGACTTTAATAGAGAACAAGTCAGTGAGAAGTGAACTTGAAGTGGTTATACGATCACAGTCAGTAGTATTGGAGACAACCAGCATGTAGAAGTGGAAGTAGCAGCCAGGTTCTCGTGTAAAGAAGAAAAAACAGATAGACAGATGCAGTTTTCTCAGTGGTAGCTCTCTTGGTTGCAGCAGCAGAAAGGGAACCTTAAGCATCTGGTTAGTAAAGCTACAGTACATTGTGTTTGCCCTGTGAACCCCGTACAACACACAAAAAGCTGAGCCAAGTTTGGTTCAGGGTCAAAGAGGACAACTCAAGTGGCACAACATATCAGCATTGGTAAAGCACAATTATAAAGAAATCTTAAATTTTGTTAAGTGCAGCAAAGCGCATACAATTTCAGTGTTATCCAAGAGGAACAAGACATTGACATTCTTGTCAATCAAATTAGATTAACTGTTAATCGACAAAATATATATATAGTATATATGTATATATAAAGCACCCATTTAAAGAAGTGGCAGAGTAAATTTAGTTTGAAATCTATTCTTTATCATTTAAATAGGCAACTGTATGATTAATGAAAGACTGTGGAGCATGGCAAACAACATGTCAGAAGTCCAAAATCAAATACGAAAATGTGCATGTTAAAGAAAGTCTAATTACAAATATATCTTTTTCTTCAAATTACAAAATAAAAACTAAACCATTTGCCTATATCATTTTTAAAAAATTGTTTGAAGGCTGCAAAATATTTTCCCCATAATTTTTCTGAGATTGTTCGTTTAAAGGAAGGCAAAAAAATGTGCAAGAGGTAATGCAAGAGTGGGTGCTCAGAACTGGTGACACAAAAGTGAAACAAACAAAAAAAAATAAAAGGACAGAAACAGAAAATGTGGAGTGGGGCTTGTCTTTAAGAGGGAGCCGAATTGCCAACCAGTTGGCATAAATCGCTCTGTGGTATCAACTTCCAGCAATGAAACAAGACTCATCCACGCTGGAGTACCAAGACCGACCCCATTCCATATAGAAAAACTGAAACGAGAAGACTCTTCCCCAGTGAGAGACACACCTGTTATGAGCCTGCAAAGCCTAGCATAGTTTCCCCTTAAAATGGAGATCAGACTAAGACGAGAAGAAAAACTCACAGCGGAACCCACCTGTGCATGCCTTTCACTTTCAGGACTGGCACTTCTTTTGTCTGTATCTGTCTATCTTTGATTGCTTGAGATGCCAACCTCTCAAGGTGTGTCACTAACTCGTGTCCTGTACACACCCTGTGGCATGTTTCTATGTGGTCTGTGAGCCACGAGCATCCCCGTCAGGACTAAGTGCAGCCGGTCGGCCTTGCGCTAAAACGCTGGGAGTGACCATTGGCAGATGTGGGGCTTCACTCAATAAGTTCTCATACTCGCTACTGTCCTCGTCTTCTTCATCGTCATCGTCCTCATCGTCTTCATCATCCTCCTGCCCTGCAGCTTGTCTATCTAATGAGTCAGAGCTTGATCCATCCCCATTGCCAAGGTATGGGCTGCTGGGAGTGGTGACAGGGTTAGAGGTGGCACCTAGGCCTAGACCCAGGCCCAGCCCAAGGCCCAGGCCCATCCCAACTGGGCCAGGGGTGGGGTGTCCTGGGGAGCCTACAGCTTGGGGCCTGGGTAGAAGAGCAGCGCTTGTGGTTGGGGAAGAAGAGGAGAGCAGAGAGTCACCCTGGGACAAGAGGTCAGAATATGATGGGGGGTTAGGTGAGGTACTGGGCCGCTCTGGGGCAGAGGGTGTGTGGAAAGTTATCCTGGACAGAGACAAAGCCTCAGACGGGTCTGCGTTCTCCTCTGAAGCGGAATGGGAGTCTGCATTCTGGGACTCACGGAGTCCTGCGGAACAGAGAGGAAATGTAAAAGGAGCATATAAAACCAGAGGAAATCAAGTTTGACTGGCTGACTGATCATGTTTCTGAAATGAGCTTGAGGGAAAAGGATCAACTCAAAAGAAGGGAAATGCTTTAAAACACCAGCTAGGTAGTCTGTTTCTTGATTGCTGTTTGTGACTGATGAGTCACCAGTCTTTCGAAGCCCTTCACATTTACAACTCAGTGACATAATTCTAGTATGCAAATCCTAGGACAGGTACTGACTTCTCTCTTCTTCTGCGGTCTTGCGTTTCCTGAGAGCAATTTGTTGCTTGAGTTTGTTCACATCCTCTTGGATTTTCTCCTTTACTCGTTCACTTTGTTCCACCTCCCCACACACCGCCTAAAAATGAAAAAAAAAAAAAACAGGCGAACAAAATTGAGGTGAAAAAAAAAAACCACAGAAAACAGTCTCCTCACTAAATTCACAGATCCAGTTAACAGCTCGGGCTGTTATTCAGCTCACCTGCACTTTGTCTTGCAGCGCACTGTAGACTTGGAATATTGTTCGGATATCCTTCATCACACCATCTTTATCAAAGAATTCAGCCCTGGAAACATATTCACCATGATTAATGACATCATTTAAAGATAAAATAATGTACAAGAAAGAGTTATAAAAGCATCCTGTGTTTGTCCATCAAAATACTTTAAATTGGCTGTTATCAAACTGTTTTCCTTCCTATATCAAACTTCAATCTGTCTTGCACTAATATACACTGAACAGGCTCAGAAGAATAAGGATAGTTTTTAGGGCGCAGCATACACAGGCTCTTCGCCTCTGGTGTATAGATGATACTGGTATTCAACCCTCTGCCACAGGAGAAAAAGGGGGGTCTAAGTTTAGACACAAAGACGCGAATACAAGGAGCACGTGCAGCCTGTAACATACCAGCTTTCAACTGCAGTCAGTCACATGTTTATGTATGTTGGATTCCACTTCTGCACAATTAGGACGAGCATATACAAACACATGAATGCTGAGAATCCTGGGTGCTGCTGTCAGTGAACACCACCAAGAAGAACCAGGAGTGCATTGTGGGGGGAAAAAAGAGGGAGGGTAGGGGGGTTCACACAGAGTATGCCCTGAAGGTGAAGCTGTCGTACGCCTTAAGGTCAAAACAGGTGGCTGCCTCCCCTCCACAAATTCTTAAAGAAGACAAGGGCCTGTTTACTAAATCCTCCCTGAGTGAAAAGAGGGGAGTTAGCTGTGACATTGGCACCGTGGAAAACTAAAGGAAAACACTTACCCATGCTCTTTGATGACCTGGGTGTAGTTAAAAGAGGTGTTGGGCACTGAGGACATTTTGTATTCCTGCTGGCTTGTGTTGCCGAGGTTTGGAATTGTGAGGGTGATTCTCTGGTTGTACCTACTGGGATTCAGATAAACTCTTTAAGAACATGGCAAACGTTTGAAGGAAATAAACACTGCAGACATACAATAATACAGATATGAACCTTCTATGTTGTAAACTTGTCAGAATCTATTTACCTTGTGAGCTGTATAAGTGGGACATTTAAAGCATAATTCAGTCCTCTACATACTAATGTATACACGTCAAAACAGGAGAGTTTGCACTACTTTAAACTTATTGTCATTTCTACCTGACTACCTTTTAAATAAATAGTAGTTTGACAGGTTACCATGACAGTCTGACAGTGTGTGTAATGTCAACTCATGTTAGTCTACATGCAGTTATTACCTGCGGTTAGGTCTGAAGAGCACGTACTCCAGTGCATGTGTGGAGCTGTTGGCGGTGGAGATGAAGCTAAAAAGAAGGAAGACGAGGTCGGGCACACCAAGCAGCTGAGTCAGCTGTTTATGGATGGTCTGTTCTCTGAATGACATCTGCTGTTGTGTGTTCCTCCGGAACCGGTACCAACCAATGACGTTCTGCATGAACAGACAAAAAGGGTTTAAAAAAAAAATATATATATATATGTTACCCAAACTGAGCACAGTCCAGATCAGTGTCTGTTTAAAGTTCAACAAATCCTCAAGAGGCATGCATCAGTAAGGGAGGGATTCATTATTATCTTCAGTGCAATCCCACATTTTGGTGTAAAACTTACACTTGAGGCGATCACTGGTTAGCAGAAATAAAACTCAAATTGGATTCAAAAACTAATTCTGATTTCAGGTGTCACTTGTGAGATATACTGTCCTCTAGAGCAGTGGTTCTCAAGTCCAGTCCTCAAGGCCCACTGTCCTGCATGTTTTGGCTGTTTCCTTGCTCCAACACACCTGATTCAAATGATTAGCTCGTTATCAAGCTCTGTAATGGCTTAATAACGAGCTGATCATTTGAATCAGGTGTGCTGGAGCAAGGAAACAGCCAAAACATGCAGGACAGTGGGCCTCGAGGACTGGACTTGTGAACCACTGCTCTGGAGGGTCTTGTGAATCATGTTAGTCATGGTAGATGGATCTCCACTGATCAGCTGTCAGTCAGCTTTGACAGTAGCGTGTCTGCACACATGTACACTCTGAGGATTTGACTAAATACACAGACTAGCAACGTTTTGTCTGTATGATAGCTGTTTAACAAACGCCTTAACACCTGCACATCAAAAACTACCTGCAGTCTTCTTACTCTGTCCTGTTTAGAACCAAACAATGGTAGAATGCATCATTACAAAATAATCAATAAATATTAGGATTATTTATTAGTCTAGAATGCTTAAGATGATATATTAAGTGTAATGTTTCATGGAAAAAAGACATATATCAGTCTTCAAACCTATGGCTCATTGATGACATGGCGATATATGTACCAAGTGACACTTACAGACAGATTCATCCTCATACAGTCAGACTGTATCAGAAATGGCTAATCACACACACAAAAATAACTCCATTACAAATATGACTCAATTCAAACTCAAGTAACTCTTATTGGACGGTGATTATTAGACAAATCAGGTTTAGAACCCAGGAGAGATCCTCTGTTTATCAAATTTATAAAAGTTTTGCCTAACATTTGGTTCTTATCCCTCATCTCTTAGTGTCTGTATGAGTCAACGTTTGTTTATTTTCAGCGTATCCCCTAGTGACAGTTTCAAGGTCAGTCTATCGGTCTAAAATTCTAGTTAAGCACAATCTAATCAGTAAGCAGTGTGTGACACAGGGGCATGTCCTTCAGCTAAAAGACATCTGTGAAGGCTGTTCCTGTGCATCCTCATGCGTAGCTCCTTCAGTTTCCCCTTTTACCTTCTCAGTCCTCTCCCCTCCAAACCCCAGTTTGAGCTTTAACATGCTACTTACCTTAGCGACTTGGCCGAGGACAGAGGAAAGATTGTTCATAGAACTGGCACATGACTTTAGCATAGCATTGGTCTAGAGATGATGTGAAGTAATCATGTTTGTAACAATTAAAAGCACTCACTTTCCGCCTGTCTTTGAGAATGCTGTTGAGACTTTCTTCATCAATTTTGCCTGCGTAGTCATAAAAGCTGATGAGAGGGCAAAAAAATACAAGTTAGTCAAAACTGATTCATCAAATTCCTACTCCTCCTCTCCGTTGGCCTCCTTCTGTCATCTAATCTTGTCAGATGGAGCCATCTACTGTCCAGTGTCAAGTTAAGCCGAAATGTACTGAAATGGATATAAGGCAAATGATGTATCCACCTAAAATGTATAAACTAATTTACAGTGAACTATCATCGATGCAGACTTCACTGCAGAAATAATAAAAAAGGTCAGACCTCTAAATAACACCAGGCTCTGTACACTCAATACACAACAAAAGCTTTTGCTCTAGTTTATGTGTTCAATATTATCCATTTTGTATTTTACATCATGCACATTCACTGATGATTATTTCACCTGTTTTGGAGTAAAAAGAAAAGTAATATCATACCTAAACAACTGTGCACAAGGATCATGGTTATGTATTTCTGTTGGAAAGATGCAGAGACAGATGCTTCAGTTATACATACGCACACACAACTCATATATTGTACACATTTCATTGGCTTTTCAGTCATCAAAGTTAATCAAAACAGGTTAAGATAGAATAGATGAAATTTGGGGAGGAAGGAAAATGAAGCTTTCACTGTGACTAGTGAGGTTAGAAAAAGGGAAATCTAGCACTAATACTGTGTAACATATGGCTGTGTTTTGGGATTTTTGTTTTATTCAAAGTTACATCTGTGGCTCTTCAATAGGTATACCTGAAAACATAACAAGAATAATTGTGTATTTTTGTTTTCTTTTGCTCTCTGTCCTCTTGCCATCATCAATAAGCTTGGAGCGAAGAGCTTATTGTATGCTTTTATGCTGCTTTTCTGACAAGACCTTTAAAAACATGTTTTACAAACCAACCCAGACATTAAAGGCTTGGCTGACCTATACTTGTTGTAAATCTCAGGTGGATGTTTTAAACAAATCACATGGAGTCATCAACATGTACAGTGTGTATTATTAGGTTGCTTCAAGTCAACCTCAATAGATGCAGAAAAAATAACAGAGAGTGAGGGGAGGTGTCAACAACCTAAAAGGTTCTCATATTTTGGAGAGTATAACAATAGATAACAACTGAGTGGGTGAGCCTAAGTGATGCAGAAACTTTCAAAGGAGTGTTTTTTAAAGCTGTTCCTTTAAAATCAGGATTATTCTATATTTTTAAAAGCAGAAAAGTTGAATTGACTTTGTAGAAAAAACATGTCCTTTACAACACTTACCAAGACCCTGTTTTCTCCAAATGACACTGAGTCAGCGTACTTATTACCAAGACTGACACTGATGCACCTCAGTGGAATTCAGCCATAGTTAATAATTTACACGTGAACCTTCCTGTTGTTGCAGTTTACAGATATCTATTGTATAAAGTCTTGTGATTATGTTCTCAAGAAACACTGCTTCTAAAGGATTTACGACACACAGAAAATCTGCTAATCATTGCCTATAATGACGTATGTATGTTGTTGTTTTGTCCGTTTGGAAAGCTTACCTACTACCTGTAGCAATTCTGCACTGCTGATCTGTGTGTCACTGATGCTGACAGTCTCTTCTTGCCTTACTTCTCCTAATAGGAAGCCCTCCTGCGAATACACAAAAACATCAGTTAGGAAGCTGACCTAACCATGACAAATCAATTCATTGATTATCAATATTTCAGTGACTCAAGATAAAATTAAGCAACCAAAGCTGATCAGAGTGACACATTCTAGTTACAGCATGAGTGTGTGTAATAAAAATGCATCTTTAAGACCTTTGGCTGAGAAAAATGGCTCAACATACATAATGTAGCTCATCAGATTATGTTTGCAAAATAGTTTACCTATCAAAAAGTGTAATTATTTGAAGAAAGACATACTGGAAATCCACAGCCAATTAACAAGGATGGGGTACAGGTGACAACATTAACTCAGGAAATTTTGCAGAAAGACAAAGGCACATCTGGACAAATTACAGAAACAACACCAGTTTTGAGGAAATGTGTGCGCACTGTGGCAAAAATATTTGGGGTTTTGCAATACCTGTAAAGTTAAGAGCATTGTAATTGTGTTATCTAGAGTTACAGGGATTTAGCAAGATATTATAGATGATAGATGTCTATAGCTCCCTTCATTGGCTTCCCGTTTCTTTCAGGATTGACTTTAAACTTTTAATGTTTGTTTTTTAAGGTCTTAACAGCCTCGTCCCCATCTATTTGACTGGGCTTTTAACCGTTTGGGAGCCAGGTAGAGCTCTGAGGTCATCAAATCAACTTCTGCTGGAGGTGCCCAGGTCAAAACACAAACAAACATAAGATCCCTACCGAAATGAGACTTATTTCCGACCTGGGCCTTTTCAAATCCCGACTGAAACATACCTATTTATGCTGGCTTTTAATACTCAGTAGCCTAGTAGCACTTTATTTCATTGTATTGTATTGTATTCTTTTTTATTATTTGTATTGTTTTTATTTATTCATTTTTATTTTCTATGTATTGTAAAGCACTTTGGTTCACTGAAAGGGTTATTGTAAAGGGCTGTATACATAAAGAACATTTACATAAAGTGGATATAAAAAGTCTACACACCCCTGTTCAACTGCCAGGTTTTAGTGATGTAAGAAAATGACAGCAAGATAAATATTTTCACAACTTTTTCCACCTTTTTGTATGGGGGCCTATCAGTGTGGCACATCTTGATGTGGCAATATTTGCCCACTCTTCTTTGCTGACAGATTGGTAGGTAGGTAGGTTGAATTTATTGTCCCCACGAGGAAATTCATTTGCAGTAACTTGAAAACATGCACAAAGACAGCACACATACACAGTTCCATACACTGTCCCATATAAAACAAAACAAAACAACTCAGAAAAAGACAATATAAAAACATTGTGAGGGCATCTCTTATGCACAGCCCTCTTCAGATCACCCCACAAATGTCATAATCTCATACAAAATATATAAACTGATTTAAAAACAGCAAGAATGAAGAATAAAAGTGTTGTTTCAGGAGTAAACTCAGTGACTTCTTCCTCCTTCATTTGTTACTCTGTGACAGTCAGTGGTACATAAAGGTGCTGGTTTATTCCTTCTACTTATTCCAGGTATGTGATCAAACTTGTATTTAGCAGCAGACCAGCTGTCCGGACTGACTCTTCACTTCTGACAGGAGGATCAGATATGTAAACAGCCCCTCGGCGTTAGTCGGTTTAGCTCGTCCATTTCCGGACACTGTTTCTTTTCCTTGTGATAAACTCAGAGCTTTTGATTTCGGTTTAATTCCGGATGAAGTTTGCTAAAGCGACTATTAAGGAAACATGTCAGAGATTTCATTTGATGGTATTACTTTGAAAACAACCACAATTAGCTGTGAGGCTAACAAGCTAATGAGACAATTAAGAAAAGGAGAAGCCTAATTTATCCATTCAACTCAGAAACTGGGTGTGTTTTTCATCATTTCATGCCACATAACGCCACCACAAGATAACTGATCGAGGTGTCTTCAGACTCTTGCAGCACCGAAACACGGAAGTCATTCGCTTAGGTGGCTTAGCTAACATGCTAAGTGCTCGCTGCTGACTATGTGCTGACACCCAAACTTTCCGGGTATCATTTCCTTTATTTTACTGCCTCTTATTTCCGTCAGTTTCCCCCTTGTATTCCTGCGTTACTCGCACAGGTGCCTCTGTTGCTAAAATGGTAGGTAATGACTTCTCCTTGCTGTAGCCATACAGTCTATTGAAACCGTACCCACCGGTAAATAGACGGGACCAGGACTAGCTAGCCAGCAACAGGATGATGACACTGGAAAACAACACAAACTAATGGCGCTGATAAACGAACTGACAAACCGTAGGGCGACGAACACTAAAGCAGACATTGCATATAACTATGTCAACATGAAGTTAGATACTTACATGATCTGAGTTGCTGTTGGCGCTGTGATAACACACAGAACTAAAAGTATAACCTGAAATGGATGCCGCCATGATGGAAACATCCCTATCAATCCCGATGCCCCCCGCGGTTGCATACGGTCTCCTCGAACGAAGTGTATTGTGGGAAGTGTAGGCAATGTGTTGACAGCCACTTTTTTTGGCAGCATGGAAGAAGCTCGTGAAAGCTCACACGGATGCAGTGGAAATAACTCGGATCCAGAGGAAGACAGAGGCTCAGACACAGATTTCGAACCTTCGAGACTCGGAACTAAAGAATAGTGAGTGTTTGGCGTCGTTTGCTCCATTGCTTACACTAAACAAAGAATGATAAGCTAATACCGTCGAACGGAAATCGAACTTCACAGCTGTAGTATTTAATACAGATGCATCTCAAGCCTTTCTTTTTCTTTCTGTACCACAAATGTTGTCATTATATGTCATTATATTATATGTTACCTTTGCTAACATTAGTAACCAGCATGCTGGGGGTGGTACAGTCTGTTTTAGACGGGCGGTTCAGGCGTTGTTGACGTTTTACACATGGGGGGAAAGGCTGCTGGTCCAGTCTTTGTAACACAACAGAGTGCTATCACTGCTTATAAAGTTCATTAATGGGTAAATGTCCTCTTCCACAGCTGGGAAGATGCATATCAACAGGAACTGGAGACATTCCGAGAAATTGGGGATGTTGGTGAGATATGGTAATCATCCAGAGCTGGGATCATCAGATCTGACATTTTTAATGGCTGCTCCTAGGGCTGGATGATATGGGAAAAAGTTTATCACGATATATGTTTTCATATCAGTCAATATCGATATCACGATATAAAAACTGAAATTTAACAGTGCTTATTGGTAGTATGTCTTTTTCAATACAATAAGTTTCTGCATCTGTGAGGTCTTTGTGTCCCTTTGAAGTTGTGCTGGAGAAAGCAGATTGAATGGTGGGCTGTTTGGGCTGCACAGGCGCCATGGACTCCTTGCTCCGCTTTTGGTTTAGAACCTTTGCACTGCGCATGCTTTGCCGTGTGGCATTACTTCAGGTGGTGAAAAAGATTTGGGGTATTCCCAGACTTTGCATGAACATGTACTCAACATAAATTTGTAGCGCACATTACTCTGCCTCATGTCCGACCTAAATAAAACAAAATACCTCCACATCACCGGCGTTTTCATGCCAGTGTTGTCAACAATGTCGTCATTGGTTTAGTGCATTTCTAGCACTCATTTTCTTGTGCTATGGTTGTGTGTAGCTGCAGCCTGCTCCTACGCAGTTGTTTGTTACTTGGTTCTAATTCAGCACATGATTGGTTCAGCGCATAGCAGACCTGGAGCAACTCCCCTTTTCATTGGCTGTTCGTATAGTCTACCAAAACATGGCAGAATGACGACTATCGAAAAGCTTATTGACCATGTTTTATATTGAAATTGAGGGAAATTAATTTTCAAAATATATTATTATCGTTTTATCGCCCAGCCCTAGTTGCTACCGTAGCCCAGGGAAGAATATTTATTATGTTGATTGCTGTATTTTTTGTGTATCTGTCTCTTATATAAGTCTTTTTTTGTGCTGTTTGTTCTGAGGTTTGGCGAGGAAAGCATGAGGCGTGTGCTGCGATGGATGGGCACAGCCAAGATTCATGAAGATGCTGCCATTCTTGACATTGGCACTGGAAATGGAGCCTTTTTGGTGGAACTTGTGAGTAACAACAAACTTTGACTGTATTTGAACTTTGGTGTCAGTAGCTTTATTTCACTGTCCCCCGGAGGTGGGTTTACAAAAATCACACAACTGGTGCAAAACCTGTGGATTACACCTGGAATAACTAGGGTATTTTCAGTGGTGACACTCAGTTTTGCAGAGATAGGAAAGCCACAACCTAAGTGCCTTCAAACTTCAATGTAATGGGAAAATAGGAAGCATCTTCATGATCTAAACAAATACAAGTTGGCTTGCTTGGCACAGAAAATGTATTTGTGGTTTTGATGATTTGATGTGATTGAATACTAAGAGAATAACAGCAAGGTTCACTGTGTCAAAACTTTTTTCCCTAAAATGTCATTTTGTGTTTTTTCTCTGTCAAGGCTAAACACGGATACACAGATCTGACTGGTATAGACTATTCTCCAGCATCTGTAGATCTGGCCAGAAATATTCTGCAGGCTGAGCACTTCCCAGACGTTTGTGTAAAGGTGGGTCTATGTTTGTTATTAAATCTAAAAAACATTAGATATAGAATTTACTGCATAACCATAACATAGTTAGCAGCCAAAAGAACAATGTTTGCCTAAATTCACATTTTAATGTGTAAATTGGTATAAAATACTGTATTGTTGTGTCATTTTCCAAGAGTCTAAAGTCTTTGTGGGTTTCACAGCAAATGAAGCAGTGGGAGTAGCACTGGGGAATTCACACAGTAACAGACTGAAACATAAATCTGTACTCTTGTTTCGGAGCCCGAACAATATTTTGCCTTGCAGATTTCAGAATCACGAATACTTATAAATCCTTGAATGTGGGTGCTGCAGTAGCTCTGATACAGAATATAAGCATAAGGATGTAAGCAAGAAGTAAGTAGTAAGAAGTGGCACTCTGTGGTGCATGTAAGGAAAATCAGTGCAGTATTAAATATGCCTCTGTGTTTTCACAGAAGTATATTTTGTTTTGCCAAGGATATTGACCTTTGAAAGACTGGCATAAGTGGACTTCCTGTCTACATTCAGTAATGTAGTTTGACAGAGCTTGTCCAGTAGATTGTGATACCACTCCAAAGCTCTAAGCACTGTCCTCAACTATAGCAGAAGATTACAGCCGAGCAAACAGGAGCACACACTGAAACTAGTCAACAGTGTTCATTTAACAACCATATAATTATTTGTTTAAGAAGCAGCCTTTTTAGTGTGTTCAGTTTGTAATTTTCTGTGCGCAATTGGAAAATAGTCTATACGGAAAAGTTTCATTAGCTAAAAAATCTGCCGCCATTGAAGTAAACTTGGAGTTTTATCGGATAAGTGGTTCAGGATGTAAATATAGAATATTAAGCCAGGAGTATCTGCAACAGTTCCAACATTTTTAGTGAACCTGTCTGATCCTGTGCCATGCATAAATCAAAAAACAAAATTACTCCCATTCATTCTATAAAAAGAAATGCTACAATTTAGCCTTAAGCATAATGTGAACCAACCTGAGCCTGGGAAGGTTTGAGGAAACTCTCCTGTGTTTACTATGTGGGAGAGAGTTGGATCAGAAGAAGAGTGATGGAAATCTGCCCACCATTCATATGAAACCACCTCAAACCCCAAAGCATTGGCAGGATGTAACACTTCTACTAACATATATCTGCAAGAAAAACAAGCTTTAAATGCTTCCTGCTGTAGACGAGATGTGATGATGATGACTATCCTCTCCTGTGTGTTCACCGAGTTGCATCTATCTGTATGTCTAAGCATCTCACTGCTGTGGCGGTGTGTGCTTTGCAGGGGCAGAAAGCTTTCCACAGGAGTCAATATTGACCTTAGCTGGACAGGGAGAGCACCATGGCTGTATGAGAGTGTATGTGAGAGAGAGATGGTATGTTGGCATCAGGTATGTTGGCTGCAGGATGCCTGAATAAGTTGTATGAATTTGCTGGATGTTTTTTGGAGCCTAAGTAGACCCTCCTTTTGTGTTTCACCTCGTGATAGGAAGAATCTATGTCAAGTTTCACCTCAAAGTTCCACCAATGTTTGTTAAGCTGTTCTTAGTGAACATTAGTCACTGTCTGCTGCTGCTGCTTTGACCCCGTTACCTTCACGCATTCCTTCAGCATCCTCCCAGCTTTTCCATCGAATAGGTTCACACTCAACATGAACTCGGATAATTTGCAAACAATTTGCAGACATTTGGCCTCCTTTGGTCGTAAATCACACTCTCTCTAAATCCAGTGTGTTTGTGAGTACAGTGTGAGGCTATTGAGTCCTTCCTTGAGGTCTTCTATTCTGCTCTCTGTCCAGATAAAGGGTCCATTCACTGGTGGATATTTTTTCAGCAACCTCAGCAGATTTAGCAGCTGTAAATTTCAACAGTTAAAATTTAGTCCTAAAGTTAACCGCTGAGGTGTAACACTTTTAATGCAGCGTGATGTTGACAGACCTCTGCTGCTGGTGACAGCAGATAAACGCACAGTTGAAGAAATAGACAGACCCTTCCTTAACGTTTCTTTTTTTATTTTCAGGAGATGGATTTTTTAAACTGTAAAGGGGAGCTGAAAGATTTCGATGTCTGCATTGACAAGGGAACATTCGATGCCATAAGCCTCAATCCAGACAACACAACGGACGGCAAAAAACTGTACGTCAAAGCCTTAAAAGACGCTCTCAGGAACGAAGGATTCTTCGCCATTACCTCCTGTAACTGGACAAAAGAGCAGCTGCTGGAAAGATTCAGTGAAGGTAATGATTAATGTTTGATTTCTCCTGGTGAAAAAAATTTCAGCACGATCCTGTTTATTTTTACATAGAAGAGCAACAGAAGGTCTTGCTTGGTATTCAGCTCTCCCACTTTTCTCCCCCAGTTTTCTGTATATCTTACTTTTGATAAAAACTGGAAATTATGTCCCCACTCAGATTTGATTCTCTGAAGTGAGGTCAAAGGTTCACAGCTGCCCGCATTAACTTATTCATTATTGTGGAATATTGCAAAAGTTAACTCCTCTAGTTTGACCTTTAGAAAAAACAAACAGGCGTGGTGATTTGAAGTGTTCATACCTATTACAGAAATACATTGAATAGGAATCAAAGTAAAATTGAAACATTTTTGGCACATTATGAAGCAATCGGTAAGAAGCTTCTAAATTTGTATTTAGAGCTACAGCTGCACATGTATCAGGGCACACTTACAGAAAGACACCTTTGCTTTATAAACTGATTTCAGCAGTGTTTCTTCAGTGTAAAGGATTGTTGAACCTTCTTTTAACCAAAGTAATTAAAAAAGTATCTGCTTCTGAAAGAGTTACAGAGTTTTAAAAGATTGTCTTCTAGAGGTGCTTTATGTGTATGAAAAATTCAATTAAACATAAACTTGACAATTTGTCAGCTGGGAGGATGGTTTCATGTCATTATGCTGATCAGCAGGTGGCAGTACTAAAACTAAATGTTGCAGTGTTCTTATAAATACAGTAAAGAAGAAGACTGCCAGCCATTAAGCATTAGTGTAAAACTCCTGGTTTGAAGTGCCTACATAATTTGTTTTTCATTATTTTTTACGAGGAACAAAATTTCTGTCACATGTTTGTAGAGTCGATGGATGACTGACACCCAGGATAAACCGTATGTCGTAAAAGACACATTTGAAGTGTGTCGTGTCAAACATGGGTTAAATTGCTTAAACTGTATAAATATTTAAGAAGCTCATCGGTGAGATTTACAGATGTGTCTGTCTGGCTCATGACATCTCTTTATTTGGCTGTGTTGTTGTCTGACCCTCTGTCAAAACACGGGTATATTTCAATACCAGCGACAGGTACCTGGCAGGTTGTTGTGCTGCAGGTGACGACCGCTTTGTAAAGTCAGACTTTTGGCACTCTTCCAGTAGCTGTCAGTCCTCTCAGTGCAGTCACTCTGGAGAACCTGCAGGGGGCCAAAGGGTTCTGGAGATCTCATCTGTCACGCCGACAGCCTGTCTTTACTCTGCCCCAGGAAGCACCACAGATGGTGGATGGATAGTTCTTGACTCAAAGTGCTCCTCCTAACCTCTTTGCAGCCGCTGTCAGCAGGAAGGATTCTTGGCATCTGTGTTTGAGGCAGCGTGTTGATGTTCTGGTAGTTTGCACATTTTTTTAACCGGCACATTTTCTCTTTGTTGCCTTGCAGGATTTGAGCTTGTGCAGGAGTTGCCTACACCCAAGTTCCAGTTTGGAGGCAAGACAGGCAACAGTGTGACGGCACTTATTTTCAAGCGAGTATAATAATCATGTGTTGATATGAGATCTGTGTTTTATTCCTATTTGTCACAATACTGATGTTTTGTATGAGATCTTAATATTATAAAGATTCACTTTTAAGAGCTGTATCAAATAAAGCAGATGTACAGTATCATTGAGATGTTTTGAGCTTAATAAACCAGTTTTGCTTTGTTGCTTTTGATGTTTTTTTGCTATTGTTTAACAAGATTATTTTATTCAATTCTAGTTAAAGAGTTGTTTTCATACTAGAGCTGATTATATTGGATGTCTGTCACTTTTTAAACATTGTAAATGCATGCACAAAACTGTCTATTAGTTACTTTTTTCTATGCTTCATCAAACAGCTCATTTGTCACTGATTGTTACCCGATCCTAAGCTAAAGCTGGTTTAGAATTACATCATTTGAATAAGTTTACAAGTCCTAATGACACAAATGGATCACAGGCAAATAACTTACAGTAAATCGGGGTAGTGTGAAATGTCTTCACATGAAACCGTTAACCTCAGAACGACAAAACTTGCAGCTGACTCTTGATTTAATGTGGGTTCCTGTGTGGTGTTCATATGTAAACTCCTCACCCTTTTTGCACCTACTGCCACAGTTCCACTAGACTATTATTAATTGTGTTGATTTATTATTAGTTTAAAGGGTTAAAATGTGCTCTGTATGCTATTTCTCTCCTTTCCATTAATCATCTCATGGCCCTTCAAATTACTTTGTTAGGGTCCTGTTGAGAGTCTTGACCCGCAGTTTGAAAACCACTGTTCTGTCTAACAGGCTCATTAATAGCATCCATCTTTCATGCCATGTGAAAAATAGCCTGGACCTAATTGGCCAAACTTGAAACCAGCAAAGCTTGAGGTCCTGAGGAGCATGATTAAGAACCTCTGACATACTAAATAAACAGGAGGCTGCAGCGTCTGTTGGAGGAGACGCTTTTCTGCCATTTCCTTTCTGAATGGCATCATTAATACCTGCCAAACTCTGAGTTCTAATTGCAAGCTGAGCCAGCCGACCAATGGAGAGCCTAGATGTTGAGGCATGCAGTTGAGTAAACACACAAGATTTACAAGAATTACTGCCTGGAATTTTACAAGGCTCTGGATATCCTGCCTGGATGTGCATATTATGTCCACGTTACAGCTCTCTCAGAGATTTTCCCATGAAGTGAGGCCTCCATCTCGGACTATTTTGAATAACTGCCTCTCCGCCTCTGTATGATTTTAACTCTCACTGTCTTCAAAACATCTTGTTAGGCAGCTCCTGGAGTATTTTTAGTGTCACACCATGCCATAAAATTGTATGAGATACCTACTGCAGGCTTCTCTGATTGTATTGTCTGCATGGAAAACCTGTCATCAGGTCTTGACGTTATGTGCTGACAGACACAGATGTCTGCGATCTTAAAAATGTGGATTTTTATGACTGTCTGAAAGTTGTCCTACTGTGAACTATAGACATGTGCCAGAATATAAATTGGCTTCTTTGTTTTTTTTGTTTTTTTTTGTTTCTATCAAAAGACAAGTCTGGACCTTTTCCTTCTGTCCTCTTTCTAGGCATTTTATAACCACCTACCATAAAGTAAAATAAAACATAAGATTGTGTGTCCTGCTGCTTTCAAATGAGCTGTACAGTAAATTTACCTCTGTCAGCGCTCCCATGGTATTTGGATTGGCCTGTGTTAAAAGTTACACATTTCTTCCACTCGTAACACTAACCTATAAGTGTTTTGACTTCAAGCCATAGCCACTGGCTGCCCTACCAGCTTGAATACCATGCTTTCATTTTAACCTCTCAAGTGTGATACTGCAAATATTTATGTTTTTTCTCTCCATCTCCCTGGAAACATGTTTGAAGGTCTTGTAATAGGATTTTCTTGGATTGATTGAATTACTCCACCATGTAGCAGTGAAGTTTCCATAGCAGGAGAGCCAAAGCAGAAGTGGGAAATCTTCCTCTTTTAAACCAACGGACCATTTTACACTCGACTGCCATGACAACAGTAAAGTATAATAATTTAGGAAGACCCTTTGAGTTCCAACTTTTTAGACACAAATCTGGGTTATTGTTCAGAATAGTTTATGGAAGTAAATCTGTGCCATCTGATTTTGAATTTAAATTTTTAAAGCTGAATTTTTTTGCATCAAAACCAGACTTTGAATTTCGAAACTATTGAATTTCAAGTATACATTTTTATTTCTGACACTTATTTTCTCAAAATGATGAAATAAATTAAGTGTAAAAAAAATCAGTCTCTACAAAGATTTGTTCAGTAAAAATTCAACTAAAAAAAAATTCAACATGTCAAAAAATTTAGTGTAAAACAGACTGACTCAGCATCTCAGAGAGAGCAACTGATTCCTGGCTCAACTTCCATCGTCCAGCCAATCAAATAAAGCTAGACTGGTCATGTGACACTGACCCCAGTGGAAAGATTGAGGAATCGATTCTTCTCCCTGATTGAGTTGGTCTGTTTTAGACTACACTTTTTGACACTGAATTATTTGACTCTGAAATTTTTCTATGTTGAATTTTTTTACACAGTTTTTTTTAAGTCAAATTTTTACAACACGAATATTTTGATAGACTGATTTTTTACACTTAATGATTGTGAAAAAAAAAATAAGTGTAAGAAATAAAAATGCATGCTTGGAATTCTATGGTTTTAAAATTCAAAGTCTGATTTTGATGCAAAAAAAATCTGCTTTAGAAATTCAAATTCAAAATCAGATGGCACAGATTTACTTCCATACTAGTTGCAAAAAAGAAATGAAATGAGGGAAAATGGGGGCGACTAACAGGTGAAGCAGCAACTTTTTGATGGTAAGTGAGTTTAAATGTTGCTTTTCTGGGATTAACGATATGTAAACACTGATTTTTACCAACATGAATGAAAGCACAGAAACGTAAAGTGGCACATGAGAATCGTAAATGCCTGAGGGAGGACCACAGAGGAACATACCAACTATGAAGGGGGGCACTGTGTCTCTCCAAAATACATTTCTCACCAGTGTATGTGCACTTTAAATAACTACATCGATAAAAGATAACACTGTAACTTTAAGATGTTAGTTGGGTTAAAACTTAATGTTTGTTGAGACTCAAACTAGTTACTTAGACATGTTTTTCCCCCATTCACCCCTCCGTCATTATGGTTTCGTCCAAATGCGGATATTGTTACAATCACTGCTGAAGACAGAAAGCAGCAGCGAACTCTCAGCTGCTCGCAGTCCTGCTCAGTCCTGCGCTGGCAACGCTGAACTGACGGCTGCAACTGCATAAAACTTACTTTTGTGACTTTTTTTTTCTGCCTTCGCCCTTTATTGAAGATGACCTAACATCGAAAGAGAGCCTCTGCCGGCCAGGTACACTTGTCTTCATACATAGTGGTTGTAATTGTGTTTAGGCGTCACGTTTCTTATTTGGCTGCTGTGAAGTTTACTTTGTCTGCTGCTGCTCGTGCTGCTGGGTTTCCTCGGTGACTGAAATCTAATGTAACAACAAATTCAGCTTACTTTTCTTCTTATTTAAGTTAGTTAAACTGCTACTAAAGTACAAGGCTCCATTGTCTTTATTTTTAATCAGTTTGGTAAAATAAAAGTGCATCTTGTTAGGTAATTGTAGGTCTTCTTATTGTCTCCAGTTTAGTTTGGCTATTTACACATTTTGGACCAAATCAGCTGATGCAGAAAATCGTGCTGTGTTAAAAGGTTACTGCTAAATAGCCTGCTTTAAAGGGGGGTCCTCACATGAACAAAGCTCTTTGAGGCAGAAAATCCCCCTTGCATACATCAACCCTCAGTAATAAACGAAGCTCAGGCTGTCTGGCACAGTACCTGTAGGTGATATAAGGCTGTGTGGTTACTGTGCACTTCATGTTGACACACATCTGCTCACCACAGCATTGAGAGAAGTATGGGTGCTTTGAGTCATGAGGCCTGGTTGCATACCCCCCCCCCCCCCCCACACACACACACACACACAGACACATACTGGTCTGTATGGTGATATGTGTAATACCAATAACAGCGTTTTATGAAACCACTGCATCAGAAATGTAGTTATTTTTAAGTTGTAGAAAAGTATAACATTAGTTTTCAAGTTGCATCTGTGCAGCCCGGTCAAAATGTAGGTTACACTTTGTTTTGCTTTTGTTATGACTACATGCAATATTTGCTGAATTTATGCTATAACACGGTTGTGAAACTGAAACTGAGCTCAATGAGGGCCATATCATGAGAACTGATAAGATAAGATCACCATAAAAACTTCTACTGTAAAACGAAGAGAAGGATAAAGGCAGTTGTGATGTTCATAGTATCCCTTGAGTGTATTGTGGCTTTGTGTCTTAACCATAGGACAGGGTTCACAGTCATTTTGTAGCTACTTTATTGCCTCCTTAGCTGAAAATGAAATGCAATCAGCCTTCTGAGTATGGGGAACAGTGGCAGCAAAAGCACTGAACTGCTTATTTGTCAGTGTTATTTCCTTTCTGTGTGTGTTAGGAAGTAACTGTCGGTGCTTATGTTATGCCCTCTCTAATATTGCATGACAGTTGGTTTATCTTTGTGGACACAATAAACATAGTGCCATGAGGAACCAGTTTGGTACCAGGGCTCCCTAATTGAGAATACCTGGAAATGTTTTATGCTGCCACCATAGTGGCGGTTGTCCTTGACTTGGCTGGTTTAAACAGGAAATGTTTTCTCAAGAGGAATCCTGCTCAGAAAAGTACGCATGCGAGTTGAAGGTGAAGGTAGCAGAAGTTCAGGTTGAAGATCTGGGTAAAGATTTAATTATATGTCTGCTCTATTGTCTAATTACAAAGGATGTTGATAAGTGTGTCTCCAAAAGTACAGGTTAGACTCAGAGAAAGCATGTTCTTTGTATTTCTGATCTGCCTTCCAGTTCGTGGGAGATTATAATGATTACACCTTGCTTTGATTTCCACAATAAACCAGAGCAGGAATGTTAGCAAGGACAAGCCTCTTTTTTTCATCTTTGTGAGCCAGCAAGTGTATTATTTGATTTTATTGTTCAAGAGCTTTTCTGAAAAGGTCTGACACACAAAAAAGTTGTTTTATGTCAAGCCTTAATTCATTAAAACTTCAAATAAATATCCCAGAAGTACTTTAGACTGTCATATCACAAGACTAGGAGCTAAATAGGATTCAGACATTGAAGTTCATCTGCAGTGAGTTAAAATTGTGTTTAGAAGATCTTTGGTCTTGAAAGCGGTTTGCTCAGCCCATTATCAGACGAAAGGGGAAGAAGAAAGTTGCACGTTCTCATCACAGTTTCTAGATATCACTTTTGGCTCTGATCATTACTGTAAATGAAACACAACTTGCTTCACTGTAACTGCACTCGACAGTAACTTTGGCTTTGTAGGTCCGTAGGCCTGTCTTGCATGCTTGACAGATATAATTTATGGACGCAATTAAGGCCGGTGGGCTTTTAAAGGGGATCACTCTCCACTCCAGTGTGTGCTCAAGACGCACACATTTGCAGCGTCTTTGTGTTGCAGGCAAAAGGCCCTATTAGAGCCCCATTCTGTCAGAGGGCAGCTGTGTGCCTGTGTGCTGAGCAAGCCACTGGTCCTTTCTCCCTCTGTGTGTACAACTCTCTCTCAGTGCACACACAGACACACACTCGGCCACTTTCTACCCTCTGTCAGCTCCTTTCTTTTTCCTGCATTTTTCTATCACGTTTCTGCCTGTTTTCACTGTGATTTGTATTCCTTTTTTACTAATGTGATGGCCCATTTTCTTCTTGTTGTTCTCTGGCCCTGTGGCATCATGCAAAACTACCAGAAAAGGATAGTTAGCCATGCTTGTCTGTGCCTCCATGCTACTCTATTCAACTCAGAAGCTTCCCTTTCTTCTCCCTGACCTGCAGTCATAACTGTGGCTGCATTAGAGACACAGAAACTCATTCCACCTAGCTTCAAGAGGCTCAAAACAAAGTTCTTTTATATTTTCAGTATATTTGTGTGAATGCCTTTATTTCTTTTATGTATATTCTGTCCTCATTAACAAGATAGATTTGTAAGTCTGGCGTCTCGACGCCCACAGAGCCAAAGACCTGCAGCTGAAAAGAAAAGAAAAGAGGCATTCTCACATACACCAGAGAAGCACTCCCCCAACCCCCCAGGACAGCCACCAGACTCCGCTTAGAGATGAAAAGCATTCTGGGTAATAGTAAATGCTCCCATCAACTTGACCCACGAGGTTATTTCTAGATTATGAGAATTAAGAATTAAAAGTTTAGAAATGCTGTTTGTTACTTTTGACTCTCAAAACATGACTTTACATCCTGAAGTAAGAGACTATATGCATCTTCAGTGTCTGATAGTATCAAAGTTGTGTGTGTGTTTTGTGTGTGTGTGTGTGTATGCTACAAACCTATAGTCTGGATGAGCTAATGTTTTGTCTGCTGTTGCCTCGTGTCATCACAACACTGCTTTCATGAGTGACAAAGGTTGGCATTGTTCTGTTTATTTCCCTCATCGGCTGTGGATTGGCTTCTCCTCTGAGTGTCAACCATCACATGTCTCTTGTCGGATTCCTTCAGCACGGTGAAAGCTTTTCTGTAGATCTTGCCTGCTAAAACAGTCTCCTATTTGCATCCCTTAAAAAAAGAGAAATGAAAGCTTTTGTTAGTGTTTGGCACAGACTAGCGGGTTTCATGTATTTTTAGAAGCTGTTTTCCACAGCTGTTACAAAACCTAACCACCCGATCAGTCTCTACAGCTATCTCCAATAGCTTATCCTCATACGAGCCTGATTTGCTGCATCCTAGAGAAGTGGCTTGTTGTGCAAGCCCAGGCTTGAGAACAGAGCCACAGCAGCACCCTGACAATCCTGCTCGTACAAAGGAGGCCAATTATCGAGGTGACATGTGTCATAATTCCTGGCTGTTGGCCTCCACTGTATGTTTGAGTAGTTGGTTGTCAGTAGTCGGGTTGGAGTTTGTCAGCGTGTTTTACATACACCTGCAGGTAATTCCAGTCAGCAGCACGAGACTGAACTTCAACAGGCAGCTTACTGGCAACTGATTCACCACAGGAATAAAGGAAGTAGGTTAGAGCAGGAGATCAGGTCTAAATATGACTCTGGGAAAGTTGAAAAATGGTTATGAAAAAGTTTTTAACTAGTTTATGGAATCACATCACTGAGCTGAAGAGGTCTTCAAATAGCCATGATTTGATTTGCTGCTTTTTAAACAGTAATTGAGTAAAATCACATATGACAATTTTTTTTTTCAATTAGAAGAAAACATTCCCACCATAAAACTGGACTTCTTGTTCGACGACTTTGCATGATAAGTTCAATAAAACCAGTTTATTAGTTCATGTCAGTGATAATCTTAGTTAGATGGCTTGCATCCTTCCTGATCCCCCTTTTCTCATGTTAGGCAGTATCAAAGACCAATACTGATATTGAGACTGGTATCGAAAATGCCCAGCAGCAGTTGTAGTCACTTCTGACGTCTGGCACGGACCTGCTGTTGTTGTTGATGGTTGTATGGGGTTGGAAACAGCGCTGCTGAAAAGACCCATATCGCCCCCTGGTTTTGGGGAGGAGGACACGTTCACATCAGTAATTCAATTATCTCAGCTGCATGTATATGCGGACATGGAGAGGATTCGGCAAAAAACGAATTATGAGTTTAGTCCGATTAAGCTGTGCATGTAAACGCACAGAGTGATGTTTCAGCGAACACACCTTGAGTTAGTTTTTGCATCTTGAATGCATGAATCTTGTTAAACCCCCTTTCAGCACATTATGCTGAGCAGTCAGAGGGCCCATATGGGGACCTGAGCCCCCTCATGAATGAATGAATGAATGAATGGATGGACTGATGGAATGCTGCTCATAGTTTTCACTTTCCCACTGATACATACTCTCATCTTACTTTATACACCCCCACAGAAGAACTGTTGCATTACGTAACTGCAGACATATCGCCTTTATTAGCTGATTGGTTGTGACACTCGGTATAACATCATTTGCTTACACAGTATAGGAGTGGTCCTCTTATAGAGACCAGCAATTGCAGAGGATTGCTAGCAGCGCTGGAGGCTTCCATGTAATGTATCCCTGATGGATTAAGGTTCTGGTTAGTGTGCACACAACAGAACAGGCACTCATGGATAATGGAAGAAACCACAGACGGAAAGGCAAGGATTGACGGGGGGGTGTAGTGTAATTAGTGGGGTACCTGATGTATAGAGAGCCCAGGCATGCAAGGGTCACTCCAGGGGGCAAGGGGCCCCATACCTTTCTCTACTCAAACTGAAACACCTGATCCTACGCCTGTCAAGCCTCTTAGGGCTTCAGTTAACTAAGTCCTGCTCTAGGACAAGGGAGTTGACCCCAAATAAATTTCAGGCTGCCTATAAGCAGAGAAGCTGTGCGGCGTTTGCAGGTCGCATGTCACCATGCTGCTGCTGCTGCAGCTTTATACACCGGCCTTGTTCAATAGTCCAGGTTCCAACAAACACAGGCACTGATAAAGAAATGATGAGCCGTCCAGTTATTGCTCTTTACCGGCTGGTTGATGTCCGCCTCTTTGACATCAGCAGTTGTCACTGTTATCCTCTGTTTTGAGTTTGGTTGCCATGGCTACCTCCGGAATTCCCAGGAACAATGTACAACTCAGAAACTGCTTTTTGAAGTATGAAGGAAACTTGAAGTACCACTAGATTGAACAAATACTGACTTCATAGTTGTACTTTACATGCCCTACTGTATGTAAGTGGGCTGTGGTGCAAATGCAATGACAACATTATGAGTTGGGCCAAAATCAGAGTTTGTGGAGATGAGCCAAGTTAACTTTCTTTAAATGCAGTTCACTTTTATTTATGAATGCCAGTGTTAAATTAAAGTGAGTTATGGATGTCGTGTAGTTGTGTAGCTGGTGGATTTCTCTGTTGTGTTGTCAGGGAGGAAAGATGCCACCAGTGCTGGGATCTTTTTATAACTGCCCGCTGTTTATATTCTGATAAACACATTGTGAAACCTTACCTCTAAATCTCATGCCCCTTTCAGCCCCCACACATAGATAAAACAAAATCTAAATGACTCTGGCCTCGACTTCAAGCTAGCAGCTTCAGTTTGTTGAAATCAATATATTTGCAGGTTTGGACTGACATTTATTGAGTTTTGAGGGGGGAAAGAAGATAAAAGAGTTACAAAAACAAATTAGGATTATAAATGAGTGAAAATAAAAGACCTCCATCTCTAGGGTGTCAAAAAAATGCTATCAAAATAATTGTAATGCTCATGAATGCAAAGGGAATGAACACAGAGTACAGGCAGAAGGCTCTGACCCCATGGGGCATAAACGAACCTTAGGGGCATTTTGCATTTCTCAGTTATCACTTAAATATCTGTATTTGATCAATTACCACAGAACTGCTGTATTGGGATGGCCTTTATTTGTTATAGTACACAATGTACTGGGAATTTTGAGTTACCCTGTGATTCTCACCCCTACACATCACTAACAAAGGAGGGCTTTTCAAAAGAGAGGAGAGGAGGAGTCAAAAGAAACTTATAGAACTGAGTTTCCTCCTCATCTTTTATGATGAGGAGGAGAGGAAATTGTTAAATCTTGACCTTGAAAGTCCTCAAAGTCTGATCAAAACTATTAAAGTTATACAGAAATACATTTGAGTACACAACCCCACTGCAGTAGATTATTGTGGGGTTTTTGAAGTAGCAGCTATTGCCATTTCAACACTGTGTCACAATAATGTTTGGATATCACTTTGTGTTTTCTCTCTTCATGTATTTTGTAATGTGCCACTGTGTTCCACACCCACTTCACCAGCAGCAACATGTGACCACAAGGGAAGCACAACTCTGTTGACTGCAAAGGGAAGTGTGCATATGTGTGTGTATTTCCATGCCAAGTAAGCAGTAAGAAGGAGGTTTTGAATAACTGGACTATCAGGTTAGTGCTCAAGAGTGGGCCATTCTGAGGAAATTCTTCGACTTATGATTTCTACTTTTGTTTCTTTTCAAAACTGTGGTCATGGATGATTGTGCCTTTATAAAAGTAACTATTAAGCATAGAGTCTCTTTCAATTGCTCTGTAAGTTGAGGTTTAAGTGCTGGCTGTGATTATGCTGAGTTTGGTGGTTGCTGTTGTTAGAGATACCTTCATGGAAATCTGCAGAAAGAAGCCAGACTCTGACACCGCATAAAGTTTGACTTAATGTGCTCCTCATTGTTTATGCACTTCTGAAGATCTAGTGGTGTGATTTGGCTTGTGTTGCTGTGCCAGTGGGTACTAGGGTGATGGCCAAAGCATTCAGTGGTATGTCTTGACCTCCCTAGGACCATTTTTACGACCTCGGCCGCCTTATATGTGAGAAAGGTGGCTGTCTATTCACCCTGAAATAACCACAGACTTTCACAAAAGATTGCGTCTTACTTTTTCGTCACTTCAGACTCCAAAAAGCCCGAGTTAGCAAAACCTTTCTTTTTGCAGTTTTATTTTTGTTTGCCATGGCTGCATTGACGTAGTGAAAGTTGCGTCAACACCCAACGTTTCTACCACGAAGTATGCCTCAATAGTGAAACTGTAAACTTCTTTTGCAAACATTTCACCCTTTTCTAATAAGAACCAGTTTTCTGCTGAAGCAGTCCATACAGTGATTGGTTTGTTTTGTCCTGACTATTTTGTTCATTTTGAAAAGAGTTGGTTTCCTTCAGCTGCAGCCACCGATCAAAGTCCTGACACCAGACGCACTCCGCACAAGTATGCAGTGACCAGAGCCAATTGGTGATGGACACCAAACACCCCGTCACAGAACTTTAGGGGGCCCCAAATAGGCTTCTATTCATCTGCCTGTACAAATCACAGCCTGGGCAAAGAGCCATATTATCTTAGCTGCCCTTTCTAGTGCCCTCCTGAGTCACTGGCTATTGTGAGCCAAGAGCTGCTGTCTGCACCCCGGCGTACACAAATCTGACCAGAATTACCATTAGCTTTTAGTCCACAGTGGAGGTCTGATTTAGTCAAATGAACCTCAAATGTTTTATAGGCCCCAAAAATTGTGGTTTCCATTTTGTAAAGATGCTTTCTTAGGGTTTTATTGTGCACAGTAACAGGGACGAGAATTCACCAACATTTGCAAAGTCAGATCTGCGTCTAATAGACATTTGCTTGAGGGGTGTATTTTGCAAGTGATGGGAAGATGACAAAGTGCTGTCTGATCACAACTGGTGAGGCTGCTTTCCTGAAAATACTAAATCACTTGAAAATGAAGTAGAGGGTGAACTAGCTCAGCCAGGTTTAATGTTACGGGTTGTTAGGGTTTCGAAACCAGTGTAATGTCTAACATTAGCTTTTCTATCTGCTTTTGTTACTGTCTAAAATGAGTTCAAAGGTTTAGTTAAGTATCACTGTCAATGGCCCAAATACCCCAGTTATGAGCATCACCGGCACTGTGATTATATTATGTAAGGACACTTACTTCACACTACATGAGAGTAAACCCCATCAAGCTAGTGTCCGGATGTTCAAGTCAACTAATAAAGGCTTTTAAAACTGTAACATCAGCCAGGAATCCCTTTAAAACGTAAGAATATGAGTTGATTAGTGCATTCCGCGCACAAGTGCCCTACAGTCCTCTCTCCATTAAGCTCTGGTTTCTCAATCAAGAGGAGCCGCTTCATTAAGTAAGCATGGCTCCAGGTCTGAATTCACACTCAGTCTGCCCTCTCCCATGACCCTACTTGCCAGTCACTACACACTACTCCCCTCACACATGAGCGCAGGTTAGCATGAACAGACATGCATGTCCAGACACATGCATGCACACTCTTTTTTTTTTTCCCTCACTGTTCCAGATGCTGTTTCAACCCTGATGTAACACTTCATCCACTATGGAAACAACCCTCTACACATTACTGTCATAGTCATCAACTCCTGCTGTCTAACATCACACACACTCGCACAAACCCTGCTACATCACTGCTTCCATTACTCAGTGTCAGTCCTAATCAGTCAAGTAATCAGCAAAACTGATCAAGAAGAACATTCCCTTCTTGTCTGACTCTCACCACCAGCACCAGCCCCTCTCGCCTCCAGAGGCCCGGTTGTGCTCCACTGACTCTCCGGGATAAATGGAGATAATGGGAGTCATATGCTAGCAGTTGGTTTGGGGCAGGCCTACATGAAACATTCATAGTCCACATGTAGTCGTGAGGCTTTGGGAAAGGGAAAAAGATAGAGATGACAAAATTATGTTAATGAAGTTACTCATCTGCTCATCTTTTCTTGGATTCGTCTGTTTTTTGCCTTTCTGTAAGAGAAAACACATCTAACACCCAATGAGCACTTGCATATTCTCTCTGAGGCATGTTATATAAGTGCAACAACCCTTACTTAACATGAAACCACATGCTACATGAGCTGGATAACATGGTAGGCCTGGTAGATCCATTAGCCTTGCGTGTGTGTGTGTGCCCCACAGAAAGCAGAAGGCTGTTATAAGCTTGCAGTTGATTGGGGGATCTGAACCGTGCTCGTACTCTCTAATTGGACACTGTCGTGTGTTTGGTGGTTGGCTAATGAAGGAGAGAAGCCCAAGTCGAGGTCACTGCAACTCTAACTCCTACTTTTTTCCCATACTGCGGTTGAAGAAAACTTGACTAAAGTCGCCACCATTCACCTTAATCTTTCCCATGCAGGAAAAAAAAGGCTGAGCGGTGCAGACATGACAAGGCATGTTGGTCAAAAAAGAAGCATATGAACCATCTGCCTTGCATATAACTCCCTTCAAGTGTTTTAGGCAGGGAGTTTATGTTTAATGCAGCAGCTACTGGCAGTGCTGTGCGGGTCTGTGGGTTCCTTAGCCACATCTGTAGTCGTAAGATGTGAGTGATGTCTTTTCCTGGATTAGCTAAACTTTGCTTTCTATTACAGTATGTTTACATTCCCATATGGTCTGTGGATTACGCCAAATGTTCCATTATTCATAGGGATAAGGAAGCAATTTAGGTTATGGCAGCATGTTGTTTACTGAGACGGCAGCTTTATAGGCTTGAAACTATAGGGAGGGCCAACCCAGTGAAGTTACTACAAGTGTCAGGGTGGTGAACGGAAAAACACGAGTCAGCACTCCTTTTTCTCAACTATATCAGCTGTGAAATTATGCATCCTCGGCTGTGAACTTTTGCTTTGGGCCAGCTTTCCACTAGTGAATTCAACCACAGGCTGGTTTTAAAAATGAAGGTGTGGCCCTTATGTCCTTATTAAAAACATCACGCAACTGGGTCAATGCAGCTTCTATGGTGGTAATTTGACTAGAAATGTGGTTATTTTATGTCTACATGTTCTTCAGTGTAAGAATTGTGACGTGAACTGATGCACTGATGAAAAACATTGACTAGCCCTCGTTTCATTTGTTTGTTTTAGATAGATATCAACCCATAGTTCCACGTAAACAATAAAAAATGTCAGCAGGTGTGTACTAACTAGAGCAACAGTCAGTTTTACCCTTATCTTTCTGCTTAAACTCTAAATTCTCATAGTGCATACATTTTACTTACATAGAACAGTACTTTAGTTTGTACACAAAGCATGCTAACATGCAGAGTTAGCTTGCAGAATGACTTGTAAGCATACATGGGCTTTTTTTTCATTTGCCAGTAAAAGTCTTAGTGCATGTACCACATCTTTCCCTATGTTGATAAAATCATTACTCTAAACTTCAGAATTAATTCACTCAAGAATTAACCGAGGCTAACAGACTCAATCTCCTTGTCAATGCTAACCCTGCTAGCTGAAAATAAAAACTTTAATGTAAGCTAGCAAAACAGATGCATATGTTTTAGGGTCAGATTTGGACCAAAAGTGATAATTTAACCTTTTTTTAGGATACGCTAAAAACTGAGCTGCATTTAGGACCATTTCGTTCTCTCTCTTGTCTACTAGCTACACAAACACTTGTTGAACTTGTTTTTCTTCAAGTGCCTTTGTTGTGTGATGCCCTATTAATATTATTATTGTGTAAAAATGAGTATTCCATGAATTCTTCTTTTCTACTTGTGTCTTAAACAGGGATTGGCTATTGAAAGGACGCCCCTCTACCTCCAAAACCACCATCATAAGCACTTGAGGGCCACTCTGCAGATGGGAGGTCACTAAACGGATTCCTCTATTCTGCTCAGATGCACTATCCGCCCTCCAACCTCACCTAAGATGGCTGCCCACGGCCTCCTTCTGCACCTGAAGAGACTGGAGCACAGCTGTGTGTTACCATGGTGATCATTTTCTTGAAAACACTGGAAAAGAAGAAGGGTGTCGATGATGTAAGGCCCACCAACATCGAGAGACGGCTGGTGAGAGAAATGAGAACTTTTCAGTACCGTACAGAGCAAGCTAGCTGTTAACTCTAATGTGTAATAATAGTGAGAGTTAGCATCAAGACCACAGCATTTTTTTATCCTGAGCTCTCTCTAGCTCTTATTAATTTCAAAGTGTAGTTCAGACTCTTGAAGTGTAATGTAACCTCTCTCTAAATGTCAAGATGAGTCTGTTTTCACTGAGTGGCAGGACACACGTAGCCTTGCAAAGTGCAGCAAGGGAAATTTTGGTGCAACAGCTTGTTGCTTGGTTAACAAGTTCTACCATTATGTGTGTTTAGTTCATAAACCCTGACCAAACATAGTGTAGCACCCACAGTCAGTGTCAAAGCTGGGTTTGACAATGTAGTGAAAATAGTAGGCCTGTATTAAAAGTTGAACTAGACCTCTTTACAGCCATATGTTCATATTTTGAAGGGAAAGTGTGGCTCATGACACTTACGCATATGAAGATTTATTGCTAGGATTAGGTGCCATTAGCTGGCAGGACGACTAAGCCTTTTTAACCTCAAGAAAAAGGTCCCTTTACACTTTCCTAACCATTTGTCTTTTTTTTTTTTTTTTTTTAAAGAAGCTGTTTTAGTTTCAATAACAACCCCTTTATTGATACCTCAGCTTTAATCTATTTTGTTTGATATCTAAATGCTAATTTAACATCTGCCTATTTAGCCTGTATAATTAGTCTTTATCTGTAAGTCTCGTTTAAGACCTGAGGTTTTAGAGTGCTAATTGTTACATTCAATCATCTCCCCGCAACATAACAGCCTTTATTTTGGTTATGCCGTGTATCTTAGAAAACATTTTTTTTATTGTGGTATTAACCTCAAGGTGAGTCAGAGCAGTGTATCATAGCATTGTGCTTTTGTCCTTTGTGCAGGTAGCCACCACCCTGTTCTCAGTGTGAGCACTGAGAGAGAATTCTCTTATTAGAAGATAGGTGTGTGTGTGTCAACAGAACTGTTGTATAATTCCCTAATTGCCCAATCTTTATTGTAAAACTACAGTGTAGAGCAGTTGTATTGTAAAGCTTATTTTGATAAGTAATAGACTTGGCCAGATTATTTGTGTTTAACCTTTGCAAAGTACAGCTAAGCTAAGAGGAGAAGGTGTCCAGGAACAGTGACAGTCATGTCCTTTGGTATTTCAACCAGCTGATGGTAAATGGAGGGTTTACCCAGCACCCCGGCTGATATCATTTTCTCATCTCTGGAAACAACAGTGATATGAAATAGTATTAAGAACTAAAATATTAGGGTGAAAAACAGTATAGGGCTCCAGAACACTGCCTGAAACTGAAGTTAAGTTTTCACATCACAGTAAGCTGTCTAAATCTGTGTTGATACTGGGTTTGAATAGAGCACACACGTTATCACTGGAAAAGTGTGGTCCACACCTGCTGGTGTATCAAACATGCAAAGATCAAACTGATGTCCTTCATCTTTTATGATCGTGATTTGACACTCAAAGATGTTGGGCCTCTATTCCTCTTTCATCACACTTTGCTTTTTGCCTTTCCTCCATAGCGTGACCTCCACACCATGAGTAGAGGGACCACCCTCTTCTCCTGTGGAACTGTGGGTAAGTTACCAGCACTACCATATTACCTCACTGCTCTTAGTGTGCTTCTCGGTCCTCCTTTTTGCTTCCTCTTTTTACTTCCCACTGTCTCATAAATCAACTCCAGATCTGGACAGTGGATTAGGTGGGATATGTTTTAGTCATGATACATTTTACACATATCCTCTTTAAACACTTGATAAGTTGAACCATAAAGGTCAGTGGTCCCAACTGTAACCGTCTCTTTGTTTATCTCTTCTGTCTCACTTCTCTCTTTCTCCATCTGTCTCTCATCCCCCTCTCATGATCAGGGTGCACCTGCCTCCACACAACGTTGCACACTGCTCTCATGGGAGTGAACTGTAATTGAATATGCTGTTGCCTATGTCAACAATTTCCCTTCAGCTCTGTTAGTGTTGCAGTAATTATCCCAGGCGTTAAAAGACATGTTACAGTCAACACAAGACCCCACTGTCTTTCAGTATCTGTTCTTTCTTTTGATGGAGAGACGTCACAGGGAGGAGCGTGGCTCACTGTTTCCACTGCTTATGTTGACTTTAACATTGTCTAGCATGTCTTGTTAGTGTAACTAGCACTTTGTCTCTCGCTTTCAAAGGGTGGCCTTTTGAAGTTCATCCCTTTCTCCCTTTGTCAAGCTGTTTTCCTAACATTCCTGTCAGGTCGTCGCTGCAGCCCCCGTGCATTGTTTGTCCGCCCCAAACAATGATTTCCGTCCAGCAGTCTATGCGAGAGCATGCCAAAATTAGACACAAGCATCCAAAAAGGACAGGGCTTGGATCAGAAAGTGGCACCTTCAGCCAAAAATCGTCAAGAGATTTACAATTTGACCTCTTAGTTTAACAGCTACGCTCACTTTAACTGGAGGTGTATTATCTCCCACAGCTGCGAGATAGACTGTTTGGTGCAGGTGGTGAGACAGTCAAACTGCTTTCCTAAGCATATCCTGGCACCCACTTGGCTCATGGGAGTGACTTACTAACTGTCTCACTTGCTGATTTTTATCTAAATACTGTATATAACTCGTGTTTTCAGTACTAGTATAGCTGCAGGTCCAGGTTTTATAGACAAGAACTGGAACAGCAAGATTTTATTGGTAATACAGGATTTAGCCTTATAAACAAAGTACATAGTCACCTTGAGTCATGGTTTTGGTCATCAAATCGTAGAAAAACAATGACTTTTCAGACTTGGGTTGAGTTCAAAATTAAAGATGGCACTAAACCTGTTAAAATGTTTGAACTCTGCAGCTGCTTTTATTTCCTTAAGGCTGTCTGTAGACAAAAGATTGATGACATATGCTCATGATTTTCCAGTCTCTGTGCATAGTGGTTTGCAATGCCCTAAGGTACTTGTGAGGTATTATAACATTTACCAGACAGTAACCTCTTTTCTGTTTTCTCAAAGAGCTTGTCTTCACAGCAACTGTTCTTCCTCGCCTTACATATCGTTAAAATGTGTTTTTTTTTTCATTTTATGCTGTTTCTGCTTCTAACACTACAGATTTTCAGACACTCTTTTAATCACTGAGTATTGTGAGGAACCTTGGAGTAGCCTTTGGTTTAGCCTCTGTGCTTTTATTTTACTTGAGTATTTAATGTTCTTCTCAGTTCTAATTGTCCTCCACCTTGCTGGAATCTATCGTGCTGTTTAAACATGTTTTTTTGTTTCCTGTTATAACCTGTTACACAGGTCAGTAAGAGTGATAGTGTGTTCTGAATGTTGCAGAGGCAGATCGGTGGCTGGACCGGGGTAAGAGCTGTGGTATCCAGCAGAGAGCTCCTTGTCAGTCTGGTGCCAGTCTGGAGAGCCTGTGGGATGTGATGCCTGAGCCAGAGAGCTGGCACTGGGCCAAGGAGCCGGGCACAGCGATCACCAGTCTGATAAGAGATCTCAGCCTCGGAGACGGGAGCGCGAGCAGCCCTCACCCCCTCGCCACCACGCCGCACTACACCACTACAGCCACCAGCCAAGCTCCAACGGCACCCCCGAGCAAACGTCAGTGTCGCTCTCTGTCGCTCTCCGATGAATTCGGTGGGTTTCGCTCATCTTGGAGACCCCAAGGTTCACGAGTGTGGACGACAGTGGAGAAACGAAGGTGCCACAGTGGGGGGAGTGTTCGAGGAGGAGGAGGAGGAGGAGGTGGAGGGGGGTTCTCCAGTAGCAACTTTCCCACCATGCAGCGTAGCTCCAGCTTCAGTTTGCCCTCACGCTCTAGCATCCCCTCAGACGGTGCTCTGGACCTGCCGTTCTTCCACCAGCGCCTGCCTCTCCACCCAAAATTCACTGCCTCACCAGTCACCCCTACCTCTCCTTCCTCCCGTCATCATCACCACTTCCTCTCCCTCTCCCATGAGCAGATAAGCTTGCCAGAGCTTGAGGGCGAAGAGGCGTCCGAGGCCAGCTCTCCAGACTCCACACCAGAACTGGGGAGGCGGACGGGTCAGAGAACAGGGGTTCGAGGGTGTCTTTCTCGGAGCAGGTCCCAGCCCTGCGTGTTGAACGACAAAAAGATCGGTATGAAGCGCAGGAGACCAGAAGATGCGCAGGAGCAGCGGCCCTCCCTGGACCTGGCAAAGATGACTCAGGTTAGTTGAAAATGCTGAGCTCATGTTTGCATGAACAGACAAGCACTCGCACGCAAAACCTCCTGGTCCATCTGTGTTTTAATATGAAACATTTCACAGAATTTAGTATCACTGATTTGCTCTGATTGAACCTAAAACAGATTCAACCTCAACTCTAATTCTCCAAAATGCGCTCTGATGCTTTTAACTTAATCCTCAACTGAGTCTGATACCTTTTTGTTCCAAGGCCAAAGCGAGAGAGTCAAGAGGTCCTCGAACGTTGCTTTTCCTGGGATCGATCAGAATTAAATCAAGCTGAACTGAGTTTTCTGGGTTGTGGGTCCGAGGTTTCAGGTCCAGATTATCTCAGGCCTCCTTTCCTTCTCCTCAGCTCTGGGAGTGGTGCTTTAGTGAAGGAACATTCCTCATGTTCAGCCACGCTCTAGCAAGCCAAGCTCCGGTTTATCATTTCATTCACTCTGTTGGGTAAACAGCCCATCCAAAAGTTTGACCTCCACTTTTTTTTTGCTTCCTCTCCGCAACTTCTACCCTCTTCATCCCCATGTTTCATTTCCTGTATGACTCCATCTTCTTTATTTTACCCTCTACTATCAGGAAGTTAGGGCAACAGAAGGCGATTAATAGGGGGGATGTTGGGCGCACTGACATCTGATTTGCTTTTCCCCATGACAGGAGTTTGTTTATCCTTGTGGTAGGGCAGACAAAGGACTGGAACAGACCAGAGAGTATAAATGACCCCACAGCTAAAATAGAACCGGGGAAGTACTTCACTGACTTGAAATGTTTTGATGCTTGGCAGTGCTCTGATGTTTTTACAGAGCCTAGAAAGATTTAATTCCTGTCATCGAATTCATTGGAAAGCTCTTAAAATTCCCCCCCTAGATAGACCGTTTGGTTGGATCTGTTTGGTCTAACTAAAGCCAAACTGTACGAAACATGGCACACACAGGAAAGCCCTCTTTCACCATACCTCCTGCCCCAGTCAAAATGTGCTTTTCCTGTTCCCTGATTAAAAAGTATCATCAGTCTAATCCGCCACCCTCCCTTCCTTTTCCCAAAGATCTGTGTTCCCAGCCAGTTGCCCTCAGGACCCAGCAAAGGTTGGATAAACAAGGCTTTGGTAATGGAGCCTAGTGAGTGTGTTTCCTCTAGTCATGCCAACAGCAAAAGAAGAGGGGGGAAAAAAAAATCAAGCATGATGATCACACAGATACACAAACACACACATGGAGTCAGTTTTACATTCCCTCTGGTTGCAGCAGTGTTCGAATGTGGGACCACGCCTCTGCAAATGATTCTCAGGCAAAGCTTTAGGCTCTCACTTTAATTTCGTGTCACCCTATCGGAGTTGTTGAACAGACTTGCATGATCAGCAGTGTTGAAAGGAGGCAGGTATTGCAGGTTAGATGGGTCATTACAAATCGTCTTTTATTGCTTTTTCTTGTTTTACATACCCAGATTAAGGGGAAACAAGCAATAAAAAACATATTACAGTTTCATTGAAAAGACGGTTTCTTTTTCTGTTACTTCAAAGGCTGCAATTAGTGTCTCCAGGAACCTAAACAATCCCAGTTGTACTATGTCAAGCTAAATTGACACAGTGGTTAGTCTCAGTGAGAGCCAAGGGAAAGCTAGAAGCTGGCAAACTGTCTGGAAAAGGAAGTGATAATGTGGAAACACTGGGCTGGTTACAACCTGCATCTGTTCTAGTGGAGACAGAACATAGGAATTACCGCCAGGGTTGGGACCAGAAGAGGTTTTCACGCCTCGGTTGGGAGGTTTGTGCTTTTGCGTGATCGGTACCTGTGGTTTTAAAATGTCAAAATCACACCAATTATCTGCCTTTTTACTTCTGCTGCTCATGGATTTTATACGTGGACTTGACACTTCCATGACACTTGCTTTCATGGCTATGGTCGCGTTTTCACCCACTCACTCCCAAGAAGTGGGTGGATGTTGATCGCAGCGTGAGTTCAAGGTGTGGATACGAGTTAATACCTTTTTCTCACACCTACACACACCAATCACTGTACTTGCTTTGTTTTATAGGTATGTGTATGAGAATTACAATCCTAAAATAAAAAGGGCAAACGTAGCCTGCGGATATTTGTGACATTCACCTGCACCCTCAAGAGCATCTTTTTATCTTTATACAGACTTCACTTCCCTGATGTCCAGATGGTTGTTGTAAAGTTTGCCGGAGGTTAAAAGATTGCGAGGGTCAGCATCTAACAAGCCCCCAGAGTGTGTTCTCAGGAGAACAGGGTGTAATCCGGCCTCTAGATTCCTTGACCACGTCAATGAAGGCGGGTGTGAATTCTGGGGATGCATGTCGTGCTAATCAGCTCGAGCTGGACTACCACGGGGATTCAGATGTGACCACCCCCCTAAATTCCTAAAATATCCTCCCTGTGTCAACCATGTGTATCAGTTCACTCCACTGTCCACACACTCATTTTTATCCCGAGCTGCCCTTTCACCTGGGGCTCATTCATTGTTCAGCGGGTGTAGTGAGCTGTCAGATGGGAGGTGTTATCTCTTGATTGCAGTTCACTTGCTGAATGATTGTTGAATCAGCTTAGACAGATGGAAATTTTAAATGTTTTGTATCTTGCTTTCTTTGACAATGTCCGGTTATTTTTAGGGGGATATAGAAATTAGATAATTTGCTCAGGAACATATTTTCTTTATCATGTCCACAAAAATATCCACATTTACTTCAGATCCATAGAGGAGCCTTGTCTCAAAGTCTTGGTTGACTACTTGCAGTTTAGCTTTAGTGAGGGTAGTAAAAGAGGGTGCATTAAACAAATTCTCGACCCTCTGCTTGCAAGTGCATGTGCATCCATTAAAGAAATAGCAGAGTGAAGAAAAGGGGGGTAGTATTTCTGCAGGGTAGCTGGCAGACAAACCCTTCACTCCTCTCTATTAATACCTTCTCTCTGCCCCAAGTTCGAGCTCCTCTCCTCTTCTCCTCTCCCCACCTCTCCATTCCTGGGATGGCAGGCATGGTGATCATAGCTGAGCATTACGCCTCATGGGCTTATGGGAACACCCAGGTGGGCGTCTTGAGGTGTGGCACTCGCCATGTAAAAGGACATGTCGAGACTTGTCCCAAAGGTGCTCTGTAAAGCATCACTAAATGCCAGCGTGCATTTACACATATAACTTTTTCTTGTTTGAACTTTGCTCCAGCTTGACATATTTATCTATTTCATCTTTTTGCAGAGCATGTCTGTCACGCTCTCTGCCTCCCCGTCTGTCTCTGGTACAGTGAATACCAGACTAACACAGACTAAACCAAAGGTGTTTGCACACAGATAATAGTCGCAGAGGTGTTCGAGTATGTCGTCTAGCTGTCAGGAATGAGTTAAGTTCACTTGTCTTTGCTTGCTCCTCTTTGCCCTCTCTTTTGTTTCACAGTTGTTTACTGTTGGAGGTCTGTTTGCCTCTCTCTTCCCCAGAGCAGTGCAGAGCTCGGTGTTGTTTGCTGACCTCATTTCAGCTCAGAGCAGAGCCAAACAATTATATACAAATTCTGAATGCGTACATAGTGTGCAGTTTTAAGTACCTGCATGTTTTTTTCTTTACAGTGTGTGTTCAAGTTCCTATTTTTGTGTGTTTGGAGTCAAGTTCACAGCAGGACGTTTGACTCAGCCTTAGCAGGGTGTTGTTTGTTGTTTGCTCTAATTATCAGGGGGCTATTTGTCTAACCTCTCAGCTTGTGCCTCTCTGACAGCAGCTGTAGTTTGACACAAATGTTGTTCACCTCTTCAAAGTGTTAGTTTTAGTTGAGCTAATCCAATGACATTAGTGAACAATGAAAAAAAGCAAGCCGACACTTTGGAATCCAGTGAGTCTCACTCATTGAATAAACCCTTACTCTCAATATCTCATCATGTGAAACTTGTTTTTTTTGCGATCTGTCTCTTACAATTTAGTTTTTGGAAATAGCCTCAACCGACCATATTCACAAAGAGGGCTTCTCCTTTGACTTCATGGTCAGGATGAGGTGTCCAAATGCTATAACGTTATACTATCGTGACCCAAGTCAGTCAAACATAGAGGATTTTTTAGAACATTATCAGCTTATTACTTCTCTATTAGTTAAAAATGTAAAAATAGTAGAAACCAGGAGGACAATCAGACTATTTTTCAAGCTAAAAGAACATGTTGAAAGACGATTTAAAGAACAGCTTACGATGGTTAAAGTTAGTATAAGGAGTTTTTACCTTGTCAAGTTGATTGAAATTGATTCTATGACCAATTTATGAGCTACAACTGTAAATAAGACCATTACTGACAAGCCATAATGTTATTGTGTTGTTATTGCTAATGCCTGTATCTGTTGCTGTGGAGTAGGGTTGGGCGATAAGGCCTCAAATCAATATCACGATATATCGAGCAGTTCACCTCGATAACGATAAATGGACGTTAACTACTCCACAAGCTGCTCACCCGCTCCTACATTCACCACTACAACCTTTGAGCCATCTTCACCTGTCTTTCCCTCTTTGTTACGCCTGGATGGGGTGGAGTCACGTCTCTGACGTAGGACAACGTCTGAAAGGGACATGAGACCATAGCCTACCTACACACATCCAAAACCAACTCTTATTTATTTATTTTTTTGACACTAAATGCACTGACATGGGCAAAATGACAGTGGTTGTTGTCGTAAATTTCGGTAGCAGTAAATTTTCAGTTTCTCGCCCAGCCCTACTATGGAGTACGTTTCAGATGGAGTGACATATCACCCACTGCCAAAACTGTCTTTGTTTCAGATTTCCACTGTGATAGATGTTGATGAGTGGTACATTTGACTGTAGAAAGACAGTTGGAGGAAAGTTTTACACTTATACAAGTTTGGACAAAATCAGAAAAAAAAGACCGTAGAGGAACCAGTTTGGCACCAAATCAACACAAGCCAAGAGCTCCTCATGGGAGCCGTAATATTACCCTTAACTGGGATTCTGTTGTAGACTAACATAGCTATTTCCTTTAAGGTAAAATAGGAATTTTGTAGCTAAACTTTCTTATTATATCTTATATGAGCTAAGAATTTGCTCAGCCCATGTAATGCTAGCTACTGTATCAATGTCTGGGATGGACTTTTGCCAATATCCCAGTTGCGCCAGCATTTCCAAGCTTAATTTGACCGATATAGATACCAGTACTGACTCAAATTCATCACTGTCTTTTCCATTACACTGAAAGGCCCTTTGTTAAGCCCCTTTTCTTTAACATTACTCATTCACATACCTACAAAACACTGCAAATACAGTGATTCATGTGTGTAGGTGTGAGACAGGTTTTCACTGGCACAGTCGCTTTCTCATTCTTACGTTTGAGAACCTCCTGATGCTGATGCGTGTAGGCCACATGTCGGAGCTCGTTGTAGGTGCAGGTCAGCTTTTATTGCATAATTGCATAATTACAACTCATTGCATGATCAGTCAGAAATATTGTCAGAAATGTTCACATCTGCTAATACTGATTGTTAATGTTTGCTGATGCTAATATCATGCTGACGATATTATGCATCCCAAATTAATGTCAGTTCTCAGCTGCTGGTTATGACCTTAAATTGCTAATTTTTGATAAGATGAAAGCAGTTACATACATCTTTTTTTATGGCGGTCAGTTGAGTGAGGTATTGCAGCATGAGGTCACACATACTACATATGTACCGTATATATATGTGTGTTCTTTAGACTAATAGAGTGCATGGTTTGGATGTCTTCCATCTGGGTGGGGGTTTGCTCAAGTTAAAGAAACACACACACACACACACACACACACACACACACACACACACACACACACACACACACACACACACACACACACACACAGAGCAGGGTACACAGCAGAAATCTTACCCTGCTCCCCCAAAACCCCTTCTACCACACCCACCTAAATCCCAGCCAGCCTCAGTGGGTTTTATAGAAAGCATACTGAGTAAAAGCTGCCTATCCCCCCCTCCTTCCTCGCTTCCTTTCCTCTCCTCCTCCTCTGCTGTGATAATTAGCAGTGGGGTAATACTGGGGGGGTTGAGCTAAGAGAGCAAGGACTCAAAAATCCCCTTTTCCACACCAGTGGGGTAACTACAGCAAAGGCCTCACACTACCTCAAGTGTTTGCACATGAAGTACTCTGTGTTTGAGCAGCTTACATGTAAAGTCAATCCGACGAGAATCACACGGCAGAATCCGGCGTTTTCTTACTTCAACTTGGACCGTGTTAAATCAGAGCAGGGAGGAAAGTGAGCTTACTAAAGTACGACTTAAGAGAGGGAGACTCCCAGCTCATTGTAGCAGAAAAAGCAATGCGCTAACACACAGGGAAACATTAGGAGATGTCCGTCATGTAAACTGAGGCTCTATAGAGAAAACCTCATCTCTATTCACCTCCATGGCTCCAACATCTGCTGCTGGGACTCTCCAGAGATCATTAACCCCTTCACTGCGCTGCAAGGCTGCCTCTCTTTGTTGCAGGGAGGAATTCAGGTTGAAAAGAGAGCATGAAAGCAAACTGGGGGACAACTTTATAGTGAATTAAATCAGTTTGAGGTCAAGTAGTGGGAGCAAAAACATACCGATTCTCCCTGACTTTCCCCGGAGTGCAGACGCACAAAACAACTGGGAATAACAAAAGCTCCAACAATAAAACTCCTCCACTTTCCAAGTTTAGGTTTCCAGTCATGCGGTGTGTTTTTCACAGTGATAAATAGACCCAGAGCGCAGCTTTTGCAACAAGATACCTTTGGTGGTTTGCGACTCATCCCAGTGTTTTTCAAGCCAGAAGGTTTAGAGTTTGTGTGTTTTCTTCTGCAGCTTATGTTTATACCCGTGTTTACACGCTCACATGTCGTCAATGAAAGGGAAAGCCAGCCATCGCCTGCCTAGACTGTAACATGATCTTGCACTGACATTCTGGAAAAACCCTGAGCCCGTCTCTCCCCTGACAATCCCGTCTGCTTTTATAGCCGCATCAGAATGAACAACAAAGCAACATTTATCTTTCTCTTTATCCCCCTCTCTACAGAAACTTCAGACTTTTCAGAGCTTGAGCTGTCCTGGATTCTCAGCTGCAGACAGCTGCCACTCCGACCTGCCCCCTCCCACCGCTGAGGCTTTCACTCATCTGGACTCGGACTTTGCTGCAGTCTCCGAGCTGGGACAGAAGTCACGGCAGGAGATGAACGAGGAAGAGGATTCATCCTATGAGGAGCTGGATAGTGACTCGGCTTGTAGCATGGACTCCCGGCCTGGGTCTCCTGTGAGCACTGTGGGCGGTAAACGTCCCCTCTGGAAGGGTGATTGTGGCACACAGAGGGACATTTTCCAGCTCGGGGGAGAGCTAGATCTTGACCAGATTGAGAGGAACTGAACATTTTTGTAGGAGTTTTTAAAAGAAGACTATGTCTGGACTGTTATAGAAAGTAACTGGACTTTGAGGATGGAGCAAGAAGTGATTGTTAAGACTGGCGGATAGAAAGAGTGGAGGATGTTGAGTATTGTTTGAAAGGGAAAGACTGAGAGAGTGATGGAGATGAAGAAGGGTTAAGTAAGTTGTAAAGTGCTGGCTTCTTAGTGACACATTTGCCTTGAACATTCTCACTGTTTGAATTAAAAAGCAGTGACCTTAGTGTTTTTTTTTTTTTTTTATACTGGGTATTCAGCTTAACTCAGGAGTGGGAAAGTGAGGGTAAGTCTTAAAAAAACAGCCCCGCACTATCTTTTCAACCTGATGATCTTTCCAAAGTCGGCTAACTTTTGTTTAGTAGTACTGTAGCTGTAGCTGGGCTCTCCTGTATTTAGCTTGAGTTTTAGTTGTTTTTTTGTTTTTTTTAAAGACAAAGTGGGGGTGTCATAATAAAAGGGGGGCTTAATGTCCTCTGAATCTGTTTGTGCACACATGAAAACCAGAATTTTCTTTTTGCTGAATGTAGGCTCAATAAGCTTTGTGAGGAGTTCAGGAAATGACGGTGCCTTCTTCTAGACGCTTGCTCGCCCTTCAAGAAACTAGCCTCAATGGAAGCCACATTTTCTGATCTATTTTTGTAGTTTCTTAATATGCAAATTGTATATTTGAATTCAACACTGAATCTCAAGTTTTCAGTCCTAATATCAATGTATATTTTTCTAAGTAACTGTTTTTTATGAGCTGTTTGTGAAGGAGCAAAGAATGCAAGGCCTTTCCTCTAACAGAACGGACATGAAATAAATGTACAAACTGCACTCAGATGTCTGATTTCATTGGAGTTTATGAAAGGGACATTCTGGTGTAAAATTAAGTTAGGGTCAAACACACTAATACATTGAGTTAGACACCCCGTCGAGAGATAATGTTGCCGACCGCTTGCTTCTCTAGTTATACCAACTTTAGCAACGACCGCACAATAGCAATACACAGCGGTCTGAGGAGCCACACACTCAACCAAAACGCCAGAACAGCACCTTAATTCATCAACAGTACATATAGGGTCACGGCCATGGTACTAGACACCAAACATCTTTTTCACTTTGCCTAATTTCTTTAGCAAAGAGACTAAACACAACTCACCTACTCCCTTCCAGCAGCCACTTGTTTGTAGCGAGACCTCAGGCCAGTCCATTACGAACTACAGTGGGGTGATGCAGCTCAAGGAAGACCATTTGTGACCATTACTTTATCATTTCCTTAAAGTAATAATCATCATATTAATCATTTTGCACTGTGGACGCGGCAGTTCTTCTGCCTCAGTGTCTCGGTCTGATTGCATTTCCATGAAGAAATGATCATAAATGTTCTTCCTTGAGCTGCGTCACCCCGCTGCAATTGATGGACTTGCCTGAGGTCTTGCTACAAACAAGTGGCTTCTGGAAGAGAGTGGGTGAGTTGTGTTAAGTCTCTTTGCCAAAGAAATTGGGCAAAGCTAAAAAGAAGTTTGGTGGCTAGTGCTATGGCTGGGACCCTATATGTACTGTTGATGAAGTTAGGTGCTGTTCTGAGCATTATTTGTGGCTATAGAGTGGCGTTTTGGTTGAGGTTTGTTTATGGCTCCTCAGATCGCTGTGTGTTGCTATCGTGCGGTTGTTACTAAAGTTGGTATAACTAGAGAAGCAAGCAGTTGGCAACATTCATCTCTTGACCAGTTATCCAACACGGTGTTACAGTGTGTTTGACCTGAACTACACCGGAATATCCCTTTTAAAGGAAGCATTTGATACAAGATCATTGACAAGGGGTATTTTACTCAGACACATGAAAAGTCTGAAAAAAGCTGCTCAATACACTTAAGAAGTTGAACCTGCTCCCCCTCACTCACTTCCTGCATCACATTTCAGAACCGTTTTATCACTTACACAAACATGAACCTTTTAATGTCCTTTGTTTACAGGACTATTATCTTTTCACAGTTGCACCCTACAGCTAGGGTAAAGAGGTAAACATCTGTTTAATACCCTCATGTTGCCCACCGGCCCATAACAAAAAAGGCAGGAAGTCTAGACACGGAATATCCCTGGCTTGTAACCCAGAGGTGACCAGAGGAGGTGATGTCAGGAAAAAATGTCCAGAGACCTGAAGCAGACAGACGCACACGTCAGCCAGGCAAGTCCGTTCCTCCCTGGGATTTCCTATCATGTCTCTCTTATGTCTGTCCAAGTGGCTGAAAACAAACTCTGAGCACCTGCTGTCTTTATGATCCTCACTTTGGTAGTGGTCTCTCTCTCTTTAAGCTGCATTTAAAGCCTCTGTCCGCACTATTATAACCCATCAGGGAGGCCGACTGCTAGGATGGAAGGGCTTGTTTTTCTGACACAGGGAGGAAAGCCTTGGATTGTTTACATCAAAAACAGGATGTTCTAACCGGTTTCAGCTTTTCCTTCGATCACCGCTCTGGAGAAAGGTGAAGTCAGACAACTAAACCCTTAGGTGTTGGCTCACACAAACAAAAAACAAGACATTTTTAAATAATCTGAACTTGAATGCTTTCAAACTTTTCCTGGGAAAAATAAACTAGTTGTCAATTAGCCTTCTCTTTCATTGCCAGTTTGTGAGAGCTTGTCCAGATGTTGAACAAATGACAACAAAGTGATGAAAAGGAGACAGCGGACTCTGATTTAACAGGATGTAACACAAAAGGTAGGCAGAAGTGAGTGAAACATTCCGGTATCTGTTCACAACTCCCTCCTTTGACCTGACACAAAAGGCTGGAAACTGAAATTCCAGTTGCTATCAACATTATTTTGCTTTCTCGCCACTACTAAAGGTCAGTAAACCACACACACACACAAGCGTACACGCTTCCTCTCCAGCAGGAAGTGGCTGGCTAAGCAGGGGAGAGAGTTAATATCTGAGGTAAAGGCGCTATAAATAGAGAGCATTGTAGTTGTGGCTGGCTAGCACAGACACTAGAGAGAGAGGGAGACAGGAAAGGCCGCATTACACAAATTTACAGCGCCCTGAACCACGCCGCCTCGATTACATGTGAGAAAACATTGGCTGCATTTTCAAAGAGAGCTGTGTGTACGCTGTCAGCAGTCACTTGAACTATCCTTTGAGAACTTCAGAGAGGAGGTCAGAGCATCGACGTCACTTATCGAAGTGTAATCTGGTGTTTATGGTCAGCTGAGCGACAATCATGAGTCCAAAATAACACATGTAAACAGTTTTTACATTCCTATGAATAAGTAATCCATTTGCAGTCTTGTTTTTCTGGTCAAAGTTGTGTATTTTTATTTGAGAGAAGATTGTGTTTTTAATAGAATAGATTAGTAATTAAAATAGAGTTCAACAACAGGCATGTGCATACTGTATGAGAGCAATACCAGAGCAAATAAGGACACACAAACAACACATTAAAGGTCATTTTAGTACTTAAATGGCGGAAATGATGCAGTATTTGAAGTTGTATATTTATTCAAACATCTGCTTTCCCAAACAAGGGAGTTTGTGTATACAATAGTTGCTCCTCTCCAGCTAAAGCATACAGTGAATTAACTTGATTGGAAATAGCCCATAAACCCATATTTACATTATGATTCACAGCCTATAATGATAGTTATCTTCCATAGTTGCTTTTCAATGATACTCCTTTATTAATATTGGTGATTACGGACCCAGTAGCATCTTCAAACACACTGGCTACTGTCTGAAACTGATAGAGCCCCTGGGAGTGGTGGCCAATGAATCAGAGTTTCCTGATTATTCCGTGGGTAGCCAAGTCAGGATCGCCTTGTCTGTGCAATGCTTCTGATTACAGTCCAACTCGAAACTTGAGAGCCAAGAATAGAGTCAGAGTTGAAAAACAACTTATGGGGCTGGACCATTTGCAGCACTTGCATAAAGACATCTGTTCCCAGACTTTTATTTAAACTAAATAATCAATATATGATTGCTCATTGTGAGGCCAGGTTTGCACTGGAGCCAACATTTACACCCCTTTATTCTACTAGTTAAAATGTAAGTGTGAATCTGTCAGTACTGGCCAGTAGTAGCATGAATTTTATTGAACATGGACTTGTCCTCATGGAAACTGGTTTACTTGAGATTGCAGCAAACAATAAAGTAACATTATACATTTTTAATGGTCTGCACAGTCACATTCCTCAGGCAGGATTAAGAGGTATGTGCACATGGATGATTTCTAATAAACAAAAGAATAATCTAATTTCACAAAAGCTGCTCTCCTGCTGATACTGCCTCTGTATCTGTGGCACATAATAGTGAGTTTTTGAGCACCACTCCTCCAGTTAACAGAGGGTACACTTTGTGCTTTAGTTAGTCAAATGAATCCCCAGTCCTGGACAGCTGTATTTTTGCCTCTGTGTGTGTGTGCGTGTGTTTACTTGTGTCGTGTGTTAGGAGACACCTATCATAGTTAGACAGGTGGCCAGCAGTGTCACATGTCACTGATGGGCTTATTCTCCTCTTGAAGGTGAAAGAGTGCAACCCAACCCTACGTTTCCCATGAATGCTGTTCCCTCCTGCATCACAGTGTGATTTACATCCACATAATGCTCTTTAATGACTAGTTTTACGATGTGTCAGCCACCCAGGAATACCTCGAAATTCCAGTTTCCATAAGCCTGGATTCACATATTTTAAAGCCTCAGGTCTTACAGTTAAGTCCCATGGAGGATTTGGTCAAATTAAACCTTATTCCTGCAGTAGTCAGACTTAAAATCTTTTAATGAGTTAAATTATGAGAAGAAGTTTTCAACTGGATTAAAAGGCTCAAAATAAACCAGAGACCATAAACAGATAAAGTTTGAATTAAGTGTGTGGTTGAGGGGAATTATGAGTCATGTGTTTTGTAAGCAGTGGGCGATAACTTGGCAAAAAGAACAGCACTCTTAAATGTCTTCTGATCAATCATAAAAACGCTCAAAAATTTGCTGGAGGGATTTGTCTCATTGATATCTTTCCTTATGCAATGTCCCTAAAGAGAGCGGAGTCTTTCCTTGCAGCTGTCAGTTAGAGGAAGGGACAGTGAGATAGTGACAGGCAGCTGAATAGAGTGTGTTGTTGACTTGACCGAGATAAACTCTGAAAAAAAAAAAAGAAATCACGCTGTTACGCTGCTCGTAAATCTGTCTCTGTTTATGGGGAGCAGATGGCAACATTATTTGGTGTTGATGTGCAGAAACTCGTTCATATCGAGTGCTTTTAAAAAGACTGACGCTGCCAGACCTGTTAAAAATGCTCCTATTACAGGGGAGAGGAGTGCCACAGGAGCACACGCAATTTGACAACACACACATGCTGCCAAGCATCTATTCCATTTTGGAAATATGTTGCCATGCCACCCAAACATCTCCATGTCTGTGTGTTTCAAAGGAGTGTGTGTGTGTGTGTTTTTTGTGTATGAAAGAGAGGAAAGTGGGAGCTGGGCAGCTCTTCTCAGTGGAAGGACACGTGCTGAGAGAGAGGAAACACATGCTCACCCACTTTTTTCTATGACTCCCTTTTCTTTTGTGAGCCAAAGCGTAGTTCACACAGGAGACTGGCTGTTGACTTGCCACATACACAGTGATGACTGAGTGCCAAACAATGGAGGTACTGAAATAGACGTGTTGTTGCAATGGCTGGTCTACATCCATCCATCACACCAGTCACATCGGGGTCGACCAGTGCTGCCTATAGGGCTTGTGCTCCTGGTCCAAATCCAGATACTGGCTGTTTCTAATGAATCGAAATATCATACACACATCGATAAGAGCTAATGAACGAGTGAATGAATGATAAATCTCTGCTACCA